TCATCTGTGTAAGTGGTGGTGTAAACACCATCGTCAAATGAGCTGGCGGCTGCTGAGTCTTCAACACTAGACGATTCGCGGTCGCTAGAACTGTCCGCCGAGGCGGATGATGATTCGCTATCCGCAGCACTGGACAACAAGTCGAATTCTGCATAAGAAAACTCATCGTCAAGATTGTATTCAGAATTGCACGTCTGAACTGTTGCGAGATCTACACAATTGTAATCCATAGATGTTGAGTAAATGGGACAGTCAGCCAAAGTCACAACTCCACAGGCCAGTTGGTCAAGAATGTTTACAATACCGGATCCCAAATCACCACTGTAGAAGTTGAGAATCTCCTCATCGGATAAGGTCCAGGCCCAAGACACATACTCAAAGATACAGTAGTTGGTCACAGAAAGCCAAAGTGTGAGGTATGGGAATGTGGCGGTATAAGTCAACATCAATTGGCCCTTTTCGATGTTAACAACACCACTCAAATCGTCAAGATGTATACCACTGTAATAAGCACTGAAACTAGTAGCGTCGATATCTTCAGCAAACGTGAAAAACCAAGTGATGGTATACTGTCTGTATGTGACCAAGAACGATTGATAATTTTCCGCTTCAATTACGTATCTGTAAGCATAGACGTGACCATTCAAAGTGCCGACACTTGACTCATACCCACACACACTGGATACAGATGTCTCTACAGCCAGATCGGTGGTAACTGTCTGTATAGACAAACTTGTCGGAGGAGCTGCACTGCTCGATTCATCGGCAGCTTGAACAAAGAGTATTCGTGTTGATAGCAACACAAATAAATATGTGAATAACTTATAGGCTCTCATGGTGTTAGAAAGCCTAAAAGTAAGGATTGTTTTCAAACGTTTGAGTATAACATAAAAACGCTTCGGGAATGAAGTGTGTCGGGGGATTTGCATTTGCATTTATAATGGAAAAGGAGCTCCACAGTTCACTGAGACCTGTTCTCGCAAACTATTGCACTTTTCAATACAAAAACACCATCTGTATATGGATGGCTGTAGTAAAGGGCAGGAGCACATCACACCTTCTCAATCTGTTTTCCTAAACTGCAAGTAGGATGGATGATGGCATAGAGGTTGGATGAGCAACTAGACATGGGTCACTGAACATGGCAGTTTGCAGGTACATGATAAATGGTTGCTTATCACAGAGTGCCAAGGTTGCGAATAGTACCTACAGACATGAATGTGTATTATATCTAGGAGACGATATGGATAAAGTAGCAGCTGAACTATAGTTAGTTTCATTACTCGGTATGTGTGATTCATTTCACTTGCATCTGCATGCAGCTGTGGGATGACTGCATTCAATGCGACGCTATCCTGAGTCCTGGTCAGCTCTCGCAGCTTGCATGATTACATAATATGATGTTTAGAAATGGCACTACAGATTGGTTATATGCACAAATATCAGGCAGCTAGTGTTCATGATTGATGGTGGATGATGCAGCATGGCTTCACCTGCCTTAGCTACATGGCTATTGGTTATTCCTCAAACTGTACAAGGAAATGAGATGGGGAAGAGGTAACGGAGCTGTACCCGAGGAGGTTCAAGTTCGCTTGTTCACCCTGTATATCTTCACTCATCTTGCACACGCTTGAATTCATTTCATTATTCAACGAAAGGACGCAACGAAAGCAATATTATTCTTCAACATCCATCGAATTTGGAACTGTATCATCCTGTTAATTAAATCGCAAGAATGTTATATTATGCACGATGTTTTTACGGTAGATGAAATCCGGATTAAAAGACATTTCAGTTTTTGAACAACATGACATGAGTGAAATGACTACCCAACAGTTGTTATGGTTGACAGAAGTCCCCAAGTCTCTCAGAAATTGATCACCACAAGAGTCTTGTTGTTTCAAAAGTCTCCATGATAAAAATAGGAAAGCCACAGTCTTAATTTCGGGGAGGGGCCACTAATTATTGAGAATTTATTTTCCAATATCTATGATAACTGAACTTGTATATCTAGGTTTAAACACACATTTCTCCTTTATGCACTGAAATTTGATCCCAGAAGTGACTGTGTAGAAGATAACGCACGTCTACTAACATATGTTGCATTGGTAAATTGTGTTATGCAGATGTGTAAAATAGTAGTGGGTAGGCCGGGTTAGGTAAGGGATAATCGCAAAAATGATTTGCTGATATTTTCTTATCAGCATAGGAATGGTACTTGTTCACTTAAAACAACTCATCGTGAGATTTCTAATCTGGGGGGAATAGTTGATCATAACAAAGTAGCTACTCGATATTCAAAGCCCGTCAAATTTATGATCGTTATTGGCACTCGGTATCTGTTCGACATGGAACCAGCAATGAACAACAACAGCCAGCGATCAATACGCACCGGAGACCTCAAGCGTAAATGCAGGTTAGTAAATGTCAACTTCAGGTTCCACTTATTTATTTCATTATTGCCGCATGCATAGGGATGCGGCTCTCTGTACCACTGGTGGTAGTTCTGGATGAGGGACTCATCTTCTAAGATGCAGCTCCGAAGTTTATACTTAACAGAGAAAAATTGGACGCCTCAAATTGTTGCGGGTCGGCGGCCGATCCCTGCTGGGTCCTTAAAACCGCATAATCTTTGAAAGATCTGTGTTCTTCGGGGTTCAGCTCACAACCACCCAGGGAATATGGACGTCACAATATTCCAAACAACCAAATAACTATCCTGAGTATTTGATATATATATCATGCCATGCGTGTGTGCTGTTGAAGGATTACTAGTAATATGAAGTATGCCAAGATAATTCTTAATCAATATAATATGGAAAATATAAGATAATAATGATGGTTCTTCCCTCAAGTAAACGGATAAAGAGCATAAGGTTCTCGATGAGTTTTCCCTTTGAATAACCTCTACAACAGATGATTCTTAATAATTATAAGTACAATTCCAATAAATTGGTTTTAAATGCGAAGGGTCAATAGCACACCCATTGGGACTTAAAGCTATATAAAGTACATTAAATTGTAGTTATTCAAAAATTTGCGACGTATGTTTACGAGAAAGAAGCATGAGCTAGGTTAGAATTTGTCCGTTTGAATTTCCAGAAACGCTAGAAAAAATTGGCCTCCATGACTAAAACTAGTGTCAATGTGGTGCAATATCATAGCCTTTATGCATGTATAAGAGATATCCTACGACTGCCAATACATCCATTGTATATAGCTCTTCATATACCTATTATTTATAAATTACCACTCGGAAACAAAAGGGGATGTTAAAACTTGAGGATTATAAGCAACTCATGTCTGTAAACTTAGGACCGGCATGTAACCACATCTTATAGATATTTGTCGTTTTGATGGACGCATACAGTTGAATTGTAGTCAACATCAAGCATCTTAATTTCTACAATTTCCTTTACCACTGTGTTGCTACACAAATCGGTAATCCTGTATCAGAAATACCTCTACTGCCACTAGTTTCTAATACCTTCACTACTACTGCTCATATCTCGGGTTTACAACAGCCGCACCCTACTGGGGGTTCCCAATCTTGGGCGTATGCAAGACCTTACGAATAATTCCGTCACGATGTCGATGGTAAATTGATAATATAGCAACTCTGGCCTATGTGTTCATGCTTTCTCGATCTTCCAATTCTCTGTACAATACAGACACACTCATTTTCTGACACCGCATGTAGACATCTGGAAAAATTATGATGTAGTATCTGGATGTTGCCGAATTTGGTACGTAATGTCTGTTGCATAATAGCAGAGCACATCTCAGACCAAATACGGTGATGAACTTTACGCAAACCATGAACAGAAAGTAATATTCTCAAGTTATATATCTATGATTTCAAACTTGGATGTTTGTGCTTTCTTTCGTCTGTATAGCTGCTCAACCCCCTCGATCACTTTCGCCTCACTGAAACCATCAAGCGGACCTCATACAATCCACACATTTCAAACACAGAAAGTTCACTTTGATATTACGTTTTCGAGTTCTCCAATTTCCCACCTCCAGTTAAAGGCTTGAGCGAGCTGTTCAATATGTCCAGAGTTCTTGCATCACAATACAGAAGATTTTAACTTCAATGATTTAAATTCCTCCTCATTGAAGACAGTGTTTTTGGAGTACATCCCGTAGTCCACATATCTAAAATTCCATATTGCTGTATGCGCATTAGTGATATTGACACAAATGATTACTAATTCCAAGTGATATTATTAAGTTAGCTCGAGCTGTCCATAATTAACTGGAATCTATGCCACGAGGGGCAGTCGAATTAGAATATCTGCGTGCATATAAGTACATTGCTTAGTTCACAAGCAGACCAAATCTACTCACTGGTACAATTCATACGAATGAATCAACAAACAGCTGAATAACAGATATTAATCAATGCATAATTTGAAGATGCGCAATTATATCCGTATATTGTACTATCTTAACTCATGCCAGATTATATTTCAATTTATTTTTTAGAACACAGTAGATAACTTGTCGACATCAACGCATGGTGGGCACATATATGCCTTTCTTTAGTAGGAATTCTGAGCCCGTCAATCCCCATAAGTGTGCCAACTTCGGACTATGTGTGCCAACTACGGACTATGTGTGTACCACCACAGGACACAGCCACACATGCATATGTGTATCAATCTCCGGCGAATGTGCAAGCCTCCTAATGCAACTGTTAACAATTGGAAGGTAGTAGTACTGACCAATGGGCTAGAGCTTTGGTTCTTGGAGGATTGGGACTATCAAGCCCGTACATGAATTCTTCAGCCTCCAACAGAGCCGAACACGAAATTTGGGAAATGACTCTCCTCCTTAGTCTTGACAGTTGAAGAGTTGGGACGTTTTCATATGTGTCCCATCCTCTTCCCCTGTACTCTAAAATTTGACTAATGAATATTTTGAAATCATACTTCATGGTCTAATGTTTCGGCGTACAATAGAGTAAACAGGATGGATGGTATCGTTCACCACTCAAACATTGTTCTATATATACTTTTCTATAGTATAACTTCTTTTGAAGTGCAACAATCATATTCATGAAACCATAGATATGACACAACCCCCCTCCCCGACAATTGTAATAGAGAAAAGTGGTCGGCTGCGAGCTGCAACCTTATAGTTCCAATGAGAGCCCCTAGATGTACACTACTGGTCCTAATTTCTTGCATCGTGAAGAACCTTCATGATCAACCCAGAGTTGAACATCTACTCATCTTGCAGCTTTACACAAAACTGGGGTTCGTGAATTCTTCTGCTTACCTAGACATGCATACAGCATGACCATTCTCGGCCTGCAAGATACCGCCTTGACAAGTTACCATATGCTTTTACCGGATCTCGGTATGACATTGCAGGTGCTAACATCGGAATTCTGAAATGTTCCTATTATGACCGAGACCAAACTCAATACGCCTACTATTACTTTTACAAGATATCATATTCATCATCTATGGGTATGAGCTATTTGGTAAAAAAATGCGTCTTTTAGTACAATGTCAAAAATATTAATAAATTTCATTAACCCGTGATCATTCAATCATCGAGCTAAAGTTGTGATTATATGCTGTTCTGTATCCATCCAAAGAGTACAAACATGGATGTCCCCCTCAGCATAGGAATAACACAACCGAAAACCCATCGTAGCCATGGTTCCGGGTTAAGAATAGATGCTGTTCTTAGTTGGATTAGATATTTACTATCCTCATGATGCACATTACATGTATTTAAGGGTCACAACGCATACGACGTCAGGTCATTTACAGGAGTGTCTTCTTCGACCAAGGACATATGTTCATCTTTGGGTGAATAACTCATTAATACACTCCAGATTCGTGATGGAATTTCTCTGGGCGTTTACGAGTTGGTCATACCCATGACAGGAGTATCACAGCCTGCTATCAACCTTCCCGTGACTAACCCTCAGGGTATTAATCGCTCCAAATTTCCCTCCAATTCTTACGTCTCCTGCATATCAATTCTGTAACATTCCTCGAGGACGCCTCAACACGAATGCGACAAAAGAGAACTGGCCCACAGGCATCATTCAACCATAGGTCATATTCACTGTTGACACTATGGCTGGTGTAAGCTTGGTGTTAATTCTCGGGTGGCGCGGCTAAGTATGCTCTTTTACACAGCTTAGTACTGAGCCTGAGGTTGTCATGTCCACCATTGAAGGGGGGAGATATGGCTGTAAGCTTTCAGAGTCCTAGGCTCAATCTACCTGCAATAAAATTGGATTCTATAGATCCATCAAAATTTACGGTAAATAACAGAGTGGAGGATACAGTATACCTGCACCAGTACCAATAAGTCACACACTGTGCTTTCCTTCATTTCAACGGACTTACTCCAGTTTTTGATTCATGACAGTCAATTGCCCCCCCCCCCCGCCAGCAGCATCCTGCGCTCAGGTGAAACAAAAGGGAGTTGGGTCCGGCCCATTCAACTTCAAACAATTGGATAAGGTTTAATTAGGGTTTTAAAGTTACACCTTATCACCTCAGTACTCCCTAGCTGTCAGTGAAGCATCATAGGCAATTTCAACCGAACATGGGACGCATGTCATGCTGACATAAGGCTACCAATACGAACACCACCCAGTATTAATCAAGCGGAAAATTCATCAGGACATTTGAGGCGGACAGTAATTACATCCGTAATTATGAGTAAGCAATGGGATGTACACGACTTCAGCAGCCAGGCGGGAAGAGGTCTTGCCCTGTGAGCCTATCCGGGGGCTTTACTATTCACACGAACTATGGCCAGAAAACCACTTGATGAAGACGATGGCTAAGAATTCCCTCAAATGTGGGCGAGATGTCACCACGTTTGATTGTGTCCCTTGTTCGGAACGCAGATATGGCCTTTAGAAAAATTCTCGCTCGGTGGACAACAGCGCACAACCCCGAAGAAGGGGGAAAAAAACTCCAACGAGCGCTCCATACTGTTGAGCTCTCTAAGGTTGTGGAAGAGGTAAAGAACGGGAGAGGTTGAGTACGGGCGCTTTAACTAAGTCTCATGTCTTTCAATCCTATCGAATCTAATGTATCAGGACTGGTGATATCCAGCACTGCTGAAGAAAAGGCTCATAATGAGTCCATCAAAGCAAAGAGAAGAAGATCCAGTGCTGCAAGGTCATCCATTTCACATGCTGGTGGTGCAGGTAAGAAAGTTAAAGGACTGAAGGCACCGAGGTTGGATTTGGTCCAACAGGCCAGATCCCATGGTTTCAACGAACTTCGAGATCTTGCACTCTTTGTGCTTGGTGCTTCCAACGAAAGCGTGGATTTTGTCTCCATAAAACAGAAATCAAATGTTGAGTGTGTGGTTATTGTGCTGGTGCCTGGGATTGGAGCAAGCGAATTCGTAGCTCCTTCAGGAACTTTGCCTTGTTCTCGTGATGGTATACCTCGTGAATTGCCATTCTTAAAGGAAGCTTTTGATCAGATGGTGCCGATGAAAGCGCCTGGAGATCGTGAATCTATCTTCCCGTTGATGCAGGCATTCACCAAGAGACGGTATACAAAGAAGCAAAAGGAAAACGTCATAAGGGAGCTGAGCGTAAAGAAACTTGTACTACCAGACCTAGCTGCTTCCTATGAGGAGATGCTTGCGAATAACTACCCTATACATAATGATCTCAGAGATGAGGGAGCAACCATCCCCGAAGGATGGGCTGAAACGTTTGAATTTGAACATGATGGGTCTCATACCTTTGCAATGGATTGCGAGATGTGTGAGAGCAAGACAGGTAAAGTTCTCACACGGATTTCGTTAATCGACTTCACCGAAACGGTCTTAATTGACGAGTATGTGAAGCCGGAGGAAGAGATTACAGATTATCTCACAAAGTATAGCGGTATCACAGAAGAGCTGCTAAAAGACGTTACAACCACTTTGAAAGACATACAGAAGAAGATTCAAAGCATTGTAAGCTCAAAAGATTATCTCATCGGGCATTCCTTGGAGAACGATTTAAACGTTATGAAGATTATGCATCCCAATATCGTTGATACTTCGTTGATATTCGAGCATCCAAGAGGCCCACCATTTAAATCCTCGTTGAAGTATCTGACAAAGCAATACTTGAAAAGAGTTATACAAGAAGGTGAACATGACTCCGTAGAAGATTCGAAAGCGTGCCTTGAACTGGTGAAATTGAAACTGTCAGAAGGTGGACTGTTGGGGAAAGTCATTGATGGAGAATTGATCTTCAACGACCTCATGAAGATAGATAAGAAAGCGTTAATATTGGATTTCCAAAGGGTTCAAGCGGAACAAAACAGATACATCACATGCTTAAACGACGACGATGTCGTTGCAAAGACCATTTCAAAGATTGCTGAATATGACCTCATAGTGGCCAATCTCAAAGAAGTTGAGTTTGCCCAAGAGAATGGTCAATTTACCGAGGAAAGTAAATCAGAGCTATACAATCGACTCAACGACAGGTTACGGTCTATATATGAATCTATTCCCCCAAATTCATTGGTTGCATTTTCAATGTGTCACGGTGATCAAACAACGTTAAAACAGATGAGAGAGAACAAGAAGAAGTACCGCAACGAATTAAAGGATAAGGGTTCAAGCACTGAATTTTCGTGGAGTCTGGAAGATGACTTGAATTTGAAACAAACTGCTGCTGTTACACGTGAAGGTGTTACGTTTATCAAGATCAAATCTCCAACTGAATCAGCGTTGGTTTAAACGTTGTGGTTTTACATATGTTTATACACACATTTCTACATGACAACATCACCGTCGGCGTCCTGGTTTCCGATTATGACTGTTGGTTCCTGTTCCTCGTGTTGATCTGTCGTAGTTTCAGTTGCAGTTGTAGGTGAAGTGGCTTCTTCAGCTGGTGCTGGTGCCGGGGTTGGTGTTGCATTTGAAGTTGCCAAAGTTGATGGAGTTTGAACTTCTTCTTTCTCTTCTTTAACCTCTGTAGTACCCACAGCTCTTTGTGTCGCACTATCAACACTCTTTGATAAGCCAGCCAGTACGCTTTCTGACCCGACGGCACCCCTGATCGCATCATCGGTCAATCCTGAAGATGACTTCTTCGACTTGACAACGTTGAAGGAGTTAAAATCGAGTATATCACTGTCATCGCCATCTATAACCGGTTTGTACTCCGTGTTTAGTACCCACGTCTTCACACTGAACGGCAACTTTTGAACATTGGAACTCTGCGTCAGCTCCCTCTCCTCTCCAAATGGTGTTGGCGTGCCACTTGGTGTTACCGTTGATGACGGAACAACACTCTTGGACGGCGTATACCAATCTCGTTTCCAATGTTTCTCATGAGACTCTATCAGATTTACCGAGCTTGCGTTTCTTAATAACGATTGACCGTACAATGACTGTCTCCCTGACATTTCAATGCTGTATTGTTGATCCGTTTCCTTGACAATAACAACAACAAACAACAACAAATCGCACTTTTCAACTTTTTCCTCTGTGGTCCGGAACACAAAAATTGAAAAACGGCCAACGAAGAAATCAGCGCTTGTGACAGTAGTCAACGGAAGGTAAACAAAGGTAACCGGCTAAAGACCAGCATGAGCAAACTGACTGATGAAGATGGTGCGCTCAGTGCCATTTTGGGAGATAATGGAATGAACTTCAGTGTTGGCGCCCTGGGTGATATGAAGACGGAGCACGCTGAAGATGCCATTGATTTTGAAGATGAAGATGAACTAGCTGATGATGAATTACCCGAGGAGGAACCGGCGCGTAAGCAAGGCACAGGGGGTGATGGCGGTGATGATGAGGATGATTTCTTCAAGGCCTTACAAGGAGGGGATGTTGGGAACGAGACTGGTAAGCAGTTTGACAAGCTCTTTGAGCAGAAGCATGATGTTGATTACGATGGTTTAGGCTCTTTTGAACAAGTTGAAACGGATGCAAAGATTGAGAAGTCAAAACAAGAGGACAATGAACAGAGGATGTTTCAGGAGAAGCTGCTGAAATACTACCATCCCGCTTTTAAGAAGAACGAGATACTGAAGATGAATACTGTTTTTGCAGCGACTCCCATAAATTATCCATATCAACAACCGCAGTATCTCCATCCTTTGTTCCCAACAAAGATATCACTGGAGGTGGAAACTGACCAGCGCAGAGTATTCAAGTCTGCCTTTTCATATACGCAGAACTCTAACGGGAAGAGAATCATTCATGTTGATGAGGATATCTTTGAGGATAAATTATCTGAAAAAAAGTCTAGAGTGAAAGCAGATGAGGACTTGGCTCTAGCCACAGTGGAGTGGGATTATGAATTACTCGTTGGTGATAAGACGGATGAAGCACCGACGAGTTTACGAAAACAAGATCTGCCGTATGATGAACTATTCGAGGATTACCAAGACGACGATATATTTGAAGGACACTTGCCTACAAAGCTCCAACTTGATCTTAACGATCCAAACTTACTGTTTGTTGACCAGAAATCGTTCAAATCCGGTAACAGATCTGCTCCGACACTTCCGACCAATGATAAGTTACTCCAAACGAGGTTCAATTTCTCTAATGATAAGAATTATGAGCTCTTGAAGGAAAATTACCATAGCAAGGTCAGATCAACGCTTGGAAACTTGAATATCGAGCATTCCCAACCTGCAATAAGGCTACAATCGCCATTCTATAAGGCCAAGTTGTCGAAGGATGAACTTCGTAGCTTCCACAGACCAAAATTCAAAGTCAGACCTGGCCAAGTTGTACAGTTCTCCAAGTTGAAGTTGAGGAAAAAGAAGAGAGATAGAGGTAAAGATATAAAGGAGAGCTTCGCATCCACAACAGATCTCACTTTAGCAGATACAGCACAGACCATCTTAATGGAGCATACAGAACAGGTTCCAATAGTAGTCACTAACTTTGGAATGGGTAGTAAACTTATCAACTATTACAGAAAGACGGACGAAACAGATACTTCAAGACCAAAGCTGCCTATAGGTGAAACACATGTTCTTGGAGTCCAGGATAAGTCTCCCTTTTGGAACTTTGGTTTTGTCGAGCCAGGGAATATCATTCCAACTTTGTACAACAAACTTATTAGGGCACCGGTGTTCAAACAAGATCCGCAAAGTACAGACTTCCTCTTGATTAAAAGTGTTGGTGGTAATTCTTCTCAAAGGTATTTCTTGAAAAATATCAATCATTTGTTTGTCGTTGGTCAACTCTTACCAGTTGTGGATATTCCAGGGCCACATTCTAGAAAAGTCACTACCGCAAGTAAGAATAGGCTCAAGGTAATTGTCTATAGGGTTTTGAAGAGAAGTCCAGAACAGAGATTACTGGTGAAGGATATCTCTGCACATTTCCCGGATCAGAACGACATGCAAAATAGACAGAGGTTGAAAGAGTTCATGGAGTACCAACGTTCAGGTGACGATCATGGATTCTGGAAACTGAAAGAACCTATGCCATCTGATCGCTTGATCTCTCCAGAGGATCTGACTCTTTTAGAATCCATGCAGGTTGCACAACAAACCCTTGAAGACCTAGAGTTCTATTCAAGGGAGGAAGTTAATGATGAGCTGGCTCTCTGGAACTTGACCAAAAATTTTATCAATGCAACGCAGGGTAAGGCAATGCTACAATTGACTGGCGATCCTGAGGGTAAAAGTATATCATTTTTCAAAACCTCAATGAAAGGTGGATTCAAGAGTTTTGAATCCAATGGACACAGTTACAACGTTGCATTGCAACAGAAGGCTTATGATGAAGAGATTTCCAGAGCATGGTACTCTCAACAGAAAAAACTTTCCGGTAGTGAACCTATTGTGAACGGAGAAACCCCTGATGATGAAGTTGCTCAGAATTCTGAGCCGCCAAAGTACCTTAAGATCACCAGAATGGTGAGAGACACCAACGGTATCCTCCAGAGAAAGTATGAGATTGTTAAAGACCCAGCAGTTATCAAAGCTTACATCAAGCGTCGTGAAAAGCTAGAGGAGGATATCATTCCCGATGATATCAAGGTCACCAATGATGAGGAAAAAAATCTGAAAACCAAGAAGATCTTGAAAGAACGGTTGGCCAAATTGGAGAAGAATCAAGAACGCCGTAACCAAAGAAAGGCTCAGAAGGAAAACCTCGGTGGCAAGGGGATTGGTAAAGGTAAAAGTACTACTAGAAAGTGTGCCACATGTGGAGCTGTTGGACACATCAGAACAAATAAGGCATGTCCTATGTACGATGAAGGAAATCCATGAATGCAATGACGTTACTATTATTGACATTATTATTATTATTACCTCTAAGGTGGTAGTCGTATGTACCCTACTTAGTCCGCGATGGCATCAAAGACATCATCCCATAAGATGACATTTGGACAGAATTGTTCGAGTGTTTCGAGCTGATCAACGTTTGAAACGTAACCAACCACTTTATTCCCCTCCTGTGCAAGACAGAATGCAAGAGGTTCAAGATTTGGATCAAAGGTTCTGGTCAATCTCTTTGTTATCGACTTCAATTGTCCACGCTTATCACAACTAGGTCCACCAACCGCAATGGCCTTTGTAATCCCAGTGCCTGGAATCAACGTGAGTTGAGGCGTACAGTGGAACCATTCATAGTTTACCATGGTGGAGTATTTGAAGTACTCCACACCTGCAATGAGTGCCAGTACAATGAATGTTACCTGTAGTAAAGTAAACACCTTATTGGCTGCCATTGAGTCCCAATTCTATGAGTTTTATCGATTTTAACAGCGCTTCTTGCTGGTCATCGCTGCGTTTAAAAAGGCTCCAATACCCCCCAAAAAAAAACTAAAAAAACTACTCGCGAAAATTTAAAGGCTACAACTGTTGCCCAAAAAAGTGCCCCTTTTGTGGACTTTTGTAGACTTTTGCGCCAAATGTGAAACTGCTGTTAGCGCAGGAAATGGTACAACAAAGTGATAGCAAAATGCTAGCAAAACTGATTTGTGACAGGAAAAGTGTGCGATATGGGTGATACAAAAGCTGCGATATTCGACCTTCGGATTTGATTTCCGGATTTATCACTGAATTATAGCAACTGTGATTTACTGTAACACTTTACTAGTGATCACGTCCTCTTTGGGATCTGATAACAACATGAAGCACGAATCCTCAAGATTCGAGTGTTTCTCTACGATGGTTTAAAAGGGGCTCCTTGAACCATTATATTTCGTCTTTCCTAGTTCTTAGGAACTGAATCTCTTCTCTTATATTTCTGAATTATATTGTTATAAAGAATCATCTAATTGTCATCATCATATCAATCATTCTATTAGCCACCCCGTGCGAAAGGAACACTACACACCCTACTGTTAGTGAAAGATATACTGTGACGTCGATATAACAGGAAACATTAAACTGAATCCCGAAGAGCAGGACACACACAAGGAGTACGTTCATACTCCTCTAAAGAAATGACAACCTTCTTACTGTCTCTAAAGAGCACAAAATGGCACATTTTCATGAATGATATGGAGCAATATGTAATAACGGGGTTAAACAATTGTATGTCTACCAGCGAGCCATGCGTTGAAGAAGTCAAGAGAATTTTCTGGTTGGTCATAAGGAACCATGTGACCACCACCAAAGATTCTCAAGAAGGTGAAGTTCTTGTAGTTCTTCACGGTACCAGCCTTTTGACCATCAACAGTCCAAGACTTGGTCTCTGCATTGCTGAATTGTTGGGTCCCTGACCATGGAAGGACATCGGTCCAGCCTTGGTTACCCAACCAGTTACAGATGAAGTCCTTATCACCAGCGTAGATCAACACTGGCAAATCAGCCTCCAACAAATCAATAACATCCTTGTGATATGGCTTCATCCAATCACCTGCAAAGACAAAGTTACGGTTCACGTCAAAGTTACAACTCTCATAGTTATCTGTCTCTGCTCCCAATGCCTCTTTGACTTCCTCTTTGTTCAAGTACTTGTCGATGTACTCAAGTCCCTCGTAACACAAGGAGCTGCCTTCACAGTTCTTTCTGATATCGTAAACGTTACGACCAGTCTTCTGGTATGGACCAATCTGTCCATTGTTACAGTAAACCGTAGCAGGGACACAGGACCAAGCAGATTCGGATTGATAACAGGAATCAATCAAACTCAAACAACGGTCCAAGTTTGCCTCCATTGCTTCGCACTCCTCCTCTGGCAACACTGCTGGTTCGCCACCTTCACCGCACGCCATTGGCTCGTAGTACTTGTATTGGGTCAGTGGGTCGGTCAACCCATTTCCAATCAAGACTGAGGTGAGGTTAAATCCTCTCTCCTTGTGACTCAAGATTTCAGAGGCAAAGACTGGGATGTAGTGACCAGCATATGACTCACCAGCAATGTGGAAGTCCAATCCGTTGTACTCTGTGAACTTCTTGAAGAACAACTCCAAGAAAGCGTACACGTCTTTACCAGCGGCAATGGTATTCGACACAGAAGAAGAGGAATAGGAATAACCAACGTTGATTGGCTGGTCCAAAAAGATCACAGAAGCATTGGAATTCCAAGAGTAAGGGTTATGAACCGGCTTGATATCCTCATCAATAGAGGCAGGGCCCAACTCAAAGAACAACCCAGTAAGGGATGAGCAGCCCGGGCCACCGTTCAACCACAAGACCACAGGGTCGTTCTTCGGGTCGTTTCTGGACTCGAAGAAGTAGTAGAAGAAGTGTTTGTCCTCGTCCTCGATGTCCAAGTAACCAGAGTACTGCTTAACGGTATCAATCCCAAGAGACTCCGGGGTATGCTTACCTCTCAAGGTGTAGTTTGGCAGCGACTCACTTGTAGTGGAGAAGTCCCACTTCGCACGACGTGTATGTGGCTTTGGAGAAGAGTAGAACTGCAAAGAATCCAACACGTTTGGGAACTTCAACGACATATCTCCCCAGATACCCTTAACCTCGGACGAGATTGAGTCCAAGGGGGTATTCAAGGCATTGGCAGCTCTTTGGAGCAAGTTCTCAGAAAACAGGGCCTGCTGGACGGAAAAGGCATCCACTTGAGATGCTCCGAGCAGCGCAAAAGAAGCGATTGGTGATACTTTCATTGTGTGTGTGTGTAGACCTGTGTATACACTGTGCTGGGTAGAAGGGAAGGAGAGCGCACTAGGAGGCGAATATAATTTAGACTGGGGTTTTGAGTTTTTGTGTCCTCCCTCGCCCCCTAGTCCGATTAGGCCAGCCTCAAAGTCCCAAGAATGGCTGGGGCGATAGCAAAAACCAGGGAGGTTGCTGGTTATGGGACACACGTCTCTTATCAGCGGGACTAGGTCGATAAGGAATTACGTCATTCATTGGACTACAACGTTTGTACGATGGGATGCTGTGTTCGAGTAAGTTGAAGTAGACTATTAAGCTAGTTCCAATGCCTTATCCAGTAGCTTTACACCTTCGACCAGCTTCTCATCTTCGAAACGCAGAGCAGTTAGTTGCAAGTTAATTGGTGCGTTGACGTAGTCGTTGGCGTTGTAATCAGTAACGTTGGTAGGGCCCTTCACGTCCACCTTAGGATCGAATGTGAGGCCAGTTCTAAAGATGATGTTTGGGAAGTCTATGAGGTTGAACATGGAGGAATAATTCCAGTGGGTCAAGTTCTTTGGGACTTCACCGACGTTTGGGTTCGTTGGTGAAATGAGGAAATCGATCCCCTGGTCTTTGAACAAGTAGTACATGTAGTACTTGAACTGTTCCTTGATGTTGTTGTTGGTCAAGATGTCGTTCTCCTCTGGGTTAGCGAAGCCGAGGAAGAACTTGGTCAACGGGAGCAAGGGTTCATTGGAAATTGCAAAGAGCTTATCGTGAACAGGCTTGGAAGTGCCATAGATCTGTAAAGTCTGTTTAAACGCCTCCTTCATCAGGTCGTGATCAATGGTGATTACCTTGACGTCGACCTTTTTGCCCTTATAGTCTCTCAACTTGTCCTGGACGTATGCCAATCCTCTTTTGATCGCATCTGAAGGCTCAACAAGCGTATCGGTCAACAAAATTCCATATGTCACTGTTTCAGGTAATGAGACACCCGTTTTCCATTCAAGTGGAATGGTATTTGGGTCATACTCCCATGGTTTTCCCATGTTGATGTAATTAACCATGTAGTACTCCAAATCATCAATGGTTCTCGTCAATGGGCCTTGTGATGAGAAGATGGATTCTTGTCCAGCACCACCAGATAAGGAACCGAGTCCTGAGACTCTCTTCGTCGTTGGTCTGATACCATACAGCCCACAAAATGCGGCAGGAACTCTTATAGAGCCACCAATGTCTGACCCAATACCAAACACTGAGGAGCCCATTGCCACCGCAGCCGACTCACCACCACTGGAGCCACCAGGACTAATCTTTCTGTTGAAGGGATTTGAAGTTCTGCCGGTGATGGCATTATCAGTGTCCAAATGCATAACGGATTGTGGTTGGGCAGTTCTCATGTAGAAAACAGCACCTAGCTTCCTCAAGATTTGAATAGAAACGGATTCTTCCCTTGGCGAGTTACTGATGTAATTGTCCAGGTAACAGACGAAGCCGGCTGTGGTGACTTTACCACCATACTTCATCAACTCCTTCAACGAGATTGGCAATCCGTGGAACGGGCCCACCAACTCACCGTTGTGGTCTTCTCTGTACTTGTCCAGCTCCTTAGCTCTTTCCAACCCTTCCTGGAAGAACAACTCCATGGCACAGTTCGTGAAGATGTGAGCAATGGCACCACGTTTGGCAAACGCGTTGTATATCTCCACGGCGGTCAATGTGCCATCCCTCTGTTTGGCCACCAGCTGCTTTGCAGTGGAGTTGGTGATCTCTCTATCCTTCTCGGTCAACAGAGTATCCAGCGCTTCAACGGCATTGAAATTCTCACTCGAATAGTCAATTCCTTCCACCAATGCCTTATATGGCCCAACTTCCTCGTCAAGCTTGGCTCTGTAAGCGTCGATCTTTGGTTTCCATGTATCTTCGAATGTCATCTTGTGCGTTTGTCTATCTGTCTAGCTGGGTGATTCCTCAACTCCAACGCTGAAAATTTGTGGGACGAGTCGATGGCTATTTATACACAGATCATCGTTACATGTGTCACAACTTATACACCAAGCTAGCCCATTGACCAGTGGGAACTTCCCCTGATAGCTACTCTCGGCGACTCTATCATACTAATCACAGCGCGCTTTCCCTTTTGGGACTGTGCATCCCCTGGCTTCCCGCAGCCTCACAGCGACATTCCTTTTTAAGGATGTTCGAAGCGATTTACAGCGCGCTCTCTCACCCACTTGAAGAGCCTTTTTCTTTGACCAACTGGTTGATGCCCCCCCCCCCCTCATCGCGGTAAGCTGAGACTGTGAGTATCGTTAAAATCGCTGAATGCGTAGATGTGGTGGTGCTAACCATTCTGTAGAGATCAACGGTTGAACGGTTGCGTAGGAGTTAGGCGATGTCGGCTTTAACAAGCCAACCGTGAAAACGTCAACAAAGATCAACACAAGCGAAAAACAAAACAAGGCAGACAGCAAACACCGCCCACCAATAGAGACGTAACGATATGATCTTGCCGACTGTTCTGTTTGCCTGCTTGTCCCTTCTAGCTGCCATTGCATCGTTGAACAGCTTCATCACCTTCCGATCACAGCCGAGTCTGGCGTTCACCGTCGTTGAGGTGCTTGCCATATACATCCCAATATCAATCGTCTTCCTATTGCCCATTGACATTCTATCTTCGAACGACGATGGTGACGGGCCACATAACGTTTTCTTTGTTGAGCCTAAGAACGTGCTGATATTTTGGAAGCTGGACTACTGGAGCGCCTTCGTACTCATGTGGTTGTTCCTACCGCTCATACAGGAGTACTATCGCTCCGGTGAGTTTACGCCAATGGCGAAGCTCAAAGATTCTATCAAGTCGAACATCAAGTTCCAGCTGATAGTTGGAGGTATAGGAGGTGTGGGCCTTATATACTTCTTTGTGCAATACGGATTCAACTTCCAGTCTTTTAAGGACTTGTTGATTGCGCTGTCCCACACTTATTCCTTGGTGTTGTCTCTTTGGTTGATGTCGTATGGCTTGATCAGCGTCCCAAGGAGACTATGGAACAATAACGTGAATCTTGCTCATCAATTGGACCATCTGTACATTGAAATGCCCAAGCTGTACGATGAACTGAACGATTCGTCTTATAACTACAAGGATATCTGCTCGATCATAAAGTCTTGTGAACAAATACCTGGGATTGAGCAGAGCGTGTTCAAGTTTGAGATCCAAGAGTTATCCAAGCAGGTTCCACCAGATCTAAACTTGGGGAACCACGTGAGAAGCACACAGTATACGTCGATTCAACAACTAAGTCATGTAACTCTGGCAAAGCTTCAAAGAACTTTGAAACAAGAGACGACAAACTACCAATCCGCACAGTTTGAATTTGAAAAGGCAAAGGAAAGGTGTATTCAACTACAAGATATAGTTGATTCTAAATCAACTGGCTCTCTCCGTTTCAGAATCGGCACAAACATTATAAGAAATGAAAAGGTGAACTACGCCATCCACGTCTATGCTTTGCCAATCCTGAGAATAGCATTTGCTCTAGTGCTCTTTGCGTTATCATTCATCGTCATTGAAAGTGAGTTACTCCACTCCACTAGGTTCTCCATAATCAATATCATTCTGGTCTCTGGGAAATTGTCATCAACTGTTAAATTGATCTTTTCATCAACGGTATTGGCATATATGGTATTCTGTGCATTGATTTCCTTGACGAGGATCAAGATTTTCAAAGTGTACCATCTTTTCCCAAAGTACTCTAATCCAGTAAGCGTTGTGTTCTTTACAATGTATTCAAACAGATTGACGGTTCCCTTGTCTTACAACTTTTTAACTTTGCTTCAATCTCAAAGGGTTCGTTCGGTGTTCAACGATTTCCTTGGAGCATCTATCAACTTGAGCGTTCTTGGTGGGTTCTTTAACAGTACTTTGCCAAGGCTCATCATCATTCCAATCCTATTTGCATCGTTTAACGTCTTTGATAAAATTAAGAAAAAATTGTGGTTTGACTACTTCGATGCATTTGACAGTGATGACGAAGAGGGTCATAATGAAAGTGTTCAGTCCAGGAAAGATACATTAATAGCTGATGGTAAGGGTATAATCCAAAGGGAGCTCGGGGCAAATTCAATTGGACGTACAGCCATGAGTGGTTTATCCTATCCAGAATTGATTACAACTCCACGACCAAATGAAAGTTCATCAACAGCTAAGGATGATCTACTAGAGTCAGAGAACTTTGACAACGCTGAGACTTCAGCTACATCTGAGGGGTTCTTTTCAAAAGTGAAGGGATTTCTCAACCGTAGTGGATCAAGTAATGCTACACTGCACATTGGAAATGACGATATTATATAAGTCAATTTTCTTTAGTGTCATGCCGATATCTTTTCATGTTCTTTGTATGCCCATTTTTCAAATTTGAGCCATTGGTAGATGAAACAACCATCAAAGAATAAAGTGACAAAGCTCAACCACAATTTACCACCGTTACTAATCATCATATCCCAGCTGAGTCTACCCGTCGCTATGTAACCATCTAGAAATAACTGTGCAATGGAAAGAGTACCACCTGTACAATCCAGGAATATTGTCAACATGCTAAATCCAAGCACTGATTTCCTCTTATGGTTATGCAATAGCTGTGGGAAGTATTTGATGAGGCTCATGATGATCTTCATATATGACAGTGACAATGCTAAGCTCAACAGCGTGAATTTTTCCTCTGATGTTGAATCCTTGAGCGAATGGATCCGTGAAGTTCCAATACTTGAATACATTGCGAAGATTGATAAGATCACAACTGTAATGATAACCTTTGTCATTCTCTTCAAGACAATTGGTCTTGATTTAAACCCCCAACAGAACAATTGAGAGATGGATACCGACGTGAGTAAGATCCCATGTACGGAGTAGACCAGGTCAATCTTTGTTAAGAGTGGCTCGTATCCATGTTGTTCGTAGTACAAGGTGCGCACTTCAGAGTTGAAGAGCATGAGACACATCGAACTCACAAGACATATGTAACCCAACATGTTCAGAAAGATGAAGTCTACCGACAACCCTTCCGTTGATTGTAATCTGTAATTCAGCAGAAGAGGTGGATAGAAAGATACACACTATAGATGTGTCAGTAACGTGTATGGTTAATACCATCACAAGAGCTCACGTACCCATGCAGTAACGTATAGCACGCCCAAGAGGTTCGATACTCCCCGGAGAACACTCATTTTCGTTGCGTGACAGTCTGTTGTCGTTGTTTTTGGTGGGGGATGAACTAGCTTAAATATCAGATATGTGAACCTCCACCTCCAATTGCTATACTATGAACCTGCGCCAGCCATTGGTAACATCAAACCATAGTTAATCATTGAAGACGTGGCTTCTCATGGCGCACACAGCAAGAGACATAAACAACATCCAGACACCACCTCTGCGGCACAGGCACATCACCCGGCCGAAAACCGTACGTGTATGGTACGGACCACACTTTTCCATCCCCCATTGTGCAGCGTCCGATTCGGTCCGATATTTCTCGTGTGCTTACCGAACTCCTTGTCCTTTTCCCCAGACTAAGGTCCCACAGTTGTATGGTTTTTCGACGAATTTTGCCCGTTGTATGAGATGATCATGGAATAAAGCATCTTCACTTTTGTCCTTTTTCATACCTGCACCCTACACGTACGAACTCAGGTGTTGTTGCAGGTGTGCTTCTCTAGACCGACAAATGAGTGCATCTATACTGAGATCTCAGATCTCCAAAGTGGCAAAGCTGCCTGCGAATGCTATTTCCTTACAGGACCTGGTGCTGATGGGCCAGCATCGCACCGAGGAGTCCCTTTACAAAGCAAACAAATGGATAGTGGGGGAGCTTCCCATAAGACTGGCACACCGGATCGAAGAGCTGGACAATTTGCCAAATGGGCTAAACGAGATGCATTCCATAAACAAAGTCAAGCAGTGGTATATGCAATCGTTTGACGATTTGACAACCATTCAGAGTACAGAGTCCACTGATCCGAGATTAAAGGAAAAATCCAGCTATAACAGACAAGTCACCGAATCCTTGAAACAAATCAAGAAGAGACACGATCCGACGGTGGCAACAGTGGCACAGGGTGTCATCGAGTGGAAGCATTCCACCAAACGTGATATCATTGACCATTCGATACAGTCATTTTTGGATAGATTTTACATGTCTCGGATTGGTATACGCATGTTGATCGGGCAGAACATTGCGATAAATGATGAGCCCGCAAGGGATAACTGGGTTGGTGTCATTTGTACAAGAACAAACGTCAAGGACTTTGCGCGTGATGCCATTGACAATGCGCGTTTCATATGTGAAGAGTACTATGGGATCTTCGAGGCTCCAGAAGTCGAGTTGTACTGCCCTGATGACTTGACGTTCACCTATATTCCGGGTCATCTAATGCATATGCTGTTTGAAGTGCTGAAGAACTCGCTACGTGCCACTGTGGACACCCAGCTGAAGCGTAACAGGGAATCCGCCAACCCTATCGAAGACATATCCGATATCAAATTCCCGCCTGTGAAGTTGATCGTGGCAGACGGATCTGAAGATATAACCATCAAGATCAGCGATGAAGGCGGTGGTATCAAGAGAAGTGTTGTCCCCCTTGTATGGACATACCTCTACACCACCATGGAGGAAACCCCGGATTTGGACCCCACCTATAACAAAACCGATTTCAGAGCCCCAATGGCTGGCTTCGGATACGGCCTGGCTCTCAGCAGACTCTACGCCAGATATTTCGGTGGTGACTTAAAGTTGATCTCCATGGAAGGCTACGGAACTGATGTTTATTTGCATTTGAACAGGTTAAGCACGTATGAAACGCTCCAGTGAAACACCATTGGTTCCTCCCTGTGCTTATCGTATATATACGCAAAAGGTTATGTAAGGCCGATTGTTAATATTTATTTCTCTTTTTATCACTTTGTAGGTAACGTCTTTAACGTGGAGCCACTGGTTGAGTGTGGTTTGTATGTGCTTTGGCTTCAAAGACCGCGGGAGTGGAGGCGCATCCTTCGCACAAGCACACAAAAAAACACAAAACATCAACAAAGGCGCCCAGGTGGAGTGGACGGGCGGAACTAAACAGTTGGCGCTACATCGAATGGGCTAACAATGTACGGATCAAAGACCACTGCTGTAAAGCCCCAGAGGGCACAATCATCGCGGGATGAGCTGATTAATAACCGCTACAACCTATCGGAGCCAGAAGGTGTTTATCCATTGGATGGGTCACACTCCGGTATCAATAAGTACCCAGACTTCCAGCCTTGGAAGCACACCATTAAGGAGGACCACATTGCCGTGGATCATCTGCAAAGAGGGTACTTTGAATCACCGCAAGTTGGCAATGAGCTTCTATCCGCTCGAAACATCATGCATCAGTTGCTCAGGTCGAAGAACTCTCTGGAATCGCTGTCCTCGAACGTGTTGATGGCGATGGACCTCCGTGCTCGGAACAACAGGGTTGGGCCTGGTACGTATAAGCCACCTCCAAGGGTCACCTTAACTGACCAGAAGAGGGAGAATTGGCTGAAGGATCTTGCTAATAGTGAGGTCCCCCTGAGGAAGCTGGCTAGGACTATCCCACACGGTGTTAGAAACAAAACGCTGATTGAACAGTGTGTCTCTAAGAAGATCCCCATAACAAGGGCCATTTGGTTTGTTCGCTGTGTCAGTACAAACGAGCTACGTGGGCTGAAAAGGAAAGGTGGAGCCAACATCGAATACACATGGGTGCAAGAATGGACCACCCAGGTGTTGGAATTTATTGAAAAGTTGTCTCACGACTACCTCAAATTCGAGTCGTTTCAACAGGCAAAGGAAAGTTGGAAGACGAATGTCAGCTATCTGCTAAGATTTGTATCAAACTTGTACATTGAAAACTTGGTGGACAAAGACAGCATCAAATTTTGGATCTTGAAGTTCTTCAAACTTTGCAAGATATACGAATTGCCCTTGGCTTTGACAATTATAAAGATGTTCTGGAATGAGATCTCCAAGACTGATTATATCATAAAGGAAATTACTGAAACCATCATACTGCGGTACAGTGTTGTTTCTTCGTGCAAAAACCTGCTGGAGGCAAAGGATATCATCATCACAGACCAACAGTTAAACGATAACATCAAGTCGAAGATAATGAAGGAACTGAAATTTTTATTGATGAATTCATTCTCACAATCCATCGATAACTTTATCTTGCCCAACAACTGGGATCAACTATCACCGATAATTGGTGATATCTTGGACTTGACAGACTCCAAAACAAAGAAAAAATTTGACATTATAAACTACAGAAATGAATCCTTGATGATAAATTATTCTCTGAACAAGAACAGAGAAGTTAGAGATGTCATTTCTGTATTGGATAAATTGGAAGGTGAAATTGATTATGACAATATCATTTCTTTGATACTGAAAGACGACTGGAAGTTCAATGTTAAACTAGTGCTTCAATGGTCATTGACAAGGTTTAGATACAGAACTTCTCGTGTTTATTTGTTTACGGAGTTGTGCAAAAGGCTTAAAACACATCCTTCTGTGTCTTTGAAAGCACTTGAACAGGAAATTCTCGAATCGGTATTCAGTTTATCTTTGAACCCTACAGATCTTATCCTGGATGACCTTTTCCTACTATTGAATCAACTCATCCAGATTAAGGTATTCAAAGTTCCAATATATCTCCGCCGCTTGATTAGCTCGGGGTTGATATATCAAAATGATAACCACTTAGAAAAGCAAGTACATGCATCGATATTGATGAACTTGAAACCGCAAAAGGGATCTCAAACTTCTTTGATCTTGAAAAATCTTTCTGAGTTTAACGGAGAAGGAATGGACTACGATGAAATGATAAAACTAGGACTATCCATTCTCCATGACAATTCGGATAGGACTTTGGAGAACTTGCATTTCCTCAAAAGTATGCCTGTTGGTGTTAAGCTGCAGTTATCAGAGTTGTACTTATCAAAGATCTTGGAGAGGGAAAATCTATTCCCTTTGATAACGTATACTGAGTTACGGAAAATATTAGAGACTCTACTCTCGCTGGGAGATATGAACAGTGTCACAAGACTCATAGTGAAAGCACTTGATAGCCAAAATCTGGAAAGAGAGGAATTCTTACTTTTGACCGAATGTATCCTCACAAATTTACAACTGGTATCCTTCATTGTGAACATTGACGATATTGTTTTGTCAATTCTTCAAAATTCCAATAGACTGATGCTGTCGACGTCAATGATAAAATTTTGGCAAGCTTTCAACAAATCTTTCAAATCAAAGTATTCAGATGATATAGAGAAAAACATCAACCAAAAGGGTGTTGAGTACGATTTGGCCACTATTATGATGGCTATCTCTGAATCCGAACTTGGCATAACATATGACCAGCTCATCCAAGAAAGTTCGTTCCATAACAACTTCCAAGTTTTGATCAGAAGTTTGTTTAACAACACTTCATGTGATAGCAAAGGAAAGGCTATAATCATTCTTATGAAGGTTTTGAAATTCCATAACACAGCAGAGTTCAATAGAATTGTCTTCGTGCACATAAAGAAGACATACAGCAGTTCGACGGAGTTGTTGAAGTACGAGCCGCTGTGGGATATCATTATTTACGATCTGGTCTCAGTTCAGATGATTTTTGAGACGTTTCTAAGCTTCAATTCTCAGATTCATCTTTCCTTCATCTTGGATCTTTTGTTCAAGGAATCTACACCATCGGAGCCTCATGATTTTTTTAAGCTTTCACTTTTACGAGAACAATTCAAGAGAGAAAATCCAAAGACAATGATAAACCTCATCAAGATGTCACTTTCAGAATCAGATATAAAGATGGAATCAATACAATCAGATTCCGCTGATATCATAAACACCATTATGGATAATACAACATCGAGTACATATAAGTCAGAACAGTTGGCTGTGTTTTTGGATATTTTGATATCTGATCAGAAAATGGTTGTTGCTGCTATTGAAAATGAGGATGATGCGTTGAAAAATAAGATCATCATATGGTTAAATGAGACCATTTTCAACCGTCCAGAAGATATTGCCATTGACTATATTTGTGCCTCAAGACTTGTTGAAAATATCAAAAGGGAGAACAGGTTCAACCTCCCATTGATGCAGTTACTGTTCAAGTTGAAATTGAATCAAAACATTCCAGAAGATGATTTAGTGACTGTTCTAAAGGCTGTTATCTTGAGATCAACGAAAGAAAAGACTTTGAGTTTTATCTTTGAGCTTTTAGATGTCCCATTGAAAATCAAGCTTATCCACTTTTTGGAGATGATCTTCCTAAGCTCTCCAAGTTTCCCTTCTGTGAATATCAACGATCAACGACTCGATCTCACTTGTTTGAGTGATTCGCTAGTTGCACTTTCGAGTGGAACGCAGAATGTTACATTATCTGATGAGTTGGTGTTCTCCTTGGACGTATCACTTGATCATCTCAATAAAGTGATCGCTCAGGGTGATAGGGATGTTCAAGTGTTGTATTCTGCAATCTCTTTGTTTTTAAAAATCATCATCATCCACAAGGGCTTCCTCATAAACATCCTTATTGAGAGAAATACCATAAAGGAGAGTTTTTTGAATAACCTGGTTAACCTTTTGAGCACGACCGTTGTCTCCAGCAACTTGAAGCTGAAGAATCTACTTTATGACCTGATTCTGTCGATCAAATCAAGCATCAATGAGATCAACTCAAGCCAGGTACACAACGTCAAACTTCCCGTATCTATCATCAATCTTCCAAGTATTTCTTCAAACGCTGGGAAGTCAAAGGCTGCACTGGTCAATAAGCAAAACCTACACGATTTTAACTGTGTTTTGGACTTGTATCTGTATCACAAGACTACGTGCTCATTCCATGAGTTTAACATCAAGCCATTCGATATGGTTGAGGATTCCAATCCGATTGAAAATTTAAACGACACTGCAGTGAGTCTTCAACTGTTTGAAGCATCGATAGAGAGAAAGAATCCAACTTAAGAGAGAAGAATGAATATTTACTTTGTGAATGAAGTGTTTATAACCTATCGATATCAATTGTAGTTTCCACTGTCTTCGATGTCACTGTTTTTCTGATAAGTTCATCGATTTTGTTTCTCAATGCTGTTTCTTGCTCATCGGAACGTCCCACCATCTTAACACTCACCAAAACCACAACAAGGTCCATATGTACTTGTGATATTATGACATTCTCCAAAGAGTAATTGGAGCTAAAAATCTCTAAGGCTTGGATATCGCCTTTCAGCTCAAGCATTTTCGTATCTTTCTTTGGGAAGCTTAACAAGATGACAAATCCTAAGTACTTCACTGCTTTTGAGCCCATATAAATAATTAGCGATGCAATGGCCAGAGTTGCAACGTTGTCTATGCCAAAACTTGTGTGAACGTTTTGGAGTATCGGCGTCAGTGCGAGGTAGATTGAAAATACCAGTGTTATAAGATGTGTGGGGCTGTGCATCATCAATGCCGTCAGTGAAGTGTGGGTCATGGATCCTTCAATCTTCGAGGATATTGACGTGATGATGATTGTTAGCAAACACAATGTTTCATATAACAAGTAACCAACTTCTGAATGATCGGGTTCAGTGTTATGTTGGTTATGACCAGACCCATGTTGCTCGTGTTCTGGATCTGCAAATATACCCATAAGTAGCTCCTCGATGAAATGGCTTCCTAAGTCACAACCCAGGAAGATTAGAGAGACTGATAGGGCAAATGCGAAGAGCACATGGATCCTACCCAATCCAAAGGGGAATTTGATGGAACTCTTCGTATAAACGTCAAAGTTGTTCATGATATCTGTAAGCACTATGATGATACATCCCAGCGAGTCGTAAAAGATCAAATGGCTCAGCGTTGAGAAGGAGTGCAACCTGTAGATGAATCCTGTCAGAAATACAATGAATGAACATGTCAAATGCCATAGAGACCAAGTCAACTTCAACTTTTGATTCTCTGAGCAGCTTGCAAAGAATTCACCCAGCGTGGGAATTGGATAGGACACGTTTATCCTCAGGGGAGCCCTCTGCTTGGGCTCTTGAAACAGGTTCATGGACACTGAAGAATGCTTATACCTATGACCTTTTCTATGTGAGGCTCTTGTGGAGTTTGAAATCGCTGGCGCAGTGAGCTGGGTAGATTTGAAGTTGAAAGGTCCATTCGGTTTCTTGATTGGTGATTTTGAGCGACTCCTTGAGGGCGAAGACGATGTTCTTACTGGCGACTTGCCTCTCACGGGAGACTTGGCCCTCATTGGAGCACCAATCTGGGGCACGTACTTCAGGCTCGTCACCGACGACCTGTTCCCTGGAACGTTTCCACCGGGGATGTACAGCGAGGACGAGGAGTCGTTATCCAAGCCATAGATCGTCGGTGATCCATACATGCTGTGCCGCTTGCTAGCAGACGGCGGCGGTACAAGACTGGCATACTGCGACGAAGCGTCTGAAGGCATGTCCTCTTCAGTTATCTTCAGCATAGGGGATTGCGATAGAGGAGTACTGTCATAATGGATGTCAAACCTGGAGCGCGGCTTCTCCGAGGGAGTCGACGGCGCCTCCTCCAGCTCATTCCGCTGGCCAGCGAAGTTCGTTTCATTCATACCGTCACAGCCAATCGTCCAATGCGTAGAGGCTCCAAATCGTATTTATGTCCCAACGGTTGAAGATGAAACTCGGCCGTGATTTTGTTGACATTTCATGAAATCTGAGCGAAAAGTACACGAGCGCGCTAACGGGGGCAGCCTGTGTTTTTTCTTTGCTTTTCGCAATGGGAAACCACTTCCGAAACGTGCTCGTTTGCACGGGTTTTGCCTGCAATTTTTTCAACCGTGGTGGTTACTTTGGGGATATATTGGTAAACTGATGATGGAATTGGCTCGTGAGTGTTGGTTTTGGTGGAATAAGGCCTTTGGTGTATGGGAGCGCTGCTGTTCTCTGGAAGGAGCTCCTCTTTGGTGGTGCAGTTTGGGAGGGTATGGATGGTTTGGTGTTCGGCTGTAAGTTGACACATCTCCGAGCCATGACACTGTGTTTACAGGGAGCTCAACAGAGGTGTAAGAAAGGTGTGTTGTGTGTTTCCTAGTTCATATTGGGAGTTTTGGAGTGCTGTATTGTTAAGAAAACTGGTTACTATTTGGAATATATTTTCTGTTTGTTGTGTGTAGAATAATATATGAGTTCATTTTACATCAGAAAATTTAAGCAGTGAAAATCTTAAAACAGCTAGAATGGTAATTGGATATGTAGTTGTTTTCAGCCTCAAATATAGGACTAGCTGTGGTATTTACAGATTGATACTAGAATCAATGACAATAGTGGAGTTTTATTGGCCAATGAGTACATAAACTCACACCAGGGTACTGGGAAACTAAATGTCACCTTTAACCTGGACACCGCCAGGGAGTACACAACCAATGTTGTGATAGATGTTTTGTTGCAATCCAATGGACTGGCCCTAAGATTGAGGCATGCTCCAAGTGTGGACTATCCAGTTCCAGTATATTCAAGACAAATAACTTCACGATTAACACTTAGAGATTACTTTGATTGCACAGGCTTGTATTAGAAACCAAGATTACAACTCCGAAAATTTAAAACTTCCAAGAAAGGCAACTTGGCCGAGTGGTTAAGGCGAAAGATTAGAAATCTTTTGGGTTTACCCGCGCAGGTTCGAATCCTGCAGTTGTCGTTATTTTTTTTTTTCAACTGCCAGTCCATAAACAACCAGTGCTTAGTCGCAAGAGGACAATTAAACGTCATCATGTCGAGGTTGATTTGTTGTAGATTCAATACAAGTTTTTCACCATTTGAGGACTGAACAGCTGTATCACAATACCCCCTTTGCCTCGCTGTTGATGATTTGTGCATATACCCACTTCTACATTAGATTAGGTCCAGATAACAGGCACCCTCTTTCTTTGTATTGATTGGTGACTCCCATGAGAACTACCACTTCAGAACTACTACTTCAAATCTTATTTGAGAATATTGCTTGGAATTACGTTTTAAATACCTCTAAGAACCATATTAGTTACTCACTTTTTGCCATTTTATCATCTCTTTTCTATGACAAAGTAGTGCAATGAGAGATATCCTGCACCGAGGAAGAACACAAACCAGCAGAGAAGAGCCATTATATCGTTGGTTACAGCACCCACGTTGAATCCAAAAGTACTTAGGATCGTAGCACCTGGAATTTCAATGGACAAACCATATTTTTTCTCGCGCAAGGTCAAAGTTCTCACCTCGTTCACTGCCAACGCCTCGTACCCGTAGTGGAACATACTCAGATATTGTAAAAATTCAAATTTGAGACTCTCTCTGTTGATGAAGAGACCAGAGAAAAGCAGGGAGAAGAGTAACGTCAAGACACCAACCATGGTTGCATTACTCGAGTCTTTCACCAATATTCCAATGATTAAGATCTCCACAGACACGGTCAGGTTAAACAAAACGAGGATGATGAGGCACTTCACAAACGCATTGTCTTGCATGTTCAAACCAATCAATGGATACGATACAGTCAACAGCATAATGGGCGGGAAAATTCGAAGTGGAATCACATCACATATGATCTTGCTCATATAATATGCCAAAGGATGATAATAGTTGTTAGATCTCTCCTTCAGAAAGATAATTCTCTCTATGGAGAAAGAGTGCAAACCTGTCAGCGTTGAGAACCCAAAGAACGATAAGAAGAAGAAGAATAACCCAAGTCTATTTTGGAAGCCACTTATGTCATTGTCAACGTTATAATATAGGAAACCACAGAACACACCCATGAAGAGGGCCAAGACGTACGAGCCCAACAGTAGCTTCGGATTTCTGTAAACATTTTTGAAAGAACGAGAAGAAAGAATAACCAGCTGCGAAACAAACGATGCCCTTTGATAGTTCCCCTTAAAGACAATCTCAGTTGCATCCGTTTTAGCAGCATCTATCTCGTTTTGCATAAGATCATACAGACTTGACTTGTAGAATATCTCATAAATCTTACGGTCTGATTTGATATTCGATACTTCATCAGATGCATCTTGCTTAAATCCATCTCTGTGGCTGGCAAAATGCTCCCATTCGCGTTGAATATCACTCGAGCTACTAGAGCTTCTAACCATTGGTACATGGATATCATCTTCTGTGTCAAGGTTCTCTTCATCAACACCGGCAATCTGTAGTTGAGAAGCTGCAGTGGTGGTAGTCTTCTTGTCTTCCATAGTTATGTCAATCAAATAATCGGCAAAGTTATAACCTTTATGGCACTTATAACCATTTTTGTAGAAGAACTCATTACATTGGATCATCTCTCCAGAGTAAATCATTTGACCGTTAGCCAATAGCAAGAGTTTATCAAATAAGGACACAATATTGGATCTTGGCTGATGGATGGTGAAGATTAAGGTTCTTTGATAATCTCTCGACAATCTAACGAGACATTCAACAACATTACTAGCGTTATTTGCATCCAAGCCAGATGTAGGTTCATCAAGGAATAGAATTGAAGGTGAAGTAACAAGTTCACAGGCGATCGAAACTCTTCTCTTTTCACCACCAGAAATACCCCTTTCAAAATCGGAACCAATTACTCTATCCTTTATGTGAAGAATTCTAAGTTCCTGTAGAACTTCGTAAACTCTTCTCTCCTTTGCTGCAAAGCTCATATTCCTTGGCAGTCTCAGAAGAGCACTATTGAGGACTGTTTCAAAGACTGTCAGTGTAGGGAGCAAGTAATCCTCTTGATCAACGAATCCCACAATCTTTTTGAAATTATGTGGGGTAACTTTGTTTCCATTGACTCTAATGTCACCGGAAACTACACCACCTTTCTTTTTATGTGCCAGTATATCTAACAGCGTTGTCTTTCCAGCACCTGATCCACCCATAATGGCCAACATCTCCCTTGGCTTAACAATACCTGACACCTTGTTCAAAATTTGACGTCCGTCAACAGAGTAAGAAACGTTTTCAAAAGTCAAAGTAGCTGGTGTGTACACAAGTAGTGTTGAATCGTCATTATCTCCGTCATCACCTAGCGAAATGTCGAATTTCTTAAATAGTGGTGATTGGGAGATAAAGTATGCACCGGCTGCAATAACAGCACCAACACCAGCGATGATTGAAACAGAACCCAGAAGCATTCCCCAAGTAATCTTAGGCTTCTTAGGAAGTTTATAACCAGGGATTTCACTATAATGTAAACATTCACCTGAATCACAGTGTAGAGTGATGTATTTGTCACCAAAGACAGATAAGATCAAATCGTTCATGCTTGGTTCTGAAAAACGGCAGTTCTTTTTGGTAAGATCACAACTGAAATCACCAGGTCCGGTGATTGTCTCCGTGAGGAAGTCAGAAATGTCAATGGAACCAGATTCACCACAGAGCATACGACCAGGTACACATTTGCACTGAATGTCTTTACAGTTGTAATGTGACGAATTGGTCTTTAGATCAAATTGGAAATCACATGTTGACAACTCACAGTAGAAGCTTTCTTTTTGAGCAATCCAGAATTGGAAGTTACACACATCATCTTCCTTATCACAGCTGAACGTTACCTGTGGTTTCTTGCCATCCAAGATCTCAACAATTTTCTTGTTTGTAACATCGCACATCTGGTGGAACTTGTTAACAATCATACCATTCTTGTAGCACGTACCCTTCATCGACGCGTCGGGCATGAACTTGTCACAAACAGAGTCTTCAAGACACAAGTTACAGTTGATGCCTCCCCAGCCGTCTTCACACGTACATTCGTCACCGTCTCTTATCGGTCTTTGTGAGTTATCATCATCCAAGGACCCACATAGAGGCTCGACGCAGTCTTGCCCACCAAACCCAGAGATACATTCACACTGACCGTTGAACTCATTACATTTGGAATACTGCTTGCATTCAAACGCAGGCAGCATACAGTTGAAGCAAGGAGGACATTTATCATCGTCCTCCAACAGACGTAGTTGGTCACCAGAGATGTTTCCATACAGGCTCTCCTGTGCAAATGATAACGTGGCGATACCAAGAACAACGGCAAGCACACCTTTAGGGAGCTTCATGATCACTTCAAAAGCAGCAAGCGCCCAGCAGAAGGCGACTATCGTGGGTTGTATGGAACGACGAGTCCTTCAATAGCAACGATAAGGGTCTCGACAGAGATTAAGGAATGAGCAAAAACAAGGCAAAGAGGCAAAAAACCAGTACAAACTAAGCCAAACCACACAATAACGAGCCAGTGTAGCACCCAATTACACCTTGATATCGACTTCTTATGCAATTGAACGGATCCGCCCTGTTCAAAACCTCGTGCCGCCGTGTTCGTATCCTGTTAGGCTCACCTGGTAAACATGTGGGAAAAAGGGAGAGGACGGCGGCGGCGGTCTCAGTAACTCTCGCGGCGGGGCGGCGGCGGGATGTTGCGCAGCCTTGGGCGGTGGCTCCTGCTACACTCTGCGTGGACTTACTACACTGACTGTTCAGTACACATTAGCACAGAGTGATGTCTTAGTTTATACGGGCAATTCTAGATATTCAATGATGAAGGCCGCCATGAGGTAGTTCCACCTCTTGATAGAATTGATATCAACGTGGAGGAAGTCGTCATTGATTGTATGCCATGTTTCGGGGAACCTACTTGGAATCAGGTGTAGAACTGGCACTCTTGATCTTAGGAAGGGGATATGGTCGTCTTCAATTATTCCAAAGTACTCCCTTTCGTAGTCCGATGGGTTTGCAAAGAAGTTCTGGCTCTTCATTATCTCGGGGAAATCGTTCAGAAGCCTTCTTTCCAGAATGGCCATATCGTTGTAATTCTCGTGAGTTTGAGGGAAGTAGCTTGGAACGTAGTTGAGCTCACCGCCTAAAAGATCAAGCAGGACGAAAAGGTCAATGGTAGCCAATTCTGCTGATTTCATCCACTTAGAGTGTAGGTGACGAGCACCATAGATCGAATCAGTGGCGGACCACTTCTCAAAGGCCTCTTCTCCATCGAAGAATATGAACGCTAGTCCCATATCCATCTCATCAAGGTGTGATCGTAGTAGCCCGTTGAGGGCTCTAGAGATATCGAGCATGATCCCACACGAAACCGCAGAGTCAATGGCACCTATGAACCCCTCAGGTTTTATTAGGGTGTCATAATGGGCAGCAACGACCAACTTGTCTCTCGCATCCGCACAAGCAGTCTGTACAACAATGTTGGAGAAGTTGTAACCCTTTTCGACAAAGTTGTCCTCCTCGATCAGCCACACTTCCCCTTCCTTGTTCAACTCATCAAAATGATCCTTGATATATTCCCGGACCTCTAAAGAGCCCTTCGAACCTGGAACCCGGGTCTTGTTCAAATGGACAAAATGGTTGTTGGAATCGTCAGGGTCCAACGACAGACCGCACCCTAAGTTCAAACTCGACAGCCGAGCTAAAGATTGTGCAGAGAGAGGCTCATAGCACTTCACAACACAGCAGACGAATAGCAAATACAGCAAAATCATCTAGCGCCACACCAATAATGGCCATCAGGAGAACACCAACCCTTAATAAGGTGGTGAGGATTTAATGTAGTTGCAAACCAGCCGAAGGCTAGTGCATATCAGACAAGAGAAAGAACCTCGTCCGACAGGGACACCCAGGCAGAAATTTCTGCCATTGTATTTAACGTGACAATTGACTTACGTGCTCCAACCAAAACTTAGCATCACGGGTAATTTACTGAGCGCGTTAGCTTTTGTGGTTGGAGGGATGGGGTTCCGAAATCAAAACAAACAAACAACAGAACTTGTTCCATCGTCAGCACGAGGGCGGAATCAGTGAAAGGTCATTACAAATGACAGATAGTGGTGGTAATCCCAAGAACTTTAGGAATGAGCTATCGAGCCTGTCGAATATGGAGGCTCAACAGTGGGAGTCTCCAGCTACGTCAGAGGTTCCCCATGGGGAGCAGCTAGGGCATCAGCTAGAACAACAGCTGAGGCAAAAGAAAGAACAGCAGGAGGAGCAGCAGACAGAACAGCTCCATGGCCATCGCAGTATTCAACAGGCATTCCAAGATACACAGCTGTCCATGGGCGATACCAACATCACCTCGCTGAGTAGCTCCATCACTGCATCTGCCAATAATAGCAGCACTGCGGTAAACCAGCTAATTGAAACCACTGCCTCTTCAATCCACTCTGCAAGGCCATCAGAGGCGGCGTCACTGTACACAACGACCACGACGAATACAGCTGAACTCAAGGACTCCAAAAGACTCAATACAGTGAAAGCCACCTCTGAGGGACTGAGACTGAGTACTTTCGAACCAGCAACGACCCTATCACAAGTGACTAGCACAGTTGGCGTGAAAAACTCATCTCGTCCAGCATCGGTCTTCAACTCATCTGTTCCAAATCGCTCCAGCGTTCACGAGAAGAGTATTCCGATTGCTATAAACCGCCATCCTCAGCATTCACAGCATAGATTCGATGATGATAACATATCGCAGATGAGTACATCATCTTTGGCAACTTCATTATCGAAGAGTTTCCTCTTTGGTTTCTTGAACAACAAGAAGAAGGTTAACAAAACTGGTGGCCTCATCTCTAAAGAGTACTGGATGAAGGATGAAACTTCAAATGAGTGCTTTATCTGCAGTAGGCCCTTCACCACGTTCAGGAGAAAGCACCATTGTCGGATATGCGGGCAGATCTTTTGTAGCGCATGTACAACGTTGATATCCGGTGAGAAATTCAACCACAGTGGGAGAATGAGAGTGTGCAAGACTTGTCTGAGTTTCGCAAATGAATATAACGATTCAAGTGACGAATCTTCATTCATAGAGGAGAACAGCTTTGCAGACAAAACTCAGACTTTAGACCAAGACCAGGACAGCTTACGAGCTAGTACTCCGGATGACAATTCTACTCCTATCTTGACTGCACCGACACCGCCTCCACGTATGGCAATACCTGCCACCAGGAATGGGGAATCAGTTGAAATACCTGTCTCACGTTCATTAAACTCAAGAATGTCATCGTTGCACACAACGAATTTTGGAAGAAGGAAGAATTTCAGTCGACAAGATGAGAGTAATCACCTCTCATCTTTTGCTGTGAATACCTCAAGAAACCCAATAGAGACATCTTTTGCAGAGTACGTCAAAACACATGGGGTTGCAGGTGCATTTAATTTCAACAATGACTCTAGCGAAAGATATGAAAACTCAGTGGTGGACTCAAATACCCCATCTCATTTATATTCAGATTCTGAGGATGAAAACTCAATGTCTATATACGCAGCTTTGAATTTGAATCGTTCAGAGACCGAGCCTTTGTCTTCAGAGAATAAACAGAGGTTGACGAGGAGCAATACCAGATCTATGGAAAGAGCCCAGGCTTCGCTGTATAGAATGAAGAATCGCAGAAAGAGCAAGTGCAACCCCAGACCCCAACTTCAACGCTCTCCTATGTGTGGATCGGAGATCAACAGTTCTGCTTTGGCTCTCTCATCTCCTATTTTAAGCTCACCAACGTTGAACGTTGTTACACAGGAGCCGTTGTCACCCAATGAGTTCAAATCGGAGCTCAATGCTGTTTGTGAGATGCACTTTAAAAATATAATGAACCAGGTTTTAAACGATGAAGAAGTTCCTGAAGTATCTAAATGGGAAGATGTTCTGACGCCTATTCTCCATAATATTGAAGATATAGAATATGACGTGAAGACTGGTGATAACATGGATATTAGACAGCACATAAAGTTGAAGAGATTGAATGGTGGAAAAGCATCAGATACGCATGTTGTTAATGGTGTGATATTCTCCAAGACATTGGCTTTGAAAACCATGCCGAGACATATATCCAACCCAAGAATTGCTTTAATAATGTTTCCATTGGAGTATATGAAAACTGGTCAGCATTTCATGAGTCTGGAACCGATTATCCACCAGGAGCGAGAGTACATTCATAAACTAGTGGGCCGTATATTGGCATTGAATCCAGATGTTGTTTTTGTGGGTGCTACAGTTTCTGGTTTGGCCCTCAAGCTTTTAGAAGAGTCAAATGTTGCAGTCGCTTACAACATGAAACCGCAAGTTATCGAAAGGATCGCAAGAATGACACGGGCAGATATTGTGACAACAATGGATAAACTTGCTCTCAATCTCAGGCTAGGAACGTGCAGTTCTTTGGATGTGAAAACGTATGCCTACAGAACCATGACCAAAACTATGATTTTTTTGACGGGCTGTGACCATCAGCTTGGTGCAACTATCTTGTTGAGAGGTGGTGATGAAGACTTATTGAGAAAAGTTAAAGAATCCACAGAATTTATGGTTTACGCTTTGTGTAACCTGAAACTCGAAAGCGCATTCTATCGGGATAGTTTCATATATCTATCACAGGACTTTTACACGAAGATGATTGAGAATAAAACAAAACAAGATATTGATGGATATGGAGGGGCATTTCTCAAATTATTAGGAGAGCGAATCTTATCAGTATCTCCAACAGTTAAGTTTGACCCACCATTTCTTCTTACAAGAGCGCGTGAAATTGAGGCTAAAATAGTTGCAATGAGTTCCTTGAAAGAGAGAGTCGATCACAAGTGTTTTACCATTAAGGATGGACTGGAAGATCTGAAACCATTTATAGAATCACTTGATAGACCACCCGAGGAGATCCAAAGAATCACTAGCTACCTGGTTGATAAAAAGATCGAATTGCTTAACGAGAGGTTTTCAACCCGATCTAGACAATGGGAATTGTTCACATCTTTTTGTCCAAACATGCTAAATCCACAACGCCATCAGAATATCGGGTTCTTGTATTCTATGGTTTGCATGAAGAACTCAACACCTTGCGTCGGACCTGTGACCTTACAAATAGACTACTACTGGGATAATGATATGACTCTGGCCCAGTATGTCGAGCATTTAACATCTTGTGCAAACACTCTTTGTACTGAGGGATGTGGTGTTAGCCAGAAGGACCATTACAGAACCTATGTTCATGGTGACGGAAAGCTCGATGTAATTATTGAGCCATTTTCTACACGTATACCTACTGTTCCTAATGTTATTTTGACCTGGAGTTATTGCAAAGTTTGTGGTCACACATCGCCATTCCTTCCAATGAGTGAAACTACCTCGAAGTTCTCGTTTGGAAAGTTCTTGGAGTTGATATTTTGGAGTGAGCGTAATTCATCCACGAATTTGGGTAATTGCTCACACGATTTTGCAAAAGACCATATCAAGTACTTTACTTTGAACGATCTTACAGTCAGAATAGAATACTCAAAGGTTGACTTACTTGAATTGATTGTTCCGCGACCAAAACTATTATGGAGACCACAGACAAATGTGCAGTTCAAAATCGACAACTATTCTCAAGTTAAAGAGAAAACACAATTGTTCTTCTCTAGTGTGTCAGCGAGATTAACAAGAGTGAAGGTGGATTCTATCTCTAATGACAAGATGGAAGCTGGGCAGAAGAGAATTGAACAATTGAAACAACAAGTCTCTGAACAACAAAAAGAAGTTGAATCAAAAATTGAAAAGATTTACAACACCTCAGATCCCGGTGATTACCTACAACTGAATTCTGTTTTGAGATTTGTACAAGATTTAAGTGTGGAGTGGGATGAAGAATTTGCACGCTTTGAAGCCGACTACCTGCCTTCCGAGAAAGATATTGCTAGAATCACTGCACAACAGTTGAAACGGTTTTTCCTTGATAATGAGAAAACAGATGAATCTGATGCTGATGATAAGAGTGTTATATCACAGTCTTCGGAGCTCAAAGAGAAGAATGCAGAACCAAAGGATATTACTACTGTGAAGACTCCAACTTCTACAGTGGAACACCGTGTAAGTCCAAAAGGAAGAGTTTTAGAGGAGGTTAACAAGTTTGAGAGATTAGCTAGTGAAAACGAAGTGGACACATTATCAGATAGAAAGACGATCAGTGGGAGTGCCACTCCAACTCGTCCTTCAAAGTTGAGACAAATCAGTGGAGAAATCCCTAAATTACCCAGAGCTAAGAGCTTTGGAATTCAAGAGGGTATTAGTGGGTTTGACGTTCCACGTCCAACCTTTAGACCAAGGTTTGGAATTAGCACTAAGGATTTGGAACTTCAATTACAAGAGGGAAGACAGAGAAGCTTGAGCTCAAATTCGAGTCCGACACTTTCCAAGTTTGACACTAGTAAAGAAGATAGCAAGGTGATGAAACTGACGAATTATTTTGATCAAATTCATTTTGAAACATTATCCAAGGAGTTTGAGATGCGTCGTGAAAAGGAGAGGTTGAAATTGATCCAAAATAGATATAAAGCCGCCCCGGTTTCTTCTTCAAAACCTATTGTTGAAATCTACAAGAATGTTGATGATGCTGTTAATGAAGAGGACGCCGATGATTTGAAAATTTCAAGCAACAAACCTGTGGATGGCGACGAGAACGAATCCGGCACCAGATTGGACAATGGTGTAAAAGATGAGTCCTTGAAGAGTGCCATTGGACCGACTGAGAAAGTTTCACTTATGAAAACACTTGCAAGTTTCTGGGCGGATAGATCTGCCACTTTGTGGAAACCGTTAGAGTACCCACTGTCGTCATCTGAACACATCTTTGCTGATTCTGATGTTATCGTTCGTGAGGATGAACCAACGTCGTTGATTGCATTTTGTCTGAGTTCTTCAGACTATGTTCAGCGGTATGAGTCGTTCGATGATGATTTAGAGTCTACAATGTTGAAGAAGACCTCCGTCCATTTGAAGTATCAATTCCAAGATGGCGATACACAGTTATCTTGTAAGTTGTTCTTTGCAGAACAATTCGAAGCCTTTCGTCGAAAGTGTGGGTTACAGGATAATTTTGTTAGAAGTTTAGCTAGATGCATCAAATGGAATTCCACTGGTGGTAAGAGCGGGAGTGCATTTTTGAAGACTTTGGATGATAGATTTGTCATCAAGGGACTTTCCACATCTGAGTTAGACTCATTTGTGAAGTTTGCTCAAAGTTATTTTGAGTATATGGCACAAGCACTTTTCCATGACTTACCAACGGTTATAGCCAAGATCTTTGGATTTTATCAGATCCATATGAAGAATCCCTATACCGGCAAAACCATAAAGATTGATGTATTAATCATGGAGAACTTGTTTTATCAATCTCCAAAAAATTTACGTATTTTTGATTTGAAAGGCTCCATGAGAAACCGTCATGTGGAGCAGACCGGTAAGGAGAACGAGGTGTTATTAGATGAAAACATGGTTGAGTATATCTACGAGAGTCCACTGTTTGTCAGGCAATACGACAAGAAACTGCTGAGGTCCTCCTTGTGGAACGATACCATTTTCCTTTCGAAGGTTAACGTTATGGATTATTCGCTGGTCATTGGTATTGATGACGAGAACCAGACTCTCACTGTTGGCATAATCGATTGTATTAGAACTTTTACGTGGGATAAGAAGCTTGAGAGCTGGGTGAAAGAGAAGGGGCTTGTTGGCGGAGGAACAAAAGAACCAACGGTTGTTACTCCTAGACAGTATAAGAACAGATTCCGTGAGGCTATGGATCGTTACATATTGATGGTTCCAGACTGTTGGTATCAGGATACCGGCCGGTGATACAAATATATGGGGTCCTTATACGATTTTGCACATTGTAGAGTTTGTATTACCAATGCGGACGCGGCACTGTGTGCATGTATCACGGTCATCCTATCTTCCAGTAATGTTACACGATTAATTCGTCTTAGCCGTAGCCAGAGTCCACGCAGTTGGTATATGAAGATAAGACCGACGTTGTTATGTAGCGTGTAGATGTTGCACGAAGAATGCGTAGAGTTACGGACAAGGCCACATCCGAACACCAAGACGCAACGCTGGACAAAAACCGCTGGCACAATTTTCGTGACAATGTCTGATTTTTGTGTGACGCGTGTAAATTTGAGAGATGTTTGTACCAAATGGACAAACCACACAAGGGACACACCGCTAGAGAGAAAACAAAACGTTTTAAACGAGAAAGGCAAGCGCGCGCCTCTCCCGCCGCATCTGCACAACCGCTTGTTGGTACTTTCTAAGCTTGAGAGGACATTCGAATTTCAAGTTGGATTTACGATTGATTTACACTAAAAAATTGGCCAGCCTATCTAGTGGAAGATGGCGATTGGAATAATAATCCTCATTCAAAGCACAATACGTTCTGCCCCTGACCTTTCTCGTTTCGCCTTTGCCCCGTGTAATTGTCGCTGTTGAAATGATTGGTTAAAAATAGAACATACAGCACGAAGAAAAGTTCTTTTTCCGTTACACGGCGCGTTATCTTCGTTGCCAGGGCCAAAACAACGAAAAGCTAAAATTTACGCGCGCTTGTGTCCAAAATGAAACCCAAAAACTTTAAAACAGTCTAAGGGTGAGACAAAACACACAAAAGCGAAAAAAAGATAAACAAGACAAACAGGACAACAACAATCAGCTTTGGTTCAACATCAGCTTCAACGACTTGAGAAACAAGGCAAATAATAACAGTCCTTGGAGAAAGTGAATAATCCATCCATCTCTCTCCACACAGCAGAAGCCACTAACGAGGCTTCACACGGTTTCTATTTTACTTCGCCTGTTCTTTTTCAATTTTTGGTTTCCTGTTGCTTTTCCATCAACTCCTTTTCCCTGTCGTGAGCAAGGAGTATAAACGTAGATCTCCCCGCTAAGTCGGATCACAGCTGCTAGAAGGAACAAAGAAGAAGAGCATAGAGAGAACAATGGCTTTCAAGTCTGGCTGTTCAACCTTTGTGGTTGTGCTGTCGGCGATTTCACTGGCCTTCCTTATCATTGCAACTATTACCGCTCCGGCGACTAGCCTTTCGTTGGCCGAGGCTGAAGGGCTACGCTATGGTGTATTTGGCTATTGCTACACCGCCAACGATACGTGTGTCACTGGAGATCCTTCCTACTCGGTGAGTGATCTGACACAGTTGACTGACTGGACGATGGATGACAACGCTAGGGATACGCTTGTCAAGATCTTGATAGTCACCCCCGTTGCTGCTGGATTGACACTGATATCGTTGATCTTCAACGCCCTGGGCCACTTTAGAGTGTTTGGAAGCTCAACCGTGTTCTATGCCATTGCCTTTGTCTTTGCGCTACTGGCCTTTTTCGCCGCTGCGATCACGGTGATTGTTACACTATTGTTGTTCTACCCTCATGTGATGTGGCCTTCGTGGATCCTCATCGGCTCTGGTGTCTTGAACCTCGTGTCAGTGCCATTGGTGTTCTTTGCAATGAGAGCTGGTCCTCATTCCACTGATGACGACGACGAACATGACGTTGACTTGGACGACTATGACGGTAACATTACAGATTTGACCGATGGCGATAACTTCAAGAACAATTCATCGTTCAAGATGAACGATTTCTCAAGTATTTCAAAGAATGATAATTACTCAACAGAGAAATTTTCAGGTCCTTCTGCGATTAAGGTGGTTACAGACGACTCTTCATTCAGTGGTAGTAACCAGGAGAAAGTCTCTATGCATGATTACTCCAAGCCTATTGACATGGAATCTCAAAATTACAGATCTTATAGTTATGGAACTGCAACGGGGACTGCAACAGCAGCAGCAGCAGCAGCAGCAGGCACCATAGGAAATACAACGACATCGACGGCAGCTCAACCACAATCTCATCGTGCAAATGCCGGGTTTCCTCCAGCTCCTGAGAACAACAACGCATTGGAAGAAGGTGCACCAAACTTGGTTTCTTCTACAAATTACAACAGAGGAGGTGCTGTTCGTACCGAGGCCCCAAAATTCCAATCCCAATCCGCTAGACCTGAATACAGTATCACAACTGCAAACTCGTCTGCTGAAATCTATCCATCTGCTCAGTACGGCGTGAGTGAGCTCAATGCTTCCCAACAGCAGGTCTCTAACGAATCATCCGCACCTTATCCTCTTTCTAGGCTTGACCAGACCGATTCTAGTAACTTGAATTCACTCAGGGAAGACGATTATAACGAAATCAACGATGATGGATCGGATTTCACCTCTGTTTCACAGCGTGCTGCCAATCCAAGATACTACAGAGGAATGCAGTCCAATGGGCCATCACTCTTCCAGAACCAACAGCAGCTTCAAGATGGTGCACAGATTGCTGGTGACTACCAACAAAACTATCAACCATATTCTAAGGGACAAGCTCAGCACGGACCTTCTCAGTATGGACCTTCTCAGTATGGACCTTCTCAGCACGGACCTTCTCAGTATGGACCTTCTCAGCACGTGCCTTCTCAATATGGACCTTCTCAGTACGTGCCTTCTCAATATGGGCCAGCTCAATCTGGACCATCTACCCAATATGTACCGCAACAACAGTTCTCAGGTGTACCGCAACAGCAGCAACCACAACAACCACAACAACCACCTCAAGTTGATGCTTCAGATTACTTGTTATCTCATAATCCAGATTTCCAAGTTGGGGGATCTGCCTACCCAAAGCAGTCTGCAAAGAAATCTATGGGAATTCCATCATCCTCTGGTGGTTATCGCCCAGCCTATAAGAGACTCCAAAATTCTTCAAAGGGTCTACCTGCGGCATCATTGTCCAATGATAGTCCTTACAACATTCGTTAATTTATTGAGCCATTATCTAGAGGGTTATTTACTTTGGAGTTTCATCAGAGGGAGAGACGGTGTATGTTTTGAGGTTTGAGTGTTGTTCTGTGTTTGTTCTGTTTTCGATTTGATCTTGAAGTTATATCTTTTATTGGAGAACTCCTTTTGGCAGGTCTGAGTTATATTAGGAAGTGTCTCGTTTTACTCCATTTTATTTGTCTTTGATCTTGATCTTTGTTATTCAAGTTCGTTGTGTACTGCTTAAGCAGCTGTGTTATCGTTATTACATGTTGTACAAGTCATATGAATACACAATTTACTGTTCCACATCTAACGTTAGCTCTTGTACTTTATGTAAATGTTAATTCGTAAACACGTTATATACTATAACAATTATAGACATGGCATTCTTATGGTATGCGAATGTGAACTACAGGAACAGTTGGGCATTTGACATAGTTGGATCATCAACCTGTATATCAACGCTATCAGAAGCATCGTTATCAGTAGGTGGTTGTGGTTGTGAATTGTCATTGCTGTTATCATTGTTGCTATTACCACTACCACCAGTTCCTGGGACGTGACGATAAGGCTTTGTAACGACTATCACAAATAGTAACAGAACAACGAGTGACAGAAGTAGTATGATTTTACACTTCTGCGTCCTCTTTTGATAGTGCGTTGCTCTTGTCAGCTCCTGATTTGCTTGTTTCAACTCAACTCTGGTATTTTCAATGTTGTAGTCGATTCTATCGAGCACAGTTCCTTGCTCAATAACCATATTTTGCATGTCCTTGAAGATACTCGACACTTCGAGCACACCTTGTGCCAGTTTGGTAATCTCTTGTTCTCTCTGTCTGATGATAGAGTTGTTGATATTGGTACTCTGCTGCAATATTGTCGAGGACTCCTTTATAGCCTCTCTAGAATAAGACTCCATCTGCTCAGTATCTTCTTCATCCACTGCTGGGTTATAGCTGTGATCAGTTGTTGAAGAAAGCTTCAACTTAGGAGTGTCTTCAAACTCATCCTTCTTAAGGAACTTGATATAGTTATTCTGCAATTTCCTAAAGTTTGAGGACAGCTGTTGAATAGTCAAGGCATAGTTCTTTTGCATGTTATCGATCAGATTGACATCATCAATCTTTAACCGTTCATCGCGTTTCAACGTTTCAAACTTCTTGACGGAGTTCTGGCATCTGAGGAACTTTGACGTAATCTCATAGTTCAACTTTTGGATCTCTTCCTCATCTGTGGTTCTATCATTGAACCCGGGAAGCAAATTCTTCTTATATAATCCGTTTAACTTTTCCGTCTGCTTTGTGATTTGAGCAACCAATTCATCAATCTCTTCGCCAATTTCCAGGAACGAAGGAGGCAAAGAGGTCATTTCAATGTTCTTCGTTGATGTCCCGATCAATCCTTCCTCTTCCTCACCAAGGGAGTCAAATCTCGATACCCTCGAATGATGAGGGTACGTTCTTCTATAAGACAAAAACAAATTGGTCCGATCCCTAAACATCGTAGTGGTTCACTTTCTCGTATGATCTCTTCACACACTTCTATTGCACTGCTGTGTAAATGTATTGAATGGGGTAAAAACAGGCTATGGAAGTTTCGCCCGATAAAAAGAAGGAAGACCGTGAAGTAGTGGCCATAACGAATATTGCCGTGGTTGCTACGGTTTCTGTGGTCTCTGTGGTTTCTGTGGTTTCCAGGACCGTGCAGGCAAATGGGAACGCGTGTATCCGGAGAAACACGTCATCGCCAAATCGGGGGTACAAGACGATGAATACAAAGCATTACATATAGATATAGACGTGTATAGCAATGGATGAATAGATCGATAGTCGTCAGAGGATCCTGTCACTTCTTCCTATTCCCAACAAGCGAGCCGAACATGTTGACAAAGGAAGAAGACCTGTTCGAACTCTGTAATGTAGGTCTGTCTGCATCGTTCACACTGGCCTGCGATAATGGTGTTATTCCATTGATGGTCCCACCGGTGAGCTTTCTGACAAGAGAAGGTGTCCTTGCATGGTGTGGTGGCGTCGATGACACATCGCTAACGAATGATTGCGTTCTGGAATGTGAAGATGAGGCCGGTAAGGAGCTGCTTATCGACGATTTGGCCATTGAGCTGTTGTTAGTAGTGTTCAAGTCATGATCAGAATTACCTCTCAAGTTGTTGATCAATGCAGTGCTCTGGTTTCTCGAGTTTGCCAGAGACGAAGGCTTCAAGTGGATCGACTTCGGCCTTGACATTTCAAACTCTTCGTAGCCGGGAAGATCATAGGCAGGCGATATTCCATCGGGGGTTGGTGATTTCATAGCTGCCTTATACGAAGGCACCCTTGACAATGAGTCCGCATCCCAGTCAGATGACGATAGTGGTGCGCTGGTAGACAAGCCAGTGCCCGAGTTGACCCTGGAGATGAAGTGTGGTCCAGGCGATACAGCACCTGGTGAAACGACACCGTCATGAGGCCTGACAGAAAAGTAGTCAACCTCTGTGGTTTCATTCACAGGGGTCTCATTGTACAAGAATGGTGGAGCACGTGCACTCCGTGAACTGTTACCTCCACCACCAACTTCGAATGACAACCCTTCGTCGTCATCGTCCTGAGTAGCATTCGCCACAGATGGTGCAGAAGATGGACTGGCCATCGCCAACGATGTCAATGACTGTGGAGCGCCCTGTTCGTATAGTCTTTGTTGCATGTGTAATCTTCTGAGATTCTCCGTTAATGTGCCCATGTTTAGACCCTCGCCCTGGGTCGCTGTTGGCGTGCCTGGCGCTGGCGTATGGGAGTTTGAACCATCTGGTGTATCATCGATTGGTATTTCACTCCACAGTCTATCATAGATATGGTTCTCGTACATTGGTGGTGCCTGTATCTCCGTCCCGTGTAGATCCACCGCAGATCTATTTGGAGATCTTTGCAGGGTGTCCAGCTCTGGATCAGGCGCAAAGATAACATCGTCATCATCGTTGTTTACATTAGCATCTTCAGAGATCTCTGCAAACGCACTCATGGAGTTGTCCGCCACTGAATCAGAACGATCATAGTTCTTAACACCTAGCGCCACAAATGGTGATATAAACAATGAGATAGGCAACGAAGCTCTGAGTTCAGAAACGTGGCCATCAGGATTCACCAGCCCGATGACGTATTTCAGCTTGTGACGAACCTTGATGTTCGTCAAGATGTCAACATCCTGCGTACACTTCGATAGACTTGGCGGTATAGGCAAGTGTGCAGTGACCTCCCATTTATCCTCTGAGATTTCACAGCATGTTGAAGGAACCGTGATCTTTGAAATGACACGTTCACCAATGTGAGGTGGGCCATAGCTTCCAGAACATGAGAAGTATTCAACCAGCGACACCTTTACGGTTCCCAGTTTCAATCCCTTTGCCAAAGGAACCAATAACATATGAGTTGGCACCAAGGAACCAATAGCCACGGCCTTTGAAGGAGTCGATATCGTGTACTCCACTTTCTTTGGCCATGTATTGTCCACAGCCATAGTCTCTGAAAGCTCCTGGGTATCAGGCGTTAAAGTTCTCACGATTCTGATGTGTCTCTTAGCTATTAGGTCGTTGCTGAAGCGACTTCTCTCGATGTTTGCCTGGAGCTTATACACAAGAGAAGCACCTGGTAAGCCCTCCACGGATTCCAGTATAGAACCGGGCAAGATCGCACTGAAGGGGAACTCATAGTTCCCTTGTAAGAGTGTATGCGATTGTGAGGTGAGACTCGTCGAGGAGCCGAAGGAGGTCAAGTTTGCCAGCGATGACGACGATTTCGACCGTTTGGCAAAGTTCTTCAGAGAGGACGACGAAGAATTAGCAGAGCTGTTCTTCGACTTCATCGCAGTGTTTGAGCCGTAGTTATCGTACAGATTGGAGAAGTAGTTCTGGATCTCGAAGTTGTCCCAATTGTGCTCAAAGATGCGTTTCTCATAGCGATACGGTTTGCGTATCTCCACTCCCCTGGGTGTCTCATAGGTGTTTGTCCACTTCAGCCTCAGCGTAGAGTACAGCGTCAGCGACAGCTTCTTTATATTCATGGGCTCCAGCACGGAGAGGACTATCGTCCCGCTGAGCAAGATGGATGGTGCCTCCAGACTGGAGCCTTTAATCACAAACACATCATGCTCAGCACCCTTTAGACGGATGTCAAACAGTGCAGTCTCCTTCTTGGAACGTCCCATTGTGTCTTCAAAGGGGGAAACAAGAGAGAACTAACGGTGGAGATCGGATGAACAAGAGCTAAAGTGTATCCCAAAAGACGGCAAGAACGTGTTTGATTGTGATTGAAACAACAGCCAAAGCCATAAACTTGTGAATGAAGGATGAATGAACAGGAATTTTATGTCTCAGAAAATAATCCCCTTCAAAGTTCCCTTTCACATTGCTTTTTTTATACTTTGGTCCCCCCTGTGAAGTTGTTCCGAAAGACACAGAGAGATTCCGGTGAAACTACGGAAAAACTTTTTTCTTTCTTTCTCTTCTTTTCGAACTTTGATTTTTCCTTTATTTATTCCTTTACAGCGGATAAACTAATCCTGCTATTCAGCAAGGAGGTATTGGTTCAACAGGATGCAGTCTCCTCCTCGTTCTGGGTTCAAGCCGTAGCTGTAGAAGTAACCTTCGGAGCTGACAACCAGTACGTGTAACAAGGTATTGGAATTGTCATCTGGGTTACTGATAAGGCTATCGTTGTTGATGTCAGTGGTTCCACCGTTTGATTGGGATATCTCGCCTTCAACAACCACTGGGAGTCCACTGCTCGACACCGTTATCTCTCTGCCAACGTACACAACGTTTTTGACACCGTTGGCGGCGGGTACCTTTAAGGAGGCGAAATGACGGTGTGGTTCCAACATCGACGTCAACCTTGGTGGGAGGAAAGTTCCAATTTTTTCTGCTGCTCTCCTTCCAATGTTTTGTGAGGACTTGCGTATCATACGACCAACGGTTCTTCTGGAGATATCGATGACGGGCTCAACTTTGCTGTTGATGTCGTCATTCGTACCAGTGTCTCGACTATCAACAGAGTCATACGAGCCTGTTGAAATACGTCTCTGGTCTGCTAAGAGACTGCCGTTGCCAGTACTGTTCTCCGAACCCGATGATTCCGTTCTTGAGTAATCTGGTTTAGGAACAGATAGCGGGTCATCACTTAGTGGCATGTCCATACAGGTTCCATCCCCAAGCTTGAATATGTGTACCGTTTCAGTGGCCGAACTTGCAGTCAAGTACTTATTATCCCTACTAAAGGATAAGGAGTATATCTTTGTTGGGTAAGTTCCTCTTCGGAACTGGTATAACTTCACCCCAGTTTCTACAGAGAAAACACGTACAATGGTCCCCTTGTCACTGGCAGTTGCCAACAGCGTTCCATCATAGCTTATCGCTAGTGCTGCCAAAGTTGTCTTGTGAGCTTCAACCACAACAAGCGGTTGCAATGTCTGTGCGTTGAACACAATCACGTCACCGTTTCTATTGGACGATTCTTTCTGTGCATCGTTGGAAGCGCCATTACTCGTCACCATTGGATTCAAGAGATTTGTCTTTGGAGGCGAAGGATAGACCAAGTAATTCGTATCGGTTGTGGGACTGAGCGCACATAGCCCGTGTGGATTAGGCGACGTTTCAATAGTGTGCAAGAGCCTCATATTATGGATATCGTAGATGTAGATCTGCTCCTCTAACAGCACAACCAACCTCGACTTGTTCATCTTCACAGCCAATATCGTCGTGGGGAATGTCAATTCACAGATTGTCGAATGTCTCTTTGTATTGATGATCTTCAACCGCCTTGGCGACATCGAAGGCTGATCCCCAATCCCAGCAATCGCAATCAACGACGTGGAGAACAGCATCTCCACTATACCGATACCGCCATCAGACCGTGTATAGCACTTCCCAAAGGGCTCGCAGTTGAAGATCTTGTACCCTCGATTCGTCCCAATCGAGATACAGCTGCCATCTTGGTTGAAGTTGATGAAGTTTATCGATTCGTTCGGCGTGGTATTCGTCGCCATCGTCACTGGTCTTTGTCTCTTTCAATCCGCTTCCTTCCTTCTTGCTCCAGTCCTTTACCGCCCTGGCTGCGATGTTCAAGTAGCTGTGTATGAAGAGCCGTTTATCAACAGGAGAAACCACACAGATCACACACAAAACAGCGTAGAAACTCGATACAGCGCACGCAAACAACACAATTCGCCCTTCACTGGAAAAACCGCGTCTTTATTCAACACAATTCACACAGAATCAGACAGAGCAAACAACAGCTGAACCGGTAGAACGAGCTCTCCTTAGCGTAAGCTGTCATATAAACGTCTGGAAAGCTAAGCTCGGATCCTTTTTTCGTTCGCACTTTTTTTCGCTGTTTCTCAAATTGCGCCTTTTTCTCGCCTTTCTTTCCGGATTTGGTCAGATTTGCGCAACATTAGATCTAAAAACAGAACGGTGGAAGGAAAGTTACGTAGTGCGATTTGGTGGGGGCTTCCTAATTGGGACATATATATAGGGCCAAAAACGAAAATCAGGCCAAAACGTGTGCTATGGCTGATTCCATCAACGCCTAATCGTTGCTTACCCGCTCGTTGTCGACAGTTCGGTGGATTCGCACCAGCCGTTGACAGGCAAGCAGCTGAGATATCTACACCACGAACAGTCACCCCCGCCGTTGCGGTAGCTGATCCCGAGCCCAATGAACCACGCGGCCAAAAGAGCCAGACAAACCACCCTGAGACACGTCCAACACCAAAACAGCCTTGTCTTGCAGTTGCTGTAGCTCTTCAGCAGTGCGAATGTCCTCGTGGGGTCCCTCTTGATGAACCGTGGGTTCTCCAGAATGGTGATTCCTAGTAGCAGCCCGCTGATGAACCCTCCTATATGCGCAAAGTTGTCGAGCCCAGGTAGTAGACCCAACACGAGACAGGCAACGATTTCGAAAACCAATACACCAACGACAAGCCTGTAGTGGGCTACTTTGGCCCTGTCGATGTGTAGAGTGAACAGTAGTAGATTGACTGCAATTGCTCCAAACAGGGCACCGCTGGCGCCACAGCTCGAAACACCGTTACCTGCAAAATTGACCCCGAACAAGTTGCCTGATATACCACTCAGGAGATATATAGCCATGTACCTGATTGTCCCAATGAGACGTTCCACCTCCCTTCCAATGGTGAGCTGCAGTAGCAGGTTCAAGATGATGTGGATGAACCCTGCGTGGAGGAAACACGCACTTAACAGCCTCCAGCTCTGTGCGGGTCCCACGAGATCGTTGGTGTCTGTAGGCAACCCACATAATTCCATCAACGAACACACCTGTGTATCTGTTGTTGTTGAGTTGGGACAAGGCCATAGCACTTCCCAGCTCAGGTACTCTTCTGGTAGCATACACGGTTCGAACCTGGACCCAATGCTGATCTGGGAATACGTCGAAGGACCCAGCATCGGGTTAAAGTAGGGCTCTGTTTGGAATGCAGAGCCTGTCAGTTGGGACATCCGTACTAGCTGGTAGATGAATACCACACAGTCAGCTACACTCACAAGGTATGTAAACGGTGTATACTTGTGAATGAGTTGTGCCCAAGTCATGTGACGCTGGTGATCACTACGGTTTGAAGTCTGCGTTCCAGTCAGTGAGGGGCCAGCAAGCAGTGCCTTATCCTGTCTCGAATAACCCTTATTCCATGATGTTTCATCATGCTCATCGTATATAGAGGTGCGTACACCTTTATAAGAATCGTCTGTGGTAACGTTCATATAAAGGGAATTATCAACGTATCTTCTATTCAACCCATCACCATCACTCTTGTTCCCATTAAGTACACTGTAACGCTCTGTAGCGAATGCATTGGAAGTCATGATGAATCCAACCAAATCACAGCAGCAAAAACTATCTGCTGATCTTCTCAATTGCTCGTTATGTCTGAGCGCAAGAAAACACCTTCCCCTTTGCTCAGTTTCAAATCATTGTCTTAGCATTTATTCTTCCATATTTAGCACCTAAGCAACAGCGTTGCAAGGCTTGTGAGCGGAGACGCAGGTGTTTTTCCGTTTCGGGCTGAGTCGTGCATGTCGATACATTTCAGGCGGATCCTTAAAACCACTTACGGATGATTTATTATGATGCGACTATGTATAAAACCGGGCCAGTTGTAGCTACAATATCTGCTATAACGCACTTATAGATTAAGGCCAATGCCATTTTATTGAACTAAATATGTAGCTGTTACTTGTGTGTATAACTGTAAGATTCTACACAGAGGAAGTGAAAGAAACAGCACCAATAGCTCAATATTCATTGTTTAAGAACATCCTTTGAAGCCTCTGACTGAACGAACTTGGGGAATGAATCAAATTCAAGCATTTTAAGGATCTGTTGGCCAACCTGCTCCAATAGCGGGTAAAGCTTCTCCAGTGTGTTCAAAGATCTTGTGATTTCTTCACTTGTGGGACTCTTTATTGGGGACAAATCCCGACCAACATCTCCGTGGCTCAACGTTCTTGGTGTTGTTTGTGGGACTGTCCCTGGAACAAGGGAAACATCACAGCCCTTGTCAATATCTGGACGGATACATTGCTCATCAGTTGCATCCTGGATCCTCAGATATACCGGCTCTGGTCGTGAAGGTGGTGTATAGCAGGAGTGTTCAAAATGAGTACTCAGCGGAGATGAGATGTGCAATATTGTATTTGAGATCCGTTCACGAAGCATATGGTCGATGTTTAACTGATAGGGTGCACCGATGGTGATATAGGAAGTATAGATGTTATAGGCAGATGAGAGGCATTCGTTGATCAACTTAACGATGGCCCTTCTCTGCGAAACGGTACTGGATCCTTCGGCCGACTTCTTTCCTAGTTCTAAGACACCTAAGAGAATGGTCATCCTCTTCGAAAAATGTCTGATATCCATATAGACATCCAAGTTCTCAACACAGTACTCCTTCTCCAAGTACAATCTGAAAAGATATCTCAGCCCAGGATCGGAGAGAACAGTTTTGATGTCTAAATCATCTCTTGTCTTATTAAAAAGACTGGTTTGCGAATTACTATCAGCTTCCATAGACGAATTATCGCTCAGGATTGTCTGATTATTGGACATGATATCCTGTGCTGCAGTGCCAATATCTTCGCCATTAGAAACATAAAGTGGCTTCTGTAGCCCTTCCCATTGACTTATACTCCAACCTTTCTTGCTCACAGCATAAAAGGAGGTTTTCAAAGGTGCAAATTTCTTATTTGATGTTGAAGTTGAAGGTGGTAGTGTAATGGGCTCGATGAGCCCATACTTATAGAATAGGTTCAAGATCTCCGTAGCCTCATTGGGATACATCAAGTCAGTACAGTCCATCAACCATTGCCACGAAGCCTTCGCATTGAAACAGTACTTGACTTTGATGTTGGCAAAGGAGTGGTCTCTGTACAGACGAACCCCAACATTAGAAACGTAGTACTGTACATGAGAGTCAGACTCTGGATTTGTGAAGTAGTTATGATGGAACGGAGACTCTATCGGCTTAGGCCGATGCTTTGAAACACCTGGCTTTTTTAGTGAAGTGGATGGTTCAGGACTAACATTTGCACTATTTGGAGAGTCACGCCAGGGCCTTGAAGCTTGGTTTGGTATGTTGTAATTACAGAAGTCGAACTCGTCATCCATCAGGAGCCTATGCTCCAAAGAAGGGATTGAATCTGGCAGGTTTGTTGAGTTCCAAACGTTTGGTTTCGGACCCAGGAACCTGGCAAATAGAAGGTGAATGAAGTATTCAGAGTATATCACAGTGCCAGTTATTGAGGACCTTTCAAAGATGAACAAATCCATAGAATTGAACGATGAGCTCACTATTGGCACTTTACTCTGATATTCCACTCCATTCACCTTGCAATAGCTCTGGACCACTGCCACTCCCTTTGGTGTTGGCTGTAATAACACCTTATCCTTTGGCTCGTCTCTCGTTCTATCAGCAGGTGTATGGAGCAGTCTTGCAGAGAAGAATATCTTCAACAGCTTGCGACCAAGCTCTGGCTTGATGTTATAGGCCAGTGTCGTGCTCGTCGACGAGGACTCAATGTTCAACTGCAGATTGCCCATGACTGTAATGGCCTCCTGTAAAGAGAAGCGATAGTGAAGCGATGTCTTGTTCATGAAGTTCAAGGCAGGCTTATGCTTCTGATCCGTCAGGTTAAGGCAAATGATCATCAGCGAGTATATCGTCTTCAGGTCCCTGGTGAAGATGGCGCCATTGGCTGTGCGGTCGAAGACATTCGATACGGCCTCATGAAGCGTGAACTCAGTCATTCAAAGACACACGTAATGGAATACGAGGGTTCCACACAAGACGACGGCTCCAAATAAGACGAGAACAGAGGATTAGAGAGCCGATTGGCCCATTATATGGGGGTTTCTATAGACGTTTCACATCATACAGCTTGCGCAAATGTGTTTTGATTTTACGCTCAAAAGGTTTTTGAGGCTCCCATACAAAACAACGATGGGCTCGGTGGAATTTTGCGAGAGCCGAATTGGGAATTCAATGGTATACAGGAATGAACAAGATGTCAAGAGGCATCAATTGTTGTATCCATGGATGAGTTATTATATAGTACAAGTGGGAAGACCAATGGTTACAGTCTTGTCCAGGCCTTTGCCGGGCTATCAGGGTTCACGAGTAATCTCAACTCATCAAGAGTCAGCTCGACGCTCCACATTCTCGTTTCAAAGGAACCACTATCGAAATCAGATTTACCCTGCTGTGCTGGTTTCGTTAAGAGGCCCAGTTGAATGAGGGACTCCCATTGCGACTTGGCACTGTCCTTAGCCCATAGCTTGTAACCTATAGACGACACTGCACCTTGACCAGTGCTTGAGCCAACGTCTCGGCTACGTGCTTTTACCTGTGTAGTGTACTCTTCATAGGTGATGTTCATGTTTACCCAGCTCATATCAGTCTTTGCAATGACCCTTGCTGCGCTGACCAGGAGAAACAGCTCCAGTTCGGACAACGAGTTCACAATCTTTGCCAGTGATGCGTTCATCTCATTCGTCAAGTACTGTGCGAAATCTGCATCATTCAAGATACCGTCTATGAACATGCTGACCGGATACACACACGAGTTTTGGAACTCCTTGATGTTACCAGTGGTCAAGTAGATCTGGGATAGGATGCGACGTACCTTTGTGTTTGTATTGATCAAGGTCTCAATGTTACGATTCCATTCTAGTTCTAAATCATTGGACGGTTCATCCACTTGTAACAACTTCTTCCCAACAGTCAAGAATTTCTCCAATGGCAACTTGGTGAAGTTCAAGGTTCGCTGTGAGAATCTCGATCTGACCCTCTTCTCAAAGAGTTCCTTAACGGTGAAATTTGTACTGAACATAAGGACACAGATCGGCGTCGACGAGTTTTGAACCAAATCAAATAGGTTGTAGAGTAACGTCTGCTTATTCTGATTGGCAAACACATCGGTTTCATCGACACAGAATATTATTGGATGGCTAATCTTTGCAGTTTGGCCGTCTGTCAACAACAGCTCTTTATCTAGCACTTGTAAGATGTTGGCAAAAGTATTTGTTATGGATTTCCGACTGATCAGTTCCTTTGATTGTAGTTCTCTGAGGTTAACGTTATAAATTCTGGCAATTTCAGAATCCATCTGGTCTGCAATGGCCCTAACCGCTTCTGAATCGTTATTTTGCACCAGGCCGTTGATATGGATGACGATGAAGTCTTGTCCTTCATCCAAATCTTCACGAGCTTTCCGTAGTGCTGCGTTCAGCGCAGATGTCTTTCCAGAGTTTCTAGCACCACAGATGAGACATGAATGTTGGCCACCTTCCTTCACAGTGGTGTGGATCATTCCATACAGCTCTTGAACCTTATCGTCGAGTTCATAGGGACCTTGATCAGACTTCCCGTGCAACTTTGGCAAGATCTTCTGCTTCAGTTGCTCGGTATCGGTTACTAGATCAGCAGATTTATTCCCCTTAGCGTCTTGTTTCTCTGACGGCGAGAGTTGTTCAATCAGTGAGTTGTTCAAAAGATCAACTTGGCTTGTAGCATCGAAGAACTTTTCAACGTCATCTTTCTGAGCTCGTTCTTCAGTGGCATCAATGGCATCGTTTTCACCATCGCTAACGTCAATGATCTGGAAGTCGTTATCAGCATCAAACACAAAGTTCTTTGCAACACCAGTGTTATTCTTCAATGCTACCGGGTCGTCGTCCACAATACGTCTCAGCAGTATCGGCTTCTTAGCCTTCTGTACAGGCTCATCTTGTTGTTTACCGGGGCCCAGCCTAATCAGCTGAATAGGCTTCTTGAAGCTTGGCAGCTCCAGCTTTGTAGGCGAATCGGTATCCCTCTCCAATTTAATCAGCTTAGGCAGCTTGAAGTCCTTGGAGAACGATGGCAGCCTCTTACGAGGCGACACATCGCTCACTGGAGCACTCTCTTTATCGTTATCGTCGTCTCCACTAGGAACAGCACTGCTAATCAGATGTTCTGGCCGTGCTCTTAGCCCTGACCTTCTCACATTACCGAATTCACCCGCAAAGTCAGATTCCAGCTTGGAAAGACCTCTTTTGCCAGTGGAGCTCATGTTAAAGTATCGCCTTTTCGCCCCGTGATGATGATGATGATGTTGTTGTTGTGATTTAAAATGTAAACAAAGCAAAAATCCTCTTTGGAAAAATTACGTAAACTGAAGGTTGTTTTTTGGAATGTCCGGGTGTGGTGGTGTCCGGGTGTACATATGTCCAAGTGTTTTGTCTCGTATGGCTGTCCCACGGCCCCCTGTCCAGCAACTTTTCAACACAGCTTCGATCCAAGGGCTTGTTTGGCATAGCGATTGAGCTGGCGATAGGAGATCCAGAATGTCATCTGTGACTTATAAACACGACCAGCTGCCGCAGAGTGTTATTTCTCTCCTGGAAACCGGCAAATATGTTCATCTGGGCACCGCCAATGAAGATGCCATTCCAGAGGTTTCCCTGATGAACTACTATTACCTTCCTTCCAAGGAGTTATACTCACCAGAGGCGGAGGAAGAAGGCCCAGAAGTGGACGTAATCTCTAAACAGCATACCTATGTGATACTCGCAAGCTCGAAGCTATCGTTAAAGTACAAGAACATCTCTGTGAATCCACATGTCTCTCTGCTGTTCCACGACTGGACCACTGCAAAGTCCAATTTCAAGGCACCAAGTGATAACAGTGAGGATCAGTCGAATATACTCACGTTGCTGAAGAACTTGAACCAATCAGAGCTGAGCCGAGTGAGTGCCACGCTCTCTGGGCTAGCAAGAATCGTTTCCAACGGCGCTGAGCTGAACTACTACAAAACTAAGCTGTTAAAGGAGAACCCAGAGGCTAAGGTGTACATCGATGGTGATGAGAATGCCATCATTCTTGTCAAGATCACCAGTGCTAAGGTTTGCGATGAGCAGAACAACTTCACCGTGTACCACTAGTTATTATGTAATATTTCAGCCAAAGCCATAGTTAACATTGCACGTTTCATTACGGTTAGTTTACATTGTACATTAATCAGCAGATCAATTTGACGTCTAAACACATGGTACATTCATGTAGCGTTCACATCACACACGGCATGGTGTTCTAATTACCCTCTTGACCGAAATCACGGGTGAAATCTTCCTGCTTCTTCAAATCCTCCTCATTAACGGTTGGTCTCGAGGTCTTTATAGCCTTTATAAAGTCCTTTATCGTCAGCTCTGGTTCCTTCAACTCATCCGCCTCTATCTGCATCCAGTTCATCTCGACAGCTTCAGCATCACCAGGGGAGCACGGCGTCAGCTTATTGCCATCGACTCTTTTGAAATGAGTGGCACTCTGGATCTTTCTAATCGGTTGCATCAAGGCATCTTTGACTACAACAGAGATATCGGCACCTGAATAGCCCTCAGTCATCTCTCCCAACAGTTTGAAATCTCTTTGAGTCAAAGAGCACGGTGTATCACCAATGTTCAGCTGGAACATCTTTGACCTTGCCTGTTGTTCAGGTAATGGGATGTAGATTCTCTTTTCAAAACGACGTCTAATTGCAGCATCCAGTTGCCATGGAATATTTGTAGCACCTAGCACCAAGACACCGCTGGAATCGTTACCAACACCGTTCATCTGAACGAGCAATTCAGTCTTGATACGTCTAGAAGCTTCACTTTCACCCTCACCTCTTGGCCCACAAAGGGCATCCACCTCATCTATGAAGATGATCGAAGGCTTGTTCTCCCTAGCCATGTTGAAGAGCTGTTTGACCAATCTCTCAGACTCACCCATCCATTTACTAACCAGATCTGAGGAGCTCACGGAGAAGAACGTGGAGTTTGCCTCAGTGGCCACGGCTTTTGCAAGATACGACTTACCGGTACCTGGAGGTCCATACAGCAAGATACCAGAGAGTGGCTTACGCTTACCGGTGAATAGATGAGGGAATCTAACCGGCAATATGACAGCTTCCTTCAACGCCTCCTTAGCCAGGTCCAAGCCTGCAATGTCCTCCCACTTGACGTTTGGCTTCTCTGATAAGATGGCACCAGCAAGCGCACCTCTCAGCTTCTTTGTCTCAGCATCGTCGTCATCCTCGCCACCACCGTCCTTCTTCTTTGTATTGCCACCAGTCGTGGAAGCCTCAGCGGCCTGCTTCTCCTTTTTGTCCAAATGATCCTTCAACTGCTCGGCTCTCGACAGGTACTCCGTGAACTTTGTTCTTATGAGCTCTTTTGATCTCGGGTTCTTCTCGTACTTGATGGCCAGCATGAGGTAGTCCAGCCCGTTGTAGTAGAGGCCGTAAGCGTCTTCGTATCGCGTGGCGTTATCAGCTTCGATGGCCTTTTGGACAAGTTCAATGCCCTTGTTAAGGAAGTCGCCAGTAGACATCTCTGTATCAGTGTAGTGAGCTTGCCGTTGGTGTAGTCAATGATTCAATATGCCAATGAGTCAATCAGTCAGCCACTAACAGTGCAATCAACGTCTCGTCCTCTATCCCACACGCTATCACGGCTCGCCTAGGCTTTCCCCTGATTGTTCCCTCAGCCTAAACCACCCTTCTCAGGCAGCGCTCAAAGAAAATTTACTCCCTGTGTGGCGTGTACCATTATTCGTTAGAGGGTGTAGTAGGCGATGATGGGATGGCATAGTGTCGAGGGACGGATGCTATTACTAATGTGGGTATTGATCGTTAGAGAGGTGTATATGAGCTTTGTTGGTTGCTCATCTGACGAACTTGAATTTATCGAAATCCAGTTTCACAGGTGAGAGTGATCTATTTACTTCCTCGAACTCGTCTTCGCTTTCTCTGTGATCTGGAGCCCTGTCGGGCTTATCTCTGACGTCTTGAGTCGTTGAGTCCGTTGAACGGTGCTCGACTTCAGACACAGGTGCCGGGATCACCCTCATGTCGTCGCTATTCAGTATATCACGTTTTAGATCATGGGACTTGCGTAGTTCCTCGACTAGTGAGTTCACAGTGTTCTCAAGGGCCTCCACTTTCCTGCTCAACTCTTCGACCTCGGATCTGTCTGCAACGTTGCTCGTGTGGATATCAGTGTGTGTTTCGCCGTTGGTGTAGGGCGAAGATGGGATATCTATTGGAGGCGGCCGTGAGGCCGCAGTGGTTGTGACCATAGGTGATGCAGTAGCTCTGTCCCGGGAAAAGTCAACGTGTGCTCTCTTAACAAGTCTGGAAAGGCTATCAGCAGAGCTATCAGCCTCTGCTAGATCCTTGAGGTGTATCCTTCTCATTGTGCCTCCACTGCTGTAACCCTTGACATTTTTTCCCGGTGATCTATTCTCCCTTGTAAACCTCTGAGCCCTTTCGCTGATGCTCTCAACTCTTGATCTCATATCATTAACACGTCCTGGGTTATCGCCAGAGCCAATCATACCGTTCATGTAGCTCTTCATACTCTTCAACTCCTTATTCTCGCGGGAACCGTCGCCTATGATCGTCTGTCCAATCTTCCCCAGTGCATTCCATAGCGAAGTCCCACTCTTTTGGTTCTTTTTGTTATCAGTCGAGGGCTTCAACACTTTGGAGCTGTAGGCATGTCTGGTATGACTCGAGCTTCTAGCCCTATCCACCGCATGGCTTGAGCCATAATCATATTTATAGCCACTGTCCGAGCCATGATGAGAGCCATGCCGTCTCTTTCCGGCCCGTGAAGCCTGTGTTCTCGTCGCGGGACTGAAGTTTACACTCGTCTCGTTCAGCGAGTCATCAGCAGCGACCTCCTTCCACGCCTTTGCTATCGAATCGAACATCTGTATTCTTCTTAAACAGAAAGTAAACAGAAAGTAAACAGAAAGTAAACAGAAAGTAAACAGAAAGTAAACAAAAAGTAAACAAAAACTTCCATAGCGACGGTTTGTTTACATTACCGGTAGAGGAAACACGCATCCCAAAGCGGAAGTATTCGCGGCAACCGTGCGGACGCGAAAACCGCGCGACGCGACGCGTCAGGGCTCATACCCTGTGCCACTTTCGCGTCTGTTTAGCAAGATTTCAACAAGCTACGGACCTGTTTTGCGACAGCTGAGAGACACAAGCAACATTGGCTGATCAGTCTCTTCAACATGGATGCGCCGGTGGTACTTCCAATCCAGTTACAGCCCTCTAACCTTCGACCTCTGGCCTATAGAGTGCTGTCGAAGAAGCATGGGCTCAACATCAAGTCAGATGCCCTGAAGACATTGGCCGATTACATGGGCCCAAAGTTTGGAATCGATTGGAAATCTGCTAAGTCTCAACTGCTGTTGGAAGAGGTGGCAAAGATATGGAAGGAGCAGGAGAGAGGGCTGTTCCTCGACGCTGCTGGGCTGCAAGAGGTGCTCAGGGAGATCGATGCCCTTGAAGTGAAGTCGAGACCTGCTGGTGCTGGTGCACTGGGCCAGAAACATCACGCAGTGTCGATCGATTCGATGATGGCGAGAAGAACCGACACCGTGGTTGATGTGAATGAAAGCGAAGATGAACACTCGCTCAACAAGATTACGCCGTCGACTAGCGTCACTCCGCCTCCGATGATGGAGTCTCTCGATTGGAAAGAGTATTTCAGACTGATCAGCGCATACGAACAACCTCTGTTCTTGTATAACTCAACGTCAAAGACATACGAACCCTTGGAGAACCAGGATTCGAAACTATCAGGCTCCACGGTCCAGGCAAATATCGTGTTGAACCAAGGCCGTTATCACATCATCAAGGATCGGGTGCTGAGAAACGAACACTTTGACAGTGGAGACTTCAACGCCTTTGCCAGTGTCTCTGTTGATACCAACAAGGCCAGCGACTCGATAACCATGGTTAAAAATCTATTGGGTAGAAATAACCAAAGGTTCCTACTGCTGGGCATGATTACACAGTTAGAAGGGTATTGGCATTTACAGGACCCATCGGGCAAGATCAAACTCAACATCGACCAGGCAGAGCCGAATGGTGGCTCCTATTACGTTCCAGGCAACATGGTGTTATGCGAGGGCATCTATTCCCCCGGGGTCTTTTATGTTAACTCAATGGCACATCCACCAGCGGAGAGAAGGTCCTCAACGCTTGATGCCATAGGCAACGTGGACTTCTTGGGGATCCACGCCAACATGAGAATCGACAAGGAACTGCAGAACAAGTTCAAGCAAGTCGAGAAGGAGCACGACCACAAGATGATAATACTGGGCACGGATATATACTTGGACGATTTGCGTACACTGGATGCGCTGGACAAGCTCTTTGTGAAGTTGAGCGAGGATGAGGAAAGCATTCCGATCACCATCATCTTCAACGGGTCGTTCACATCAACACCCAAGCCTTCATCCGATTATAAGCAGCTGTTTGACTCATTGGCGTCGATCCTGGAGAAATACCCCGTGATCCATGGGAACGTGTCGCTGGTCTTTGTTCCAGGCGATAACGACCATTGGCAGACTCCGCTCTGGCCCAAACAGAGAATACCAAAGGTATTCGGCTCCAGAATCAACCGTGTCTGTAGATCTGTTCAATGGGCCTCAAATCCTACACGGATGGTGTACCTGTCACAGGAGATTGTCATTGCACGAGACGATATCGGCTCGAGGTTCCGACGCCACGACATTAGATTCCCATACTTGGAGGCATCCAAGGCCAATGGCCAACACCACGAGGCCAGCGAGATCGACAGGTTGGAGTCGCTATCACCAAGGGTGTCGGAGGCAAGGAAAGTGGTGAAAACGGTGCTGGACCAGGGCCATCTGAGCCCATTCACCAAGAGCCTGAAGCCCGTTGTTTGGCACCTCGACCACACCCTACAGCTGTCGCCCTTGCCCACTGTATTGATCCTGTGTGATTCCACATCACCACAGTTCGACGTCACGTATAACGGCACCAGGTGCCTGAACCCAGGGGTCTTCATCCACAAGAGGAAGCTGAACTACATCGAGTACTCGCTCAACACCAAAAGGGCAGAGATGAAAGATCTGTACTTCTAATGATATAATCAGGCATACGGCCATTTGGCAATCTTCTCACTTACACACTCCGGTAGACAGTAGCGTGGGTCAACGGGTTGTAGGCCCTCAAAGCCCATCAGACTCAACCCTGCGATTCCAAACAGCGTGTGGAACACATCAACCTGGTTATCAGGCCTATCGCTTATGCCCCCCGTAACCTCATCCTGAGACTTCAGTATGAAGTCTCTGAGCCTGTCATAGTCGATCCAGTGCAGTCTGTCGATGATGGCCAACGACGACAGCACCCACCAGCTGTAGCAAACGTCCGGCAGCTTGCCAGGTCTCCCGTTCAGCCCTCCGTCCTCCAGCTGTCTCTCTGCGAGCCACCACCCGGTCAGGTCCCTGTCCACGACATCCAGCTTGTTGCACAGGGCCAGTGTCCCCAGGCAGGTGAACACCTGGGCCGAGTGGCTCTCAGCGCCCGGTCTCTGCCCGTACCCGCCGTCAAAGTTCAGGCACGATTGCACGAAGGAACAGGCACCATCAACAACGTCCTGGGTCAGTCTACCCAGGATCGCCAACGACTGCACGGCGGTATACACGAACCTGGTGTCAATCTCACCGAACCTGTCGCCTTGGAACGCCCCGTTGGGCAGTCTGTTGGACAGGATGAACCGTGAGGTTTCCTCTCCATCAACAGAGTCCAGCGAGTCGAACATCAGAAGGATCTGGAGCGCACTCAGCGTGCTTAGAAGATGGCTGTCGTGTCCTCTGAAGGCGCCAAACCCACCGTCTGGGTTTCTACAGCTCAGCACGAACTCCACAACGTCCTCCTTCTTGAAGGAGTCCCTCGAGTCCAGGAGACACAGCGCCGTCAGGCCCCAGTAGGTGCCGTTCATACGGAGATGCTCCGTCAGGTAGTACGCGAGGTCCCTGTGCTTGGTGTCGAGCGACGTGATGTACGCGATGTGCTTGTCTCTGAGGAAGGATGTGGTTGTCTCCATGGGCTGTGTGCTTTGCGGTGGTGGTGGCGGTGGTGGTGTTGATGTTGATGTTGTTGTTGATGTTGATGTTGATGTTGATGTTGTTGTTGTTCAAATTTTACCCGCGGCACCATCACCACCACCACCATCACCACCACAGCCACCCAGAAACACCACCACAATGGTCAACTACGACGAACTACAGGTGGACAACAACCACACGACGGACGGTGTCAACGTGGGCGAGTTCCTGGAAGGGCTGGAAGGCAAGCGGCGGGCAAACTTGGGCCTTGTGCCCACAGACGATGCTGGTGTGAAGGCCATGCTGAGGCACATTGGCGAGCCCGTCACGAGGTTTGGGGAGTCTGCTGGGGATCGCAGGACGAGGCTGCTCGGGCTGATTGCCGAGAGGAACATCGAGGTGTCTGCTCTGGCTGATAATGACGTTGAGATGGATGGCGGTGAGGAGGCTGATGGTGATGACGTGCCGGACGAGGAGTTCTACACGCCGGCGAGCGAGGAGCTGGTGGAGGCCAGGAGGTTCATCGCCCGTGATGCCCTTGGCAGGAGCCAGATCAGGCTGGATGCCCTGAGACTACAAGGAGAGGTGCCCTTTGAGGAGGTTTTGCTCGGTAGAAGAAGCCAGAATGAGCTATGTAAACGGTATGGCCTTGTTGGTTCGCAGCTCATCTCCACGAGACCTGTGTCCATGGTGGCAATCTCACCGCTGGATAGTGACAGAGTACTCACGGGCTCGTGGGGAGGCGATGTGAAGCTGCTTAACGGCGAGCTGGACGTGCTGAAGACGTTCGACACCACTGCTTCTCTGGGGAAAGTTGGTGGACTGGCGTGGTCTCCAGTGGACGAGTCGATATTTGCATGTACTGGAGCCAATGTTCAGCTGTGGAACGCCGAATCAACGGAGGCTCCTCTGATGGAGCTGACGAACCATACAAACCGGGTGGTGAGGTGCCAGTTCCACCCCTCCGGCAGGTTCATCGCAAGTGCCTCGTTCGACATGACATGGAGACTATGGGATATCAACACACAGCAGGAGCTGTTGCTACAAGAGGGCCATTCAAAGGAGGTCTACACCGTGAGATTCCACCCAGACGGGTCACTACTGGCCAGCGCAGGCCTGGACGGCGTCAGTCTTGTCTGGGACCTCCGTCTCGGTCAGATGATTATGCCATTGAAGGGTCATATTAAGCCCATATACGGCTTGGATTGGAGTGCCAATGGTGTGAACGTTGCCACGTCCAGTGCTGATGGCTCCATCAAAGTGTGGGACCTGAGAATGCAGCGTGAGCTCGAGACGATAGCTGCTCATTCTAAAGTTGTTTCTGATGTCAAGTTCCATAAGAATCAACTGATATCCTCGTCCTACGACAACACTCTGAAGATATTCAGCTGCGACAATTGGTTACCCTTGACTACACTGGAAGGACACTCTGAGAAAGTGATGTCATTTGATGTGTGTGACGATTACATTCTAAGCACAGGGTGGGACAGATCAGCGAAGAAATGGGTTGTTGACGGATGAATCTCTCTTCTCATTTTAAGCTGGGACTGTTACGTCTCGTATCGGCACGGGCCTTGCTGTTCTGCAGTTTCGTTAGACTGTCTTCGATCTGGAACTTCAACGATTCAATCCTCTCCTGAACGTGTTTCAGCTCCGAGTCATCAATGACCAGTGCCTGGAAATTGGACCAATACCCGTCAACTTTCTGCTGGTTCTCACCAATGGATTTCTTCAACTGTTCAACTTCAACGTCGGAGTCAGAGATGCTCTTCTCTGCGTTGCCGATTTCCTTTGCCATGTACTCCATCTCCGTAACGTTGTTTCCAGATCTATGTTCCTCCTTGGAGATGAGCTCCTTCAGCTCTTTGATCCGTTGTAACTTGGTGTTTGTAGATAACGATTCAGCAGTTGCTTCAGCCTGTCGAATCTGGCTCTTGAGCGATTCAATCTGTGAGCTTAGCTCACCTGATTTGGAGATCGCACTGGAGATTCGGTCGTTATAGCCCTTAATCTCATCATTCAATTTGCTCTCGTCCACTCTTGTAAAGTCCTTGATGGCATTATCAAACTCCTCAAGATGAGTCAGCTCATCCAGTTTCAGCTGTAATTCGCCAAACACCCGTGTAAGGCCCTGGATAAGACGGTGTGTCAAGGCATCGGAGAACTTTGAATTGACGCTCAAGATCCCAAAGTTCACCTCTTTCAAAGGGTTCGAGATGTAGTCCTTGTTGAGCCTCTTTGCCTCGTAGTAAGACACAGGCTCTCTCTTGGGCTCCGTGTTCTTCTCGTAGTGCACTTCCTGTAACAGAGACCGTTCAACGTCGCCAGCGTCATATCGTCTAATGCTGGACATCTCAGGCAACGGCCATGGCGTGTGAACAAAGTCCTCGCACCAGTCTTTCAAATACGTCAGGTTCTTGAAGTAGATTGGTCTCAGGTCCGGTGGTAAGACACCCACCTGGTCTCTCAGGACGACGATTGCAGCAGTGACCTGGACGAGGTATTCCTCTGTGCCTCTCTCATGGAATTGGCGGAAGTAGAGTGCAATGTGATCGATGGAATTCGTCGAGACAAGCCTTAGAATCGGGACCCTTGTGCTCTTTCTCAAGGATTGCAAGAACTCATTTGTCGGCGTGATGTCGAACGAGATCACCAGGTCAAACTTCGACGTTGTTACAAAGTCATCCACATCTGATGGGATGATGTGCATCGTCAGCACCTTTGGTTTATTGTTCTTGGTATTCTGCGACTTGGCAGGTATCTTCAAGTTACTTCCGTGGTGCCTCTTGATGTTACACCTTGTCCCCAGTAACAGGCTCTCCAGCATGTCCAGAAGCTTACCGGATCTTCCCACAAGCGCAACATCGATGCTCCGGCCCTCCAGCATGCTTATGAGGTCCCGCAGCACCTTGAACTTGCCACTGGTGTCACAGAGATTGTTTGGAGTGTCCTTGGTAGCGAGGTTCTTCGGCATGTAGTGGTCAATCAGCAAGTAAGGATGCGTAGCAACAAGCTGCGAGTTCAGGTACAGCACCTCCAGCGAGTCCAGTAGCACCTGCTCCTTGTCATCAGTCTCGAAGTACTTCAGTATATCGGAGTAGTGCAGCGAAACCACCTGGTCCGTCAGCTCCTTCTGATATTCACACATGGGAACGGGTAACCAATAATCCCCAGATAGGTTCTCAGACGTTGTGAGCGAGACGATGGGAGGCTCCGGAGTGCCGTCGAGTATCTTGAGCAAGTCCATGTGTTCTCAGCAGGGTGTGTGTATGGGTGTATGGGTGTATTCTCACTTCTCTGAGCTCAACAGAAGGAGCAATCTGGGCTGTGAGGCGAGCTGTTTTGATGTTTTGTTAGGTGAAATTGTTTACGCAACGAGTGGGCCTCGAGAAGGTACATGTATACTGTGGTGTGCGGGTGTGGTGTGTGGGTGTTTGAGTGTATGGATGTGGTGTTTGGGTGTATGAATGTGATGTCCAGGTGTTTTTACAAACACGAAACACCGGTGCGCGCCAGCATCCACGGGTTAAACCTCTCAACCACCAACAGCTTCAGCAGACTCAGTGCTCACTGCTGCTTCCACAGACTTACAAAGATGGGTTCTGAGCTCAGTGCCGATGAGTTGGCCCTGTACGACAGACAACTGCGTGTCTGGGGCGCGGAAGGGCAGAACAGGATCAAGCACGCGTCCATCCTATTGATCAACATGAACGGCGTTGGCACGGAGATTGTTAAGAACCTGACACTGTCAGGTGTTGGATCCCTGGTGCTCTGGGATGACGGTGTTGTATCTGAGAGTGATCTCAGTGCACAGTTCTTCTTGAGCGAAGACGATCTGGGCAGGCAGAAGCTTCCCTGTGTGGAACCACGAGTGAGAGACATGAACCCAAGGGTTCATCTCTCAATCAACACGTCAAAGGTCCAATTCACAAAGGATAGAGATCTAGACTATTTCAAGAAGTTCCAGCTGGTTATTGCGAACAACCTGACAGCGTTACAGCTCCTAGAGCTGAACGAAATCACAAGAGCGTTGGAAATCTCACTGCACGTGACGTCGACTCACGGGCTGTATGGGTTCATGTTCAACGACTTGATCGTTGACATCACCACGTACACGAGAAAGAAGATGCCAGTTTCAAGGAAGATTGGTGCATTCTCAGCCAATAGAGAAATCACCAAGGTGACGTCGAACTTTGACAAGGATAAGAACGAAGCTGTGGAGCACTTCACTGTGAAGTCGACTTTTAAGAAGTTCATCGATACTCTACAGTCAAAGAACTTGACAACTTTGACAAAGAGACAGAGGAAGAACGTTTCGCCATTGCTACCTATCTTCATCTCCATTGCGGAGCTGGAATTGACAAACGTCGAGCTCACTGTGGAGTCCCTCAAGCAAAAGGTGTCTGATATCACCACGAGACTTGGTATAAACGACATAACAGATGAGACAATCTCTGCAAAGGTGTTGAATTCATTACACGTCGAGATCAGTCCAGTTGCTGCTATACTAGGTGGTGCATTGGCACAGGATGTGATTAACATGTTGAGTAAAAAGGAACAACCTATAAACAATTGGTTGATCTTAAACGGCGACAACTTTACAATGCCGATATACGAGTTGTGAATAGAACAATTGCATCATGATAAAAGTAGTTACAAATGTAATAATGGACAAGGCCAAAAGTGCCTTCTCTTGTGATCCTCTTCTTCCTCTGATTATCTAGGTGTTACCACTAACGGCCAATTTTTGCAAATGTTCCATAAACATTTGAAGTGAAACGTCATCCGTGAGGACAACACCACCTCCGGTGCTGAGACCCATTGCTTCATTGTTGTACGAGGTTGAAGGGTTCAACTTAGAGTACAAGAATCTTGCCTGAGAACCACCTTCTTCAGTGTCGATGAATCTAGGCAATGGGAATCTATCAACCAACAATTCCGCAGCTTCACGCTTAGGTTCCTCCAAGAACTCTTTGAAAGATGCGTACTCTGGATCATCTTGGTAACCTTGGTTTCTCCAAGACGCAACAGTCTCACCGTGGTAGATTAAGATATGGAAGAACGTGTCCAAAAGCAAGATCTTATCCGGCTGAATGGAGATGGAGTCCAAGAGAACTGGAGTTGGCTCACCATCCATTGAGAACGATGTCAATGTTGGTTGGATCATAATCAAGGAGTTGGTGGTGTCCTCTCTCGTCAACACGTGTCTGTAGAATGCAGTCTCATCTGGAGAGTTGTTGAAAACCTGCAAGAACTGAGATCTTCTCAAATAAAACATAAACTGTGGGTACAGTGTGAAGTTTGGTGATAATCTGAAAGAGTTTGGATCATCACGCATGTAATCAGCAAACTTGGCACACAGTTTGATGAGCATTCTATCAACCCATCTGATGACGTCTGCGGAATCGTCGTCTTCTGCCTTAAACGTGGCAATACGGGACATGACAACAGCAGCAGCTTCTTGGTCGAACCCTCCACCAATGTTGACATCACCAGTACCAACCAATGGCTTAGCAAACGTGGTGACTCTAACTCTATAGGTACCGGAGGCGTGCTGGTAGTGGGTGATAAATTGGACGTAAGCGTGTGGAGCACTCACTTGATTGGCCAATTCGAAGAACACCGAATAGGTATGATATGGAGAAGTTGCTGGCATCTTCCAAGATGAGGTGCCACCAATACCAATCTCAGTATCCGCAATGTTTGAACCAGTCTTGGTGATAGCACTGGCATGTCCAATCAGCCCAGCAACCTTCAATTCCTTCGAAGTCTTAACGTCCAACGTAGCATTGAAGCCCATCAACAAGAAACCTTCTTCATCCTTGGAGAACAATCTGAGGTAAGATTGCTTGAAGATGGAGGTTGTGAATGCATCTGTCAAGAGTAACACACCACCAGTCTTGTTTGACAAGGATTGCATTTCAGAGATACCAACTTGGTCATAACAACCGGCAAAGATATCAACTGCATGGCCATTAGTGGCAGCTCTAACTGCCAAATCATCGTAGAACTTGATCGCCTTCTTATAGTGCTTTGCAGAGTCCTTGTCAATATCAGAATGAGATCTAATTGGCTCTTTCAATTCGTTTGAAACGATCAAACCAGGGGACAAGGTACAAGGACCAGAGGCAAAGAGTTGGATTCTTGCACCGAATCCAGTGTAACTACCCTCACACAAGTTCACTGCGATGGACAATGCTGCACCTGTAGCTCTGAGCGCTCTCTTTGCAGATGCAATTGGCCATGGGTCCTTTTTCAAGTTCTCAATGATTGAAGTGAGTTGGAATTCAACGTTTGACAAAGGTGAAAAGGCCTTGATGAAGTGCTCACCGAGCAGTTTCTTCAAGCTCTCCAACGTGTAGTCCTTGTTACCTCTAAAGACAAACGACTTTGGGAACGGACTGCTCAGATCGTGCAATTGCACCATTGCACCAAAGGTGATCAAACCAACAAGCGCATTAGGAGGGAGCAAACTCAGCGCAATCACCAAGGTCTCCTTCAACGCCTCCAGGTTGTCCTCGTCCTGGCACAGATCGACAACAAACAGGAAGATCGGAGGCTGCTGAACAGGTCTGCTCAAGATGTACTCCATCGTGGCATTCTCCTGTTGCAACTCCAACGGAAGGTTATCAGGCGTGATTGTCGAGTAGTGGTTTGGCAGCTGGTTTCTGTTCCCACAGCATGGACACATCCACATTCTCGAGCGCAGATCAAGACCAGAGTACGGGTTTAGGATCGTGCGACAGTTCGGTTGCGAACACGCAATCGGATCGTAGTTGGCGATGTTCAGGCCCTGGATCTCCTTCAACGGAGTGTAGAGGGCACCGAGCGGCACAACAAGCCTATTGGCCTCGGCACGCGTGTTTGGGAACACGTTCCATGGTAGACGGAGACCGTTGAGGTCCTCTTCAGCTTCGAAATCCATCGCGTGGTTTCCTTTTTTAGGGGGAAGTGGTGGTGATGATGTTGTTGATGTTTATGTTTCGAACAACGTTGTTTTGGTCTCGCTGGCCGAAAACCGAGTGGTAATTAACCCGTCGTGGCATTGGCAGATGGCCACGGTGGGGGGGGGGACGGTGCTGCGTGTTGTTTGATTTTGACTAACGGCCACGAATAAGGGCACTTTGGCCGAGTGGTTAAGGCGAAAGACTTGAATCGAATTCGAGTGATCTTTTGGGATTTCCCGCGCAGGTTCGAACCCTGCAAGTGTCGCCAATTTTTTTATGTTTTTTGTCTGATAGCACGGGCTCATAACCACGGTGTAATGTCCCGGTGCTGAACTTGTGTTTGTTGATTTGAGTAGGCTAACAACTTCACCACGTATTCGCAGTGCACTGGACGCGTTGGAAACAATGAACGATATCTTCTTCATTGCACTTATATCAAGAGACGTGAGTAGTAAGAATTGGGCGATTCTCCGTCTTTTTTGGTGCTAGTGGTGGTAGTGGGGGAGCGAGTTCATGCTTGTTTGTTTCTGTATACTAATTCATTGGCAAGAACAAACCTATCCATATTCAAGAGATAGACCCTCCCGTGGGCGAGGAACAGCTTTTAAGTGAGCGGGTTGACGAGCAAACGGGCCATGAGCCGGCGGAGAGCGGGCGCCAGGAGGTGTCGCTGGTGAACAACACACTACGATGTCATTTTCTTGCGAACATGGCCCTCGATGTATTCTTATCCCCACTGTACGGAGGAGAGTGTGGTGTGCCTTCGTTGATGTTTGTGCAGGACGGCATCAATGTGTATGGATACGAGACCAACACCGGTCTGAAGATCCTCATAGGAACGGACGGCGAGCTGGATCAAAGCTACGAAACCATTTTCAAACAAATACACAGGATTTATCTCGGGCTGCTGTTGAATCCGTTCAACACTGGCGATTCTTCATCGTCAACACCAACGTTCAACCACGGCACGATATCTACAAAGATTGAAGGCATAGTCAACCAATGGAAGGCACAGAAGGCATAGCAACAGTGTATGTACATAAATGTCTCGTTATCTCATCTTAGCACGGTATTTGCGTTTCTCAGCCCCAAGTACTGCTGGTCCACGCCCTGGGCCATGTTCTTCACAATGGAGTACACCTCAGCGTTATGGTATCTTATACCACTGGATGCAGACCGGTAGTTACCCTTCAGCCCTGTGATATCGCAGTACTTCTTCACAGGCTTGATGGACGGAGGCGCCTCAATGGCAAAGTAGGTCACCGGCTCATGTTTCACCTTCTCTGCGATTGCCCTCAGGTGCTTCTGCTCGTCAACTATGAGTTGCTTGACAGGTTTCACACGGCGCGTCGGGTGTTTATAGTTCGGGTTCTTGAAGCTGTTGGGCGTGGAGTTCATCTCCGCAACCGTGTGTATATCAACTGTAGCCTGTGTCATTTCTTACCCTGTGTATCCGCCATCCATGGCTCAACCCCCCAAAGTAAACACAACCTCCAAAAGTCCACCGGTGATGGTGCTAAGAGGGCAGGTTGGTTGGGGACACAGTACGGTTCCATACACACACCGTCAATGCTGTGTGTTGAGGGATCCACAGTCTTCCACCAACGGCACACGATCTGGCTGTATTGACAGCAGTACGGTGTACGTGATTTGTCTACGAAGACAGGGTAGTGCTGGTGTTACAGTACGCGTACAACGGCTTCAGAGAACGTGGTGTACAGGTGGTATTTATACCATTCGGGCAGTGATACATCCAAACACCAGGCACGGCCAGCGGGAGTGTGCTGCGCACGCTATTTCAGCTGGGTTGGCATTCAAAGCGTTGTGCACCACACAGTGTTATAGTGTCACAGAGGTAGGCAGAGGCCCTGGACAACGGGCATGCCCACCAAGCAATCCACTCGTCAAGCCCTCGTTCCAATCAGGCAGGTATCGGTAACGTCCGGGGGTGCACGAAACCGAGTCACAGGCGAGGACGATGCGCGAAAACCGAAGTCAACTACAGAAAAAGAAGAGAAAACCCCTACACCAATAGTTAACGGCCCCGGAGTCACCCAAGGGCCGGAGTCAACACACAGGGGGGTAATAAACTCTTGCATCTCCTCTAAACACTCACCTACATTTCTCCACTGAGCCTAAAGATCAACCAAATGTGTCAAACTCTGTCAGAAATGTGTCAATTTATAACACCGACAGCGTTCCAGCCCCTAACTTCACAACACTGACCCCCCCTGTCAAACAATACAAACCTGAGCACCCAATGGTGGCCTCTCACAGTACTCGCACTAACACACCACGAGGGAAAATTAGCAGTCACAACTGCCCACAACGAGATGCCACCAGAATGGAAAACGCAGAGGAAAAAGAAAGCACAACACCCGTACACCGCGAGCCAATCGGATGCGCTGTACCGTTTCGGATAGTCCGTGCGCTAGTTCGTCACCACAGCACGATACCCGTCTACAAACCGCACAGGGGAAGGCACAGAACCACACGACCAGTCCAGTAGGGCAAACTCGACCCGTAGAATCCACCTAGAACGTCCACGAACGCTTGTTATGGCCGCAATGGCGCCATATTGCACCCCGTCAACACCAGTTGTCGAGATGAAGAGCCAAATGCCGTGCGTGCCCGTACCGAAAAGCCGCGTCGGTGTCGATGCGGCAACGGTTTCTGTGTTGGGATTCGCTTCTATGCCTGTGACTAATACACAGCAGTGAAATATTTCAACGGAGAGATTTCCTTCCTTCCTCTCTTTCCTCTCCTTCTCCTTCTTCTCCTTCACGCTATTTGAACAATACGAACAAACACAATGACAGTTGCTGAACTCAAACCATACCAATCCGCTTCCAACGACTTCAGAAGTGATACCTTCACCACGCCAACAGAGGCGATGATCAAAGCTGCTCTGACCGCTTCGATCGGTGACTCCGTCTATAACGAGGACGTTGATACCATTGCGCTCGAGCAGAAGGTGGCCAAGCTGGCTGGGAAGCCTGCTGGGCTGTACTGTGTCTCCGGTACCTTGTCGAACCAGATCGCCATCAGAACACACCTGTTCCAGCCACCATACTCAATCTTGTGTGACTACAGAGCCCACGTCTACACACACGAGGCGGCAGGGTTGGCAATGCTTTCAAACGCAATGGTTGTCCCTGTTAGACCTTCCAACGGTGACTATTTGACTCTGGAGGACATCAAGAAGAACCTGGTTCCTGAAGATGGTGATATCCATGGTGCGCCTACTAAGCTGATCTCCTTGGAGAACACTTTGCACGGTATCGTATATCCATACGAGGAGTTGTTGAGAATCAAGCAATTCTGTGTTGAAAACGGCTACAAATTGCACTGTGACGGTGCCAGAATCTGGAATGCCAGTGTCGAGACCGGTGTGCCATTGCACAAGTATGGTGAGATCTTTGACTCCATCTCAATCTGCCTGTCCAAGTCCATTGGTGCGCCAATGGGGTCCGTGCTGGTTGGTGAGCTTCCCTTCATCAAGAAGTGTAACCACTTCAAGAAGCAATGTGGAGGTGGTATCAGACAAAGCGGTATGATGGCCAAGATGGCCATGGTTGCCATTGAAGACAACTTGCCCTTGTTGAAGTCCTCTCACGAAAAGGCTAAGAACTTGGGAGATTTCTGTATCGAGAACGGCATCGTGCTTGAGTCTCCTGTGGACACGAACTTTGTCTTCATCGATCTGGAGGCAAACTACATCAAGGATGATGACCTGATCAAGTTCGGGAAGAAGCACAACGTGAACCTCATGGGTGGGCGTATTGCGTTCCACTATCAGATCTCTGACGAGGCTTTGGAGAACGTGAAGCTGGCCGTATGGGATGCCTTTGAGAACGCAAAGAAGAACCCATACGTCCACGACGGTCCTTATAAGATGTACCGTTCTCCTACCCCAGTGAAGTACTGAATAGGGTACGGCTTGGGAGTAAGATAAACTAAAAATGGCAATTGAGGTTACGAAAAGTGTTATTTATAAAAGGGGTCCATTCTTGGGAATCACCAGTACAACCAACGTTGGTTTACTAGTGGTGGGAATGTGATCATACTGCATGCGTGTTTTTTTAAAGGGTTTATGGGTTTTTTGACTAATGGTGGAGCACTCCTGGTGTGTCCAATCATATGGGGCGTACGCTGGCATGGACTCTCCAAGATGCTGCGACACTGCAGTGACAGGCGTGTCTGTTGTACACCAGGCAGGACAGGTCTTGCTGGCTATGGAATGTCCAATCAGCCAGTGCCATCTTGACGAGGTTGCTCCACTGAGCCACTACTTGTTGATGGTATACATGGCAAGCATTGCATACAACTGCGATGGTTTTTCCCAGTTTTTTTTCTTTTTTTAGGCAATGAATCGATACTGATAAAGGTTCCCTTATGTCAATTGTAGTTGAGGCGAAGACGTTGAGCCCACCGGTGGTGCTGAGAGCAGTTGATGTGTATAAGTGTGTTGTCATTGCCCTGGTAACCTATGTTGCCTTGGCAACGCAGACAAGAGAGGTAAACACAGGCCGTCCCAAAGAGGAAATCATTCCGGATTCGGAGCATTTCCCCTTTGGGACAGCCGAAACCACTCGTATTCCGTTGCCCTGACAACGGCCAAAATTTTTCCCACGGCCAAAATTGCACCAAAATTGCACCAAAAGACAGCCAGTAAAATTCCATCAAATCAAACAAAAACATCAACACTATCAGCACAGGCTTCACCAAAAAGCACAGCAGCTGGCCTTTGATTGTCTTATTCGACGTGCTTTTCACAACACTTGGCCCTCTCAGCATTGAATTGTCCGATCAACAGAGCTCTGACGTGTTCTGTTCTGCTGTGATCTTATAGAGCGAGAGGAAACCACGGAAACGACCCACTGGACGAAGGCGTGGAAAGCTATGGGTTATCAACAACTGCTTCTTCAGAGGTTTACTGACCCCTCGAAAAACAAGGTGCCAGTGTCAGTGCTTGGTGTTGTTGTTGCGTTGTTTGTGCTGTACAACCTGGTGCTGAACTTGGCATTTGAGCATCTGTACACACCTCAGCTGGCGTCGGTGCCTGGAGTGGAGTTCTACGACCTGGGTGATTTCCAGGGGAGTGCTGATGGCTGGCAGAGGGAGGAGCGGATCCTGTTCTGTGTTCCCCTGAGAGATGCCTCTGCTCACTTGCCCATGTTCTTCAGCCACATGAAGAACTTGACGTATCCACACCATCTGATTGATCTGTCCTTCCTGGTGTCAGACTCGTCAGACGATACGATGGACTCGCTGGTGAAGCACCTGAGAGAGATCCAGAACAGCCCGGATAAGAGGCTGCACTTCGGTAACATTGAGATCTTCGAGAAGGATTTCGGCCAGGCCATTGGACAAGGGTTCAGTGACCGTCATGGATTCGAGGCCCAGGGCCCGAGACGGAAGCTCATGGCCAGGGCAAGAAATTGGCTTTGGACCGTGTCGATCAAGCCATACCATTCCTGGGTCTATTGGAGAGATGCAGACGTTGAGACTGTCCCACCAACGATCTTGGAGGACTTGATGCACCACGGTAAGGATGTCATTGTTCCTAACGTTTGGAGACCTCTGCCTGACTGGTTAGGCAATCAACAACCCTACGACTTGAACTCATGGCAGGAAAGTGAAGGAGGCTTGCAGTTGGCGAAGACACTCGGTGAGGATGCCGTTATAGTCGAGGGCTACGCAGAGTACGCCACATGGAGACCTCATTTGGCGTACCTCAGAGACCCATACGGTGATCCAGAGGTGGAGATGGATTTGGACGGCATTGGTGGAGTTTCCATCCTCGCAAGGGCCAAAGTGTTCAGAACAGGTGCCCATTTCCCTGCGTTCTCATTCGAAAAGCACGCTGAGACGGAGGCTTTTGGTAAGATGTGCAAACGTTATGGTTATTCCGTGATTGGATTACCACATTACGTGATATGGCACATCTACGAGCCTTCGTCAGACGATCTGAAGCACATGGAATGGATGGCTCAAGAGGAGGCGAAGAAGGTTGAAGAGAATAAGATCAGAGCAGTCTACGACAAGGTGTGGGCCGAAGGATTCGAAGACGTGTCCGAGGAATGGAAGAACGACCGCATCAACATCTTCAAGAACACAGATACTCATAAGATTAAGCCAATCAAAGTGGATTGGTCAGGTGTTGATGTTGTTGCGAAGAACCCACTTGTCAACGAAAAGGACAAGGACAAAGTCTTAGCAGCCTTTGATCCAAACTCATGAGACATTCGTTTTCCGTTATAAAGGGTTTTTACTTACATTTACTTCTATATCACTATGTTTACATTAATGCATGCCATGTTTTATTTTTGTTATATGCCATTCTGGAGCAGATGATATATGACTATAGTTTTCTTTTAGTGCTGCGTGCTCTCACTCTGGACCCATCTCCTTTAACTCTGCTTGTTCATCTATTGTGCTGTCACCGAGGTCTTTTCCAGGGTGTTCATTGGAATTACCAGAGGCGTTCTTTCCAAAGAAGGTCAGCTTCCTGACGATGGATCTGGAATTACCAGTGGATCCGGATTGAATTGAGGCGACTTCGCCGATTGGATGGTCTTGTTCATGGCTCGACGTACTTTGTCTTCTTGCAACAGTGGAACCCTTACGGTTCATGGAAAACAGTTTCTTTGGTGTTGAGGTAAGCGTTGAGGACGTACCAGACAGATGCAAGTCGTCTGCAGACTCTTCAGTTGTATCGCCTCTTGGATTCGTGCCGTTGAATAGCGACACGTTCTGCTTTGTAGGAGATAGAGCATTGGCACTTTGGCCAAACGTGAAGAGACTTTTCTTCTTGCGGAAGAAAGACGGGGAACTTGCCTGCTGCGGAGATGAATCCAAGGATGACTTCGAAGACTTCATCGTAATAGCTGTAGACTTATTTGTACTGCTTAGATGTACAGCTGGACCGAGTTCGTGATCTTCACTGACAGGTTCAGAGGAAACAGAGTGGGATGAGGATGGAGCCTGGGAAAAACTATTCTGATCGATAGAGCTTGAGAATTGAGCATGGCTGTGAAACTTTGACCAACTCTTATTATCCTTCTCTAATGAACCATTGGAGTTAACAGAAACATTTCTAGCGTGTAAACTATCTCCAAATGGAGATCTTGATCCCCAAATATGGTCAAGAGGTTTATCCACAGAGAAACCAGCAGAGTCTCTTGTGGATTTCAAATTGGAATCAAGAGTTGAAACATTAGAAAAGAATTTGCTTCTCTGCGACTGTGCATTACTGCGTTGCTGCTGAGAGGCTTCGTCAGTGTCTGTGGTTTTCTTACCGAAACCAAATACATTTGACAGCCTTCTTGGTGAAAAGACACTAGCTTTGGTTTCTTGGTTTCCTTGAGAAAGCTGTACATGAATGTTATCCGGATTACCTCCAGATAATAGAGATGACAGATCTGTTGGACCAGCATTGACAGGTGAGCTATGTGGAGACATAAATTCGTTTTGGAAGGAGTGCGGAGGAGAGGTTGTATTCTCCAAGGAATAACGCGGCGCAATACCAAAGTCGTTATGGAAGATTGATCTTGTGCTCAAGTTGGCTGCAAAATCGTGATTGAATGGCGATGTGACAGATGCCTGGGATTGTAATAAGGGTCCATCTCCAAGAGGCGGAGAGCGCTCTTCACTCTTTCTATAACTGTCGTCACCAACAGAAGTTTCAGCCTCAAAAGAATCTTCAAATACAAAATCTGGCAAGTCTTCACCAAATTCTTCACCAATGAGATTAGCAGGTAAGTAGTGTTGAACGCTTGGTGATTCCAAGTTTTCCTCGCTTGAGCGTTGACCAGTTTCTGTATCCAACGTCAGCCTGTTTGTAAATCCCAAATTAATGCTGTTGTTGTTCCAAACTGACTGTGTTTGCAGTGCCACCTTCAACGAAGGGGAACTATTGCTGGTGTTCGTCGAGTAGATGAACGTTGAAGGTGGATTGCTTGAGCTGCTTTGCGGTCCGGAATAAGTGCTATACATACTGTTAGAATGTAACAGTGCAGGTGCTTGTGGTGGAGGTGTTCCTAAAGGTGAATTCAACTTAGCTTCAGGTACGATTCCATTCTTAAGACTTCTATGTTCAGCCTTTAAGGAGTCGTACACTTGAGTGACTTTATGACAATGACTCACTTCACGTTGTTGGCCAGCTCTCCATCTCGCTTCAAGCTTTGTGTCGGTGTCGATTTCTTCTTGAACCTTTATATGATAAGCTGGTTCCAAGTTTTGCAAAAGCTGTAATGCCTTAATTCCCTCAGCATCAACCATACCTGTGTTGTTAGTATGTTCACGTAAAGTCTTGAAGACCTTAACCAACTGTGGCTTCAACGCTTCTTTCTGTTTCTTTCTTTGAATCAAAGATTTGATGGTGTCTTCTAACGACGCAATTGAACCTTGTAGCTCCTTGATACATCTTTCCTTCGTTTCAATGTCGGATTCCAATTCTGCGTGAACCACATTTTCAGAATTTTCAAGTTTTAAACAATCATCTTCAAACTGTTCAATTTTCTTGTTCCACTCAACCAATTCCTTTTCCATCTTGGCTATGTGCTGCCTTTTCTCCTTTAACAAGTTTTCCTGTTTCTGCTTTTTGATATCAGCCAGCCTTCTGGCGTCATCGAGCATTGTTATTTCAGACTTGATCGCCTGCCTATTACCATCTTCCAACCTTTTACGTTCACGCAGAGTTTGTCTTTCCTCAATCAATGAAGCCTCCTGGTCTTTGAACTGTTGCAACGTCGTAGCCTGTTGATTCAAAATCTCATGTAGTTCCTCTTGTCCTGACTCCAAGTAGAACCGGAGCTCTTCAATGTCCTCCATAGACTTTGGATCAATTAGCAGCGCGCTCGCAGCTGATGGCAGCACACTGCCCGTCTCGTTCGCAAGCGAATTCGTAGTGTTCGATCTCGATCTTCCGATCCGCTGTTGCTCGCTAGCCGGTGTGGACGTGACCTTGTGAACCATCGGATCCTTTGCGCTCTTATCCGTCAGCATCTTAAACAGGTTATCAGGGTTCTCCAACAAGACATCCGCCGCTCTCCGCTGTAACTCCGCAGACTTGGTCATGATATACACGGATCGACTCTTAGACTTATAACCCCGTTGATTTGCCGCAATGAGGTCCAGCTTATACTTCGTGCGTGGGTTCAAGTTCTGGATACAGCAGTGAGAATCAAAGCCAGACATCGTCGCCACCTCCACACCGTTCAAGTACACGTAAAACATCAGCACTTTCTGCTCATCCGCAAACAGGTCCCAGTGGATGTGCACAGCAGTATCGGTGATACAATCAACAGAGACCTTATGCGCCCTTGGAATATCAATGTTCAGTAGCCCGATGAGCTTATCCAAGGGCATAGACAACACTCCATGAAGCCTATGCAGTAACCACAGCACCGCGCACCCAACAACCACCACATGGATATACATCTTGCACTGCCGACCTATCTTCGTGTGCCCAACCGCTGTGTGAGTCCCCACTTTATTAACGAAGCCGCCGTATCTTCTTCTTTGTTGTTGTTGTTGATGTTGATGTTGTTTATGCTTGCCTTTTATACAATTTTTCTCCACGGCGGGAGCACCAGGCACGATGTGCTGCCCGTACCATCAATTTAGGGAAGGTCCAGACGCAGCACCTCGGAAGTGACCTGCTTACATAAGCAAGCCCCCCGGTCTCCACATATACCCTCCACTGTGCAGATGGCTCGGTATTCATATACACTACTTCTGATGTATACACGTTGCCGAGGGCTATCAACCGGTTCCAATGTATGCTATCATAGATGAAATGTGCAGCTGAGTCCAATTGAACCGTTTTTAAGCTCCCTTTGAGCTTCTTCCATGCTTCAATTGGGACCCTTAAGTGGTGCTTTCTCATTATGCCTCGGAGCTTTTTCCAGCTGTGTATAAATACATACGTGTGGCTCCAATCTTGCCGTCCGCAATCTCATTGTAGAAGACCTGATAACAGCAGTTAGGCCCAGCACAGACAACATGTCACGCAGCAAGTACTCTGCGCGGAACGAGTTCAGAAGCGACACATTCACCACGCCTTCAAGGGCCATGCTGGAGGCAGCGCTGGATGCCTCTGTTGGCGATGCTGTGTACGACGAGGACGACGATACCAATGAGCTCCAGGAGAGGATTGCTCAGCTCACAGGGAAGGAAAGAGGCCTGTTCTGTGTGTCTGGTACGCTGGCGAACCAGATTGGGGTCCGCACTCACCTGAAGGAGCCTCCCTACTCCATCCTGTGCGACCATAGGGCTCATATATATGTGCACGAAGCTGCTGGGCTGGCTATGCTTTCGAATGCAATGGTTGTCCCTGTGAAGCCTTCAAATGGCATCTACCTTACTTTGGAGGACATCCAGGAGCACTTCATCGTGGACGATGAGGATATACACAGTGCTCCCACGAAGCTCATTGCGCTGGAGAACACCGTGCACGGTGTTGTCCATCCCTACGAAGAGCTCGTCAGAATCAGCCAATGGTGTAAGGAGAACAAGATCCCATTACATTGCGACGGTGCACGTCTCTGGAATGCCAGCGTCGCCAGTGGCGTGACCTTCAAGCAGTACGGTGAGATATTCGACTCCATCTCCATCTGTCTCTCCAAATCCATCGGTGCACCAATTGGTTCTGTTCTTGTTGGCTCCAAGCAGTTCATCAAGAAGGCAAACCACTACAAGAAGCAGTGTGGTGGTGGCATTAGACAGAGTGGGCCCATGGCACGTATGGCCATGGTTGCCATTGATGAGAACTTGGGCAAGCTGGAGGAGACTCATCGCAAGGCCAAGGAGCTCGCAGATCACCTCGTTGCTAACGGCATCGCGCTGAACGAGCCTCCAGACACAAACTTCGTCTTCATCGACGTCAAGAAGTCTCCAATCGACAATGACTTGCTCATGGAGATTGCTGAGAAGCACAACGTCAACGTGTGGGCCGGACGTATCGCCTTCCACTACCAAGTTGACGATGAGGCCTTACAGAGTATCAAAACAGCCATCGTCGAGGCATTCGAACAGACAAAGGCACTCGACAAGAAGAATGTGGTTACAAAGATCTACAACACAACCTCTGCTGAGTGAAATATCCACAGTTTATATACATCAGTCGTTTAGATATGCGTTCCATTTTGATTATATGCGTTTTCTCTCCATGCCGTTGATTGTAGGCAGCTGGGACGTAATTATAGGCAGCCAAATACGGAAATTTCACATGATCCGGCTCACACCAGCAACCACAACCATCAACAGTAAAACAGCCCAGAACAGTAAGCAACGCCTGCCAATTAGCGATGTCAGCACAAGAGAAGAAGACTCAATTGGAGAGCCAGCTCTCCCCGGTGGTCCAGCAGGCCATCAAGCTGTCGCAGACAGCGACTGAAGGCAGGTCGTTCAGGCCATTGCCCTCGTCGTCGTCCTTCTCTCTCATCGACAGCGATGCGGACGTGAAGGCTCAGTGGGGCCATCTCGGGCTGGAGGCCATCTCACAGGGTAAAGTGGGTGTTATACTTATGGCTGGTGGACAGGGAACCCGACTGGGCTCGTCAATGCCGAAGGGCTGCTACAACATTGGCCTGCCTTCGAACAAGTCCTTGTTCCAAATACAGGCCGAGAAGCTCGTCAAGGTTCAGCAGCTGGCCAATGAGAAGTTTGGCACGACAGATGCTCGTGTTCAGTGGTATGTGATGACCTCTAAACCAACGAGAGACAACACTGAAAACTTCTTCAAGGAGAATGGCTACTTTGGTCTCTCAAAGGATCAAATTGTGTTCTTCAACCAAGGCACACTGCCATGCTTCGACAAGGCTGGCAAGCAGATTCTGCTGGAGTCCAAGGACGCCATTGCGGAGTCTCCAGACGGGAATGGTGGACTGTACAAGGCCATCTACACCAATGGACTACTGGAGGACTTTGCAGCACGAGGCATAGAGCACATCCACATGTACTGCGTTGATAACGTGCTGGTGAGGGTTGCAGACCCGGTCTTTATTGGGTTCTCCATCGAGAACAAGTTTGAGCTCGCTACTAAGGTGGTTAGAAAGAGAGATGCCTCCGAGTCCGTTGGCCTCATTGTGCTGGATGAAGCTCTGCAAAGGCCAGCAGTGATTGAATACTCTGAGATTTCAAAAGAGTTGAGTGAACAGAAGGACAATTCTGGGTTGTTGAGCTTCAGAGCTGCCAACATCGTCAATCACTACTACTCCGTTGAGCTGCTCAACAAGAGAATTACAACATGGATTGACAACCAGGAGTTCTTGCCATTTCACATTGCCTATAAGAAAATCCCATGCTTGAACGAAGAAGGGGTCTTTTACAAGCCAACAGAGCCCAACGGTATCAAGTTGGAGCAGTTCATCTTTGACGTGTTTAAGGATATCCCACTGGATAAGTTTGGATGCTTGGAAGTGGAGAGATCAGATGAGTTTTCTCCGTTGAAGAATGCCTCTGGTGCAAAGAACGATACACCAGAGACATCCGTTGCAAATTATTTGAAACTGGGGACCAAGTGGGTCAAAGACCAGGGTGCAACATTGGAAGATGGTGACTTGGTTGAAGTTTCCAGCTTGACATCTTATGCAGGGGAAGGACTGGAAAGCGTCAAGGGGGAGAAGTTGTCGAACTTGCAAATCATCTAGAGGGTCCACCCTGCCAGAAAAAGATATTAAATATGTATTTCACACGTCCAGCATGTAGTTTTGTATAGATCTTGTGTTATGTATAGATCTCGTGTTATGTATGTCTTTAGAATTCCTGGTCCTCTCTTTTTGAAAGTGCTGTTTTCATCTCTTCAAACAACGAGTGTGCCACTTCGGAGTCGACTTTCACATCGTTCTTACTCATCTCGCTGTCCTTTACATGAAGCTCTTCACCATTCTCCTCAACTGATACTGAATTTGTCGATGTCATCATGGAAAAGTTCTTCTCGAGTTGTTCCTTCAGCATCTGATCATCCATGGTTTCAAAAGTCGTATCATCAGTGTTGGAAGAAATCACAACACTATCATTTGTCGATAAAAAGTTCTTAACATAGTCGTCTTGGTAAAATGAAGACGATTCGGTGCTTTCAGTAACTGTTAGTAATGATAGCCCTAGCCCTGAACTCATCCTCTTATAATGCTTTGGACTTGACGATGCACTCTTGGATGGATTTCCCTGTTGTGATGGTGACGATTGTACGTGTTGTAGAGGCAGCGAGAATCTCTTTCTCGTCGTGGAAGTAACCCGTTGTTTAGTCAAGTGGAAGGGTCTGCGATTCGATGAGTTTTCCAATTTGTTCAAGTCCTTGTGGTACTGCTGTACAATTGAATCTATAGTTATTTGTAACTTTCTGTAACTTTCCAATTGAACTTCTGAAGCTGCATTTCTATCCACCGCTAACAGTTTCAGTTGTAAATCTTTAATATGTTTGGATAATTCGAGCGTTGGATCGAGTTTTGTGGAACTGTCAAGACCACGCAAATCCATGGGTAAAGAGCTTAGTGAGATGTCATGTTGTTGGATGAAATCCTTCATCGATGAAGTTAACATGACAATTAAGCTATTTTGATCATCTAATGTCTTTAAAAGTACACCCCACCTGGATGAAATTGTCAACTTTACATTGGAATCAATTTTGAAAAGCGAAGTTAGCTGTCTCATAAACTCAACGTTTATCAACGCTTCTCCACGTTCCGACCCAAAGTCAAACGCCAATAGAGAACAGATGAAAAAGCGTCTCAGAGATCTCAATTTGTACAACTTGTTAACAATAAAGTCGATTGTGAAAGAAGGCGTCTCTGGGTCAAATACTGAGACCAAATCTGTAGTTTGAACGTTATAAATATCACAGTAGTTTTGTAACTCCAATCCATTAACAGAAGCGAGTAGCTCTTTTGAAGAAGTGGTACAGCGTTGGAGTGAGAGTGTTAAGACACTATTCACCATGGCAAACACAATGTTTGGATCCATATCGTCAGAATGTTTTGTGTGCGGTACTAGGTCTGTGTATATGCTCAATTCCTTAAACTTTGTTATCAATTTAGCAACGAGTGTATCGAATTTTTGGAATCCTTGGATTATTGCCTTCAGCTTTGAAAGCGTAGATACATGCCACAAATCTGTTATGATCGACTTGGAGCGAAGGTATAGGTGTGTACTGGACAGTGATCTGATCAGTGTTGTCTTCACATCTTGAGGCGAATGGAGCTGTGCTGATCGGCTCTTCAATCTGTTCAATTGAATTGCAGAGTCCAGCACAGTCAGTTCATTGAAATGTGGCGATATTGAATACTTGGAGTCATAACGAACAACTTCACCGTGTTTTGTATAGAATACCTGCTTCCCATTGGGCGAATGGAAAGAGGCTGCTGACTTCTTCTTCTTTGAAAACTTGGAAACCATCAGAGCTTCATCTAAAAGTTCACTCGTCACAAGTAGATATCTGTACTCCTCTATGAAATCCTCAAATTGTAACTCCAGGTCCTCGTTTCGTCTCTTCAATTCTTTACAGAGCTCGCTCGCAGACCAGTGTCGTACCGGCCCACTCCGCACATCTTGTATTTGAACGTGTCTAACCTTCGCAGGGCTCATTCCCCAAAAGTTCACATCCTCTTCCAACCGAGGCGTATCGCCATGAATATCAACTTGACCATGCGCATAGTCATTGACCAGAGTCGGAGAGCTCATCGATCTGAAGTCGTTAGAGTCAATGCCCCAGTCCGAGACCCCATCGTACGCAACATCATCACCACCACCACCACCATCATCGCCAACGTCTTCATTCCGAATCACCTTGTTCTGCGGCAGCACGGATTGACTAAGATACCTTCTGAATGGAGCCAACCCGTCCATGAAGTAACTTGTGCCACTCATCTTCGCTGGTCTTCCCTGCTCTTCGTAGCCGCCGTTGACTTCGTTTTGATTCCTGTGTTCTTTGTTTTGATGTGAAGAGAATGCTTTGTTTGTTTACATTTTTTTTTAGTCCTCACGCTGTGAGAACCGAGGCCGGCGCATTTGTGGCTAATTTGGCCGCCTCTCCTCATCTCGGCTGTTCTTTGTTTACGTTTTGGTACAGGGGCACTACAGGTGCTTTGGAAACCAGGGCAACTGGAAACCAGGGCAACTGGAAACCAGGACAACCTAACCTACGAGAGCAGCTGGGTTTCTTCATGATGAGAGAGGGATACGATACAGGCCAGTAGACTTGGTTATGTTGATTAGCTGTGGATACGTGAGATAAACAAGAGAGAGAGACCATGTGAATGATTTATTATAAAAGATTTTGGCCTAGCTCTGCGAGCCTTTCACAGTACGGTAGTCTCATGCTCTCAGCTTCCTTGAGCTTTTCCTTGTCCGCAAGGAACCATCCGTAAGCGTTTTGGATCTTAATATCCTTAACGTTTCTCTCCCTCTGGCACTCCTCCCTGAGTGCACCGATGTAGTTGTTCTCTACCCTGCGGTCCAACTCTTTGAGTTTCTTCGTCGAGAGGGAAGTTGCCTGGTCCGGGGTGATGTAATATGGCACGGAGAACCGTTCAGTGAACCGTTCCTGGGAGAACCTTGTAGATGGTGAGGTTTGGTACTTTTCTGGTCGTTCTGCGAAGATGTTTGAGATTAGTGGTATTAGAAGCATCACGATCAGTGGGAGGTATTGTTTCAACTGGTCTAGAACCCCCAGGGGCTGCTGGTTTTGGTTTCCTGCTTGTTGTCGGCGTTGGTTTTGACCGCCATTTGGTCGACGCTGTCTCTGCTGGAATCCTTGGAATCCATTACCTCCCATCGTGTACATTCTGAACCCACCTGGGCCGCCAAACGAGAACCCTGGGTTACCACCTTGTCCAAATAGCATATCAAACAAATCGTCATTGCCAAAGCCAAACTGCTGGAATCCCTGTGGGAACCCCTGTGTAAAGAACTCCTGTGGCACACCTCCTTGCCCTCCAAACGGCGAGCGTCCTGCTCCTCCTGCTCCTGCTCCTCCAAACCCACTCGGGGCCTCGCCACCAGTCTGGTCGTATATCGTTCTCTTCTGGGCGTCTCCCAACACCTCAAACGCTTTATTTACCCTCTTGAAGCTCTCGTCCGCTTTGGGATGGGCATTCTTGTCCGGATGTACCTTCAACGATATCTTTCTATATGCCTTCTTGATCTCCCCTTCAGATGCGCTCTGCTCAACATCCAAGATCTTGTAGTACTCCGTGGCTCCATGCTTCAAGATCTTCTCGACGATAACCTCCTGTTCTTTGGTATAGGATCTATCAGACATCGTGCGACTGCAAAACTAACCTTCAGCTTCTCCTTAGACGAGTCTGTCCGGATGTTTCTCTTCAGACGTTCTAGGCAGATGTTCCTCCTCAGACGTTGCTCCTCAGACGTTCAACGGCACACCTCTGCCAAATCGCACTAAAAATGTCCAATCGCTCGCCAAACACACACAAACAAAAAGAAACACAGCCATTGCGTGGCCCGCGCTCCTCCTCCAACAACGGGCGTGCGCGAAACGGTGTGTGTTCTTGTGCCGGTGTTGACTTCCCAATTTAGAAGTGCCAACGCAATACCAGCCCATCGTTTCAAAAACGCGAATTCCGGTGAATGGTCCCTAGTCCCCAGTCCCCCAGTCTCACAGCGCATTCCGGCCGCTCTCCAGTGGCCATGTTCTCACCGGAACTCCCCGATTAGGCAAAAAGGAGATGACATGCTCACACACAACACAGCGAACTGGCCACCCCCAGCGTAATTTCTCAAACAAACTACGGAACCCTGCCAACCAGTGCTAAAGCTGCACTTTGAACGGAGGAAAGAGGACTACGCCGGTGTTGCAATTGCTCTGTATTTTGGGGAAATAGTGGGTGTTTTTTGCCTATTCAGCGTATTAGACTGCTCAGATTTGCTTTTTCTTCGGCAATTTCCCATCGAGCTCCTGGAGTGTGATTGTTCCTTCTACGTTATAGCCTTGTTTGTGTGGGCTTTACTGTGTGTGTTTTTCCCAGGCATTCGTCCTCCTTTGGAGTTATCACATACTCATCTTCCATTACCGGCGTTCAAGCATAGGCAGGGATTGGTACCATCCATTGTCGGTGTAGCTGTCTGACTTTTCTTTGGACTTGATCTTGCTTCCCGGCTAGCGCAGGATTCGAGTTTCAGCGAGAGGAACAAGGCCGTTATCTCGAAAGCAAGAGAGCAGCAGGACATAATGAGCAACAACAAGGTGAGTAGGGCCCCATCTTCACGTGCCGGAGAGACAGGCACACCTCTGCGTACGGATGAGAACAAGCCAGTTGTGTCGGACGCACTGGCTAAGAATTCAAGGCAGCTATTGTATGCCCATCTTTACAACTACTTGATTGAGAATAAGCTCTATGACACTGCAAAGATCCTGCTTGATGAAGCTGATATCCCATTATCCGCGTCCAAGGACGTTTCTTCGGGCACACAGAAGGAGCCCAACTTGGAACTGGGTGACTTGCCCGACGTTAAGATGCTGATGACTTCGCCAGACACGTTCCTCTTGGAATGGTGGCAGTCCCTTTGGGCACTCCATAGCCATGTCAGAGACACTGCATCGATTCAGCAACAGGTTCAGCAACAAGTACAACAGCAGGTGCAACCTCAGCAGATTGGCGTTCAGAACCAGCAGTTACAACATCAGGTTCAATTGCAACAGCAACAACAACAACAAGTGCCACAGCAACAAGTACCACAGCAACCGCAGCAACAACAAGTGCCACAACAACAAATGCCACAGCAACAAGTGCCACAACAACCATTACCACAACAACCACAACAACCACAACAACCACAGCCAATGCAACAACTTCACCAACCTCAACAGCAGCCAATGCAACCTCAGCTGCAACTACCACAACAGATGCAGCCCCAACTTCAACAACCTCAGCTACAACAACTACCTCGACAGGCCCAGCAGGCTCAGCAGGCTCAGCAAGTCCAACAGCACCCTCAGCAAGGTCAGATACAAGGACAATATCAGTACTCAATGATGCCTAATGGTATAGTTTCAGGACCATATGGTATGCCCCAACAGGCTGGCCAACCTGGCGCGGTTATGATGGGTTCAGCCCAGTCTCCAATGTCAACATCTGCGATGTCTCCGATGGCGAACCGTGTTTCTATAACCGGTGGACAACCTGTTCAATCGTTACAGTCACCTTTACCACAATCTGCTGTGGCTACACCTATGGCAAACATGAACACTTTACATGCCAATGTCCCAAACAACGGGAATAATAGTCGTAATAATCAACAACAACAGCAACAACAACAACAACAGCAGCAACAGCAACAGCAGCAGCCGATCAACAGAGCCTCTGTTGGAATGCAGCAACAGCAGACAGCCCCAAGACAGCCTACAAAACACATACAAGTGCCTGGTCAAGATATGAATAACCAGCAGATGAGATCTGGGTCCATGGGAGCCGGCCAAACGATTGTTCAGAACCAGTTCAGCCAGCAGCGTACAGGTGGTGCGCAGAACATCCAACAGCCATGGCAGTTCACCAAGATACAACAGGCCCAGGCTCAGGAACTCCAGCAGAGAGTACAGATGCAGAAGAGTCAGCTGAACAATCAATTGCAGAACTTTGGTAACTTGACACCACAGCAGCAGATGTTGATGCAACAGCAGAGGTTACAAGCATTACAAAATGGACGTATTGTTGGCCAGCAGCAACAACAGGGTGGGCAGTTCCAGCAGCAGGCTCAGCAGATGATGATGATGCAACAGTCACAACCACAGCATCCACCATCACAGTCCCCACTCCTGCGACCACAACAAATGCCTATCAATAATGGGACTGGACAGAATGGTATGCTTCCCCAAGGTCAACTGAACCCTGTGGTTGATTCAGGTATCATTGGTGGTGAGAATATGGCTGCGCTTCAAGACTACCAGATGCAGTTGATGATGTTAGAGAACCAGACGAAGATGTCACAGTCGGAGTCTCAGAACGTAACATCGCAACATCCACAACAGCAGTCGTCACAACCGTCATCACAGCCATCATCGCAACCACCATCTCAACAGCCACCATCTCAACAACTGCCTGAACAAGCACAACAACGAAAGTATCAAAAGCAGCAGAAACAGCAGAAACCTCACAGACAACAGGGCCCGGGCTCGAACAAGAATGCCCAAAACAGTGAAGCCACGGCCAATTCGAACAACAATACTACTATTAGTGCAAATTCTAACGGGACCACCGGTGCTACGACCAACGGCCAGTCCTTGGATAGATCGAGGATGCCCTCTGTCGGTGTTGATCCTCTACAACCGGACCCAATGATGATGGCTGACCTCTTCTCTGGGGATCTACCGACTGGACAGTGGAACTCAGAGGATTTGGGGTTTAGCGGAGATTTGAACCTTTAAAAGGCTCTACAAATACATGTTGATAACATTAGCAGTGTAGATTGCATATCAAAGACGGTACCTTTTACAACTTGTTACCCAGGTTAACGTGGATAGCCTTAGCCACTGTGAATGCCTCGATACCGAATTTACCCAACTCTCTTGTTTCGTTACCACTCATCTTGTTACCACCGAATGGGATTCTAACGTCAGAGTCGTTATTGGAGTTGATCCAAACCATACCAGACTCTAACTGTTGAGCAACGAGGTGCGCTCTTGTGATGTCCTTGGTAAAGAGAGCAGCACCAAGAGCATAGATACTGTCATTGGCAAGCGAAACAGCCTCCTCATCAGTGTTGAACTTGGCAATCGAGATCACTGGGCCAAAGATCTCCTCCTCCACGATCTTGAAGTCCTGCTTCACATCGGCAAAGATGGTTGGTTCAATAAAGTAACCATCTTGTAGATCCTTTCTATCAGGGACTTTACCACCAAGAACGACACGGGCACCTTGATCCTTACCAGATTGGATGTAGTTGAGGATCTTGTCATACTGAGCCTTAGAGACCTGAGGACCAACCACCACGCCGTCCTCGAATGGCAATCCTTGTGGGTATTCGGCAATGACATGGGCCTTCAACTCTTGCAAGAACTTCTCGTAGATTGACTCATGGACATAGGCACGGGATGAACCAGTGCAGATCTGGCCCATGTTGTAGAAGATACCAAAAGCAGTCCATTTGACAGCCTGTTCCAGATCAGCATCGTCAAACACGAGCAACGCGGTCTTTCCACCACATTCCAAGGTGACAGGCTTCAAGTAGTCAGCCGCAACCTTCTGGATAACACGACCAGTGGCAGTGGAGCCAGTGAACGCAATCTTCTGGACATCTGGGTGCTTAACGAGGGCATCACCGGCCACTCTCCCAAACCCGGAAACCACTTGTGCAACACCAGGTGGGAAGCCGGCCTCCTTGAACAATTGGGCAAAGTACAGCACAGACAGCGGTGTCTGTTCTGCTGATTTGAAGATGGCACAGTTACCAGCAGCCAGAGCAGTCAGTTTCCACCCAAACATGGCTAGTGGGTAGTTGAACGGGATGATACAGCCGACAACACCAATTGGCTCACGGATGGTGTACGCAAACTTGTTTGGGCCAGCTGGGATGACAGAGCCTTCGAGCTTGTCAGCCCAGCCAGCAACGTACTTCAACAGCGCAACAACCTCATCCACGTCGTACACCGCGTTCGAATCCTTTGGCTTGCCGGAGTCGTTGGCCTCCAGTGCGCCCAATATGTCCCGGTCTCTTTCCACCAGCGCCGCCAGCTTCAACAGCAGGTCACGGCGCTCACACCCGTCCATCTGCTTCCACGCTGGGAAGGCAGCCTTCGCTGCCTTCACGGCCTTGTCGATGTCTTCGACACCGGCAGCGTGGACCTTACAGATCGGCTTCCCCGTGGCAGGGTTGATGGACTCGACAAACTCTCCAGAGGTTGCAGCCACGAATTCGTTGTTGATGAACAGCCCAGTTGGCTGTTTGTAAGATTGTCCGTTTGGACAAGTGATTTCGACAAACAGGTCAGACATCGTTGCTATGGAGGCTCTTCGCTAGTAAAGGTTCCCTATTCCTTGCGTGAGACAAGATCGTGGTATAAGTTCAGGAAACGTTTTGGCTACTTCGATGCCCTTTTCAACTCTCCTCCGCCCGAGGCGTTCTCTCGGCGGAGGAGCCCTTATCAGCTTCTGCCTGGGGAGAGAGAGCCCGCCCGCCTGCGCCGATGAGCACTGGGGAGGAGGAATTGATCTAACTCGGCGCACTTTTGACCAAACAGGCGATAAGATAAAAACAACCAATGATGGAGTCGGATCAATTGACGTTTCTGTGCGTGTGTGCGTGTAGACAGAGCGAACTGGGCAGGTTCAGCAGGTGCTAAAGCCCTGTGAGATTAGCTTTGCTGTGGAGAGAGGGAGATGGAGTTGGGTGTAGACTGCGGAATGCACTTCCCAGTTAGGAATGTGTTTGCGGTGCGGGACCCCGGCCACGACGCTAGGCAGAGATGGAGGGCAGGATCGGGTGGTACAGGCTAGGGGCGTTGGCTCGATGGTGTGTGTGGTTGCTTGATGAGAGCATGGCGAGAAGGTTGAGGGTTGATGGATGGAGGATGGAGGATGGAGTATGGAGGTTGAACGTTGAACGTTGAATGTTGCGAGGAGCTCGCATGTGCTGTGTTGTGCTGTGCTAGATGATGAAGGCCTTGGAAGGGTCCTCCAATTCTGCGATGGGGACACTACTGCAGGCAGTGCTTCCAAGCCTGGGCCCACTCCACGGATTGCGATGTGGTGGATGGTTGGAGGGTGCTGGATGGCTTGTGAGTAGTGACGATTGCTTCCCACGGGGTTGTATGTGGCTGCGGTGTAGTTAGAAGCGTGATTTCAGTGCCGAAATGACTGTCGCAGAGAGTCGATGTTGGGTGCAGTCGTAGCTTACCAGGACGATGGTGATGCGAATAACACCTCAATCTCCGAATTCCCGAGATAGCACCAGCCTGTGGCTAACACTCTGAGCAAGAGAGCCACGAGGTATGAGCCTGTAATCTTCAACGCTTACAGAGTTATAGCCAATATTGGTAAAACTCGTCAAAACAGAAACCACACACGAAGCTGCGCATATCTCAACAACAAGGCAAAATCAAGAGAGTCCAACTAGTCACACTGTGGAGTCGACCTATATCATCGTGTATACCGACTCTTGGATCAATTGGCTGGGTGGTACATCCCAAAGGGTTCGTTTCTTGCTCTCTGCTCAATTCGGGTTCTTTCGTTACCCCAGCAACCGTTAAATGTGTAATGGTGGCATAGAAACATACCCTGACAAGGTAAATCCTTCGCATACTCAACGGGAATCAGATTAGTATCACTATAATGTCTACATCGTATATCCATGCGACCGTATATACGAAATCTTACGCTGTACATTTATAAAGTCCCTTGAGCGTACACCAGGGGCCACACAGGTCAAGCTGATAGCGAGCGTACCGAAGATTCAAGGATCAGCATGTCAAGCACAGACATAGGCGAGTAACCTCCCAGAACAGTTACGTTGAGTGGAAATGGAGTCAACGTGTAGGTAAGGAAGCCGTCAATACCAATTGAATTTACGCTTTAGAGCTGCAACCAGTGGCTGTTGCATCTCGAGCTATACGCCCCTTACGGCTGATGGCAGAGATTATACGTCGTCCCATTAAAAGCTTATTGTAACTGGTAAGTACATGGGGTTCAGAGTGATGTCGGATTGGACCATCAGGGGTCCATTCTGCTTCGCAAGGCTCTACTAACAAGCTACGACGCACTACAGTTCCAATTGTAGTCAACACCACCACCACCAACCAGCTTATGCCTTGCAATACAGGCACACACATCTTATCACTCAGCCCGTGGGCCATAGCACCTCAGCTGTCTCCATACAGAATCTGAGCTGATAAAGTAAAACGTTGGAAGGATAACTGAGGCCGAGCAGCAGGCGCCTTCCGTGACGAGACTGCGTGTGAGAACCACTATGTATCTGAAGTAAAGGGGTTTACGCACCAGCGTGATCTTTCCAACTGCTCGACGAGAGGCTACAACGGACATTTCACAAGCTCCTTATCTCGCTCGTATTGTCCACCATTTAGTCCAGAAGGAACCAGACGTTGTCCTCATCATGAGCCCAGTGATAGACCATCCGCTCACCACGCGTTGTTCACGCAGCCGGAAAGCGTGTGTCTCTACCACCTTGTCCGGGCACGCTTACAACAGCGAAACACATCGCTGTGTTCATCAACATCGATCCAAACAACACTCGTAGATTGTCGCATTTTGTCCTCCAAGTTCACTCTGTTTCTCCCTAAACCACCAGCGTTTGGCCTTCAAATGTCAAGTCACGTAGACAAGCCTCTCGAGACTGACTGAAGAGGACACGAGCAGGACATGCACCGGCTGCGGGACAATAAAAGACACAGTGTCTCTGGCCGACCGCACGTTCCTCTGTGCCTTGTGCAAAGGCTGTTTGTCCACTGCGACCTCAACGGTGCGCCCAACATCCTGATCAAGTGTCTTGTCGCTTCTCAGTAAGACACACACTCACAAGGAGTGCGTTCTCCTCTAAAGAAAGCACTACCTTTTTGCTGTCTTCTGGACTTTCTAAGAGGCACAGAATGGCACATTTCCATGAACGACTCATTTACTCTCGGCTATATAGTCTGCTTTTCACACAGGATGCCCATGTATTAACATGCATAATTGGTACATGATCGTCGCATCCTTGGCCATTGCCTTAAATATATATACATATATATATATGATTTTCCCCATTAGCTGCGGAAGAGCGTGGGAAGGAGGACAATTCATTAGGCCTCCACCGATGATCATGTCAGTTTGTTGCCCCCTGAGGCCACCAGTAGCCTAATTTGAGATACAGCAAACCGTGCAAGAGTGAGCTATAAGATCTGATTAGGGATGATATCTTCCTGTATCGATGCCGTGTTCTTCTAGAGAATACAAATGAGCAAAGGTTAATGAACATGTCCAATCAGCTCTGCATACAATGGTCTCAGTCCAAAAGTGCGAGCTGACACCAGCGTCAGTAGAAGCACGTGGAGAGCAATGCATGCGTGTTCCAATAATGTCAGCATCTATCCATAAGCCATGTCCATCGCAACATTCAAATCTAGCTCTATGCCACACAGAAGGAGGACTCCTAGGAGTTGAAATGGTTGCGGCATACTTGAACCATTCACTGCTATGGTTCCTTAGAAAAGCGCTCGATCATGCAACAGTAATTATACACGGCACTTTTCTCAGTAGAGCACAACTTCATCTTGTAAGTTGCAGTGTGTGGAATGACAGTAACGCCAACTGTGTTGCGTCGAAGAATCAGTTGACATCAAAGCCAGCGAAGGTGTCTCAAGGTAGTCCGCGAGAACCTCGGTTTGCATAAGCTGCTGATGGACGTAGACTCGTCAAACAGTCATGACCTACGATCACTATGATTGTTGTCACGCTATAACCTGAGCGACGAGTGAAAAGAGGAGGGCAAAACGCACTACGGATGAATCGTTCATGAATTTGGAGCAACCATGTGGACACATTCGGAAAGCGTTTCAGCAAAACCATCAAGTTGAAGCATGCGAGACAGTGCGACAGTTGTCCCATACATTCAAGTCTACATCTTGAATCACAGGGTCTAATGACGAAGAGCTCACCACTTAAGCGCAAACCGTGTTGTCAAATACTTCCAGCTATTCTGGAAAGGTCTAACACATTCGTTGAAAAGATGTTGTTGAGGTCCCAGAGCTCACAGTATTTTACATATACGTATCATCATGTATGACGTAGACGTTATACCTTGAGAACGGTCCATACTTCAGGCATATCAAAGTTAATCATATAACCATACCAGTGACCAAAATATTATCGTTGCTCCAGGTGCTAGTTATACTAACTGATAAGTCCGACCTCGTAATGGTGTGTGGTTCTATCCACTTGATGGACTGTATAATTGTCGTGATCATATGGTGAATACAGGAACACACCTACACCATCTGTTCATCCAGCTCGGGGATTCAATTTAAAAACGTTGTATACGAAGTCTGTTTCCTCCATGAGTCAGGAATACTAATTGGAAACTGAACGATCGAAACATCATCGCCATCATTTATTGTACCTAGAAGCAAGTGGACACCTTACGCTTCACAGCCGTTCGCGTGGTGCGTTTCTTTGATGTTGCTCAGCCTTCCAAGCCATAAGTCATAGAAGTGCAAGCACCAGCGCCCTTGCCGAATAACCTGAAACGAGAGGTCCACTGAGGCGCATTTTAAGCTATTACGATGGGCATTGAGCGAGCTGCACTGTTGCAGCTCGCTGTGTGAAGCTGATTAGTTGGTCATCAGCGAGTTCAAGTCCTCATTATAAAGTCTACATAGGCAGTAGTGATCGTGTCATACACACACGCATTTCTAATTATGCTATGAGCTTCCTGTGGAGTGGCAGCTTGTGCACTCTTAAAGCATACAAGGTGCCCCGATGGAATATTTACTTCGTCCAGTAGTATGTGTTCCCATGCAAAACAATATCACCATTCGAATATAGCCTTGATTACTTCAGTTAGTCAATGCTGTTGCTTGTTGCGTCGAATCGAAACCATTCTACCGGCATGGCACTGAACGGCAAACAATACACATTTGCACACATATATGGGCGCAGTTCATCGAATGGAGACCAGTGCTTGTAACCACTAGCAACTAGAGGCACCGGTTACACCGTATTATTCTTACGAACCACAAGTGACGGACGCCTGAGCTAGCTCCAATTCAGACGCGTACATCTACAATGTGAGCGAATATGCATCGAGCCCAATGTGTTGCCTGTCCACACATGGTTCTCTCCGTATAGTTTCGTAAGCCTCGCAATCAAACTGTGAGCTCCGCCTACGGTCATATTGGATAGGGATTAAGAAACACACACCTCATGTCCATCACAGCCTAATACGTAAAGCTACCTATCACTTACTTTGAATACCTGGTGCATTGGATGTACCGAGGCTACTAAAAAAAGATTATATTGGCGGTGGTTAATCGGTTGTCATTAGGTGAGCCGGCACATGCACTTGGTTCTCGCAGTACAGATGAAACAGCAAGTACTATCGCATTTCAGCTTTTGAGGAGCCTAGGGCTGAGCAGTGGAGATGGGATGTTCTCACAGGAACTGTCTGTCAGAGCATGCCACGTAGTACATACTCACTGACGGCATTGGTGGGCACTACTAGTACTTTTAAACCATTACGAACGTAATTCGCATACTTGTTAACTAAATTCATGTACATGTTGGGACAGAGAGCTCGGCTGGCTAAGTATAGACCTGAATAGCATTGGCCTAGAAGTACCATTTCAGGGCCTGGTTATAATGAGTAACTTCGACATACTCTATCACACAACTGTATAGGTAGAGGTAGCTAGCTAAACTTGATTCCATCAAATTTCTCTTGCATATGGCCCAGTATCAACTGATCTGGCACTACACACTGCCCAATGGTGCACATTAGTGTCCGCAATGATATGTTCGTAAAACTGGGAAATAAAAAGCTACTGGATTAGTACCACTTCCGGAAAAAAACATCTACATGATGACGCTCCTGGTATCTATTTCGGGCCCAACCATCTGTGGTTGTAAGCAAAAAAGAGAGGGAACAGGATAATGGGCTTAACATCATAGCTGAAGACGACAATTGCCCCAGAAGGAAGGAATTCTACTATACACAAAGGCAAATTTTCCTGTTAATATCTTGGTGAGAATGCTTAATATGGTTTAAGTGTATACATTTGTCTTAATGAGGTCTCGAAGATACCCTTAGATTTCAATTCCTAGTGGCTGTGCATCAACTAATAATATGGGTTCTTTGCTGTTGATGGGAGATATATTCACGTTGTCAAGCCAACAATGCATGTCGTGGTGCTGCTATGTATACCATATGCATAAATCGTATTATATGCATATGCACGTATTACTGAAAATCCTAAGCCACCGTATTTAAGCATAGAGATGTAACTAATTATTGTCTACCTTGTCTTCTGGCCAGCCTGACTAAGCTGGAAAGCCTTAGTACCTACCGACCCAGTCGGTGGTTTCACTATAAGGAGGCAGTGAACGCCCAGAAAAGCCATAATAGGCCAAGAACAGCGATGTATACTGTATCTTACAGAAATCGAATTCAATCACTTCTAACTTTAAGAGTTCACCATTAAACTACCACCAGCTGCTGTTGGACCCTGGGTTTAAATTGAACTGCTGATGTTCATCCTCTAGACCCGCTCGATTGGATTGAGGTCTGTCCATCTTTCAGAGTCCGAAAGCACCGGTTTAGGCTAGATGAACTGGGGATTATTCATGAGCTGAGTCCCCTTTCCATGTAAATTGTAAAGACATGATAGTTCTTGATCCGCTATCCCCATATCAAATGAGGAGTCAGTTAGTTTAGCACAAGACAGATGGGTGGATTGTAAAGCTTGTGGACTTCATGCTTGATGCTCCAAGCATTTTATGATTTGACATTGAGACCATCCAGCTGAACTGTGGGACAGCTTACAAAGTGATCAATATGGGCATTGAGAAAGTTCCACTCTAGCATGCTTTTCCAGCCGAAGTTGTTCCCCTATCTAGGGTATCAGCCTAATAATGGTTGTAATCAGATGTGAATGTCTTGTTGATTCAACTTTCCGTTATAAACTGTGACCATAATAAATCATTGTCGGTGAGTGTGTATACAGATGGCGATATGTCATGGTTTGCAAATAACGAGGGAGGGCAAGCGAGAGAGAGAGATGACTGAATGCAATAGCCTTGGAATTGAAGGTAGAAATCTACCGACGATTACATGCCATCAACACACCAGGTCTTGGAGAGCTTGGAAAAGGCCCCATATCTTGTATTTGATCACCAAGAGTTGAATCCTCTGTGGATATTTCGTACCCAAGAGAGGCAGGGGTGGGATGTTGCAATTACGCTGTACACTCGCAGTCATCGTTGGGACACTGTTGCTAACACCACATATTATTTTGGCGGTGCTTCATATTCAATTTCCCACTGCCCAGCTTCAATGGAGTAGCCGATATTGTTGTACCTTGAAAACACTCCACGACAGCAGTAACACATCTGGGCTTATTACATCTGAGTGCGTGACACAAGTCCTAGAGTACTGTAAGGCATTTTCTGCTACAAGCCCATCTCACCTTTGTGAATACAACCGTTGAGAAACAGCACACTTCAAATGTCGACACAGTTGAATAGGTTCATCAATAAAGCCTAATGAAGACCATCATATAGAAGCACCAGAGAAGAAACGATTCGTAGCCTCTCACAGTGTACAAAGCGTCGTAAACGGCTTTGCAAGTTCCCACCTGTTGATATTTGCTGCGCTCCGTGTATAGATCAGCATTCGTAAATCTCCATTCTTAGCGAGAGTACATAACTTCAAATGAGGTTCCACGTTTCGACGTCTACATGGTTGTGTGATGACTTAGAAGGGCACAACAGTAAACATCACTGTCCTATCAGCATCCAGAAGATCCGTGTAGTGTCCAATCGAGGAACACACACACACACACATAGTCCCTTCTGTGCCTATTCACGCCAGGTGGCACCTTGTAACTTGTGATTTTTAACTTCGAAACCACACAGCACATACATACGTCATATACAAAACATGTGCAGTGAACGCTCGAATCAGGAGCTTTTCGTCACCAATGGCTACATCTTCTCATCACCACAAATGTCAGATAACGTGCTGCTTGTTTCCCCAGTCACCCTCTTTCTCATGGGGCCCAACTCCTGGTCACATGCTCTGAGTCACCAAACACATTGTTCTGGATCTCAAAGCAATGCTCGTTCTCACGGACAATCGCAACAGTACAATGACTCCCTCGGCGATGCACGCGGCCACTCAGTACTGGAGAGTATAAAACTTTATTAAGGTTGGGCCGCTGGAGCAGGTATGGCGCAAGGCAGCTCATGTCTCAAATTTGTTCCACCATCATCGGGAGGAAAGCATGCAATGAGATGTACCAAAGCACAGCACCATGCACATGCATGTGGACAGAAGTATAAAGCATGCATAGCGTCACTAAAGAAACTACACCGTAAATTGACCGCTGCGAACATTTAATCCCAGCAAAAAAGAAACGTCGCCTTGGAAGCGCCTTGCGGAAACAGGGTAAAAGCAAGACAGATTTCTCTCAAAATGTCCAAACTTTGTACTTATTCCTTCACGGCAACACAACCTTGAATACGTTGGTCTTGAGAGGTTGAGTGAAGAGACCAAAGAGAAAGACATAGACAAGGACACCGTGGTATCTCAGCTCACCAGCCGGCCGTATTTGTCTCGAACTCCCGTATTAGCAGCTTTTTGTTATCTCAAGAAGAAGTCTGTTGGAACTTATTCCCGCAATCGTTGTTTCACTGTTGAAACTTTTCCCGCTACGCACAGACCACTGAGCAGGCTCGTTTACAGAGGAGGAGTTCTGTGAGATTTGGACCAAGGACTGGCTGCTAGCTCTTTCCTTTGAACCAAGCTGTGACGGTTGTTAGGTCCATCCCGTCGTTTTTAGTGTGCCATTTTGTGCCATTTGTTCCGTTGAAGCACTTGTGACCATACTCTCCGTCATTATAAGGAACACACAGTGAAGGAAACGTTGTTTGTTTGTTGATCACTGAAGACCTTACATGTGCAATCAGGAACAGAATCAACAGAATGTTCCCCTCGTAAACGGGGGGACCCCCCAACTCCCACAAGGATATAAATTTGGTGATGTTGGAGCTGTACCCACGCAGCCAATGTTTGTTCAGCCAGCAGCTCAGCAGCAGCAGCAGCAGCCACAAGGTTACATGCTCGGGTACCCATCTCCACAAGGAGCGTCGATGAACCCTGCTGCACATCTTCATCAACAGCCAGTTCCATGGCAAGCTCCGTATTCAGCCAAAGGTGTGCCAGTAGCTTTAGCGTATAATCAAGAACACTACCCATATTTGCAACATCATCAACAACAACATCAGCAGCAACAGGCTTTACACCAGGATGGCCTCATAGTACCATCGGCAAATCCATACAACCACGTTTATACGCATGATGTCGTACCCAGTGCTCAAATGACACCATCAGCAATACCGCAATTTGGACAACATGGCGTCCAGAATCAGCAGGACAATCTTCTTCGTGCGTATCCAGCACAACATACACCATACCATAACTACCCTGAGGGCGTGAAATTTGAGCCAAACGAACAAACGACTGAGTTTGAGAAACATTCTACTCCGTTGTATGCCATTGCAACGTCCAATAACCCCTCTACAGCAGCAAAGAGACAGAAGATAATGAAACATGATGGCATGAGTCCAATGGGACAGGCTCAAGAGATGGTCAAAGTCGAAGGACAACTCCCAGTACAGGACGAGCAAACAAATCCTAAGAAAGCAGTGAGAAACTCTAGACGTCGTCATAGAAATTCCCACCTGGGATGTGCAACTTGTAAGTCACGTCGTATCAAGTGTGATGAACAACTTCCAGAATGTCGTAACTGTGTAAGGGCTCGTCAAACATGTGCCTATTTAGCACTTGATGATGCCGCAAGAGAGGCTCTAAAGAACGCTCAACAGGCACAGGCTGCCCGTATACAATCTCTTAACATACAAGCATCACAGAGAGAAGCACGGAAGAACCCACACTTATACTACCCATACCAGCATCCTGGTCTACCTTCAAGAATTTTGATGTCGTCGCTTCCAAGTACGGACAACGTGTTCCAGTTGCAGGTTAACCTTCAACAAGCTGTCTTCCCTGTTTATCAACCACAGGTTCAACAACTACAACAGGCACAATTTCAACATCCACAGCAGCAGCAACCCCCACCGTCTCTTCCACCACCACTGCAAACTCAACAGCAGGCTTCACAACAGCAGATTTTGCAAGAGCCTTCGAACTATTCTGTGGGACCGGAAGCTCTTCAAGACACACAACCAAAGTATGAAGAACCTGATCAGCCAAGGAAGTCAAGAGCTAGTTCTGTTGCGAAAAACAGAACGATTGTTGCGAGAAGCCCATTTGTGAGTGATAATGGAAGTGCTACCTCTGCCTCTCCGATGCCTTCAGGCAGCGATAGATCTAAGGAGAGCAGTTTATCAGATGCCTCGGGGTCTTCTCGTGAACCACAGTTTGCAATCAGATCCGATGCTTATAAATCCCTCGTGGCGTTGCTGAAGGAACACAAGGATTCAGAGTCATCTCCTGACTTGGACTATCTTTCACGTTTTGACAATGACTTTATGGAAATCGTGCTCGATCAAAGATGCCTGTCAGGGCTTAATACTCTCTGGACTGATAACGTTGGTGAGCTCACCAAGCAAGAACTCAAGTTTAGCACAGATGCCCTTTACAAGGTGTTTGACATGTTCCAAATGCAGTTCATCAAGGAGGCATGCAACAACATTGTTCTTTTCAAAGCGTTGATTGCTCAAGGATCTGCTCATATTGCAGACAAGACGCAAAATGAGGATGTCAGAAAGGCTGTGCAACGCGTGCTGGAGAAAGACTTTGAGATCACGTTGAGATTTCTGAACAGGTTTAGGGTTCATTTCACCATGGACTACTCTGACGTGGATGCATTCTATAACAATATCTCGGTGTGTTTCTCCAAATTCCAGATATTCCAAATGGCATTGCCTACCATATTCCATGGGAATCACAGCTTGAACGATGTGTATCAGTTCATCAGCAGCTTCTTTCAGTTCTCATCTGGCTATCTAAGCCATCAGTTTCAGGTGTTCTTATCTAGCAGCGTTCCAATCAACATTCAAAACGATCCCGTGTTCAAGCGTGCGAGCGTCTTGAATGACCATTTGCATCTGTTCATCATCTACTATGTCCAGTCAATCAGGGCTTACCATACAAGGGCATATAGCACAGAGTTCATGAATGAGTTTTTAACAAAGCTGAACGTTGCGAGAGATGATGTGTACGAGCTGTTGAACGACAAATACAAAACACATATAGATGACCTCGTCACCTTCACTGAAACGTGTGTCAAATATTGGAACGCCATTAAGGATGGTGCTGAGACAAACCGTATCCAGGTTATGTTCTATACATTAAAGAGGTTTCTGAACATTGTCCCAGATGAGGCGTTTATATCTCATGTTCCTGTATTTGAGGAGCATTTGGTACATTTGTACTACCAAGCTGCCATGTACGCATTGAAAGCGATCTACGCGGATTGTACATTCTTGTTCTTATATTCCTTCAATGCCAGGGATGGTTGTTCCAATACAGATATGCTGGTGGAGGCGTCCAAATCCGATCTATTCACCGAAGAGCAAAGGGAGAAGATGAACTATCCAACTAAGCTGATGTCATTTTTCAAAGAACGTGGTATTTTGATCTCAGGATACCTGAAATCTGTTGCCAGGTTCCCAGCTAAAATTATCCTGGATGACACCAACAAGAGCATCATGATGCAGTTGGTTAAGGAAGATCAAGTGAGCTCTTTTGAACAGGAATTGGATGATGAAAGCTATCCTCATATCGATGAAACATCCACATTTTTCCACAAAGAGACGAACTCAATTGTCATCCCATCTGTGAACAGCACCGACTCTTTCAGTAACTTTGAGGCTGCTCAAATTAAACGTGATGAATTAATGAAACGGTCCATCGAGACAGAGTTGACTGACATTGATAAATCTGTGGTGGATACCTTCTGCAATGTATAAGAGGGACTTATACTTGAATCAGCATCTTTCAAAGACTCTGTATAACCCTGGTAGGTTTGCTATCTCCACAATGTAGTCCTTCAATTCTGATGGAGCTAAGAAACGTTTCTTGACCAGTGGCATCAGTATATTTTCCATGGTTTCGTTTAAATTGTGACTTTGCTGTTCTGCATATTGGCTGGTTTCGTCATCTTTTGACTCCGGTATTATCATTGGAACGTTGAAAAGAGCCAACTGCTGTAGTATACCCTCAATACATTCCTTTTCATCCTCCCAATTGATTTTGCAGCCAATTCTGTAGAGGAAGATGGGTAGCTTCTCCAAAGGTGGTATATACCCCTTCACTAACAACGGTAATGTTTTCAAAACCGGGCCTTCACCATCGTCAGCTACTGAGATGGAGAAGTATTCTTCCAACATATCGGACATTGATGTGATATACTCAATGCATTCATCCATTGGTATTGGTGGGTCTTCCAAACCATCGTACGCCTTACCAAGTAACGACTTCAATGATGTATCACACCCTTCTAGTCTTATGTATCCAAAGTTCTCAAAGTCTTGGAGTGCTAATTGATAGAAGAATTCTCTGAAAAGTGCACCATAGTCAATCATCAACAACTTTACGCCGCTCTGTATGGATAATAGTCTCTTGTCAGTGTCAATTATACCAATGTAAGTGAACTTGGTGAACATCTCTGCAAGCTTTGCATCAGAAGCTGCATCCAACACTTCTTGTCTCAGTTCTAATACAGAGTGCAAGTTTACAATGATTTTCTCCCTCTGTATGGCCTTATACTGTGGTGAGTCCTTCACAGTTGGCAAGGACATTGTTGTTACTGTAGTATCTTCAGCGAGAACCGGGTGTGAGGTATCACCTTCTTCGTCCATTCGATCATCTTCATTTGTTGAAGATATTGATATTGAAACTGGTCTCATGAAGTTTGTGATCTTTGCTTGGCTTGAATCCGTTCTCACAAGTTTATAATCCAATCGTGTTTTCTTTTGAGACTGTTGTGTATTCTGCTGTGATGTGACCTCTTCATCTTTAACTTTCCTCTTTTGTGACTGTGGTAATAACGATTGGGTCGGGAACGTCCTTGAGGAATCAATCTTTATAAGCTCTTCTCTAATGGTGATGCAGATAGCATCTATGATTTCATCCTCGTGGAGAAATTTAACTTCCCTCTTCGTCGGGTGAACGTTAACATCCAGATATGATGGATCCACTAATAGACTCAGATAGATGAAAGGTTTATGACCTTTGGGCAAGAAGTGTTGGATTGTAGAGTTCAGTGCCCTTCTCAGCCTATCGTTTGACACAAGCCTGTTGTTGATGAAGAAAACAGGCTGAATGGACTTCTTACTGTTATAGTTTGGATTTGTTATCTGTCCATGTGCTCCCTTGAGCCCCAGCTCTTCCATTGGGTCCACTTCGAATGGCACAAGCTCCTGTGCAACAGAAGTGCCAAACAGAGACCTTATTCTCTCCTTTATCGGCAGTCCTGGTCTGGTGGATAGCGAGAAATGGGAATCCCCAAATTTCTTCACACTGTAGCCGAGATCAGTGTGGATTGAGTAGCGACCAATAACGTCCACTATCTTTGCCAGCTCCTCTGAGCCTCCCTTCACGCTTCGAAGCCTTGCAGGGACATTGTAGAACAGGTCTTCCACGATGATCTGCGTGCCTGTTTTGCCTGCTGTGGGCTTAACCTCCTTCAGTTCACCATCAGAGTACGTTGCTCTCCAAGCACACGAGCTCTGTGCAGTCTTCGTGACCACTGACAGGTGTGAGATGTGTGAAATGCTCGCCAGGGCTTCCCCTCTGAAGCCATAGGTCGAGATTGACTCCAAGTCCTCGAACTGCGTAATCTTGGACGTGGCAAACCTCTGGCAAAGCAACGACAGGTCCTCCTTGTCTATCCCAGTACCGTCGTCTGTTATCTGCAGCAGCTTCAGCCCACCGTCCTTCACAACAACGTCAATCTTCGAAGAGCCAGCGTCCAGTGAGTTCTCCAGGAGCTCCTTTAGGGCATTGGCAGGAGCAATGATGATCTCTCCGGCGGCAATCCTGTTCACCACCGAGGCATCAAGGGCCTGTTTGAGGGATATTGTCAGTACACTGAAGACCACATCGACACGAGTACACGTACTTTGATTCGTTTAGCCATTGTTGTGGTGTTGCTCTTGTTGTTCTTGTTGCTGTAGCTCTGCTGGTACGCGTAAGTGTGAGTCTTCGCGTTTTGGCGCGCGTGAACAGTTTTCGTGTTTGTGTTCACTTTCAGCTTTGTTTACTTTCAGCTTTGTTTACATCTTGACTGAAAGTACAGCGATGAGTGCCACTCTGAAGAGAACTGCAAATGGTGTGAAGGAGGTTAACAAGAGGGCGAAATATGGGGAAGACGAGCTTGTTGGTGGTGGGAGTGGGAGTGATGAGGAGGAGAGTGGAAGCGATGATGATGGAAGTGATGATGACGATGAAGAAGATGACGATGATGATGGTGGAAGTGATGATGACGATGAAGAAGATGACGATGAAGACGATGAAGACGATGATCCTAATGACTCCAGAACTGTGGAGCAAACCCATACACTGGAGCAGAAAATCCTCGCTCAAGAACGAAAACTCGGCTCACAGATGAAAGCTGACCGTGCTAAGGTTGTTCGTGAAGGCGGACTGGGAATGGCCACTGACTATTTGAAACATATCAACGCCATCTTCCAGGAAAAGGAACAGCATCGTCTGGAAAATAAGACCTTGGAATTGTACGATGCCAGAAACTTTGCGGATTCTGGTGATTTGGTGGACATTGCTGTTAGAAATATCAAAGTCGGCACCACTGATAACCATTTGAAGCCAGATGATTTCATCAAGAGGATGAGAATCTTCCTCCTGGGGTCTGCAATGAAACAGGATATCGACGCCAATGACGATAAAGAGGCCTGGTTACAGGCGAGACACTCATTCGAGCAGTTCAACTGGCTCACATTTGGAACACTGTTCTATTCCCGTGGTATGAGACCAGGGCTTTGCGACCACCTCTTGGGTCCCCTCGACATCGAAAAGAAGGTACGAGAAGTTAGGGTCCATCAGAGACTGGTAACCACTGACAATGTCACCACGGCGGAGGAAGTCACATCCGATGATGTAAATAACAACGCTACTGATCATACAACACTTGCAGTGCAAAATGCGTTTAAGGTGTTCTGTCAAAAATCTAGAGGGGAGCCGGTTAACATCTTCAAGTTCTTTATCAATCCAACAAGCTTTCCTCAAAGCGTGGAAAACATGTTCTATACAAGCTTCTTGCTAAAGGATGGGAGGATTAAACTCGACGAAGACCCTCAAGGTTACCCAACGATATCATTGCCACCTCCTTTACCGAGAGATCCTAGAGAGGCAGAGCAAGAGAGACAACGCCGTGTTGATATGAACTCGAATCATTTCATATTCCAATTGGAATATTCAAGTTGGAAACTACTGATTGATAAGTTTAACATAACAGAGTCATTCATACCAACACGACAAGAAGATGGAGTTGTCCTTTAAAAATCATACGTATATACACTTTCTTTTACTTGTTCTTTATCCAACCCGATACACTTTCAATCTCAGATAACGGCCATTTGCTTATAGGACAGACTTCCAGCTCAGTTGTTAATCCACTCTCGTACAATTCGATACCTGCCCATCCAATCATAACTGCATTATCAGTACATAACCCAAGTGAAGGGTAGTGTGTGTTAAAGTTTTTGCTATGGAAATAATTATCCAATGATTGTCTCAAAGCCATATTGGATGCAACACCACCAGATCCAACAAAGTCTTTACAGCCTTGTAATTTATCCTGGTTCTTTGACAATGTCAATTCAATCTTGTTCAAGATATGGTCAAATATTCCCTTTTGAATCTGGTACGCTAAACTTGGTCTATGAGAGTCTTGGAACTGTGGTGATGCGACTTGTTTATTCACATATCCTTGGAATGCGCCAAATGCAAATGCCAGTTGATCAACTCTGCCTCTCTTGTTGTAGAGTGGTTTAGGGATATCGTTAAACGTATGGTTAAACCAGTGATCCTGTGTTGACTGAACATATGTTTCCAACTCCTTACCCAAGTTGTTCCCTCTCAATCCCAAAGACCTTGCACATTTATCAAGGGCATCACCGCAGGCAACGTCAATGGTATCGCACAGTATCTCATGTTCCAATATACCCTTTGACAGTACAAGCATCGTGTGGCCACCGCTTATTAAAAGGGTCAAAAAGGGAAACTTAGGCCCAGAAGAGGTGTTAAAGGTCTCAAATCTCGGCGTCAGTAGATGTCCCAGCATATGATGAACACCAACCGTTGGTTTTGCCCATGCAACGCTTAGTCCCTTTGCAAAATCGAGGCCAATGCTCAGAGATCCCTTCATGCCCGGGCCTCTCGTTACACAGATCAAATCCGGGGGATTTGAGTGTAGTCCATGAGACTTGATGATCTGCTGCGTCAGTGTCGCAATAGATGCCTGGTGATGGTCAAATGCCCGTGTGGGTATGATACCACCCTCCTTAACTGAATTCAACGTGGATTTGAGATGCTCCACCAAGTACACTTCCTTCTCCGAAGGTCTCTCGAGGAGGGCAACACACGTATCATCACACGAGCTTTCTATCGCCAACACTCGATAGAATCTCCTTGAGTATCCTAGCGAGGTCCTTCCAAGTCGTAGCATAGCGACCGAGTGCACAATCGATGGGTAATTCACGCCTACAAAAGCGTATACTTAATGTCTCGAGAGCAGAGTCGATGAGGTTGTGATTGATATGCTAGGTTTCTCATCATCACATGACTGCTCACGTGATGCATTTTCACCGGGATTTCTTTTGCCAATGGTTTCCCGGGTAATCTCATCCAGTCGGAACTCGCGTTTGCCGTGATTTTCCGGGGGAGCATTTTCTTGGTTTTTATGCTTTTTTTACTTTCTTTTTTCACTGTGCTTTTTCGAAACATCGAAGCTCATTCGTCAGATTGTTGTCCGAGCCATCAACATCGACTTTGAGTGCCAGAAGACACCAAAGCCGAGCACTGAAGAGAAATCGTTGAAAAGAAAGGGAAGCCTGTTGTGTGTGTGTGCTTGTTGCCTTCGTTTTGCTCTTCTCTTTCGCCTGAGTGTGTACTGATTGGTGTGTTTTGATTTGCTCCCACAACGGTTGTTTAAATACGGTAGAGTGGGAAAGCCATATTGCATTAGTAGTCATATCCAGGATCGTCTTGTTGTCCATTTAGCCCGAGGTTACCTTGCATTGATCAGACATAATAGACCGCATCTGAACGTTTTATGGAGCTTCCACCCGAGTTTTGGATACATCTTGAGAGAATAACATGTCCTGTACGATTCCAACACATTTTGAAGACGTTGCGTCGTCAACGATCTCGCCCATCGATCACAACTCCCCCGAGGACGATCTAATACGCCATCCCATATGGCACTGCATGCTGGCTGGAGGATTCGGAGGTGCGATTGGTGATAGCGTTATGCATTCTTTAGACACAGTGAAGACAAGACAGCAAGGTGCTCCGCACGTTGTCCAATACCGCAATATGATAAATGCGTACAAGACCATCCTTGTGAAGGAAGGTGTGATTAGAGGTCTGTACGGTGGGTACGGCGCTGCAATGCTTGGTTCCTTCCCCAGTGCTGCGCTGTTTTTCGGTACTTATGAAACTATGAAACGCGTGATGATTGGTGAGTTGGGCATAAATGACACAGTGACCCATTTGACGGCGGGATTCATGGGCGACTTTGTCTCCAGTATCGTGTACGTTCCAAGCGAAGTGCTGAAGACGAGATTACAGCTACAAGGGCAGTTCAACAACCCACACTTCCACAGTGGGTATAACTATCGGAGTCTTGTGGATGCCATTGGAACAATAATACGTCAGGAAGGTGTGAGTGCCTTATTCTACGGTTACAAGGCGACCCTGGTACGCGATCTACCCTTCAGTGCATTACAATTTGCATTCTACGAGAAATTTAGAGACCTGGCTATTAGATACAGAACAGGCGTTCCCACAGAGGAGTTTGACTACAACGTGGAGCTGAGTACCGGCGCAGCAGCCGGTGGGTTAGCCGGTATACTGACCACTCCACTAGACGTCATAAAGACCAGAGTACAGACACAGAGCCCCGATCTATCAAGCAGAGACCATCTGAACAACTCGATCCTCGCTTCGCTAAGGAAAGTGTTCCAGACTGAAGGCATAGTTGGCCTGTTCAGTGGTGTGGGCCCAAGATTTGTATGGACAAGTGTACAGAGTAGTATCATGCTGCTGCTCTACCAAATGGCATTGAGACAAATGAATGATTGGAAGCATTGATCATCTTGTATATAGCTTTCCAATGGACATATCCATATGTAAATAGTGGTTGTTGTAGTACGCTGTGGGCGATGAGGGTGTCCGGGTGTTTTCTTTGTTTACATTTCTCGAGGGAATGCTTAAATTTTTTTTTGGCCGAACATCACCGTGTAACAATTGTGCTGTGTTGTGCTTTGTCGTTGGTATCAATTCAAGAAGCACAAAGGCCTATGATGACCAGCTCAGTATCACATCTGTTCCCGAAAGCTCTGTTTCCCTACTCCAAAGAGATTAAGGACATTGCGACGTCGGCAAGACCTAATGTCTTGATAGATAATGAGAACCAGTCTCTGTACTCTATCTTGAAGCTGATTAGAACCGAGCTGATTGGGAAGAAACTGCATGACGGACAGGACCACCTCTTGATGCTGGACCTGTTTGTCAATGAATTCATGGGATTTGATGACATCCGCGTTAGAGATTACTATCCGCCCGTGAATGCGTCGAGACTCGACGAGTTTGTGAAAGTGTTGAATGAGCATGCCAATGCCCAGTCCCTCGGGTTGGACTGTGTACTGTACTACATCTTGAAAGATTTTGATTCTGGGATTGCCGAGAGCTACATTGGCTCCGTGGACGATATCACCTTGAGAATTCCTAGATGCCTCTACCATTTCATCAACTCTCTGTACTATCTGGATAGATTCGACATCCTACGATGCACAAGACACTTGAACTGTATCGATAATTTCACAGACATACCATCGTCCATGATCAAGAGGCTAATACAGATGTCGAGCATTGTTCCCTACCACTCTCAAAGCTCGCCTGATTGGTCGTCAGATACAGGGCTGAAGAACTATATCAATGTCCACACCTCAAAGCCGAGCGCACGGTCAGTGATCTCCATGGTTAGATCGTTGAAGCTTAACGTATGGCTCTCTGATGCTGACACAGTACTCATGTACATTGACTGTCTAACGGACTTGAATCCGGGAATTTCGGTTAGAGCTCTTGAAGAGTTGAGAGGAAATAACACAAATGTATCGTGGAGAGCATTGTTGAAGCTGCTCATTATAAAGATACTCATCAAGAGTATCAAACAACAACGGTTGTTGAAGACGATGCTGAACGAGTCAAAGATTTCTCATCTACAATTTGATCAGCTGTTCAAGGGCATTGCGATGTTCGCACTTGTCGATACAAAGATCAACGATGACATCTTGGAAGCGTTGTACAATATGACAAGTGTTGGTGATGAGGATGAAGAACTGTCGACGCTAAAGGAACAATCGCCTGCGTTCTTTGCAAAGTATATCGACCCTTACACGAGGGATATTGTCCACTGCGCGAATAACTTGATCACCTGGAAGCTACAAAGCGTTGCATGATGACTAGGTATGTGTGTATACATATGTACCTTTCTTGTATAAATAGACATAGACAACATATACACGTAGAGCCATCAGTACGTACTTCCCTCTTCCGGTTGTTTCAATTTCTTGTTCTCAGGCTTAGCCATCTCCTTTCTCAAGTCAACGAGGATGTGCTCAATGGTGTACGATCTTTTCCAGTGGTTCAGCGTGTCGAACTTTGACAAATCTATTGAACCGTCCTCCCTAACACAGGGTAAGTTGACCCTTGATATGAACTTCACAACAGGGGCAACTTCAGGGTATTCGTTACCGACGTGGATGCTGAGGGTGTAGATTCTATTCTCATGAACAGAGTGAGGAGGTCCAAGTATGGTTCCGTTCCATTCGGTTAGCGTGGAATCACCAGAATCAACAAGGCCGTATGAACAGTAGTCAGGGCCAGATCCCTTTTCACCCTTCTCCAGCTCCTCCAACAGTCTGAAAGAACGTGGTCTTGAAGTGACGTTAGTGCGTGGTCTCTCACTTTGACTCCACCTTGCTGACTGTGCCCAACTTACACCTTTGACATATCTGTTTAGTTCTTTGTTGATGTTTTCGTAGATGTTTTGGCTGTTTGTTTTGTTGATGTTTCTGTTGATGTTTTTACGCTCGGTTTTTGTGTTTACTTTTTATGTTTACTTTTTCATCAACAAACAACAAACAACAGATAAACATTGCTTAGAAGAACCAAGCACAGCGCTCAATACCACGGAGAAATGGACTCTTCGCCGTTCATAGAGAAGCCGATGGACGCTTCTGTTGAGCTAAACAAGTTGAAATTCCAGCTAAAAGATCTCCAAACAGAACTCTCCCTGAAGAAGATTGAACATGAAGAAGAGGTCCATGGACTGAAGAAAGAGCTGGAGCAGTGCCAATTGAAGTCTCACCAGTTCGAATCCGACTCCATTTACTACTACACACAGAATAAGCAGAACTGCGAGAAGCTGGAGTCTATGGAGAAGGAATGCTGTGGAAGAACCACACGTTTGGAAACCACTATTGATGCGTTGAAGAAGGAGCTCAAGAGCTTGAAGTCGGTCGAGGAAGCCAATGAGCAATTGACCTCTGAGTTGAAGCTATTGCAGCAGCAGCACTCTATGTGTAAAGAACAGCTCAAGGACTCTGAATCGGTTCGGGATGGATTGCAAAAGGAGGTTGATTCGCTTCACTCTGATGTAACGCATTGGAAATTACAAAATGAGCTGAAACAGGATGAAGTTCTCAAATTACAGAGACAGATACAAACAGTGGACAACTCCGAAGAGTTGAAGTCGATCTCCAAACAGTTGTCGAATCAAGTCAGTTATATCAAAGAACTGGAGCTGAAGAACTTGAATCAAGCAGAATCCTTGAAACAGCTACAGCTGCAAAAGCTGAACAATGAAGTTCTCCAAAATGAAAATAGGTCATTCCAGGTTAAACTACAGTCTATGGATAAATTGAAGGATGAACTGGACTCAACAACTCTGGAATTACTCCAATTGAAACAGGAAAGCTCTAAATGGAATTTATATTTGGACAAGTTCCCAAATATCGAAGAGTTACTACCAAAGTTTAAATCCTTACAGGATGAGAATCTGTTGTTGAAAGATCAATTGAACAAGCAAACGTTGGAACAATCCCAATTACAGTTTCAATTGAACAACATTAAAGTGAAATTGGAGAACCAGGAGGATGAGATGACCCGGGTAAAGTCAAACTGGGAAAACGTTCTTAAGATCAACCATGAATTGGAACAACAACGTGATCTTTCCCTTGAAGAGTCCAAATACTTGAGACAACAACTTGGGTTGGATGATGGCGATGACATGACTGAATACGTGAAGAATTTAGAGACTCTTGTGGATAACTATAAGGAGAAAGTGGACGATTTAACAAAATCATTATCCAAAGGTAACGTTGAAGTACAACAGAAGAAACGTAAACTATCAACATCAGCGGACTTTGAGGATTTCCAATCCCTGAAACAGTTGAATGGACAATTGCAATTGGAGATGTCACAATTGATGAATGAAAATGCCCTTTTGATCAAGCAATTAGAGTCGATCCAAGATATAAAGGAGCAGAAACTGAGGATACTACAACTCCGTGATAATCCGTTCACTAAAGATCAGTTTGTGAAAAGGAAACAACTGGAACTGTTACAGAAAAGCAACGAGTCACTGTTGAATCAGTCACACCTGAAAGAAGATGAGAAGGTCCCCAAAGCAGTCTACGAAGAGCAGAACTTTGCCATTGTTCAGCTACAGGACCAACTCGCCAATCTACAAAAGAAGAACCAAAGGCTTCTAACCACGTTCAAGGCCAAGTCTTCAGAACTGTTGGCGTTGATAAAGCTACTGTTTGGCTACCAAGTGACACTGCAAAGTGACGATAAAGTAAAGCTCACTTCAAAATACTCCAAATTGGGCAACTCCAATATTCTAATTGATCATAAGCAGATGACGTTGAAACGAACAGGTGACGATGTGGACTTCAACACCAAATTCGATGACCTGATTGGCTATTGGATCAATGAAAAAGGTGAGATTCCAATGCTTTTGAGTGCCCTGAACATTGAGCTCTATAGCAACCTGGAGTGACTGGTACGGGCAACAAAAAGTAAACAAACATCGTCGAAGGGTATACAACATTGAATAATTTGTTAATGGTTATAATCCCAGTAGGTAACTGTTCGAGTGTGTAGAAGGGTTCCTGTCAATGGTCGACTCGCATGATTTGCTTGACGCTCGTGTCATCATCCTGTCGACGTTGGTAACATCAACTGTTATTGGATCTATGAAGCTATACAAGAAGTTCCAGCCAATAAGGTCGATCCATTCGATACCAAAGGCATATTTCCACAACAAGACATTGTACGGTTATGTAACGAGGGTTGGTGATGGAGATAACTTCCACTTCTACCACACACCAGGCGGGAGATGGCTTGGGTGGGGAACAAAGTACAGGCCACTGCCGAAGAAGCACTACAGAGGGATTGGGACGCTGCCTATAAGGCTCTGTGGTATAGATGCGCCTGAAAGGTCTCATTTTGGCAAGCCAGCACAGTTGTTCAGCGATGAGGCATTGATGTGGCTGAAGCTGAAGCTGCTACATAAGAACGTGCGGATGAAGCCTCTTTGTATAGATCAGTATGAGCGTGTGGTTGGGCACGTTCAAGTTCGAGAATGGCTCATATGGAGAGACGTTGGTAGGCAAATGTTGAGAACGGGGTTGTGCTCTGTCTATGAAGGCAGCCAGGTGGAGTTCGATGGTATGGAACGTGTATATAGGCAAGAGGAGAAGGAGTCGAAAAGAAAGAAAAGAGGAATGTGGAGTGTGAAAACGTTGACTCCAAGAGAATACAAGAGAATTTATAATAAGCATTGATTGATATACACAGGGATCAGCATTTTAAGTCGATGCCATGTCTTTTCTCCTCTTCCCTGATTTCAAACATCACTTGAACTGCAATAAACAGGGATATGTTGGCGAGGATCAAGAATCCAAACCCATTCCACGTAGAGAACATCTCACCAAAGAGCTTCTTTATTCCATCGTGTCCAAGCGCAAAGCCATATAAATTGGCAACCATCATTAGCCAAATGTTCACGACACCACCAATGGCACAGACATGACGGTACCACCATTGGCTCTCGTATTGACGGAAGTGGTTGGAGATGAAGTACTCAGGAAGTAAAAACAACACGATCAGCCAGCCCCAAAACAGTAGTCTCAGCTCAATGTCGTGCCAAATGGCAACAAAGGTAAACACTGCCAACGAGGCTAGGATCCTGTTTGAAGCACCTCCTAACGGAATATAAACATACTTCACCACGAATTTGTTATAGGATCTGTGCCAACCTTTCCAGAATGCCAATGCAGAGTAGTTGTTGTCGACACATCTAATCATATTCTCTGGAGGATCAATGCCGTCCAGCAGTGCCCATAGTCTGAAAAGTCTCCATGGGATTAACAATTTGAGCCAAATGATGTTCAAGTTTACCAATCCAATCATAGAGATCTGGAAAGGTGTATCTCCTTCCCATGCACGAGTTTTGGTGATGGCATTGACATGGATGAAATGCAAGATCAGCTCCATGTTCAGCACGCAAACGGAGAACAGCACGGTGTAGTTCACTATGGTTTTCTTGTTGATAGAAGGCAGAGTGGAACGGCTTTGTTTGACGTAATCGTTGAAAGTTAAGATCGGGCCTGCAATGAATAAAGGAGCATAGAACAGGTAGGCGAAGTAGTGTTTCAACGAGTAATCCTCCAGTGGTAGATTGCCATTGACACGTTGGAACTCTGAGCTTCTTGGTTTCTCGGTGTCCTTCACAGGGTAAAGAGCATTGATGTAGTCCAGATTGAAGGATAGCACCCTCAGTAGTGTAAAATTGTAGAAGACATCCCAGCGTGCAACGATGCCCTTGAACCCAGTGTCAACAAATGACAACACCGGCAAGATCGAGCCTAAGGGATACGTTCTATAGTTACTGTTGATGAACAGCGAGCCAATTCCATATCCCCAGAGCACAATTGTAGCCAAAGTCTTGTTCCCCTTGAACAATCTCACCAGAGTGAAACAGATCAAGACATGGCCCATGATCTTCACAACATTCACCCCGTGGACAGCAAAGGCAAAGACAAAACCAAAGAAAAAGTCAAAGTTTAGCCTAGAGCAGTGTAGCGTGGCAGTCACCAGCCTTCTAACGACAACGTGTACCACCATCAACGCCAATAGCAGATGTAAATTATCCCTAAAGAACCTATACTGTGCATCTGAATTATCAACTCTTTCAGTGATCCAGCCTTTGGACAGCAAACGGGAGTACTTCGGGTAGTTGATCGATTCCGTGGAAGACAGGTCTATGGAGGTCTTGATCATCCATGGCACAACAACGATGAACGCCAACAGGTAGAACCTGAACTCGGGTGTCTTCCATAGTGATGGCTTGCCCTTAACGTCCGGGGAAGGGGCCAGTCTATGGTCAATTGTTGGTGGGTAGAGAAACTCCATTGTGTACAGTCCTTCACTCGTGTGCCAACTGGTCTCCTGGCGGATCGGAATCGTTCAAACAGGCACGTCCAATGTGAGCTTTTGATGTTTCAAAGCCTCTAAAATATGTGGTTAATATTAGCAAACCGTTGTGGGAAGTTGAACAGAGGGCATGGGGTATGTTGGTGTGCGGATGCTTATGTAATCAACAGCACTGTTTCCCCTACCGGTGTCCTGGCCCAAAACAAAAAGTAAACTCTAACCCCTACAGAGGAGTCCGCGTTGCTCTGGTAACCGGGTTTTTGCCACTGTTTACACTTGTATCCATATCGCATAACTTCTATCACTTGTATATAATTCTCAATAACTAATGCCAGTATTTGTCTGTTCCGACAGCCTTTGCGACGACTCTCATCATCTTAATGACCTTCTCCTCCTGTAGCCTTCTTCCAACGACTTGGACCGAGATGGCACCACCGTGGACTTCATCAGTATCAAGCAAGTCCTGAACCATCTTGTCCCTTTCACTCTTTGGAACATAGCCTGGGTCCTTGACGTCTATGGCCTTGTCAGCTCTGGTCACTGGGACTGTGCCTGCTGTGAAGTCCAGGGCGTTGAAGACAGCGGTGTAGCCGACGTATCTGAACTTCCCGTTGGCGCAGCCTGAGTATGGAGACACGGGCATCAGGATCATATCGATTGGTTTACCACTCTTGGTGTTGGTCTTTGTTGCAGCCCAGCGATCTAGGTAGTTCTTTGTCAAGGTGGTACGCTCAGCATGGAGGTCCCAGAGTTCAGAGACACCCTTCTCTTTACAGGTGGTGTACATCTTCATGCCTGGGAAGAAGGGCTCGCCAGTGAGCCCAGCGTACTCCTTACAGTGGATACCACCGTCCGCTAAGAAGAACTCTGTGATAATGGCGTCCAGTCTTTCATGGTCCTTTGGATCCCACTCTATGATGTCGTGGCCTTGTTTCTTGAGAGCCTGGACGGCAATGTCCACGCCACGAAGAATACCAGGTGAAGGATGAACAACACCATCATCCCTCAGCACTGCAATTGTCAACTTCTCTGGTAGCTCAACGTCTCTCCATGGGATCTCGATGACTTTACCATCCTTCAGCCATGGCTCTCCATCGATAACAAGCTTGGAATAGAGCTCCAAGGTGTCTAGTGAGGTACTCATCGGACCGTTAACGGAATTGACACTTTCTAAACCTGGCAAGCCAGAACGAGCCCCGTAAGTTGGGAATCTCCCACCACTTGATCTGATGGTAAAGATGTTTTGCAGCGAGGCAGGGATTCTTAAAGAGCCACCAATATCACTTCCAACACCAATAGGTGAGCCTTTCATGGCAATGAGCGCAGCTTCACCACCAGAGGAACCACCAGACGTGAGATCCCTGTTCAACGGGTTCACAGTGTTACCGTAGATGTGGTTGATGGACTCAGCCATCATCATTGCCACGGGGACGTTAGTCTTGACGTAGAAGACGGCTCCCATGTCTCTCAGCATCTCCACAAGAACAGCATCTTTATCAAACTTCTCAGGACTGAAGGCAAACCCAACAAACCCAATGGAGGTTGGTTGGCCCTTTATGTTCAGGTTATCCTTCAGAGAAATCGGCAATCCATGCAGAGGACCTTTCAATTGGCCAGTCTTCTCATAGTACTCATCCAGCTCCTTGGCCATTTGCAAGCCCTCCTCGAAGAAGATCTCGGACAGGCAGTTTGTCAACTGGTGTGCAATGGTGGCTCTATGGCCAAAAGCACTTGCAACGTCGTACGCAGTCCAAACTCGATCTTTGATCTTCTGCAAGATCTCTGTGCCTTCAGCTTCGGTGATGGCGATCTCTGAGGGTGTGAGAAACCCACACTCTCTTGGAAAGCTGAGAACGTCCTTGACCTCGGGGCCTGGTAGCTTATCCTCGGGGACCAGCCATTCCTTGATGAACTTGGCGTCTCTCTCTGCAAGCTTCTTTGCAGCAATTTCCTTGTAATTGTCTTGTGTCATGGTGGTACAGCTTAGCTTGATGGCTAGAGAGGAGCCTCCAAGGGAACCAGTCCACTTTCCCTGGAATCTACAGGCTTATAAGTCCCCAGCTACAGGCTCCATGTACATCCTGTGTCAACCGTGATGGAAAGCGATATCCGTTGTCAGTATCCACCTGCGATAGCTGATAAGCTCAGACCACCAATAGATGATCACCTACAGACAATGCGCACTCCTCACATCGCTATCCTCCACGAGATGCTAAACGACGGACTAACTTCCCATAACGGTAATCTCATGGTGGAGAAGCAACGTGTGGCTTGATTTCCAGATTCCCGGATAAGAGATAAAGCGTTTATCGCGTTTGCAGTGCCAACTTGCAACGCCTTGTAACGTACATGAAGCATACACCCACGCACACGTATAAAAGGCCCGCAATATCCACATGTCAACGGTCACAGGGACAGTCACAGGGACAAACATTGGTGACTCACCCTCCAACTGGGCAGGTGCCACGGACAAGGACACGCACAGGCGATCATATTGCCCTTTAAGTCCACGGAGAAGAGACAGCTAACATCATCAACATGCTCACCGTCTCCATACTTCCCACAGCCTTCAGATACCAAGGGCAAGAACGAAAAAAGTGGGAATCCGCGTAGACCCCCAAATTCGCACGCTCTGTGAATCATCATCGTCAGTTACAGATCTGCCTGGTCGGATGGCGTTGCCCGAAGGCTCAGCTACTGCGGAGTTGTCCTTCACTGATAAGCTGCACCTGTAGAGCGAGTCGCACGGCGATCGACGTCCGCTGAAAGACGCACCACCCTGCTGGCAGTTCGCCATCTCTAAACATGCCATTACAATCTATGGTGTCCAATTGACGACGTGTTCTTGTGCTGTGATTCCAGTGCCCATTGGTCAGTCTCTAATCACTCGTAGCTTATCGCTGATCCGGCCCGTATGGCTGAAAGCTTTGCGTTACTTGCGGTGCATGGTTTCCGGCCCTGGTGTCCATGGTGGGGGTTATGCACCATCCACGGACATTTGAGACGAAATGGGACGTATCTACATACGATGCCAGTGAGTGACTAAACGAGAGGGATGTGCACCGAGAAGCTGCCATCAAGGCCAAATGGCTTTTGTTTTGTTGCTGATTGCGTGTTGGCTTTGGCATCATGCAATCTCGGATCTTTGGCTCAGCAGTGTAATCAACAGATAAGGCCTTGCGATAACATTGTTTTAGCACGTACAGACCGTCAAGATCAATCTCAGCTGGTGCTCACCATATGATATGGCGAGTGTAGTGGAGGCCCCAGGATGTATATAAACGGTGGCTTGTTCCACTCCAATATCGGTACGCTGCTATGTCCAACAGGTTTACAACATCAACGGTAACAACAGATAACAATTCAACAATGGTCTCACTGCTTGCTGGTCCAAAGAAAGTGAGAAACTTCCTGTGGGGTGAGCCTCCATCAGACCCTGCTGAGCGCAAGCTTCTCTTCAAGATCGACTGGTTCGTCCTTTCGTATGTGTGCAGTGTGTACTGGGTTAACTACTTGGACAGATCCAACGTCTCAAATGCATACGTCTCTGGTATGAAAGCCGATTTGAATATGAAGGGGGATGAGTTCAATGTCATCAACACCGTCTTCACCGTCGGTTACATCGTGGGCATGGTGCCAAACAACATCATGCTCTTGAAAGTCAGACCAAAGTACTGGCTGACGTTCTGCTGTGCTGCCTGGGGGTTGTTGACTCTTGGTCTTTACAAGGTCCATAGCTATCGCCAGATCTGTGCCATTAGATTCTTCCAGGCCTTGTTCGAGTCATCGACGTTTTCTGGATCCCATCTTATCCTCGGTAGCTGGTATAACTCTGAAGATATCGTCAACATCGACACAGGCAGAGTTCAGACCTCCGAATTAGCAAAGAGAAGTGCAATCTTCACGGGTTCAGGTCTCTTGGGCTCAATCTTTTCCTCCTTTATGCAAGCTGCCATCCATACCAACATGGATGGCTACCGTGGGCTTGCAGGCTGGAGATGGCTGTTCATTATCGACTTCATCATCACTGTGCCTATCTGTATCTACGGGTTCGTCTTCTTCCCTGATACACCAGATACCTGTAAGGCCTTCTACTTCAAAGCCGAAGAGATTGAGATGGCCAAGGCCCGTGTGAAGAATCCAAAGATGGAGAGTCACTTCGACTGGTCAGTTATCAGAAGAGTCATTGGAAGATGGCACTGGTGGCTCTTTTCATTCCTGTGGGTCCTCGGTGGTGAGAATGAGTCCTTCGGCTCAAACTCGCTGTTCGCCCTTTGGCTGAAGAATGACCCTTCTTATACCGTTGCCCAAATTAACCACTACCCAATGGGCATGTATGGTGTTGGTATCGTTGCAACTTTCTGCTGTGCCTTGTATGTTGATCATACCGGTGGTCGTTACCATTGGCACGTGGCAGTATTCATTGCACTGTCAGTGCTGATCTCTGCAATAATGATCCTGGCAAACCCTTTGAAGACCAGCGTCATGTTTGCTGCTCAGTACATCTCTGGTATCTCCTACGCTGGCCAGGCAACCTTCTTTGCCTGGGCTAACCTGGTCACTCGTCACGATTTACAGGAACGTGCCATTGTGCTTGCCTCGATGAACATGTTCTCAGGTGCCGTCAACGCATGGTACTCGCTATTGCTGTACAAGGCCACCACGGTTCCAAAGTTCAGACCAGGTGCCATTGCCATGATCTGCACCACCGTTCTTACAATCATCACAGCTGCTGTTATCAGATACCTGCAACTGAGAGAGCAGAAGAACGAGAAGCTCAACTTGCACATGATCACTGGGAAGAGCTCAGACTCTACAGACTTAGAGATCGGCTCCGTGGAGGGCTTACCAGCAAAGTCAAGTGCAAAAGTCGAGGTCCTTGCCATGGACTCCAAGGAGAAAGAGCTCGTCTAGCTTCCCGCTACCCATCTTAGCCTAGTTTTAAATCTATTGATATTGATAATTGTTATGAGCGCTGTTGCACGGTGTAGATAAACCCGGACACCACCCCACTCCACCTAGTGTTGAAACGTTTACTTCATCATCATCTTCCTCTCCTTATCCTCACACTCATCCCTTAGAAGCGCTGATAGATGAGTGACAGACGTCCAAACCCACCAGGGTGGGTTCCACCAAGGGCCCCATACAACCCGTACGATCCTTCTGACAAGAGACCACCGCAAGGTTACCCATCTGAGTTCACGACGCCGGGCGGACACTACAACCAGCTGAAGGAGACCATGAAGAAGCTCCAGTACCACTCGATACCGCAGAGCGAGATCTACCCTGGCCAGTTCAAACAGCTGAGAAGAGTGCAGAACTACTCCAAGTTCTACAGAGGCGCGTCGCTGGCCGTTAAGGTCGGAACAGCTGGCGTCGTGGTGTACTCCATGTTCATACACAAGTGGGAGGGTGACAACGTCTTCTCCCGCTTCTACCAGTGGCGGTGCCGTGTCCAGGCGATGCTCTTCGGCATCAACGCTGTGAAGCCCGAGGACGTGAACCCGGCTAAGCAGATGAGACTGGGTAACGCTGACGTCGATACCAACATCGACTCCAGCGTGGGACTGCAGAGACCTCACAAGAAGCACATGCTGGAAGCGGAGAGAAGGAAACAGCTGGAAGAACTACAGTGATCTCCATCTCCACGGCCTATTTATCTATTTATCCATCCCCATTTGTATATATATCGCCCATCAGCTTCTCTCCATAGCCCTGTATAGATGCTAATCGTCTCCATGGCGATGGCCCTGTATATATGTTAACCGTCTCCATGGTGATGCCTCGGTATTGGGTACGTGTCCCTACCGAATATCTATGCCTCGACGTCGACCACCAGCATTTCATACCAACATCAGCTGCTTCCCTTTACTCCCCGGCGGAGAGAAGAAGACAGTGAGAAGCGTACCGCCAGAATGTCTCGGAGAGGTGTGCCACTGGCTACGAACAAAGAGGACGCCAACTTCCGCGAGGCCCTGAAGCTCTACGAGGCGAAGCAGCACCGCAAGTCTCTGAAGCTGTGTGAACAAGTGCTGAAGAAGAACTCGCACTATGGAGAGGCCCTAGCACTGAAGGCGCTATTGCTGTATAACCTGAAGGAGGACGACTGCGAGGTGTACGTTGAGAAGGCGCTGGCTGTGTCCACGACGTCGCCTGTGCTGAACCACATCTTGGGGATCCTGAAGAGACAACAGCTTCAGTATAGAGAGGCTGCGAAGTACTTCAAGGCTGCGCTGGACAACGGCTCCTCCAACAAGCAGATCTGGAAGGACCTTTCTGTGATGGAGACCCAGTCGAGGGACTTCGGCTCGCTGGCCCACTCCAGGTTGAAATACCTGGACGAGTTCTTGGGTTATAGGGCCAACTGGACCTCTTTGGCCATCGCTTACCATTTGAACGGGAACTTGGAGGCTGCTGTCAAGACCTTGAACAAGTTTGAAGAGTTGGCTGAGGGCAAACTGGGTCCCAATGAGATGTATGAACACTCCGAGCTGCTGATGTATAAGAATGAGATCATCTCGGAGTTTGACCTCGAAAGAGCTCTGAATGAGCTGGAGTCTACTGAGACTTTTGATAAAACTGGCCAGCTGGAGTTGAAGGCCAAGTATCTCATGAAACTGGGTAGAAAGCAAGAGGCTCAGAGGGTCTACCGTGAGCTGTTGAAACGTAACCCTGACAACGTGTCTTACTATCATCAACTGGAAGATGCATTGGGTACCAGGGAGAGATCTGCTAAGGTTAGAGATTCTCTGTACTCTAAACTGCAAGCATTCTATCCTAGATCAGATGCACCAAAGTTCATCCCATTGACTTTCACCACTGGTGATCTTTTCAAAGAAAGAGTCTCCAAATACGTCTTGGATCAGCTGAAAAGAGGTGTTCCTGCAACGTTTACCAATGTCAAGCCATTGTACAAGGATCTCGAGAAGGCACATGTCATCGGTGCCATTGTTGAAGAGTTTTATACAAAGAGCTCTGAGCTCTCTCCTCTGTGCTGGGTTTGGACAACCTACTTCCTTGCTCAGCACTACTTGCAGTTGAACCAGCTGGAAAAATCCCTTGAACTGATTAGCAAGGCTGTTGAACACACACCAACCCTTGTTGAGTTGTACATCCTCAAGGCCCGTGTCTACAAGCACTTTGGTGATTTACAAACCGCAGCTTCTGTTATGAACGAAGGAAGACTCTTGGATCTACAGGATCGTTTCATCAACTCAAAGAGTGTCAAGTATTACTTGCGTGCCGACAACATCGACAAGGCTTTAGAAGTTGTTTCTCTTTTCACTAAGAACGAGAAGGGAGAAAATGGGTTGAAGGATCTACACATGATGCAAGTGTGCTGGTTTATCGTTGAGAATGCTGAATCCTACAAGAGATTGTATTTCGCCAACTTGAAAGATGAAGAACTCTCAAAGAAGTATGCTGGACTGGCTCTAAAGAGATATTACGGTATTGTCAAGATCTTTGAGGAGTACTGGAACGACCAAGTTGACTTCCACACGTTCTGTATGAGAAAGGGTACTGCTCGTGCTTACTGTGACATGATCAGATGGGAAGATCTCATCTTCCAGTCGCCAGTGTGCTGTCGTGCTGTTCTGAGTGCATTTGGTTTGTATAAGCACTTGATCTCGAATAGCAAGACAGATGGTGATGAAGACGATGCGATGTCTCCAGTCAGACACGACAAAAAGGCCAAGAAGGAAAAGGCTGCAAGGGCAAAGGCACTGCAAGCTGAGAAGCAACACCTTGTTGCCTACGCGGACGATGAAGACATCCTTGGTGAGACTCTTATCGGAGGATTGGACCTGTTTGAGTCCAAATTCTTCTCCCACGACCATGGAGACCTGGAGACTCTATCGTTGAACGAGGTCCAGTTCGAACTGCAGTTTGCAAAGAACAAGATGGCACCGGTCCTGGTTGCACTGTCCAAGCTCGTCAAGATCAGCCACGATACTTACCCACCATTGGCTGCTCACATTCTGCAGTTGAAGTACGCCACTGCTAACAAGGACAAGATCACTCAGATGCTTGCTTCCAAGGGTGTCGAGAAGTACTACACCGAATGGGACCAGCCATGGGCTCTCATTGACAAGTACTGTGTCAGATCAACGCTCGACGGTATCAAGGGCCTGCTCGCTGTCTACGACCTCAAACTGGCCCAATTGGATAACGACAAGGTCAGAGAGGAGATCTTGGAGGCTACAAAGCTACTACAGCCAATTGAGCAACTGGAGATCCTCAAGTTCCTGTGATTAGATAGACGTGTTTAGCTTACAAGTATGAAGTCTTTGTTCGATGCTTAGTAGTAAAACCCGGCACAACGGGACAGAGGAGCCCCTCCAAACACGGACGCGTCGCAAACACGAAACCCCGACGCGTCACGCGACGGGCCTCCCATTGGTTGACGGAAAAAAGGCAATTAAACCCGTTTTGATCAAGCCACAGACTTCACTACCGGCCTCAAAACGCACAGGATCGAACAGCTGTGCGTGCCAGTGATCGTTATAGGCAGCAATTGGGTATCTCTGACGACGAGGCGATGGTCATTGCTACCTGTAAGAGCGTGGTGGGCAAGTCTGTGCAGAGAGCCATGTCTCTCTACGTCAGGGGCCGTCCAGTGGATGCTGATATTGATGCCATTGTTGGACAACACGGGTTTGCCGTGGAGACGCATACCACAACCACGGAGGATGGCCATATCCTCACGCTTCATCGCATAGTTGGCGTGAACGGAGTGAGAGCTGGAGCCCCGGTGGTGTACTGCCATCATGGGCTCATGACGAACTCTGAGCTCTGGGTGCTAGGGGACGCTACAGAGAGGTGTCTCCCGTTCAAGTTGGTTGCTGAGGGCTATGACGTTTGGTTGGGCAATAACAGAGGCAACAAGTACTCCAACACTCATGCCAGATGGGACCTGGAGGATAAGGAGTACTGGGACTTCAGCATCGACGAATTCGCTCGATACGATATACCAGCAAGCATAGGCTACATACTACAGTTGACTGGAGAAACGGTGTTGAAATACGTTGGATTCTCACAGGGCTCGTCGCAGTTGTTTGCCTCATTGGCCATGAACAGAGAGTTGAATGGCAAGATCCAGCATTTCACGGCAATATCACCTGTGTTGGTGCCTCAAAGGCTCACACACCCTGTGGTTGCTCCCTTGATGCTCAACCCACACTACATCGAGTACATATTTGGTCCCAAGGCACTGCTCCCCTTTGTTCCAACAGTCAACAGTTGGCTCCCGTCTGGGTTGTTCAACAAGGTCATTGACGTCTCATTACAGGTGTTGTTCCAGTGGAACGGTATCAACATCCCACAGTCGCAGAAGCAGGTTGGCTACCCACACTTGTACTCTACTTCGAGCGTGAAGAGCGTGATTCACTGGTTCCAGATCATACGAGACCAGCAATTCCAGCTGTTTAACAATACACAGAGCTACAATACATCAAATATCGACACCGAGGTGCTCTTGATCTATGGCGATGCTGATTGTCTCGTCAACATTGAAAAGACGTGTGAGTCGTTGCAGTCTTGCAAGGTTGAGACTGTTCGGTGTCCCAGTTATGAGCATATGGATACACTCTGGGCTAAAGATGTGGAGAATAGGGTGTTCAACGTAATATTGGACAAGTATAGAGATATAGATGGCGGACGGGAAGCCATAAAGTCGTCTGGGTCTCTTTTCCTCTGACATAGAACGTGAACAGGATAACACAGGCAATTCATTAGGGGGCCAATGTTCAGTCCTGTTCGTTCCTCAACTCTCTAATCTCACTGATGCTATCTCTCTTTAGGTCGCTGTCTGCAAACAATTTATCCAACATCGACACAATCTCCTCGGTATCCAACTCGTAGAAGCCACCGTCATAGAACTTAGACATGATCTCTTTCATGTGGTTCACCAGTAAGAACTCCAACTGTAACAACTTTTGATAGTTCTTAGAGTATTCACTGATGGCACCACCAAGTGGTTGATCCAACGCTAAGAACTTCCCGATGATCTGTGAGAGGTATTCACTCTCCTGCTCGCCAATGTCGGTCTTCTCCATGATTGAGTTGATCACCAGCTGGTAAAACTCATCCATCGTTGAAAGCACAACGCTTGTCTTGACATCGTCTGGTAAGACGTTGACCCTCTTGAATAGATCGGAAAGCCTGGTCTGGATCTCCTGGATGATTCCAAAGGTGAACCCAGATGACAATTGTGGGTTCAATCCTTGTAATTGTTCATAACGAGTAGCAATAGACGTTTCACACCTTTTGATCTCCTGCATTAACAAACGATCAACTTGTTCCACTAAGGAAGGAACACGTGTTAAACCGTCCAACAACTTCACGTCGTTGTAGACAACGAGCAGGTCTGTGTACTTGATAGTGGCGAGAGCATAATACGACGTTAAAAGGTAGTCCAATTTGCTCAGATGGTTCTGCTGGTACTCCTCTGGTAGAGACTTGCCAGCATTGATGTAACTTTTGATGATTTCATTCATCAGGGAAGGGAAATGCGTAGTGATCAATTCAGTTTCTGATTTCAATGGAGTGTCACTTCTCGAAACATTTCTTGATGTGCTTTGCTGCTGCTTGTTTAGCTTCGATACGAGCTTAGGCTTCGGCTTGGGTTGCTGTTGCTGTTCCTCTTCTTCTCCCCATCCCCAATTATCGTCAATGCCCTCATCCATCCCCCAATCGTCATTCACATCATCAACATTATCATTATCATCGTCATCACTCCCCCAGTTGTCCCATTCGTTGTCAGGGGCCTTAGCACGTTCTTCGTGTTCTTTGGGAGATGGTGATGTCGATGATGGTGATACTTTTTGCATGGTTCCAACCAGATTCCTGTCATCCTTAAAGGCATCTCTTATACGAGAAATATGGGAGTTCAACGAGTGCTCAGTAGCCAGAAGATACAATTCAGACGAAATCCACTGTTTGAGATTGCTTCTCGTGAAATGTCTCTCAGTGATATAATCACCGAGGTCCTTGAACTTCTGTTGAAGCACAGAGGATTCTGAGATCTGTTTGGCATGCTTTGTGATCACCTCTTTCAATTCATCAAACAGCCTTGGTGAGATATACGAGATGACCTTTGCATTATGAGGTATGAGACTGATGAAGTCAACAAGTGCCTTGGTAGAGTTGATATGCTGTATCAACGTCTCCGTGATCGATTGCGATGCAACCACATCAACAACGCTAATCGTGGATCCGTCTAGCACCAGTGCAGAGTCGAACAGAGGCTTGACCAAGAGGTCAAAGATCACCATCGGCAAGTTGAACCGTGGTTGTGGCAGTGAATAGTGTTCCACGATCAACACCACTGCTTCAAACGATATGGGGAACCCATCCACATGGATCTCGCTGTTCAGCGTTACTGAGCCACCTGTGACATGAACAATCTGATCCCAGCAGTCCAGGAGCTTATTCACTGCAAGGTCTTCCAGTCTGGAGCCCTCCATCATCAGCTTAGACCGGATAGCATCGCTCTTGATGTTCATCTGATCCACCTTGCTCTTCAGCTTCGACAGCGAATGAAACACCGTTTCAAATTCAAACAGATCAACATTCACCTCTATCTCCTTCTGCAACGTCATCAGATACCAAAGCTCTTGCAATTGGTCCAACTCGTCCTGTAACTCAATGTCCTTTGATTCCAACTCCCCCAGCTGTTGCGTGTCCACCTTGAGCGTGAGCTGCTCCTGCAGTTTCTTCACATCGGTGATCTCTCCAACGAGCTTGTCCAACACGCCCAGCTGCTCATCAATCGCCTGTAACGACACCATCGTAGGCTTACTCATAACTCGATTGTTCAACCGGAAACCTCAGCACAATCGATCAGTTCATACGCTTCTTAGGGCTTCGTGGTGGTGGACAGTGAAGCGGACAGAGCCGAACAAAACGAGTTCGCGGAGAGATTACGTAAGCAGTGACTTTCAGTCTGGTGAAATCCGGGTAACCCCTTAGCTGCCCGAATTTGGCATATAAAGTCATCTCAAAAAAAATTTTTCACTTTGTTCTTCTTCTTCTTCTACTCTTTTTTCCCTTTCTTTAACGCAAATTTCACAGACATTTCCCGTGAGACAGCTTACAGAATCTCCTTGAGGTTGGACCCTTCGAGTTCGGCCCATGACGAGCGCGATACTTTGTCTCACAAGGTGGGCTGCATGGTCTTCTCTTGTGTGGAGTGTACTGAAGATCATACTTCCACTTGCCAATCTTGGGTGCATCGTTTCATCTGGTTTAGCCTTGTCTAAGCCTAAGGATCCTCCTTCGTGAGTCCGAATGGGAGATGATGCAAGGATTGACAGGACATTTCAGTTTATTTAGAGGATTTGAATGTTTTGTAGTGTAGTATTAAAAGTTAAACAGTGCGGGTCTAGAGCTTTGGCTTTGCCTGGTTTTTAAAGGAAGAATTGAATCCTAGCAGTTCATTGATTCCTCTTACCCAGTCGTTCTCAGACTTGGCGATACAGTAGATACCACTCTGTTTGGCACTGATCTCCTTCTTTGAGTAGGGGAACTTGTTGTTCTTTACGAATATCGTGCCAACCTCGTTCATTATGTGTAGCTCATCGCCAATGTTCAAGGAGTCCTGGGGGATACCGTCTATCGACATGCGAACATTGTTCTCGCCAGAGGCCTTCTTAGCAATGACAATCTTTATATGTGAGGTTAGTGGTAATATCAGGGGTCTAAAGCTCAGGGAACGTGGACAGATTGGCGATATCAAGATTGCTGGAACCAGTGGATGCACAATGCTACCACCAGAACTTAGAGAATATGCTGTGGAACCAGTTGGTGTACTGAGACAGACACCATCTGCCGTCGTTCTAGTCAAGAACTCCCCATCCACGTAGATGTCCAAAGTTGTCAGGTTTGGCGTGTCACCACGGTGCAGCACGATGTCGTTCATCGCATGTAGCATCTGGCGTTGCTCTTGACAAGAATCCAATGAGTCATCACCACATTTCCGCACAACATGGCACTCCAGCCTGGTACGGTGTAGAGCCTTTGCTGTTGATGTATAAACCTCACGGAAGGCCTCCTTGTGGTTGGCGAAATCAAATGGCAACAGGAACCCCAACGTGCCCAATGAGAAGGATAAAACCGGTGGTGCGATATGGTTGGAGAACATCGACACGGCTCTCAAGATGGTTCCGTCTCCACCAAGAGTGACCAGCAAGTCGGTCTTTGGTACAATCTCGTCAACCTCGCCGGTGTAGAGAACATGGGGCGACGATTTGGACTGTTTCGGGAAGGATTTGAAGTCCTGCGCTATCTCATCGGCAACGTCCTTGGTCACGATAACGTTCAGCTCAGGGTAGTGGTCATGGATGAAATTGACAAACTCAACCATTGAAGCACGAACATGTGGTGCCCATGGCTTCTTCACAACAAGGATATTCCTCATCGAGTTCTGCCATACAAGGCTCTGTAGTTTAGAATGTGGCGACTCGATGTACTCGGGAATGATCCTCGACCGCAGTCCATCACATGACTTTATGGAGACATATTTGTTCGTCATCTCTGGAGGCTCAGATATAAACCGTGGTGAAGAGCTCGAGATAAAGCGTAGGCCTCTCGATGGTGCCAGGCGTAAGAATCTCGACATTTGGCGACTCTCCGATCAGTTGCTCTCCCTTAAATGGCCACCAGACGGTGTTGAAGTGAAATTGATGTTGAAGTTTGATCCCACAGCGAAGTTTTCCCTGAGCGCTGCGGGTTAAAGTGACCAACTTCTGAGTAACTGCGGATACCGGAAATTTAAGCTTTGGGGAAAACGCAAAGCAATAACATGGCAAATTATTACGTAATCACAGCTTCCATCATAGTGTCTCTCGTTGATGGAGGCCAGCTCAGTACCACCACATGTTGCGTTCTCTCCTGTTGATTGGCTCCTGTGCTTCAAAGTCGATCAAGTACGGGTCCTTCAGCACGCACTTGTCCTTGATGTTATCACTAAGGTGATAACGAAGGTCGATGGTGCCGAATTCAAAGGGCTCGTTGCTGGCCAACGTTATGAGGTTTTCCTTGCGTGTTAGCATATCGACGTCATAAGTTGGAGGATGGAGCCATTCGATACAGTATTGGCTATTACAGCAGTCCCTGACAATGTACCTCTCTCCACTGAAGTGGACGTTTGCGTAGTAATCCGGCAGGCAGCCGTCTGTGGGCGTGTAGACGAGCTTCATCGGGCCTCTGTAACCTCTGGTTATCACTTTCTCAATCTTGGTGTTGAATAACACCAGGAGCTCTAGGCTAGGGGCCATGAGCTGTGGCATGGTTTTAACTGTGGTCTTTGCGTTGTAGTAGTAGAAGCTCCTCAACGCTGGGAATTGCTTCTTCTCCAACTCGCAGAGCCATTTATCCTCCGTGTGGTTTGCGATGAGCAACGATTCCAGATGGGAACAGTCGTACAACCCGCCCATGAATAGTTCCATCATCTCTGCAGCATACGACTCGTCCCTTGGGATGAAACTTATGTGCTTTGCATGACAAAAAGTGTTGAATAAATACCCCATTGTACCGTACATTCCAATGAAATTTGTATCGAGTCTAAACCTCTCGAGTTGGTTCAGCTGACACTTGTCGGATTCAAAATCCCGCAGGAGGTCTGTTGATATATCAAGTATCTTCAGTCGTGGCAGGTTATTATCCAAGAAGGATAATCCCTTGGTAACGTTTTGGCTGGACCCATAGGCTCTTGAAGACCCATTGACTCTAGATGGAGGTCCCTCGATGGAGAGCACTTCCAGACTCGGTAAGTCGTTGTTGTTAAAGTTCGCAACGTTCAAGCTCAACACATTGAGTTTTATTAATTTGGGAAGTTTCAAATTGGAAATGTTCCTCTGTTTAATACAATCCCTCGGTGTGCTTATCAGTATGACCAATTCTCTAATGTGTATAATCAACTTGCGTTCGAGGAAATAATTCAACACCTTTTGAGATTGATGGAAAAACTTGAAGACTCTCAAGTTTTCCAAGGTATGGTTCCAGACGACTCCATTCATGTTTAGAAAATCGTGAACTTGCTCACAAGGTCTATATTCCAGTCCCATAACTTCTGGATATCTCATCAACGTAATCTTAGCCTTTGGAGCTCTATGTGCCATCACTATACTGAATGAAGTGAAATTTCCTCGGTTGTTTTGAATCAGTTCAAACTCATACTTCCCAACGCTCTTCAAATGGGTTTCCAGTGCATCACCGACAACGTCATAGATAACCAGGTATATTCCATTGTAATGGCAAAACTCCAAGATCGTGTGCAATACACGTCTAGTGCTCCACTCTTTAGAGTCGAACTCAAAGAACACCGTCAATTCGCCGGCGTTCAAGGGCAAGTGGTCTTTGAACTTTTGTACCTGCTGTATGAATGAATCTGCTAAATGGACGTGCTGTGTATACCTGACGTCTGGTAACTCTCTGAATCTGCGAGCTGTGGGGGTATTTCGTAGAACCATGTGGCTCCTGTTGACGAACCTGGCGAAGAGAGGGTGTCTTCGCAGCACTCTGAATTGTAAGTAGTCCAGTCTTGTGAGGTGAGTGAACACCAGCCCGACAAGCTCCTCAGGCAGGTCCTCGAACATCGTACGTAGAGTTCTCGTGCGTTTAGCACGATGAGAATCAGCATCAACATTAGCATCACCATCACCACCGCCAGCATCACCACCACCAAAATCGCCGCTCTCCGGTGCTCCAAGACCCCGTATCATCGTCACCCTTACACTGTCACAGCGTCAACCGCTCTACGGCCCTCAGTGCTCAACGCCTAGTGGCCCTAAGCGCTGTTCAGCTCCCCCCATACACAGGCCAAACCGTGTGATGAGATAAACACCCACACACCACACACAGCTCGTAAAACCGACCGGCCGTCCCAAAAGGGCAATCTTCGCACTGGGTTATACTTTTCCTTTGCAGGGACAAACTCCCACGCGAACTCTAATCTCGCTTGTTTCTTTTCCACCTCGAATCTTCCATCCTTGTCACCCTGGTGATTACCACCAATTTCCCTCGGCCTCCCAACTTTGTCCTTTGTCTGTCCTTTGTCTGTCCTTTGTTTTGGCACGACTGCAGCAAAATTCGATAACTCTCTGCACGAAAATGTGCACAGTGCGCAGCCTCAGACTGCCCCAACTGCCCCAGCTGCCCCAGCTACTCCAGTAGGGGGTACTGCGTGGTGGTGTTAGGTGCCACTAGGATTTGTTATACAGTACGTTACCGGAGCAGTGTGTTGTTAGTGAAATTTGAGTTGGAGTTTTGCCTGGTTATCTTCTCCCTTTCCCCTGGTATCTCCTCCCGTTGTGTATTGCTATAGGGATAAAGCCATAAATGTCTACAACCATTGTGTACAGAGCAGACCCTTCCAAGGAGCACGTACAAATCGCAGGCAACTTCACCGGCTGGGCCGCGGTCGATCTCGACTGGAACGACGATAAGAAGGTGTTTGAGTATGTTGTCAGGCCATCTGATGAGCAGGGCAAGCTCAACTTCAAATTCATTGTTGATGGTGTGTGGCTCTGTGACGATGACTACGCGAGCGGTGAGTGATGACTTTATGTACGCGTGCACGCTGTGTGTGTGTGTGTGTGTTTTTGGTGGTTGAGGGTTACTAACAAGCAACTCAGAGGCGGACTCGTCGGGAAACCTCAACAACGTTATCCTGTACGATTTCTCAGAGGATCAGAGTGCGGTGGTTGAGCGCACGAGCAATGCGCTTGAAGAGGCTCAGAGGGAGCTTGCCGAGGAGCCAAAGACCCCGGAATCCACGCCACGTAGAGCGTCTGCAACGTCGCCAAAGGCTCCTCATGATGAAGTTGGCGCTGTTGGCTCGGTTTCAAAGCCTGAGCCTGCACACGTCAGCGAGCTGGATGATGAGCTATCTACGGTAGTCTCCAATGAGGAGACTGTTGAGCAGGAGGACCCCGGTGCTGCCACTGGTCAAGGCGATGAGGTGTATGCTGCTCCAAAGACTACAGCTTCACAATTGGCATTCTTTGCAAGACTGTTACAAATCATCAGGGAGTTCTTCTCAAGGTGGTTCCACGGAGGGTCTCATTGAGACGCATCAGCGTCATCGTCACGAGCATTGACAGCCGGCTTGGTGATAACTATCATAGTGCTAATCTTATATATCGATAATAATGCATTGGTCAATTCAGCCTTCGAGCCTTGTTTCTCCAAAGGTAGCTACATCTGCTCACTTACACCAGCTAAGGTGAATATTGTGTATAATACGAAGTACTATATAACGATTAGAGCGACTTTCTGACAAACTGTCTTGGGATGTTGCCACATCTATCCTTACCAAAGTTGATCTTTAGATCTTTGAAATCTGGATCCAATTTGATCTTGTCGATGGCCACGATGGCGTTGGAAATGTTGGCAAAGTTGACAAAGACACAGTTCTTATCAGCTAGATAGTTGATCTGTTCCACGGTGCCGAACTCCTCGAATCTCTTTCTCAGTGCTTCCTCGGAGAACTTAGGGTCTGCAACGTCAATGTTACCGATGTAGATGTTTCTCGAGGCACCAGAACTGACTGCAAGCGTCAACTCAACAGAGAGAGGTCCAGAGTGTTTACCCCAGCCGACTTTGATCTTCTTCATGTATAAAGAGAGCCCGTGGAGTTGTGACATTGCGTAGAATTGGGCAGCTGCAATTGGATCGATGAAAGTGACAAAGCAAACATGACGTAGAGGGAAATACTTAACGTGTTCCAGCAACCCACCACGGATGGTGTTACAGATCTCGTCTAGTTTGGCATTCTTTGGCAAGTTGCCCAAATAGATGGTTCTGTTACCCAGATTGTTTGCACCACCAGCTGTGGTAGCAATCGCTGCTGCTGCGGCACTTTGCTTTAGCAACGTTGATGATATGAATTCTCTATCTGCTGTCGTCACTAGATGCTCCATCCCCGGTGCAAGTCCCAAGTATTGAGCAGCGTTGTGCTGCTGAGTCTTTGTTATGAATGCACAACGGTCCTTCCCGTAAAAGATTCTCATCTTGCCGTACTGTTCAGGCATCTTGGTAGTTAAAGTGGACACACATTTGATAGCAGAGGCAATTGAGCAGAAATGGACAAACGCAATCTTCTTTTCAGGGATGATCTTTATAGTATCAATGACGCCAAACTGTTGCATGTCTTTGTCCAATTTGGCCTCTGTGATGTCCTTTGTGAGGTTCCCGATGTAGACGTTTCTGGTGGCACCATCTCTTTGAACCCTGCTCAAAACCATCGGGTTTATTGGGATGTTTCTACCCCATCCGATCTTGATGTCGTTATCTTTGATGGTTAGCCTTCTCAAAGTGGCGTCAGAGTGGAACAGCAAGGCACTGGACTCGTCCAGAAATGAAATGAATGCACACATCTTTTCTGGAAGGAAACGAACACTCTCGATAACACCAGATCTGACATGGTCCAACAGCTCCTTTGGGGTGATGTAACCCGGCACGTTACCTAAGTAGACGGTTCTACTTGGTGCCGAGTTGAAATCGATGCCTCCCTGGGACATTGCACCAGAAGTGGACAAATTGGACGTTGAGCCATATCTCGCCTCCATCTGAGGCTCTTGGATGAATTGAGGAGGCACAAACTGGCCAGGGTACTGCAGGTCGTCCTCATCGCTCATAGACAGATTCTGCATGGAGCCTTCGAGTAAAGCTTGCATCTGCTGGTTATACTCGTACTCATCCATGGCGTTCTCGTCCTGGCATGGGAATTCCTTCGCCTGCGGAATCACTGGGGTGTACCCATTCAGCTGAGGTGAGCCAACAATAACGTGCTGTGGCACCATCTGCGTGTAAGGCATGTCGCAGTTATACATTGACTGCATCTCGAGTGGATATTAGCGATGAAGGATCGTCAAGTGGTCTGGGAAATGAACTGAAAGAAAAGCGAAGCGTGCGAGTAATTATTCAAAAGAACTGAAATAGAGTGACAATGTGCGGGTTCGGTAATCCAATGCAAAGAAAAAATGAACAAAAGAAGTGAAGCTTGTGGACAAGAAGAGACACACAACCGGGCCGTGTATAACCGTGCTTTAATTTCACCAGATCAACAACGATGGTACTCAAAGTTATGTTCCACAAGGTATGAAAACAAGCCAACAAGTGAAGCGAAACAATCCAAACAAGCCGGTACGACAGAGAGCAGAAAACGGCGTCAAGCTCTTTCAATCACACCACGCAAACTGGCTGGATGATTTGTATGAACAGGAAAGGAACAGCTCGTCTAGAAAACCAAAGATGGGGGAAGTTGTAAAAGAAGAAGAAGAAGAAGAAGAAGAGAAAAATCTTCCAAACTTAGCACCGCGTGGACAAAAAAAAAAAAAAACGAGGGAAAACGGTTTCTCGGTATTGTCCCAAAACGGAAAACGCGGCTTTTGGTTTCGGGACACACGCTGGGTGCATCTCCCTCTGCGCGATCACCGTGGAAACGACGCGGGTGCGCCATCTTGGGTGTCTGGATGTGATGAGCTGTGCGGGAGTTCTATTCATAGTCGGTGTCTTCTCCAGAGTAATCGGTGTCCTGTTCCTCTGTGGTTTCAGGATCTTCAATGGTCTCTTCGAGTTCGCTTTCTTGGTGGTTATCACTGGAGGGATGGGGGTCGCTAGTGAGTTCGAGCTTCAGAGCGTTGGAATGACCATGGGTTTCAGTTATGGACGAAGACGTTTCCTCTGGCTGGTTCGGCTTGGAGGTGAAGCTGTCAGTCTTGAGAGCAGCGTGTGTGGTTGTGGTCTTCCCGTTCGAAGTGTTCTTCAGCTTGACACGTTTCTTCGGTGTTGTTGTTTTAGTATCTCCCAACTTGACATCTCCCAGTCTCACCTCCTCACTAATGCGCATGATCTTTTCCATGTTGATCAGATCATCAACGTCTTCGGAGTCGCCAGTGGTCTGTAACTTGATGTACTGCTCTTTCATATCGTTAATCAGTCTGGTAAACACCATCAACTGATGCTCCTCCTGCTCAACAAGCTTATCAACGCTCAATTGCTCCTGAGCCATGAACTCGTCCAACTGTGTGCTTAGCTTCTTGTTCTCTCGTTCCAGACGATCAACCTCATCCATGTAGTGGTCTCGATTTTGACAAATCTCTCTTGTCCATGTGAACAGATCGTACTCCTCATCAACCTCGGACTCAGAGACCTCATCAAGCGTAAACCCACCAAGTTTCTGTCTCAGTTGAGTAGCCGTTGATTTACCCAAAACCACGTTGATATCCACGCTCATCCTACAACCACCACTGGGGCTCCTTTCTAGCCGAGCATTCAGCTCATAACGTTTGGAATCGTCCCCAGCCAGCTGTCTAAAGCAAACTTTGTAGAAAAGCACTGCCCAGTCATATCTGTCCATCTTATTGGACATATGACGGATCTCTTCCAGTTCATCCGATTTCAGAGTCCCATGAAACATCACAGTGCCATTAGATGCACGTACATCAACCTGCCAACCCCCTTTGCTGCCCTCAGTCATAGGCTCCACCTCGTCATCCGTAGAGAACCTAATCATCATATCAGAGACATGGTTATTTCCTTCAAAACCGATCAGTAACCGAATTGGCTTACAATGGCGTACATATACTCATCCTCACCTTCTGGAATCGCCAGCATCGTCGTATACACTTTCATCGCGTCGCTAATACCAACTCCTTAGATTCCAATCATGTCTTCCATACGACGTTTGAGTTGATCCTGTAATTTCCTAAAACAGACATGCGGTTATGTGCCCTTGCCACATGCTTACGTAAGCGATGACCCGCTAGTGAAAAAAAATTATTATGTCTTCTCATTTGTTTACTTCACTTCCATCTTTTATAGAAAGAAAGGTTGCTTTATCAGCTATAAGAAGAAGTTTATATAATGGTGAGTGTGTTCTGTCTTCTCATCATATGCTACAGCACTAACCTGCGTCGTCAAGCCTCCAAAAGAAGCTCCAAAGAAGTGGAAAGCTCCAAAGGGCCCTAAGCCGGTGCATCACAAGAACAAGAACACCATTGGTCTTGGTCGTTCGATCCAAAACGCTCGTGCCAATGAGAACAGGGTGGAGTTCTTGCCTGACGGTGAGATGCGTTTCACCACGGACAAGCACGAAGCCAACTGGGTCAAGCTGAGATCCGTTACCCAGGAAAATGCGCTTGACGAGTTCTTGAACACCGCGGAGCTGGCCGACACTGATTTCACGGCTGACAAGTACGCCCAGGTGAAGATCATAAAGGTTGATACCTCTGTGAATCCATATCTGTTAACTAAGGAACAGGAGAAGAAGATCCGTGAAGTACAACAGCAGCACGAGAATAAGCTTACAGTTCCAAGAAGACCTGAATGGGATGAATCTCAAACCAAATTTCAAATCGACAGACAAGAGAAAGAGGCCTTTTTAAACTGGAGAAGAGATCTTGCCAGACTACAGGAGAATAACGACCTCTTGTTGACCCCATTTGAGAGAAATTTGGAGGTTTGGAGACAGCTGTGGAGAGTTGTCGAAAGATCGGACCTTGTTGTGCAGATTGTCGATGCTAGAAACCCATTGTTGTTCAGATCACCAGATTTGGATGTATACGTCAAAGAGCTGGACGAGAGAAAGAAGTCGTTGCTTCTTGTTAACAAGGCCGATCTCCTGACTCCAAATCAGAGAAAAGCTTGGGCTAACTATTTCAAGGCAAAGGGTATAAACTATACATTCTTCAGTGCATTTGAAGCTAATGAACGCTTGGAGAAGCAGGCCAATGGTGAAGAGATTTTGGAAACTGAAGAAGATGCCGTTGCTGATGAAGATATTAGAATCTTGAAGATTGAAGAGCTGGAAGAACTGTTCATGACCGAAGCTCCAGAACCTTTAACCGTACCACAGAACGGTTCTGATCCTATTCTACAGATTGGTCTTGTTGGTTATCCAAACGTCGGTAAGTCCTCGACCATCAATGCTTTGATTGGGGCTAAGAAGGTTTCCGTGTCGTCAACTCCTGGTAAGACGAAACATTTCCAAACCATCCATCTGTCTGATAAAGTGCTTCTCTGTGATTGTCCAGGTCTTGTCTTCCCAAACTTTGCCTTTACGAATGGTGAACTGGTCTGTTCAGGTGTCTTGCCAATCGATCAACTTAGAGAGTATACCGGTCCTACCCAGTTGGTTGCACAGAGAATCCCAAAGTACTTCTTAGAAGCTGTTTACGGTATCGCAATCCCAATAAAACCAATTGAGGATGGTGGTGATGGTATTCCAACTGCACAGGAATTGCTCGTTGCCTATGCTAGAGCAAGAGGTTATATGACTCAAGGTTTTGGTAGTGCTGATGAGCCAAGATCTGCTAGATATATTTTGAAGGACTACGTCAACGGTAAACTGCTGTATGTCCATCCTCCACCGTCATTGGATGGAGAACCTTTAACTGATGATTTCAAGCGTGAATTCAACAAAGAGTTATACACCATAGACTCCCTTGCAGAGAACAGAAGGGATCAAATCTTGAGTGCTGCTAGATCTAAAGGCTTGAACAATGTTGATCTATCGAAGGACCTCGAGGCATTGTCGTTCTCTAGTCACGTTGCAGGTGATGAGACTACAAAATCCAAGACTATGAACCATGGAGGTAGCCAGGCTGCCATCTACAACGCTACAGAGGACTTGGATAGAGAATTCTTTCAGATGAATAGCGTCAAGGGCAAATTTGTAACGCCGTTCCATCTAAAGCAACAGGGATCAGCTGAAGGCTCAAGTTCTGGTGCAAAGAAGCATAACAAGAAGAACAAGAAGCAGTTGAAGAAGATTAGAGCCCCATCTAATTTTTGATTACAGCTTTAATGAACAAATGTTGAAGAACAAACAGCATACGATCTTTCCTTTTAATATACAAAACTTATGTAGCTATTTTGTTCACTCATCATCAGATTCCTCTTCAGCCTCTTCAAGCCATTTGACAAATGGCTTCGCAGCCTTCTTAACCTTCTTGGAGATATCCTTGGAGACGTACTTCTTTGAGATCTTTGAGCCCCAATCTATGATCACTGCTTCTGAAGCCAAGTCTGACTCATACACCTTTAACAGCACCTTTGAGATCTGTGGTAGCAACTCTGGATGATCCAATCCTAGGAATCTCTCCAATCCTCCCAAGAAGGCCTTCTCGTGGGCTGGGCTTGTGATCAGTTTGGACAACAAGCCTTGGTGCTGTTCAATCTCATCGACAATGTCTTCGTCAAACAGTACTTGAGCCAAAACTTGGACGGTCTTTTCATCGTCAACGATATCCAGGTCGACAGCTTTCTTGTAGATTTCAACATCAGATGGGAGGTCATCTTTGTCCTCGGACTCCAACAGCCATTCTCCCAACTGGTCGAACTCTGATTTCTGGTCATTCAAGTTCAAGTTCTCTAGCTCCTGTGCTCTTCTTCTGACGGCCTCTTCAGAGACGTCAACTGCCCAGTCGTCATCTGCGATTGGTTGGGCATCTGGAAGATTGGACGCCTCAGCATTGATCTTTCTGGTGAGTGCGTCGTCGTCAGAGTCCGCACCTTCATCGTTCTCGTTCTCGTTGCCGTTGCTGCTGCTCTCCTTCTTCTTACCAGAGGCAAGGTCGGAAATGGAGACACCACCACCAACAACGTTGGCAGAAGCAGTTGCAGCCTTCTTCTTCTTCGAGGATTTGGCAGACTCCGGAGGGTTCTTCAAGATGTATGACGCCAACTTGTGACGAGGATCGATGTCAGTTCTCTGACCACACGCCTTACAGTCCCTGATCAGGTTACCATCCTTGGTGATGATGATATCGGTCTCTGGGTTCTTACACGACCCACACAGCACAAACTTGTTGATGAACCCGTCCAACGTGTCCTGGAGCTTGTTGGAGTCATGCACACCGTTCACCAGGTAACGGTCCGTGGACTCGTTGATCGACGTCTGTGCACCGAGCTCGAAACCAAAGTACTTGATGATATACGCTGGTGGTCTGCCCAGAGCACGCGCAACCTCTGCTGTGTTCATCACAGCAGTCTTGATACCGTTACCACGTCCCTCAGTCTTGGACTGGATCGCAGGCATCTTGTAACGGTAGAACGGATCCGTGTTCTCACGGCAGATGTTGATGTTCGACATGGCTCTCTGTTCACTGGAAACAACCTTCTCTGGTGTGGTTCTCTGTTCACTGCTCTTCGCTTGCCTCTTCCACCAGAGACCGTTGTCCATACTGAAAAGTTTTTTCTTGCCCTTGTCGCTGTGGCCCTCCCCCTCCAGCGAAACGCGCTACGCAGGCGCTCTGCCCGCCCACTTTCCAACGCCACCATTATTGAGCGCCCACTGTTCACCGCCACCAAGCAGAGCCTATTCTGCTCGGAGTGTACCGGGCGGGGAGGGACGAGCCGGGAGGGAACGGGAAGAGAGCAGGAGAGAATGTGTGGATTTGGTGATGAGTTTCCAATCAATGGAAGAGCATCTACAACGGGAATCAGTGACAGGGCGTGGTTGTTTGTTCGTAGGAGATGTCGGGTATCACGCAGAAGCTTCTTGAGATCCACCACTCCGGGATCTTCACGCAGTTCAGCCCGGAAGAGACTGTAAAAACACACGAACAGCTACGGGAAGTGCTCAACATTGAAATCGATAGGCTGACTGATGTCGAGTACTACGACTTGATTGAGCTTGGATTCTACCTGTCCTTGATCATGGGCAAGGACAAGGAGTCCAGAAACTGTCTTCAGCTGCTCGTTGATAAGTTTGGAGACGATCTGAGCCCAAGAATTGCGTCTCTGAAGGCCACGTATCTCCAAGCCACGGAGGGAACACAGGCTGCCATTGAATACCTCTCGAAGAGACCAGGTGATGAGCTACAAAGCCTGAAGAAGAGAATCTCGCTGAATAGCTCCAACAGGGACAAGAAATACGTTGAGCTGTTGCTGGGTCTGCTGGATTTCACTCCTCTGGACGTTGAAACGTGGTCAGAATTGGGCGAGACTTACTACCAATTGGCAAACGTTGACAAAGCGATATGGTGCTTCCAAGAGGTGCTGTTGATACAGCCTTTCAACTACTACGTATGTGCACGTCTCGGTGAGCTATACCATGCCTTGTACCAGAGAGATCGCTCGAAAAAGACCAACCTCGAGCTGAGTATCAAGTACTTTGCCAGAAGTGTTGAGCTGTGTTCCAACCTCGTTAGGGGTTGGAGTGGGTTGCTGACGACTACAAAGGAGTCTGGAAATGACACATTGCACAAGCTGGCTTCAGACAAGCTGAAGCTGATTGAGGAATCTCAATCTGCTACAAGGGAAGACTTAAATTTCATCAAAGAGATCAAATCCTTGTCTTGATGTTAATGGTTTGCGAAAACGTCAACTATAACCTTCTCCACAGGCAACCTCTGTGCTATCCAATTCTGGTCTCTGAGGAATGAGCGTGGATCACCACTCAATGGGCTAATCTTCTTCATCACTTGCTGATGCGTGCCTTGTTGTTCCTTATACTCTCGAATGACTTTGTTCTCGTGGAAGTCGACATACACCCTAGTGTCTCGTACCCTGAATAAAACGTTGTCCACCCTCATGAAGAACCTCTGTAGCAGTAGTAGTCTCTCTGACATGACTCTAATCTTGCAACTCAAGACGGAGATCCCATTATCGCCCAATTCGTCCTCGTAGAGAACCATGTCATCAAAGAACAGGATCGGATCAGGCCTCTTTAGCTTATCCAACGGAATGTGTTCGTTCTCTGTTTCCTCCATAGTAACACCATCTGGCAAGGAACCACGATACGTCGTGGAATAAGTCCAATCAAACGGCTTCACAATGCCCTTCACGTCCTCGCCGTTGGTCTTTCTGGTGCTAAACCACTCCTTCGAGTACGACACCTGGATCAGATCCGTGCCAGTGGTATCCACAAGACTCAGTGCATCTGGAGTGTTGAACGATATGGAGAAGCCCAACTCCTTGTTCTTGATCTCCACCTTGTTATGACCAAAGATCATCTCCGGAACCGGTATCCCCAACCTCTCGTTCTCCAAGTCGATCTCGTCACTCGTCAGAATCGGCTGCTTCGTGGTGTAGATCTCCCACGAGCCGACAGATATGCTAGGAGTCTCAACTAGAGGGAAACTGGCCACGGGTGATGGTATGATGACTCGTCCGCAGTGGATACACTGGGTGTTTGTACAGTTGGCCTTATCGTGTTCACTCGCCGGCACGTTGACAACAAATGGCGATTGGATGCCCATGGTGTCAATTGGAGGCTCCACAGCCTCCACCTGTGGCACTCTGTCCGGCTGCTTGAACGTTGCTGGTGGCACTGCTCCTGTCCCTGCTGCTGCCGCCGATGGCCTTGCCCTTGCCCTCGTTGTGCCGGCGAACATCTCCCTGGCCTTGTTGATCTGGACATAATCAATGCCCTGGGGTCTTCGGCTCGAAGGAACCCCAGACTCGTTCACCGAGGGTCTCTGTGACATCGCTTCTGCCTGCTGAGTCTGCTAAGTCTGCTTGTCTAGGCCTGCTTGTCTGAGCCTGCTGAAATGTCCAAGGCGTAGAAGCACCCAAGAGACACTGAAAAAGTGCCGTGATGCTCCCTCCGCTGGGGAAATTTCACCCTGAACAGAGCTTACACACAGCACATAATAACCAGTGGTGAGAGTACAACTCCAATAACAAAGGCATAGATATACGATGAGGTTTATAAAAAGACCAATTGAGAGCTTTGTGCTGTCGCTTGTGATCGTGGGCTCGTTGTACTTCTTCACATCGTCAACTGCGACGTTGTCTGAGCCCAAGCCGTTGAGCCCTGAGAGCTCAGCTGCAGTGCCGGCCCACAATGAAGAGCCAGCAGTTGAAGGGTTCCAGACGCAACTTCTGGTGAACAACGAGGACGTGGGCTCTGAGGCTGCTGCAGAGACGCTCGATGTGGAGCCCTTCATGCCAAAGATGGCCAATGAGACGTTGAAGTGAGTGGTTTTCTGTTGTACCACCTTGTGTGTGCGATTAGTACTGACATCACTATCAAAGAGCTGAGCTGGGCAACGCTGCATGGAAAGTGAGTAAGCGAGTAGGTTTCCACGTGTGTTCATTACTGACAATTGACCATTGGATAGCTTCTGCATACGATTCTGGCGAGATACCCTGAAAATCCAAGCAGTGAAGAACGGTCGTACCTCGAGCAGTACATCTTCTACTTTGGTAAAGTGTATCCGTGTGGAGACTGTGCTCGTCATTTCGCCAAACTGCTGAAGAAATACCCACCACAGACGTCTTCGAGACAGACTGCTGCGGTGTGGGGGTGTCACATCCACAACAAAGTGAACGAAAGACTCGGACACGACTTGTACGACTGTTCGCACATCATTGAGGACTACGACTGCGGGTGTGGTGAAGATGAGCAGCTGCCAGATGGAACACGTTCTGAAGGCCCAAACCGTCTGGATTTTGATATACAACAAGAACAGAGACAACACGGTTAAGGTACTTATACACGCTATACTATGGTGCAACATCCACCTGGTGAGCTGCCCGTGGAACCACGGGACTGACGTGGTGCTCTGTTCCCGTTTCGAAAAGTGTTCTCTCCAGGTGACATGTAGCCCCAGATCTCTGGTAGTACATAGTCCCTTGACTGCTGTGTATAGTTGATGATCGAATACGAGGCATTGGAAGCGTAGATCCGGTCCCTTGCCAGTACACCTTTCAGCTTATCGTTTAACTCGTTAATACGCTTCAGCTTGAGTAGTAACAGCTTCTGATTCATGGGCTTCGGCGACTGGTCTTCGTTACAATCAGACATGGTTGAGTTAGCTGCTTAGCTCGAAACAAAGCTTCGTACTCCCATGAGCAAGACACAGCTAAACTGGCTTTAAATAGGGCGCAATTGTCCCCAGCCATCGTAGCCTCAAAAAGTCCCTTACAATGTCTTTAGCGTATGTTCTCTTGTTCGATGGTTTGGGGGACCACGGAGAGTCGAACGCCCAACTTTCCTCGTGCTGCCTCATCTTGCTGTGGCGCAGTGGTGAGGCCCGTCTCTTAACTCCGTGTGCGAAGGGTGGAAAAATTTCCCGTACAAACGACCCCTTTTCAGCTGATGGACGTAGACTCGTCAAACAATACAAACAATTAGCACACGAAACCATGGTAGGTGATTCGTATTAACTGCTGATCCGGCTGTACTAACATTGTGTTGCTAGGATCATCCTTCTAATACTCTTTCTGCCCTTCTCTTGGCCGGTGGTGTCGCTGGTTACCTGTAAGTTCAAGAACAGAAAAATAGCCTTCCCAGGTGTGAAGCATACTAATAAAGCGTCTTTTGTCGTGAATCAGCAAGAAAGGTTCTATTCCATCACTCGCCGCTGGCTTGACCTTCTCCGTGGCCTACGGTGCTGCGGGTTATCTGTTGCGTAAGAACGCTGATTGGGGTTTGGAACTGGCGTTGGGCTCTTCAGTTCTGCTACTCGCTGCTGGAATTGCCCGTGGAGTGCCAACTCGCTTCAAGAAGCCAATCCCATTGGTGTTGACGGTTCTTGGTGCTTTGGGCACAGGATATTACACAAAGAAGTACAACGAGTTCTATCCATTCTTCTAACTGTTTTCAACGGCGAAATAAGCTTGTCTTCATTATGGATGTGGCCAACAAGGACATCCCCCCAGTATATAGCTCAATTAAGACATACAAACGAGGCACTACATCTTGTTTAAAATACCAATTGAAACCAAAAAACTGTATTAGAAATCATACGGAAAAACTCAAATCCTCCCCTAGCAAGAAACGTATCGACATCCTGGGGTTATCAGGATGTCGGCTGAAATGAAAGTAGAACTATGCAAGCAGTCGCATTTCATGCGAATCACAATAGCTTTTCACTAACACTGTTTGATCTGGAAGATGGCTCCTGGTTCGCACTGATCGACGACACACTCGATGGTCTGCTAACAGGTGACACGTTTGGAATGACGAATGGTTGTTGTGGCTCGGCAGATAATACGAGGAACTTCATTTTAGACTGTGTGTGTTGATTTGCTTTGTTGTAACTTTGTTATAACTTTGTTATTGTCAAGTATGGAGACACATCTATACGAATCTTACAACCTCAAGAGAGATGTTAGGGGGTTTATATACACATGAGGTGAGCTCATTCCACAGCGTAGACGAATATGTCATACCCGGTGATTTTCCAACGAAACCCGTGGTGGGAAGGGAGAAAACGCACAGCACATGACACAAATGACGCATCTTGTAAAGTGAGTAATAGCAAACTCATCCTAACCTTCCCACAACCGTCTCATGTTATCAAAGTCATCCAAACAGTCATCGCTTTGGTCACAGAGGTACATGCACCCCAGGATGTGTTGTGCGAACCGGGAGTTTATGGTTTCTTTTTTTCACTTTCGGCGGCGCCAGGCTGGGCTGAAACAGTTCCAAATTGCAGGCTGGGAGGTTGGGATTTAGAAGGGAGCCGCTAGGCTGAGCCGATGGTCCGCAGGCTGGTAAACCCTGTAGGCTGGTGGCCGTTGTAGGCAGAGAGAGGGAAGCAGGTAGAAAATCCCGATACCACGGGAGGAATACTAGACCAACTACAAAGAGCTGTGGAAAACAGACTACACAATCCACTAACGGTGGGTCATAAACCACGCTTGTGTCTGCTGTTGTAGAAACACACAGGCACACACACACACACACACACCACGATATGGACAACAAAAGCTGTGACTAACCCGTGGTTTCGAGTTCCTGCCATTCTGGGTACGAGAGCTGGACTCGCCTGGTAAGACGGGTATCTCTTCCGTGCGAGAGTTGCGTGGGGGTCCCTCCTTCTGCACGGGAAGGATGCGTGTTTTTTTTTTCTCGTTGTTTTCCTGGGAGAAGGACGTACAGGCGAAGATGATATCATCGTTTGCGTGTTACTAAACAAGAACGGTTAACCGACGTCAACACACGTATACCTAATCCAGATTAGGAAGTGGTGGGATTGTACGGGTGACGATTACGATTACCCTCCCGTTAGTTGAATGTCATCCGGTGCAGTGCCCTCTATCACACACTCTGCTTCTCTGTGTAGCTATCTCTGTGCAGGCTTCTCTACGCAGGCTTCTATACGTAGCTTTCTCTGTGTATTCAATTGTACAGAGCAGATGGATTCGCTTCATTGGCCAATTCTAATTTCAAATATGTGCTTTACGTAACCTCCCCCCATGTTTTTTTTACCCCGGACTATTTCACGCTATAACGGTTTCAGTCTGTAAGATGCCCCCCCCCCTCAACTTCTTCTCCAGCCGTTGTTCTCGGGAATGCGAAGCTTTCCTTCCACTGACACAAACGAAGCCATTGCCGTATTGCCCCGGTGCGTTGCCACGTTGGAATAAACCTGGGGAAGTCTCGGTGGCATCGTACGTTTGGTTGGTTGGTTTCCACCCTCAAAGCTCCGGTCGTGTAACTTGGTGTTTTTGTTGTTGGGAACTCATGGAATAGAAACAGCTCATCGCCTTCCTTGTCCATCGCCCTCTCTCCCGGGTTAAGCAGCTCAGTATGCTCATGTGCGTTCAATTTTGGAGTCATAGGTCAGCCCTAACTTGTTTTGGGAATGGATCCTTCTTGCTTAACACGCAGACTCCATTAGAATGCGAGAGGTAGCCCTTGATATGGCCTTCGTAGATCAGATTGGCCATTAGACACTCTGTCTCGTCAGATGAGAAATTGGTAACGTTTCTTGTATCGTTGTGGTACAGAGAGACTTCAAATCCTGCGGTGAGAGCTCTAATGGAAAGATGCAACGGTGAACCTGTGATGAGATGAATACGCTTAATTAACTTCAAAATCACGTACTGTCTCATCGTTTCAATGGCGAAGTATAAGTTCTTCTTCAAGAAGAAGATCTCCAACTCATCAAACTCTTTATCAAATTTGCTCAAATCACCACTGACGACACTCTCGAACAATGCCTTGTATATCGAATACACTGACAGTCTCTTTGCAAATTTAGCAAAGTCTGGGTACTGCCTCGTAACGACAAACTTTAAGGGGATCAGGTAGAGCAAAATGGCCTCAGCATGTTTGTCATCTTTCTTATTGCAAAGTTGATAGGCCAATTTGAACTTCTTATACGCGGTGATGAAATCACCATCACCGCAAAAGATGATTCCAGAGTAGTACAGGTATGTCACTGCATGGCTTTTTTCAATGTTCATCAGATCTGGTAGATTTCTCTTCAAACTCACAAGAACTTTCTCCATGTTCTTAGCAAGATCACGGTTCTGTAACTTGTAGTAGATCTTTAGCTCATGTGCCACGAAGAAATACGTGTATTTCCTTCTGGTCAACTGGTCATCCTCATTTCTATCGTTTAGACATAGCTTAAACGAATTATGGATGATACGGGCAGCTTTCGTCAAACAGCGTTCAACTTCGAAATCACCAACAGCCTTAGCGTTGAACTCATTTGGATTGTTCAGCATATAGTTGTCCGCCTCGACAGCCCTCGATATTAGAAGCTTTGTAACGGCAATGAGCGGCTTCACTGCCCAGTTGTCTTTATTCTCTGCAAACCGGTTCAGCGCCCTAAGCAAATCACCAGTCTCATTGAAAAGATTCATCTCACTACCATGGGAAGCCTCCAGCTTCTTCAACATCAACACCTGTTCAAGCACGGGTTTCAACTCCTTTGGAATCTTGATAACGAACTGGATATGATCCATCTCCAACAGTTGGACATCGCACGACTCCGGCGCCTTATTGACGATCAATTCCGCCATGGAATCACCATCTTTGTTCCGTACACTGTTACATATACTCGAGAAGTAATCCATCTCTCGCAGCTTAGCCTTCTCAATGTCCCCCCTCTAAAGCTCATCGCCCGTTGGTCTTTACCCTCTTTGATTCGCTAAAGTTCGTCAAGAGGCTTCCGTGGTGCTTCGAAGTGGTGTTCGGGTGTTTTGTTGGTTATGAAGCCCTGGTGGCAGTAGTCGCTTTGTTTACCTTTTACCGCATTGGGATATGTAAGTTAGTGCATAGAAGACCTTGGCCTGTTACAGTACGCAGTTGGGACAGAAATCTCGCTACGTTTCTTGTTTCCTCTGCCTGTTTTCTTGTCAATTGTTCTGAGTTATTGGCTTAGAACAGAACAGCTGATATCGCAACGTCAGGGGACTGTGTTATTGCATCGTCACAGAGCAGAAATGTCTAGCACTGGAGCCATCGATCAAACTACACCAGTGCGTCAGAGGATCATCTCCGAAACCACTGGTTTGGTCAAGTTCAACATTACAAAGAAGAAGATCGAAGAAAGAACTTCAGAGAATGCTAAGTTTGTCAAGCTGGAAGCAGAGATGAACAGGAAATCTGCACCAACACCACCAAAAAGACCTTTAACGTCTATGGCTGTGAAGCCAACCATCGTTCCGTACTCACCTTCGAGAAGGGGCAATAACAACACTGCTATGAATGAAACCGGTGACAATAACGTGGCAGCACCAATCAACAAAGACCTGATGCTTGAGCTGGCTGAAAAGCAACGTGAGGTTCTGGAGTTCAAGGAGAACATGGAGACATTGAAGTTCAAACTTGCAAATGCTGAAAGAGAGCTGCGTGAAATTGAGCGTAAATGCAACACCAATATCAAGATACAGCATACAGAAAAGGGTACCCCAAAGCCTAACCTGTCTTCGAAACCTTCTCTGCAATCCTTTAAGGCTTCCTTGAACATGAACAACACAAACAGCAACATGTCACCTCCAAAGGCTATCAACTACGATACTCTTAAAAGGAAGATTTCATTACCTCAATTGTCCAAGCTGAAAGACAGAAACTCCCCCTTCAACCAGACACTAAATGAAAACATTCAAAGGTTCCAAAAGGAATCCAACATCATATTAGAGCGTGGGCTGACGTTTGTCAACAATCTTCGTAACGATATGTTCAGAGAGGAGCACGCCAGCGATTTTGAGCTATCAAGTGAAGAGGAAGCAGGGGAAGAGGGAGAAACATCGTATCTGAGTGACTATGGGGATGCAGATGCAAGTGACTACATGCTAGCAGTTAAGTAAATCAGGTTATAGAAATTCTAATATTAATTTCTTTTATTTGTTTCCATCTCATGGACAATTGTTGAATGGTACATTCAACCTATTTAAATGTTTGAGATACAATGAACTGTGTAGCTTTCAAGGCCTGATATCTGACTTCTGAATTCTTGTGGTTCAATAAGTCCATGATCGTATGTTTCTTATCAACTTTGCTCAAGATTTCGATCGATTTTGGATCCAACTTGAGAATCCTACCAATGTCGCCCAAAACCAACACTAGGCTCTTTGGCTCCATGTGTGGAACATCCAACAGCTTTAACAACTGCTTGAACACTTTATAGTTGTTATCTTGGAATTTCTCCAGGTTATCCATGAAGAACTCATCATTTGAATGAACTGGGGAGTTTTTGAATTGCTTTGAGTCCAGCTCTTGGAGATATTCGTCAAACGATGTCAATTGAGAGTAAACGTCTTGGACACTATTGTAAAGGACATCGAGGTCTTCAATGAGTTCTTCGTCCGACCACTTACGCTCCTTCAAGTTGCTCAAAGTTGGCAAAATGTCGCCCATGAGGATAAGATACTTCAAATTGTGCAAGTTAATGGCCTCATTTGCCGGAATGGATGTCAGGTTGATGAAAATTGACACAACAAGACGAACAATCTTCTCCTTTATAGAGGATTTGGCCAACGACAAGAGGGACAACGTCTCTGAAAGGTAATATTTAGAGAAGTCAACCAACACCTTGTGGTTGAATGTCAGCAACCATAAGGACAGTAGGATCTTGTATTGGAATTGAATTGATTCTGTAGAGTTATGAGCAATGTGTCCATTCAAGTTTTGGAACAGATTTGGGATGAATTTCGAATGAGACTGCCAGTAGATTGGTCTATATGGCTTCACCGCTAACAAATCGGAGATGAGCTCAAGGGCGAAGAACTTCAAGTTGAAGCTTGTAGCGTCAACAAGAGCGTTCAGTTCTTCAAAAACACGAATCACAACTGATGGCTCAACATTTGATTGAATCCCAGGTTGGATAAGGAGGTACACGGCGTTGTACAGAGATAGCAACTTCACAATCTCATCAGAACTATCAACGTATTCAACCAATGCGTTCAGAGTTGTATGAGGGTCTTTGGCTAGGACCCTTTGTGCAAATTCACCATGGTCAAGCAAATCGCTAATCAGTACCAAGATGTACTTCTTGATGTCACTACGCTCCTGTGGCATTTTCTTCGACAACAGGTCAAACAAAGTAGACGCATACGCTTCAGCATGTTCTTCAGATAAAACTTTCTCAACACGCTTTCTCACGGTAGCACCTTCCAGCTCACTCAGTTGCTTAGCCTGTTGGCTGGTCAGCAGTTCAGAGCGTGCAAACCCATCCCATGGAATGGTTTTAGATCTTATGGCACTTCTATAATCGTCAAGGTAGGTGCTCTCCAATTGGAGGTGTTTGGTCTAAACAAGGGGTCAGTAAGCAGAACGCGGTATGGCTCAATATCAATTGGACTCACTTGATCAACAGTCATTGGAGGGCGTTGTTTTCAGTACCGGAATGGCCTCCTAAGCTATCTTAAACTGTTCTAATCTTTGGTTTTACTCCCTGTTTGAATGCCCCTTCGCTGTGCCAAAAAGAGAAGCGAAAAAAAGCAGCACCAGCAGTGTTATCCGGGTAACTGTTATTTTGAGAAATATTTGCTCACGTGTGTTTTGGGTTACTCTCACGTGATGGAGAATGCTAATATTGGATATTTGTATATGTTGTTCTTGACCAGGATATAGGACCGTTGCTGGTCCTCAAACAGCTTTATAAAGGTTCCACATGTGTGTGGAACTCATCTAAGACGTCTTTTAGAACCAATGAGTGAAGTATTATCAATACTTGAGTATTCAAATGCATCACCTCGTTTCACTACTAAATAATCAATGTGTAGTTCTTACACGAGAACCAAATCTCCAATCCATAAGGATTCAATTGAAGATGTAGTTAAAGAAGGTGGCTTTGGATGCCACATTTAGTTATGAAAAGTCCCAACTACACCAGAGTCTCTATCATGCTTTGTCTTGATAGAGACTTCGGGAGCGTTCTCAATGAATGCGGTATCAACAGACATTCTACACAGATCTCTACACAAATCGAATCAGCGACTCCACTTAGGGAAGTCCCAACAATGACCTACTCAATTGTCAGCATTTCTATCGAAAATCACCTAGACAGAATACCCCCCCCCCCAAACCAAGTGAGCCCCCTACGATACCAAAATTGAACTTGTTCCTTATCAGTCTGTTCGGCCTTGGTGTACGGGTTAGTTTCGTGGTCGGAAAAGTGCAACCAAATGTCCTGACGCCCACCGCCCCTACTTTACCAGACGAGAAATTGATAACGATAACGATACAACCAAGGCATCAATCCTTATCGATAACCCTGAAAACTTCAACACTACACATACAAGTACAAAACAATTAAGAAATATTTCGAATTTTTATATCAGCTGTGTGTAACAATTTTCCTGTAGAGATAATATATAAAACAAATAAATGTTACAACCAGATATCATGCACCACAACAACTCCCAACATCAACACAACGAGCGAGAACCTGCTTAGATCTCATCGGTCTCTCTTTGGAACTCCTTGGACATGTCAGCATCTGGAATTGGACCAACAATGGTCTCAACAACGATACCAGTGACCAAGTATGGGTCAATGTTAGAAGCTGGACGACGATCCTCAAAGTAACCGTAACCCTCCTTGGCAACAGATCTTGGGATTCTGATGGATGCACCTCTGTTGGCAACACCGGCAGAGAAAGAGGACATGGAGGCGGTCTCATGACGACCAGTCAATCTCATATCGTTGTCAGCACCATAAAGAAGGATGTGCTCTTTGTGACGCTTAGCCAACTTGTCAATGGCCTCCTCAATGTATTTCAAACCACCTGGTTGTCTCATAACCTTTGTAGAGACGTTTGTATGACAACCAGCACCGTTCCAGTCTCCCTTCAATGGCTTTGGATGGAATGAAATCTTGACACCGAATTCCTCGGCAACTCTGTGCAACAAGTAACGAGCAACCCACAATTGATCACCCATGTCGATACCGGTACATGGACCAACTTGGAACTCCCATTGGGAAGGCATCACTTCAGCGTTGATACCAGAAATGTTGATACCAGCGTACAGACAAGCTCTGTAGTGGGCCTCGATAACATCACGGGCGTAAACCTTACCGGCACCAACACCACAGTAGTATGGACCTTGTGGGGCTGGGAAACCACCCTTTGGCCATCCGTAAACGTTGTCGTTGGTGTCGAACAAAGTGTATTCTTGCTCCAAACCAAACCAGATGTCCTCATCCTTGTGTGCAAGCATCAACTTTTCACACTCGTGTCTGTGGTTGAACTTGTTTGGAGTACCATCGTTGTTCCAACACTCAGCAAGGACGATGATGTTGTCACCTCTTCTGAATGGATCGGCGTACATAGCAACTGGTCTCAAGTAGACATCAGAGTCGTGGCCTGGGGCTTGGCCAGTAGATGAACCGTCAAAGTTCCACTCTGGCAAGTCATCAACAGAAGCTGGCTTCTTGGCCAAAGTACGGCCCTTGGAACGAATAGAACCTTGACCATCAATCCAAATGTACTCGGCAATGATCTTACCACGTTGGTCCAAATCGAGGTACTTTTGCAAAGTAGCAGTGTTTTCAATAACTTCAGACATTGTTGTCGTATGTGATTTCAAAGAGAAATATAGAAAATTGGGCTTTTGGTATTCTTTCACTTAGCAAAACTTGAAGAAACTCGTATAAAAGTTCTCAAAGTCAGTAAAAGAGTATAAAAGAGAGATTGAAACCTCGGGTGGGTTCAGAAGAATGGTTTTTGTGGATGATTCAAAAAGCAAACGAGAAGAATTTGCAAGTTGAAGAGAGGGAAATTTAGGGAAAATTGGGACACTTTTATCTCATTATCAACGAGGAGGGAAAGTAAAAATTAGAGTTTCAGAGTCATAACGCGGGACATTTGGAAATTGGGACAAAATTGCGTTGTTTAAAAAAAGAAAAGGCACAAGGACAAAAATGAAACAGAAGAGTCCCGACGTGGTGTGCGGTTGTTTGACACAGCACTCTGTCTGCCCAGTTCTGTACATATAGGAGGGAATTACCGAGGGCATCGAGCTACTATCATGCGAAGGTGCAAAATGCACTGTCTAGATGTTGTGACTGTTTCCTACGGAGTATGTTCAAACTAAGTAGGTGTCCCAGTTTCCCCTTATCGAATGTACGTTTCTACAGTATGGCTCAGTCCCCATCTGGCGTCTAACAGGCCTATCGTGCCCACAAGCCAACTTCGATATGGATAATTTTGTCCAAGGACACGGTGAATCGCTTGCAGCAATGTGACCCCATCCGGGACAATCAGTAATCTCGCAGAGCCAATCACGTATCGGAGTTGTTAAATTTTTCTTTTTTTTTTGTTGGCCCTAATTTCTGGACATTCTGAGACATTTGTCTTAGTAAAAGAAAAAAGGAAAAGGTATTCGTCTTGTTTCTCACGAGACAAATCAAGGCAGGGTAAACCATGTGACAGCAAAGGTAAATTTGGTACCAAATGCTGCCAAAATTGAGAGAATAATATTGGCCTCCGAATGTATCACCCTCGCTGTTGAAACACGCTACTTATACTATCTGATAAAGGCATCCTATCGTCCTGTGAAAGGAACTAAGAAAAAAAAAGAGACTCAATCTCCTTTTTATGGGAGCATTTTGTAGATTTTAGAACTATGCGTCGTGTGCAACGTCGACTTTTGAGTAACACGACAAGACAATTGACCTTGCTTCATTGAGACGTTTGCTTCAATGGCTTCATGAACGGTTAGGGATTCAACTGAATTGTGTCAAGGATTTGGGGACATGGAAAGTTCTTTTTTGGCGCTGCGTATATGTCTACAGGTTAAATGAAGTCATTGCACTTTTTTAGTGTTATACGGTTGTTCGATTATCTCCGTCCAATCAACTTCAATTCTTCCTTTCCCCTCAAATGAATATGTCACGATGTGGTTATAATCCACAACAATTTAATTGAGATGGATCGTATTGAATCACAATTAACGTTGGAATGGTTTCGATTCTCCAACCGTTGTCATGTTGAATTGCCAATGACAAAAACATGCGTTTTGATTGGTTTCTTATCTCTCGTTCCCTCACCAGTATAGGTAACTTTTTACGATCGCGTAGCCATGCGTTGTATGTAGCCTCCGTTTTGTACTCAAAATATGCATCGGACGCGTACTTCGATTGAAATGAAATGGCCAGACACAGGACAATAAAGGGGAGTCTGCACACTGGGCAGTGGGCGATAAGGACTTGGGACAAGCTCCCTTTCAGTGGGACAAAATCATATGACGTTACTTCACATCCAGGACAACTAGGACAATCTGTTGGAACAATAGGATGGAACTAAGGTTTGGAAGCCGTGTGGAACAATGGAAAATGGCTCACACATGGTAGATATTGTAAAGAGATTCTTGCCCTAGCAAGGCTTCGGCCGCTCACCTACGCCAGGAGAGTTAAGTTCCTACATGAACGGTTGAATGTAGTGCCAAACTGGTGTAAGACAGTGTTCCATCTGCGCAGTGTGGAAGCTTGTACACAGGAACCACTCGATGATGGACAGGTTCTACACCATTGTGACAAGTACTTTGTTCAGATGTTTAACACAAGTCGGGTTTACATTTAACTGCCTCGTGCCTCCTACAGTCCCCTATGAATAACCTCATAGTGGAACAGTGGGGTAAATGTCTTTTAATTCTTATCAGTGGTCTGATTATCAACCATAGTGTTGATAACTTGAGAGGTACACAAAATCTTTGTAGAATGGATATTCCAACACAATACACCATGTCTCATATCGTACCTGAACCCGTCTCCCCAGTATAGGTCGGATACGTTGTGAACCGGGGGTACAACCTTCAAGGCATGGGTAAACACTCATACACGTACTCATAATTAAAACACAAAAAACATGTACGACGTATATAAAGTATTCAAACCATAAAGCTAGAGTAAACAAAGAGTCACATCAATACACACCCTGAAGAGAGAACTCAACTCAGGTGAAGTGTACAACGATTGGAACGATGATGACAATCAATAAGATAATGACAACGAGCACGAGACAGAATCTCATCTTCATATCTTTCATCCACATTTGTTTTCTTACCCTGTTTGCACCTCTTCTGAAACCTTGGGCACTAACAGCCAAGTTATCAGCCTTGTCCTCGATCGAATCGAGTCTCTCACCACTATGTTGATTTTCCCTGTTAGTAACAAACCCGTGCCAAAGCTGAAACAAACCTGTCATGTAAACTTACCGCTCCATCACCTTGTTGATGTTGTCTCTCATGATACCGACAGTATCATCGATTTCCTGTAGAGTCGAAGGTTAGTAAAAGTCCGTAGCCGCCGTATAGCCTTGTCTGAATGTTCGACAAACAACAACTTCTACTTACAGATTGAAGAGCAGCGGTCTTCGAGTTCCCCTGTGTTTGTGTGGTACTCTCAGAAGGAATGTATGGATCATAAGGGACACTGGATGACATTATGTGATATTGTTATTCAAGTCCTTGTTAAAATTAACCTGTTGTATATATGGTTGTTGTTGATGTTGTTCTTGATCGTGAACAAAAAAAAATCTATGGAGTTGTCGGGTGTAGGAAAGACACAAAAAATGAAACCAGCTTCAGAAAAAAAAGGCAAGAAATATTACTGGAATGGAAATGAAATCACTCTGCAATGTCTCTGTCTCCACGGTTATCTATCCCCTTAATATCAGGTCTTTCTTATACGTGAGTGTTTTTATTCAAACCCAAAGAGAGGACAAACGAGGTAATTGAAAAGATGACGTTTCCCTTTTTTGATGGCTGTGCCCCCCGAATTTTTTTTGTGTAGGTGTGTGTCTTTTTTTGGAGATCTTTTTTTTTTGGTTTTCGCGAAAATCCCCGGTGTTGTTGCCTTTTGTGTGTTACCGTTAACCGAGGCTGTTCACATGGAGTAAACAATACCATAGAGAGAGCTGACTATCGTTGATCTGATTGTTTCCAGTATAATCATATGATATTCTTATATTATCTACGGTAGGCAGTACAAGTTTTTAACTGTCTTCAGTGCAAAGTCATAGCTGGTGCATGTTGGCTGGTGTGTGGGCTCTTGTAAGTGGACAATTGAGCTGGAAATTTCCCACTGTTCCCAACCAACTTTCCCCTTTTAGCGGTGCTTTTTAGCTAGCTAATTCAACAGCTTTCTTTTCTGGATGTTCAACGTCGTTAGAACTATGGCTACGAGAGTATCGGGTGGTCCCATTGAGCTTTGCATCAGGGAAAAACTCACCAGCCAGCTGAGCCCTGTGGTGCTAGAGATCCGTAACGACTCGTGGAAACACGCGAGTCACCATGGGTTAAGACCGGAGGGAAATACTACGGAATCACACTTCAAGATAGACATCGTCAGTGAAGCGTTCCAAGGCAAATCTCAACCTGCTAGACACAGGATGATATACGCTATCTTAGATGATGAGATAAAGAATAAAGGTGTCCATGCCTTGCAAATGAAGACAAAGACCCCTACTGAGGCGAACAAGTAGATGATGTGGGGAGTTCACGACCATCAGGAAGACTCTAATATGATTTTCTGTTATTTATTCGTGACCTATCATTGTTGTTTACACTTGCCAATGTATATAAAACCTAAACAAACTTATCATTCTTTTACTTTTTTTTGCCATTTTGCTGTACAGTCTTGTTCTGCTAAACAATAGACATATACACATGTATTACTGAGCATCTCTTCAGTGCTCTTCATCCTTCAAGGACTCGTGGTATTGATCTTCAGTCAACAATTCATCATAGTCCTCCAACTTACCTTCAGTCTTGATCTTGGCCAACCAAGCAGCACCCATTGGGTCCTCGTTGATCAGTTGTGGAGAATCGTTCAACTCGGTGTTAACCTCCAAAACTTCACCGTTCACTGGAGAGTAGATCTCAGATGAGGACTTGACAGACTCGACGGAACCCATGGAATCACCTGTGGAGAGAGCATCACCAACTTCAGCCAATTCGACAAAAGTGGCATCACCAAGAGCATCTGCAGCATATTTGGTGATGCCAACAAATGCAACACCATCATCGTGTTGAGCAATCCACTCGTGTTCGTTTGTGTATCTCACAGCTGGAAAGACAAGAAACGTTAGTATGGAACAAATCGCAAATTCATATGCACACATCAAACTCACTGAAAGATGGCGAGTATTTCGTAACGATGGAATCAGCGGTGATCTTGTTAACAGTGGAGTTGAATCTAAGGCACAATCTCAGAGCTGGAGCTCTGGCAACGGTTCTGGTGAATGATGAGAACATGACTGAATGTAGAAGGATGAGTATTAATCTTTAAGACCTGAAGGGAAAAAAGAGAAAGAGAAAAGTTTTGCAGAAAGAATTATAAAGCTGTTAAAAAAATAGATGTGTATGATGGATGGGACTTTCTGTCTCCTTTGACCCCAAATTTACAACTATCGGAGTCAAAACTGGGACCTTACGAGGGAGAGGAAGAAAATGGTATGGGTACCCTGAAGGATACTTTTGACTCGGGCTTGACAAAATTCACATGTTCTGGGTATTTTGGTTTTCACACGACCTCCGTTACACCGTGAAGAAAAATTTGGACGAGTCCGGAGTCGAACCGGAGACCTTTCGCATGCTAAGCGAACGCGCTACCAACTACGCCACACGCCCTTGTGATGTTGTTTCAAAATTTGGCCTCTACTATGCCACATCTAGCAATGAGCCATCACTGAGCATTTCACGTTGTACAAGTTTCAAACCTCATGTTCTCAATGCTCTCGAGCCACATAGAACACTTCTACGAATGTTCTACGACTCGGACTGTAAGACGCAGACGAATCCCAATCAAGACGTAACGTATACTCAGTGGTCATTTCTAAACACTTCCTCGAGATCCAACCACCAGCCCTTCTCATCCCTGCTTCCAGTGCTTCCTTCAACAAGTGTCTCTTGCATCTCATCAGTCATTTCCCACCACTCGAAATTGCCCGGATCATTTCTACTTAGTTCACTATCTCTTTCCCAGTTATCCCCGGTATACTTCATGTTGGCTATGAGTAGATTGAACATGGGTGCGTAATGGATGGAATAGTCCTCAATGTGATACTTTGTGAGGTTTCTAGCAACGGGCTCCCAGATTGACCTATGGCATTCTTTATACTTCTCTAAGTATTCCGGCTTGAGACGAATAATCTGACAGATTCTCTTCCCAGTGTGCTTCTCCACCATCGTTTGTTTTATACACTTGTTCTGTTGAGAAGGTGGTGATCATAATTGAAGTTCATCCCCGTGGAAAATCACCTAAGGTTTTTCTGGCACCGGCCGTTTCAACTTACACCTGCACGCCTCGAGAAGATGCATCACTCTCTGTTGAAGCTTGAATCAGGAACCAACCTATGGGACCTTCATGGTTCAAAGGTACTGGACATTGTTGATCTTGTCTTGTAGAGTTTGTCCAAAGCGTTGGTGGAATTGAATACCTCCTTCTTTGCGCTGTAAAGCCCGATTCCAGGGCCTACGCCTAAAGAACTTTAGCTGTGCACCAATGTCTCACTACATAAGAACAGTAATATCATAATCTGCTCTTTTGGTGGTTATACACAATACATAATCCAGTACATATGTGATAGGCTTACTTGGAAGTATCGACAACGTAACGACCCAAGATCTTACCTTGTTCCATCAACTCGTAAACCTTAGGTAACTCAGACAACCCAACAACCTTGATTGGAGACTTGACCAAGCCTCTTGAGAAGAAGTCAATGGCTTCACGTGTGTCAGCTCTGTTACCGACGTAAGAACCAATGATGGAAATGGATTTGACAACGTGGGAGAAAACTTCAGACTTACAAACGGCATCTGCTGGCAAACCGACAAGAACAACTTTACCTGTTGGTCTAACATACTCAGTGGACTGGGAAATGGCAGCTGGTGCAACAGAGACGTTGATAACACCGTGTGGGCCACCGTTTGTGGCGTTCTGGATAGCTTCAACGATGTTCTTCTCCTTTGTGAAATCGATGAAGACTTCTCCACCAAGTGACTTGAAGAGCTTCTCCTTCTCAGCACCACCGTCGATACCAAGAACTCTAAGACCCATGGCTTTAGCGTACTGAACAGCAAGAGAACCCAAACCACCAGCGGCACCAGAAATTGCAACCCATTGGCCTGGCTCCAAATGTGCTGATTTCAATGCCTTGTACACGGTAACACCAGCACACAAGATTGGTGAGACATCAGCCAAGTCAGTACCCTGTGGGATCTTGGCAGCTTGAACTGCATCAGCAGTGGCATATTGCTGGAAGGAACCATCGTGAGTGTAACCGGACAAATCAGCATGAGGACAGTTTGATTCGAATCCCTTCTCACAGTACTCACAGGACATACAAGAACCGTTCAACCACTTGATACCGGCGTAGTCACCAATCTCAAAGTTCTTGACTTCGGAACCCTTAGCAACAACGATACCAGCACCTTCGTGACCACCAACCAATGGCAACTTGGTTGCCAATGGCCAATCACCCTTCCAAGCGTGCAAATCGGTGTGACAGACACCTGAGTACTTGACATTGACCAAGATCTCGTTTGGCTTTGGCTCTGGGACTGGAATGTCCTTGTATTGCAATTCACCACCATTCTCATAGAAGATGATGGCCTTTTGGCTCTTTGGAATAGTTGGTGCGGATGCAAGACCTCTGATGAATTGTGGTCTAGTGAAAGTTCTCAAGTTTGTTCTAAGCATTGTGTTTTCTGATCGATGTTGGTTGATCCAGTTATTTGTAATGCCATCAACTAGGACTTTTGTCCCCCTTTTATAATCTACAGAGGTCTCCTAGCTTCTTCTACAGAGTACGTGGCATGTGAGCCTTCCACGAGCATGTAGTGGAATGCAATACTTGGAGAAGTTCACCCACGCCGATTTCTATGAAGGAGGTGTCATTTTAAGACGGACTGCGATGCTTTAAGCCGCTCGGAGTTGAATTGAAATGACCACTTGACCCACCCACCCCACGATTTTAGTCGGAGTTCGTTCTGGTTACAGCATGGTGTGATTCAACGGTGTTTTAGACGGTTAACATCTATGTGGATGAAAAGATTGACTAAGCAAAAGTGTGTTGAACCAATTGTCAATCCAACGCTTCTCTCATTTGACCAATTGATGGATTTCATCCAACCTGGCCGAGATGGAATCTTCACCTCTTTGTCTCATCGTCGAACCTCTGCGTACACGTACGTTGAGAATGTATAGCAAAGCTGCCCCACCACTGTGTAAACTTCGGGTGTTCACCTTTGCGGGGATGGCGTTTTCTGTCGCTTTACGGGTGTCTGGGAACGAGCCTACAGAAGAAACGAAATGGGCAGAGGTTTCTGCCTAGAGCCCTGCCCAGCGGCCCGCTTAGGGAGAGATCTCCGTCGGACTTTTCTGTTCGGAGTTTCGCTCACGGGCACTGGGCATCGAGGTCTCTGGAGAATAAGACAAAGCACCAAAGCTGGTATGGCTCTACAAGAGTATATTGCCAATTGATACTGTGGATCATTGAGAGAACTTGTGATTGCTTCTGAGCTCCTTTGTTAGGTTCATTCTGTATAGATAACTTTCCTCAATTCGATTCGAGGTCCGTGTACTTCCTCGAGGAAATTTTGAGTGCTTTTCACAACTCCGGTGACCCAGCTGCATGTTACCGAAGGACATTTAACTCCATAAACTTGTTGAGCCTGAAAGTTGGACTACAACAATTACATACCCCACAATCAACCCCTCTACTCGTAGCCTACAGCTCTCCTTTTGTAAGTAACGTGTCAAAGGGAGACCAGCCATTCAGGAGGCTTGGAGGATATTGGCCAATGAAGCATTACAATTTTCGTTTACATACTCATCTCCAGTTATCAACAACAGCTCTCCCTTGTAACTTGTTCTTTTCCATCATTTCGTACACCTTGGACAATTGACTCAACGGGAACACCTGAATTTTGGACTTGACCAGCCCGCGGGAGTAAAAGGAGAGAACATCCTCCATTTGGGCTCTCGTACCAACACTCGACGCCGTGATGTTGAACTGCTTGTTAACGTGGTCTCCAACGTTGCTTTCGATGACGGCATTCGCAGGCATCCCGACAATAACAAAAGTTCCCAATGTTCTAACGTACTTAATACCCACGTTCATGGCTTTGCTACTGACGCTGAAGTTAATGACACCATGGGCACCTCCGTCTGTTATCCTCTCGACTTCTTTAGCAAGATCATCACACTGAGTAAAGTCAATAAAGACCTCAGCACCGAGATCTTTGATCATCTGCGACTTGTTACCAGCATCAATGGCGATCACTCTGAAGCCCATCGCTTTGGCAAACTGCACTGCGTAGCTTCCCAATCCACCACCGGCACCGATGATAGCACACCACTCTCCTTGCTGCAAATTGGCCTTCTTCAAGGCCTTATAAGCTGTCAAACCAGCACATAGTAGAGGTGCAACCTCTGCCAAATCCGCTCCAGGAGGAATCTTTGCTGCTTGGATGGCATCAGCCACTACGTACTGTTGAAAGGTACCTTGAACGGTATAACCAGAGATGTCCTGGTTCATACAACAGGTCTCTTCACCACGCAGACAGTATTCACAGGTGAGGCACGTTCTGTTGATCCATTTAACGCCTGCAAGGTCGCCAACTTTGAAGTTCTTCACTGCAGAGCCTATGGCAACGACTTCGCCAGCACCTTCGTGGCCACCAATAAGTGGTAAAATTGTAGGATCGGGCCAGTCGCCTCGCCATGCGTGCAGGTCAGAGTGGCACACCCCGGAGTACGATAAGCGTATAAGAATCTCAGTATCTGATGGCTCCGGTACTGGAACGTCGGTGTATAACAGCGGGCCGTTGTGTTCTCTGAACAGAACGGCCTTTTGCGTCTTTGGAATTGACATGATTTCCCTTCAATGTTTCCTGTGTAGAGGTGCCTTGCTGGAATCAACCTGCTCAACTGGTCCGATCTTCTCCTTATATACAAATCAGGCCAACGGGGAAGGCCTGTTGTAGTCCATGATCGGAAGCTCCATGCAAATGGAATCCGCAGGCGACTGAGTTCCCGCGCAAGCGCTTCCCCTTTTCGGAACCAGCACCTTATGCGCAGAGCTACACCAACGTAGATCAACGTTGTAATCTTTAAGCACATCAAAGTCGTGAAATTGGTTATATATGAAAGGAGGAATAATTAAAGTAGATGATGAAGAGTGTTGAGCTCCTTCACTTGGAAGTGTCAACAACATAACGACCGAGAATGGCACCCTTCTCCATCTCTTCGTAAACCCTTGGTAGCTCTGACAAGCCGACAATCTTGATTGGAGACTTCACCAAACCTCTTGCAAAGAAGTCGATGGCCTCACGGGTATCAGCTCTGTTACCGACATAAGAACCCTTGATGGCAATAGACTTGACCACAGCACCAAAGACTTGTGCACGAGCAACAGCACCAGCTGGCAAACCGACAAGCACAACGGTACCACATGTTCTAACGTACTCTGTGGATTGTTCGATGGCCTTTTCAGAGACGGAAACGTTGATGACACCGTGTGGACCACCGTTGGTGGCAGCTTGGATGTCACTGACAATGTCCTTGGACTTTGTGAAGTCGACAAACACTTCAGCGCCGAGCTCCTTACACAATGCACCCTTGTCCTCACCACCATCGATGGCCAAAACTCTAAGACCCATGGCCTTAGCGTATTGAATGGCAAGAGTACCCAAACCACCACCGGCACCGGAGATGGCAACCCACTGACCTGGCTCCAAGTCAGCGGTCTTCAATGCCTTGTAAACGGTGACACCAGCACACAAGATTGGAGCAACTTCGGCCAAGTCAGTGCCCTTTGGAATGTGGGCGGCTTGGACAGCGTCAGCGGTGGCGTATTGTTGGAATGAACCATCGTGAGTGTAACCAGACAAGTCGGCCTTTGGACAGTTGGCCTCGAAGGACTTCTCACAGAACTCACAGGACATACAGGATCCGTTCAACCACTTGATACCGGCGTAGTCACCAATCTCAAAGTTCTTCACTTCGGAACCCTTAGCAACAACGACACCGGCACCTTCGTGACCACCAACCAAAGGCAACTTGGTTGGCAATGGCCAATCCCCGTGCCATGCGTGCAAATCGGTGTGACAGACACCAGAGTACTTGACATTGATCAAAATCTCATTTGGCTTTGGCTCTGGAACTGGAATGTCCTTGTATTGCAATTCACCTTTGTTCTCGTAGAAGATGACTGCCTTTTGCGTCTTTGGAATCTCAGACATATTGTTATTTTCTCTTGTTGTCCTTGTGTGTATAAACAAGCAATTGAGTGAAGAGTGATGCGGAACTACACAAGTTCAACTGCCCCTTATTTATACTTTTTCGGAGTATGGATTCGGACTTGGATGTAACCCCCTGTTTGGCTCACAAACTCGTTGTGTTACAACCCATACGTAACGTGGATGCCATGAGATGGTTCGACAAAAGGCCACACTGATGCGGCTCGCTGCATCAGAGTTATCTGTACACGACACAATACAGCGTATAAACTTTCTCTTAGAATACAGATCCTTGGGACCAATTGGCTAAGCTTGGACAGCCCAGACAGACTTCCGGTCGCGCTTTGCAGAATTGGTAGGACCGAAGTCGCTGTAACGTGACTCGAGCTTGCTTCCAGCGAAGTTGCCTACCTATCATCTACATGGCTTGTGCGTGACAATTGAGTTTTTTTCAGTTGTGTTGGCCTTGTAGTGGTTCTGCCAATTTTACTGTGGACGGGCCCCCCTTCCCTTATCATGCCTTGTGCTTATTTTTGGTGGCAGTCGGCCGGGGCCCGTAACAACCCGAGTGCATGGAATCAAGTGCTCTCTGTTTCAATTCAGTGGTGCCTTGGGAAGACAGCTTCAGCCATCTGGCTAGAAGGTGGAACCCGTGTGAATCCGCTCCCTTACGGGTGATTAGCAACATGGGCTCTCTGCCTGCATGAATGCATGAATGTGGGCTGCTTCGGAGTCCAATTCTTAGTCCAGTTCATAGAGTTGAACGTGTGTACACCAGTTTCAGAGTGAACGGTGACAACTCGTGGTGTCCCTCCAAAGGCTCAGCAGGCCTGCAGCACGCAACTTATGTCAACCATCCCCCTCCTGGTAAATCCGTAAAGGCGCAGAGAATCCTTTGATTGCTCTGCCGAACTTTGGGCATGGGCCCAGCTTGTATCTTGTCGATCAGAGAGTTTCACACCGTTCGTAGCTTGGGATAATTATTGATGCTCAATAATCATTCGGATGGCACGTTGGAGTGGGGTGGAGTAGATCAGAAGTGGTGTGTCGGTGCTGAGGTTTGGGAAAAACGTAAGGAGAGAGAACATCGGCTAAACCCCGAAGAGCTGGGACAGATCAGCTGTATGATTAACGCAGTTAGCTGGGGTTAGGAAGCTTAATCGTTGACGGCGTAAGGATGTCCAAGTGCGTACACATTGTATACAAGGCTACCATTTGGAAGTTGCCCTTGTGCAGTCTGATGGGGAAACAGCTTCCCCTAACCCATGCCCCAGAATTCACACGCAGCACGATCCAAAACCAGGTTTGTATACGTTCGGCGTTAACAACGGCAATGGGACAGTTCGACTAAAGGTACTAGCCAGCAACATGTTAGGAGTGATACAGAGACAGGTACTATTCAAGTCACGAGCACTCCTTCAGTTCTGGTGCTTTTGAGTTGTTCATTGACAGTTAGCCGATGACCTTGACATTGAGTGGACAAGCTAGTGGTCGCACCTGATGTGCTTAAATGTTGTGTATTAATGCGTTCAAAATGTAGTTTCCATATGAATACCCTTGGTGGCCATCTTTCTCGCTTTTATAACAATAAATATCAAGAGTTGGTTCTTAAATATATATTATTCGGCAACATCTAGATTCAAATGTTAAAATGCATTATTGGGTTTTATATTCAAAAAAGGATAGCTCTGTTTTACACTAGAATTTCTGAAACGTGAAGACTCCTCATAAATCTTTGGAATTTTCTTAACTAGTACTGGTAAAACAATCAAAATATAACCAGTGGCATCAATTCAATACATAAGCATGTTCAACACCATTCACAGCCCTCCGTCATATGAGCATAAACCTTTGTGACATCTCACACCTGCACACCAACTCCATAACGTCGATTTACCCACCACATCTCAACACCCGAACCACACACGTCCAATTTCCAGAAGAGCGTGGAAAAAAAAAGACCACGAACATGCAAACAGAACCGGTTTGTGCCACACAACGTCCATCGAAAATTTTTTGCCACAAGACCTCTAATTATTTTTCTTTTTCCCTTCCCAGTTGGTCGAGTTCCTTCTCCTTTTTCCCCTTCTTTTCCTTCGCTACATAGAAAAACTTCTAAAGCTTTCCTTATCTCAAACACAAAAACACCACACAGAAATTAATAGCCACTATGTCATTAAAGAGAATCACCAAGGAGTTGAACGATCTTGGAAGGTAAGTGTTGAAAGTGTTACATTCGTTGCAGTTTCCTCCCTTTGTTATTTTGTTTTTACGGTGTTGGGCATTTTCCCTCATACGAGTTTTTCCCTTTTTTCCTCGCCTGGTTGAATGAGAGAAAAACACCACTGTTTGTCTTTTGGGCGGGTAGGAGCGCTATCGATGGTAGCTTTGAAACAGGACGGTGGTCCGTGCTGGCCCCAGATGGTGTTCGCAGAAGGTGCTATATACCAGCTGAGTGACACTGTACCGTGAAACCGCCCTGTTGATCTGTCCTTTTTCTGCTAGCCTCAGAGAGTTGTTGACGTTGACGGCGGCGACGTTTTTTTGGCTGTTGCCCTCCCTCCCCCCTGGATTGGCCTCTACAATGGACATCCGATTGTAGGCGCTGTTCCTGACAATATGCTTAGGTGGAAACAGCGATGGATAACGCGTGATGGTTCTCCTCCATCTTCACTGTGTTTGTTTTCCATGGTTACTAACCCAACCGCTGTAGAGATCCCCCATCTTCTTGTTCTGCCGGCCCAGTTGGTGACGATTTGTTCCACTGGCAAGCATCTATCATGGGTCCAGCCGACTCTCCATACGCAGGAGGTGTTTTCTTCCTCTCCATCCACTTCCCAACTGACTATCCATTCAAACCACCAAAAGTGCAATTTACAACAAAGATTTACCATCCAAACATCAACTCCAACGGTAACATTTGTCTAGACATTCTCAAAGACCAATGGTCCCCAGCATTGACAATCTCTAAGGTGCTTTTGTCCATTTGCTCGTTATTGACAGACGCAAACCCAGATGATCCACTTGTTCCAGAAATTGCTCATATATACAAGACCAACCCTGAGCTATATCAAAAGAACGCTAAGGAGTGGACAAAGAAGTATGCCATCTGAATACAAAAAGAGAGTAACTAGTTTAGTGAATAGATGAGAGTATGCTGATACTTTTTTTTGCATTTCTGTTCAATACCAAGATCTCTAACAGAATATTAGTAGTCCAACGTTGGGTTGAAATATCAAATCGTGCTTTTTCTAAGGTACGGACCACACAGCCGATGAGGTTTAAAAATTTTTTTTGTACTTTGGCTCTCGCTCTTTTACAAGCATTGGAGGTCTTTAGAAGAAAAGAAAGTTTATTAACCATAGGCAATGGAGGGTGTTAAACTTGATCTGTCTGGGTTAAAGGACAAAGTTGCCTCTAAGTTGTCCAATGGTGGTAAAAAACCAGGGAAGAAAAATGACAAGAGAGAAAAGGCTAGAGAGCCAACCCACAAGAACAAACAAGTGAAGAACGACACCAGGGATAAAGAATCAGACAAGAAACCTCACAGAGATGCAGTTTCTAAGAACGAAGATTCTGCATCATTGGATGATGCCATTCGCCGTGAAGCCTTGGAGCTTGGGGCCACCGAGGAAGATCTCAAGTTACTTGAAGGCGTCTCTGATGGTGAACACTCTGAAGAAGAATTTGGTGATGTCAGTGGTGCAAATGATAAAGATTTGAACAAAGATTTGTCTATGTTTATGAAGAATATTGGTTTGGATGGATCACAGGCTTTGGTTGCTGATGAACCTGATGAGGAGGCTGATGAACCTGATGGGGAGGAGGAAGACGAGGAAGTGGAAGAACAAGAACAAGAGGAAGAGGAAGAAGAGGAGGAAGTGGAGGAAGAGGAAGAGCAACAAGAAGAAAAACAGACACTTCAGGAATCAAACCTTCCTAAGAAGAATGAACTTCCAACTCACAAGAGAGTTGACCCAAATTCCATTTTAAACACATCAAAGTTGTTAATCCAACCACAAGTTGACTGGTACAATATTCCATTGGACCTTACAAACGAAACAGCCAACATCACAAAGGACCAGATCGATCGTCTTTACCAGAGAGGTAAAGAGGCACTGGAAGCAGATAATAAGGCTTATTACGATGAATTCTCAAAGACATCGTCTCAGAGAAAGTTCTTGTCTCAAATTCTATCTGATGGTACACTGGGTGATAAGATATCTGCTCTTACATTGCTTATTCAAGAAGCACCGGCTCATAACATCAAGTCTTTCGATATGATGCTTGGTTTGTTGAACAAAAAATCCAGAAACGCCCAATTGCAATCTTTGAACGCTTTAAAGGATTTGTTCATCAATGGTTTGCTGCCAGACAGAAAGCTTAGACATTTCAAGAATCAACCGTTGAATATGATGCTTTCAAAGAAGCAATTGGCTTTGTTCTACTTTGAGGACTATTTGAAGACTTTCTACTTCAAAGTTATCCAAGTTCTTGAAGTGCTCTCCCATGATCCAATCATGCACGTTAGAATGAATGTTGTGAGTCATGTATTTGACTTGCTCAAGGCTAAGCCAGAACAGGAGGTGAATCTTTTGAGATTAGGTGTAAACAAAATTGGTGATATCGATAACAAAGTCAGTGCGAAAACCTCTTACCAAATCTTACAATTGGAACAAGTTCATCCTAATATGAAGAAAATCGTCATCGATTCTGTTATCGACATTGTATTCAAAAGAAATATTGATTATCACACAAAGTACTACTCAGTATTGACGTTGAACCAGACAATTTTAACAAGACGGGAAGAAGACATTGCCAACGAGTTGGTAAAGACTTATTTTGCCCTATTGGAAAAATTGTTGATAGAGTCAGATCCACATCAGGCTGATAACAAAACGCAGAACCAAGAGACAAAGACCAATAACTACAAGAACAGAAACAAGAATTTCAAAAAAGGCAAGAAGGGAGGAAAATCTGTTAAGAATGCGAAGACAGAAGACGAAGTTTTAGAAGAGAAGGATTCCAAACTGTTTTCTGCCCTTCTCACTGGTGTCAACCGTGCCTTCCCATTCTCAGACTTGCCAATGGAAATTTATAACAAACACCTTGACACAATGTTTAGAATCACTCACTCTTCCAATTTCAATACCTCTGTCCAAGCCTTGATGCTCATCTTCCAGATCACCAGCGCTCAAAATATGAATGCAGACAGATTCTATAGAACATTGTATGAATCTTTGTTAGACCCAAGACTGGTTACGTCTTCTAAGCAAGGTATTTATCTCAATTTGTTATTCAAGGCGTTGAAAAAAGATTCAGATATTCCAAGAGTTCTTGCATTTGTGAAAAGAATAGTCCAAATCTGTTACAACTGGACTAATGTTGGGCCTATTGCTGGTATGTTGTACCTGTTAATGGAGTTGCAAGCCCAAGTTCCTCAGATAAGGAACTTAGCAATCAACACCCCAGTCGACCACAAGTATATGGACGACGCAGAAAGTGATGAAGAAGAACACTTTGAAGATGTAAAATCTGAGGATGAGGATAACAAGCCAACTGATAAACCAAAGAAAACCTTGGAAGTCTATGATGGCCGTAAGCGTGACCCAAGATTTGCTAATGCTTCCAGCTCTTCGATTTGGGAGATTGGTGAGTTCTTGAACCACTATCACCCAACGGTTCAACTATACGCGGAGTCCTTCCTTTCTCAAGAGAAGCAACAAAAACCTGACCTTGGTCTCTTTACGCTTTCCCACTTTTTGGATAGATTTGTTTACAGAAATGCTAAACAAAAGGCTACTACAAAGGGTTCTTCCATCATGCAACCTTTAGGTGGTGCACATACCGGGTCATTGTTGGTTAAAGCATCTAACATGGTGAGAGGAGAGGTTCCTGCAAATACTGAGAACTGGTTAGCAAAGAGGGTTGAAGAGATCAGACCAGATGAAAGATTCTTCTACGAGTACTTCCAGACTAAGCAGAACGACACCAAGGATATCGCGCCAAAGGACGAGGAGTTTGATCAAGACAGCGACCTCGATGAAGATGAAGTGTGGGATGCATTGGTTAAGTCTCAACCAGATATCGAGGGTGGAGAATCAGACGGCGAAGATCTCAGCGATTTGGATATGGATGATTTCAGTGATGATGGAGAACTGGAAGGTGATCTCAATGACGAAGAACTGGAACAAGAACTTGAAGCTGATATTTCAGATGAAGATGACAATAGTAGCTCTGAAGTAGAACTACAAACCATCGGTATGTCAGACGATGAAAGTGTCTCTGGCGAAGAGCTAAAGGATGAGGAAGAACCTGATTTCACCGGATTCTCAGAGAGCGAGGACGAAGAGGCTGAGTTATTCAAGGGAGATTCTGAAGACGAAGTGAGCTCCGAGGAAGAACCAGAAGAACCAAAGAAAGGCAAGAAACGTTCAGCCGATTCCGACGAGCCTAAGGAGAAGAGCAAAAAGGCCAAGCTCAAGTCTCTTCCTCTCTTTGCCGATGCTGACGAGTATGCAAAATTACTTGACTCGGACGACGAAAATTAGATTGTGTGGACTGAAATGCAATATGTATTAAAATATCATCCAAACGGATCACTCGTAAGTCAGAAGTAGTAAGTTGTAGCTTGCAAGGTGGATTGTAAACCGCTGATCATTCCTGGTTCGTTACAACCTTAGGAATGATCGTCGACCGAAGGCTGTTGCTTCCACTTTTTTTTTTTTGATACACATTTCGAAATGTGCATGCACCTACGCTTATGTAAACCGCCTAAGCAGTGGTTTATAGCTCGCTTTCATGATAATGTACCTCGCCTTTTAAGCCATGTGGTCCATTTGACGACATCTTTATTTTGATCGTCAGTTTTTTTCTGCAAAGGGTCGAGAGAGTAACCCGAACCGGAGTAGTTCCTGGTACCTGAAATGTTGATCAACGTCGGATACGCGCTGCGCGTTTTGTTCACTTCTTCAGTAGATTTTGTAAGGCTACCAAAAGATGAGAATGGTCTAGAATTACACCAGTGCTACTTTATCTATATTACTAACAGTATTCAAGATGGTGTACCTCGCTGACGTTTGACTAGCGACATCTGTGAGAAGGCTTGATGAACATTCCAACAGTCCTGTGGCGCATTTATCACATCAAGATGAATTATTAATACAGAAGCTTCAGTTGAGTTATACAAGTTTGAGGCCATATCCATGAACAGGGGTATACGATTTTGGCTACAAAGGCGTATATGTATTTCCTTACAAAATGGTTGCTATCGAGTTCTAGGACTAGGGGCATAGAGAGAGGCAGAACCCATACTTGATTGATACGATAAAGAACCAGAACATACCGGGATAAACGAGCAATGTGTGGTTGTCAGCAAGATTCTCGCCATGGCACCAAAATGGATTATATATCAGCATATGTACAGGGTATAGCATTTTCGATGGTGTACGACCGAGGACGCCGATCTACGACTTCCAACTCTTAATAATCGGTTAAAAAACCCACTTCTTCACATATCGCACAATTTGAAGAATGCAACTGCACTGCACATCTCAAGTGATAGGCGGCTGGTATTCATATCCATTACTTTGGCTGGACGGTCAACTCAACCAATAAATGAATACCGTTGAGGTAAAAACCGAGATACTTGAACTCCGGGATATAGGAAACTTTAAAGCTTAATTTCGGAAACCAGTTCAAAAAACCTTAACTGATGGGGAGTAACGTTATGTCTGGCGCAAGAATGAGAATTTGTTAGATTTGAGCTCTATCGATGAGAACTAATTTATGGCCCTAGCATGTTTGGATCATAACACGTAATACAGGACAGTGTACCTATAGCTGAGTGGTATGTTCAGCACCTGCATGTTACGATGTCGCCACAGGCGTCATTATTATATGAAACAACGGGGCAAGTGCTGTAGTACTAGGTGTCTTGATGAAATATTCACTCGAAAGTGTTGAGTAATCAGTATGTAGCAGTAGCATCTTGGATAGGAACTCTCTTTCTCACTATGGAATTGGCATCAAGTCCAAAAGAACCAACCACGTAGACGTTGTGCACATATCCTATGCACCAATACCAAATGATACTTAAGCTGTGTCGTGTGCATAAACGGTGATGCATCTCATAATTTTAAAGCTTGGAGGTGCGTGAGAATGCATGAACTATACACGCCTTGAAAGTTCATTATTGTGTAGCCCCATGAAGTATAATCCTCTCAGTCACTTGCCAGTATGCGTTGGTACAGCCAGTATTATATGGACTTAATTAACTAACTTTGGAATCTCCCTTCAACCATGTCCTTAACGGTTTTCCTGCAGCGATCTAAGCTAAGACCTGTATTCACGCTAACCATGTCTATAGGAATTTCCCTTACGCAAGCAGTCCGTTACATCCTTGTAGAAATTTATACCTGTGTTTAAGCCTTTCACTAAGTTGCCGTACAATTGAACCCATATTACAGCATTGATGACACACGCGACGATTAAATATCAAAGGTATAACCAGGTTGTGGTTATAAAGCTTGTGAATCGTAATTTGGCAGAAACAGACTTTGGCGCTGTAGTTCTCAACACTAATCATTGGCAACCAATACACCTACTCAATCGCGAGGCGTTGAAGATGCTTTCAGAATTATGCTGAAAACGTACGATTGCTTTAGGATCTTCATAGTTCGCTAATTCCTGGGTCCGTTAGCCCTCCCTTAATGCTAAAATGACCAACAATGAGGCATTCAAGGTTTGTGATAACGGGATTCCAATATCGAGAAGGTTAAACTTCAAGTAACGTACACTGCATGCGCGTAGCCCTAGACCAATAGGCAATGACTTTCCTTTGATGGGGGGAAAATGAACAGTAAAATGTGAATGAGACGGGTATATTCCAGCTTTGCTTCATCAAGGCTGGAGGACACCAGAAAATCCAATGGTCGATGTATTCATATATTACGTAGATGCTTATTAGAGGTCATCGTTTAGCTGGTATAGGTGATCCATCAATCATGTTGTTTTTGACTGCACTCCTATAGACATCTGATGCTGTGCTATACGGCCTTGACATATCATCCTGTTTTGACTACTTGTAGGTCAAGCCACAGATAACAAACTTTTCCAAATTCTTTATTCTTTTGATTATGACCTGTCAAGCACTCAATTTGTAGCTCACGCCACTTTGCTATTACAGGAATCAAATATCTATTCGCTGTATAAAGTAATCAAATAAGTACTACAAAATACTTGTTCACTGCGGTGTTGAGATGTTGATGTTATTCAACCAACAGGCTTTTGTTGTAATTCTACGCTTGTGCAAATATAAATGGCAGGACTATATTTGTTAGTAATAAAGAATCAAACTCTTACCAGTTGGTGAAGACCTTCATTTCATCCATTTTCCGCAACGATATCGAACTGAGCGATTTTCTGTTGGTGTAAATGTGGTTCGACTTTGAATACGTTTGATCTATTTTTCAAATGCAGCAAACGGTTTTACGAATGCGTTGAAATGTTGCGCGCGCCCAAAACCTGACGGAGATGAACAAGAGGCACCCACGTAGGCGCTTTGTAAGTCGCCGGTAAAGTTTTACGGATGTCTCTACAACTTTGAGGAAGTTCTAGAAAGTTTTACTACTCTGGGATAGTGCATTTGGGTCCACTTAGTCCCACATGTATTACACCTTAGATATTACAGGTTACATATTACAAGCCCTGAATTGTAACATGATGTCAAGCTCAAAGTATACGTGCAAGCTATCAGTGACAACAAGAAGTTTAAAACACCAAACGATACCTAATACTTGCTTGAGTACTCTGTGAGTGGTCGTATGTGCCAGGTTTAGGTTAACGTTGTATGAACAATGCATACCAAGATTCTACATGGCTGGTCAACGGTGACTGCACTGGTTAACGGTTGTATCGAGGACTCCGCCAGAGCCCATCACCATTTAGAAGTTCTACAAAGTAATATACTCTAGTGTTTAAGTGTTCAGGACTCTGGTATAAGGTGCTGTGGTTAATATATCACATTGAGTCTAGACAACATACTTTTCAATGGCAAGGGGAAATGGTCATCATCGTAAAACGATCACACGTTTCGACCTACAACTTTATAACTGCATGAAGTGTTTTCTGTGGACCTAATCATTACAGGGAGTACTTATTACATTGTCCACTCAACAAAAGTTTTCATACATGTTGTTTAACTAATGCCGTAACTTCACTAATCAATTTGGTCTTCCTAACGCTATAACATTTCTAGTAATGACCTACGCCTGGTGGGCCACACGCTCTTTCAGTTCATGGGGCATTAGTTCCATTTCACTAATAACCTAATGGACTTCTAAAAAATGATAAAGACAAACAACCGGCATCAGTGAGACACACAGTGAGGAAAGCACAAGTGCTATTGACAGACATTTGAGCTAGCTAATTGGTCTTTGACACACAGCATGAGATCAGTGGCTGGAAACCCCGTTCACCTTATTCTGTTTTGAAGATCTTCAGCCTATTTTGTTTTGAACTAAGCACGTATGTATGATTTCGGCGCTAAGTTCTAGCCTACGAAATTGACCAGGACCTGGTCTTGGAACAGCAGATCCCCATAAATTCCCTCAGATGTGAAACATATTTAGATGGCTAGTGGAAGTTGTACTTGCAGGGGAGCTTGTTCCCAATAGAGATATACTGCGAATGAGCCGTCTTTAACTACATGTAGAGATGCTAGTAGGCATAGCCTACGCATATATACATGAGGTAGAGCTACAAGGTGACACTGATAGAGACATCCTAATTGGACAGGCTGATCTTCAGTTAATGGCATAAAACGCAGATAAAATCTTCCTTGGTCATTTCTGAGAGGGGGGTCCAATTAAGATTCCACACACTTTTTATCATAACTGAGAGGTCATGTTTTTGGTTCTATTCAATGAGAAGCCGGAGAAGCACTCTTACACATGTACTGGAAAGTACATGCTTACAACTTCCAAATCACATACACCCAAGTTACAACTTGCTAAGCCTATCGGAGATATGATCAGAAAAAAGGAGGAACGTATTAGCGAAAAATTGTCAGCCTGACCCCAAAAAGAGTAAGCAAAGGAGGAGCTCACGTTGATCTACGTTGCAGGAAACGGCTGCAATTTGGGAAATTGACTGCAATAACAGAGTCTTTTGTTGGCGTGTGGGCGACAAAGACATTTAGGATTTGCAGGCCGTTGGGGATTTATACATGAACATGCATTTTGTCAATAACGAAAACACGGCGAATCCCAAGGTGGATGTACATGTTGTTTTTGACCGAACACAGATAGAGACCCCGATATTAATGTGGTCATTAGTGTTTGTTTCTCTTCAGGAGCTGACCGGCTCCAAGGAGACCTTTCTTGATACCCTAGGTCTATAGTTGTCTGTGCATCAAGGCGCCAGTGAGAGCTATTTCACAGAACACGGTGAATGCTTGTTCAGACATTATGTTGTATTCTTCATGAAAAGATCTCCATTTGGGACTGTATTATGGTTTCAAACATTTACATGGCACAGTTGCTGGAGGTGAAATAAAAAAGAGGTCTGTCTCAGGGGTAATACTTGATATCGGTAGAATTCCTCTTAAGGGTATAATGCTTAGTAAGTTGAAACAAATTTAAAGGTCCTTATAGAGTCTGTATTTACAAAATGCCAATTCCTAGAGCCACGTGGTGGAAATGTTTCAAGTGTCTGTATTCAGCTGTCAAGCAACTCTCTGCTTGGATGTCAACATATCATTTTGGGGATATTATCATCGAGACATTTATCAATATCGACCTTGTACTGTTAGCGGGTTTAGGAGAAGTGCATTACATCATCTAAACTTCATTTGATAATCTATTTTGGGTTAATAATAATGATGAAGGCTACATCGTATAATATTTGCTATCAACAAATAGCAGGTCTCATACTAAATAGTAGTGTACCTCGCAGAGAAATGTGGAGGAGACAGGGTGGAGGAATGAAGGAATTATTATTTCACAAGTCATATAATTGGAAATTTGAACTCAAAAGAGGTACTTACAGATGATGAAAATAACTCGAAGTACATGGGATGTAACTTATCACGGATAGACAACTATCTCTAGATGCCAATGAATATAATCCTCCTTCACCCTGTAAGAAAAGTTTTGCATTAAATAATTGTATTAAATGACTTCGAAAATGTTGTGTGCTTAATTTGATTTTCTTTTGCAGCAAAATCACATATGTGCTTAGTGAACGTAGTAAAACTTCCTTCCAGAACATTCAAAATGATGACCTTCTTTACTTAAAGTGCCACATCAAGATGTACGGCCACCAAGTAGAGCAACACTTGTTCATTTCGAGATTCTTGAAGGAGAAGTCCTCCTCTCTGGGAACAAAGTTCGCTGGGAGAGTTCGTAAAATTACTTTCAGTTGATGCAGCTGCTCTATTCTTCGGCTGCATATGAAACGTTCAAAGAATTTTGTCCAATTATCAAGAGGTAGCACTTATTGACAAACATGAAGAAGCCGCATTGTCCAAGGATGCTTTCCTTCCTTAATGCATGTATCTTAATGAATTGTGAGGTCCATATTTGAGGTGAGACAATTATAACTCATATTAATTTCTTTATTATTCTGGTGAAGTAACCTATCATTTTAATGGGATAGATAGCTACAGAAAACTTTTCATTCAATGAAATAAGCCAGAAGAAGTTTTAAAGTTCATCGACAGTTATAAACTCCATACAGAGTACCATAGAAGTAGGTACTGCATTAGTCAGCTCCAGGTTCTTTTAATATCGATGAACAGATGAAGCTTCTCCATAAATTAGAGCTGGTGGTTGAAGAGAAGGAACAAAAAAGCACATACACACGTCAGCAGAGGCTTATTATGATCTTGTGCACATCTCAGGAAGGTAATATGTATATGAAAAGAGAAACAGAGACAGAAACAGAGATAGGGAGCGAGTAATTATAAGTGTCAGTGTAAGAGAGCTTGCCTGCGGGCGCGGATACGCTTCTTTGTTCAGACACTACTTTGCAGACGACCAAAGCGAGACACGAGAATACACCACTTCATGCAGCAAGCCACATGGACTATTAATAAGTTGAAAGTTGAAACTTGTGACATAGGTTAAACCATACCAAACTCCAATTCCCGATTTAATCTTCTTGTAAGAATACCCGTTAGTTGAAATAGTAATAGATATAAGTCTTGAAAGGACATACCACTATGTATTATGTACCCATTAGCTCTGTTAGTTTCGGTTATACACCATATTAATTAGCCTGCGGATCTACCGTAGGAAGCTTCTTAGATTTCTTCTCCGTTTTACTTTGCGTGTGTGTAATAAACAACATGCATTTACTGACCTCCCCTCTCCTCTTGAGTGTTTTCTTATTTAGGCGTGTTTCTTCGAGCGGCTTAATATAGAGCGCAATCGGGCAAGATCAAACATTAAGACACGCACGCTTTAGAAGTATCTTTGTACAGTTGTAAGCTGTTAACTGTGTGAGTTGATGGAGTATCTTTCCAGTTAACTAACAGTGAACCAACCAATATAATCTCTAGTCCCAAGGAATATGTTCCCTTACGGATTTTTCAACGACACTATGGTTTGAACATTCTGTGACTTGTTGTATATGGCCACAGACCTACAACCCTAATATTATTTAGTGTATAATTTAACACCTGTACGGTATACCACACCATATTGGTCACAAGTGTTATACAAGCTTGTTTTCTCCACCCCTTTAGCCGGTCCATGGGACACCACTTATAATTCGAAGACATAGTTCCCACGTCGTACTGCAGTCATAAAGTGTAACTCAAAGGACAGGAGCACTGTGAACTTGGACCCGGATGGATCAATCGCTATAAAAACGTCGGTCCGCATCTCCCACCTGAGGACAACATAAGCGAGAAGATGGATAATGGAGTAGATTGTTTTTTGTCCTGTCGACCATGTTAGCCTTTACAACGAATATATTTCGGTCTGAGCCTTAGACGTCATGCACCGACATATGGCGTGTGTTCAAGCCCAAGTGCACTAATTAGACATTGTATACCGACGTATTCTAAGCCATAGTGTGTATTCCGAGAAATTCAAAAGTCAGATCAGCCTTCCAGAGTGTTACTTAAAGTTGATGAAACTACCAATTGGATGTAGTTGGTCATTTCAAGTCGAGCTTCTAGTTATTAATCTGACGTCAGAGTATGTTACTTGAGCCTTCGGACACATCTGCAGGATACACCTGAAATTGAGAAGTTATGAAGTATACATATGTGCAGTACTATTCACAATTACTGTCACGCCAATGTTGTAAGTTACAATTGACAACGTTACAATTAGCCTCAGGAAGTGTAGATTTAAAGTTCAGTGGAGCTTTAAACGTTCAACTGTGCTATGCAGGTGTGCGCAGTGCAAAAATATGCCTGTGATCTTCAACAGCTTACACGCACGTACTACATACAGATGGCTACATACATATACATTGACTTGCGACTTTGCCTGTCCAGCCTTCAAAGTCCACATACACATGTAGACGTTTCGGGCAAAGTTCGAGATATAAAATTTGTGGTACGTCTTTTCAGAGGTTGAACCCGGCTTGAGCTTTTCAGATGAGATCGGTGCTGTATTTATATACTCTGCAATTTCCCTTTTGTCAGCTCGACGCAAAATTGATTACATATATCTCTCTCTCTTCTTTTCCTGCTTCTCCAATTGACAACGTCTGCTGTTGAAGGATATAAACCCATAGATTGTCTCAACGTACTAATTTAAAGGTGCAATCTACTTAGTGCAGTATCGAAAGGTGATATATTGTTGTGAACGACTTCAGTGGATTTTGTCAATCTTTTGTCATCTCATTTTACACATTCGTTGTTATTGGGGGGCTTGTTACTACCTGTTGTTTAAGATTGCACGGTATCCCATTTTGTAACAAAAAATTGGAATACATTAAACTCGAGATAACCAGTGCTGATAAACTCTTGTTATATCAATTGGTTAACTTGACAGGCAATAACTTCAAAGACTCGTTCGTTTTTCCTTCTTTTCGCAGTTTCCAAACGCCTTAGCAGCGGTTTTTGGAGCTCGTATATTTCGTCTGCTTTTTCACAACCTCCCAGCCCAGAGTTCGGAACCCGTTGCGACATTGCACCGCTTCCCAGCTATTTTTGGACCTGAAACAGAAGCCATAAGGATTTCTTGAGCTTCGTGCCGTTGATTTCTTTGTTTTCCTTTCCAAGACCTGGGAACATTCAACCAGCTTTCCCACACAGATTTTTCTGAGATTTCGTGCGGGTGTGCGTGTGTCCTCAATTCCATTTCCATTTTTCAGGTACACGAGAAACACGCGTCGCGCCAAAACAGTCTCGCAAAAAATCCCCCCCTGCAGTTGTGTTTGTGTTGTGAGCTGTGTTTTCTGATTCCTTTTAGAGTTTTGGACCTTGCAAACAAAACACAAATAAACAAGCAAACATCAACAAACAGCCCACGAGAAATAGCAACCGTGGAAAGAAGTCCACACGAGAAAGATAATTCTATGGCGGTTTACACTCAGAGCAAAGAGGCGAATGCCTCTATGGCATTGGATACAGGTGTCTTGACGCCTCCACCTTCACAGCGTCGTAAAGGCCGTGGTGTTATTGTTGATGTTTCACTGAACGATGTTGGCCAACAGGTGTACGAAGTCCACGGCGTGGGTCACAATACGAAAAAGAGATCTATGGATTTACAACAGGATGGTGTACTGCTGGAGGATGAGCACATTGCAAAGAGAAAGAGCTCATCGCCACGCACAGTCCTCGGCACCATATCGCAATCTTCTCTGAACAAGGACTCTGGATGCAACAGCCACCGTGACGAGGAGAGCACAGGCGAAGAAGAACATGGAGGATCACCATCTTCAACCCTGAAGCATTCATCAGCTGATGATAACATCTGGAGCGATGAAGTAGAGTCTGCTTTTGAAGAGGCGCTACGTATGATTCCGAAAAATGGGCTGTCGAAGATCAAAATCAGCGGCAAATCGTGTGGTCGGAATGAACTCATCTCTGATTATATCTTGCAGAAGACTGGTAAAGTCAGAACCAGAAAACAAGTTTCGAGCCACATCCAGGTAATCAAGAACTTGAAAAGGAACACACAGATTATCGAGCTGATTAACTCGGGACCTACCGACCCTGATGCCTTGAAAAGGTTCGATCAGGTGTTTACTGAGATCTTTTTCCAAAAATCTCTTGGTTCTAGTACTGAACGTAAAGAGTGCCACGAGCTATCTACCCCAAAGAGTAGAAGCCGTACTCACAAGTCAAGAGACAGCTCCCCTGTGAGACGCCGTCGGAAACCATACATTGCTGTTGAACCTGCTTTAACGGAGTTCCAAATGAAGAACAGTGAAGGGTTTGTCTTTACTTCTTTGCAACAGGAAGAACAACCTCCACTGAGACTCAAGAAGGATGCATGTGTTCAGAACAGATTTCCAAGTCTCAACGATTACTACAAGAAAGGCGAAGCACAAGATAAACAGATTCCAATTATACACAACCTGGTCAAGCTACAACTTTCGGAGGAAGCATGCACTCCTCAGACAGATTTGAAAGTGCAACTGAAAGGGTCAACCCGCGATGAAAAGTCCTTCTCTTGTAAGACGGTGATTTACTGTTACGGCAATGAGGTTCTTAACATTAACTCTGCTGCAACAGTTTTGAAACTTGTTAAGGATAGCAATACAAAGCTAAACAATGTTACACTGTCATTACCATTTGCCGCGGAGTTTTGGGTGCAGTTCTTCAACAGCACTCACAACAATATCAATAACGTTTCAAATCCTAAGCAGAGCAGGACTCAAAAGGCTATTGGAGTGAAGGGGTTAACGATGATGCAATTGATATACCACAAGAATTCCAAAGTTGGTTATGAAATGGATGACATCAAGGCCCTAATTCTTTGGGAATTCACATTGGAAGGTTCCGACAATGAAACAACAACGCGTCGTTTCTTCTTACCTGTTGATGGTGTCTCTTCACCAGAACCAACGTTCTTGTCCAATGTATCAGAATGTGAAACTGTTGAAGAACACCCTAAGGAACAGGATGACACCATTAGTAATACCACTGTCTCGGACTTTGGAGGTAAAGTTGATAGCACATTAGTACCGGATGAATCTGTATCACCGGGTTGCGAAAGCTACTCCTGTCGAGATGCCACTGTTGGACCAATCGTGGCACCTGCACAAATACTAAGTATGCCTGCACAAGTGCCAAACGTTGCTATGCCATATACAAATATCCCAACAGAGAGTGCTTTTATCCCCATGCCCTCTCATCAATTGCCCCCAAGGGCAAACACTTTCCAGAACCTTTACGGTGAGTTATCACCTCAGCCAATACGTCGTATGATGAGCGAACCTGTTACTCATTCCTGGAATAGTGCGGCTAATTTCCATGGGGTATTATCATCTGAAGGGTTCAACGGTGATGAGTTTCAAGGCTTTAGTGGAGTTGAAAGTCATCAACCATCAGACCTTAACCCTGGATTTACAGTGATTGATCAGAATGATCCACTATTGCCGCATGAGGTTATGATGCGGTGGTAACCTAGGTGTTTGATACACCTACTCACCACTTTTCCCATAAGTGTGACAATTTATCTCCATAGAAGCTGTACATATATACAATGCACCAAGTTGTCTCAATTTACAGAAATACGTTACGATGAAGTGGGCCAATTATCCGTAGTGACTACACATCAGGCTTTGGAAATTATAAACATACAATTCAGTAGATTGAGTGAAAAACTTAAGCATCCTCCTTGAACAAAGCCTCTCTCTTCTCAGCGATTCTCTGTTGTCTTCTCTCTCTAGCAGATCTGTTCTTAGCTCTTCTAGCCTCGGCCTCGTCCTTCAAAGCCTTTTCACGAGCAGCCTCAGCCTTAGCAGCAATGATGTGCTCAACCAAAGCACGCTTGTGCTTGAAAGTGTTACCCTTAGCAGCCTTGTAAAGGGAGTGGTACAAGTGTCTGTCAATCTTACCAGCATCTCTGTACTTAGAAAGCAATCTTCTCAAGACTCTCAATCTTCTGATCCAGATAACTTGGGATGGGAAACGAGCCTCCTTGGTACCTTTTCTCTTACCGTAACCGGTGTGACGACCAGCACGCTTGGACTCAGCCAAAGCTCTAGCACGGGATCTGGAGTGAACACGAGCTGGCTTCTTGACGATGGTACCGTTCTTGTAAAGCTTTCTAATAGCTTGACGAGAGTTGGCTTGAGCAATCTCAGAGGACTCATTTGGGTCCAACCAGATTTTTCTCTTACCAACACCGACAACGGAAGCAGCAAGTCTCTTTTGAGTTCTCAAGTTAGCCCTATTCTTGAGTTAGTACATGTCTGGATGGTTTGAAAACAACGGGCGAGTCTGTATGATGTGAAAGTCAGGGTGATGTGAGAAGGAAGAGGATTGAAGAGGCTGTTATTAATCACCGGAATGTCATCACATGGAATCTCATCTACTGGGAATGTTGGTAACAAATGATGGGAACAAGGTGATCATTACAAGTACACTCAGCTCTCCAGTTCGTCTCTATCACTATCACAAAGGGTCTTTCACTAACGCCTCCTCAAACCATATTTTTAGATAGCCTTCATGCTCGCTCCTCTCTACTGTGAAATTCCTTTTAACCCTTTGATGACACCACTTCAAGACACTTTGTAGTAAGGGGACAGCAACCATCAGTCTGGCACAACCTCTCATTCAATCATACTGATGCTCATATGTTGTACTTGTTTCAAACGACTTACATCTTTACTGGGTATACCTGCTTGTCTGTATAAACTTGAGTATTTTGATGTTTGTGTGTAGAAGCTTTTCAGCTTTTTTTTTCCACCCTCAGCGCCTTTGCTGAAACGCAGAGAAATGCGGATTTTATGGGAAATGTCCAGGTGTGGCTTACATAATTTTCCAAGAGCAAAAAATGTGCTTGGTGGTGTTGAGATGTTCTGAAAATTTCACTTCGGGGACTGCTTGGTAGTGAAAGCCCTAATATACAAATCACATGACTTAGGGTTGAAGATCTTGTCTGACTTTGATGCGCGGGATTACGCGGGTTAAGAAACTGTAGACTTTCAGCAAAATGGTTATATACTGGCTCTTTTAACAATGGACCATTGACCGTGCTGAGAGTAAAGAGTATTTCACCAGCCAACGGCTGGGATCCTCTTAACCTCTATTGGGTACACAACTCAATACTCTGATCAATGATAGGCCAGGAATACTCATTGGGATCTCGGTTTTCCGAGGAACCAACTTGATGTGATACCCTTGTAGAAAACGTGCACTGCGCTTCAACTGAGCGAGAAGATGAAGCCACATCACCAGTTTGACCAGGATGACGGTAAACCACTTCCTAACAACTCAGAATGAACACTAGGGAAAATATTTTCCATGAAGAGACTGTCACTTAGGGCCTTTTGATTCCAATGTTATATGCGTAGACATACCTCACTGTTAGGGGAGGGCAAAAAACAGAGTATTTACACAAGGGACATCTCCCATAGTCCAAGATACAGCGTGCAACGTGGGCTGTAATAAGGAAGATCAGCATGGTGGCACAATTGCTAGCAATGTATTTATTATTTTGTATTCCACATCCTTGAATGTGTTCTACTATATAAGATGGGCTATAGTATTCATGAAACACACAAACAGAACATGTCATGATGTCCTTACACAGTATCAATCATGAGCTTCAACCAAGAGCGTGTCTCGGAAGATAAGCTTGTCAACAAGAGACACAACGCGTGGAAGTTGACATTGCCTCTTATCTGCGCAGTGGTTTTAACGTGCATCACTTCCATTGCATTGTTTGTCAACAACCCACAAGTGTCATATGGAGTCTCCAAATGGGCATTCGAAAAGAGTAACATCGTGAAACGGTCTATCAACTTTATCTACAGAGGAAAACAACCTTTGGGAATCCATTCCCATAATGACTACTTAAGAAGTGACCCGTTGTTCGATAGTTTAATTGTCGGTGCTAAATCTGTTGAGGCTGATGTTTGGTCATTTGATAATGGTGACGTCCTTCCAGTGGGTCATACTTTTGTTGAGCTAAACCCATTTGAAAACACCCTGGAGAAGTTATATACAAAACCATTGTTAGAGTTGCTAGATGCTGTGAACAGGGCCCGTGTTGAAGGCGAGCCTCCGGTTGGGATTTTCCCAGACTTCCCTAGCGAGACATTCTACCTTCATATTGATGTCAAGAATGACCCAGACCAGGTATTCGATAAGATTCAAAAGCATTTGTATCCTTTACAACAGAAAGGCTACCTCACCACTTTTGAAACTGTCTCTCAAAAATGGAATCATGGTCCCATCACAGTCGTCTTAACTGGCGATTATCCTTTGAAGAAGATTCTTGACCAAAAAGTTCGAAATGTTTTTGCAGATGCGCCTTTAAACGATTTAGTTGGTTTCAAAGCAACGATTACGTCTTTAGGTTACAATGGCCCACTGAGCATTTATTCAGTTGCTGCATCTGCTTCGTTTTTTGATATCACTGGCTCTCTCGGTTTGCCAGCTGGTGGTCTAATCGCTCTCGAGAAGAATGCAATTACGAAGGTTCTCAACACAGCAAGGGACTATGGTCTTGTCACTAGAATATGGGCTCTTCCAGAGCCATCCGAGAGCCAAAGGGATGCAATTTGGAATGACCTTTTGGATTTGGGAATTGGCTTGCTCAATGTTGATTCCCTGTTGCGTGCGGCTCGTATAGTGGCTCAAAAGTCTTAGAGGTTAGCCTTAGCTCCTCAATATATTCTAACTGACAGGATTCGGGATGTAGACATATATTCATGAATTGTATCTTTCATCTAGATTCTAAGGTTTTAAATCCTCGAGATGAATGAGATTCGATAGAACATGTACTATCCGTTTGTCACATTTGGATAGGATCCCAAGATATACAGCATAATGCTTTTCCTATTCACTATATTTCTCTAAAACTAGGTTGTTGGTTTATATTATTTGAAAGGTTGTGTACTTTGAATTTTCATTCAATGTAGGAATATGGGCATCACAAGCTGCAATTGGTGATAGTTTGCGGGAACCTACATAAAACTAAGTGGAAATGCTCTTTGACCTGTTGAGACTACGGTGAATTGATACCTGTATGTGTACCCTTAACTGTTTACATATCTTACCAAGGTAGGGCGAAGCTATTCTCTTGTCTCTCAGAAGCTGCGACGGAATAACTCGTTATGCATAAGAGCTTCATGACTTTAAATGAGCCTTAGAAGCAGGAGTGCCTTTTCTGCAACTTTAGCTCACGAATTTCAAAAACGTGCTCAAGAGATCAACATAATGAAGATTGACTTGCAATTACAGCTCAAAATCTGGCACAAGAATGAGTATTGGATGTGTATATAAAAGTTACCTTAATGGTCATTGCAGAGTTTACCCAACTTACACGAGAAGTTGGTGTTTTATTCATAACACCTTTTTAAGAAGCGATACACTGGAAACCAAGTTGAAAAGCCATAAAAGCATAGTGAAGACTTATTCAAAGTCTTCATTTGTCATTTTAGCATCAACAGAGCGGTATGAAAATTCAGTCATTGTTAAATATTATCAAAGAAGAGACCGGTGGCAGTGCCAAGCTTCAAATCAGGGATAATAGAAGATGGAGGGTATTGATCATAGCAGTTGGTGTCATGATCGTTATCGTTATGACAAAGACTACAATGATGTTTAACGATTCCCGTGATCGTGAAACCTTTAGAGATTCATTGGTGAAGCGTTCCTTCAATAATATTAATCCTGGACTCAAGGTTTTGCCAATTCATTCTCATAACGATTATGAGAGGGAGCACCCCTTGTATGATGCTTTGAAACTGGCAATCATTTCAGTCGAAACCGATGTTTGGTGTTTCAATGACAATGACGATGCTCTATACGTCAGTCACTTACCATTATTCCTCTCTAAGTCAAGAACTTTAAAGACTTTGTACACCGGACCGTTGGAACAGTTGATAGATTCCGTTAGTCAAGATGGTGAAGTCTTTGGACTATTTGACACCGAACCTGATCAAACATTGTATTTGCAAATTGACGTCAAGAACAATGGTGATGTTGTATTTGACAAGATCCAGGAACATCTAAAGCCATTACAGGACAAGAGATATATCACGACATATACTCCAAAGGACAACAAATGGTACCATGGTCCTCTGACGGTTGTTCTCACAGGCGATTCTCTGCTCTCAAGAGTAGCTTCGATGGAGGTGAGAAACGTCTTTGCAGATGCAAAGCTCGATGATTTGGATTCTTTCAAAAAAAAGAATCGAGGATCTGAACAGCAGTGAGGAATTGAAGACGATTTCCGTGGTTGCGTCATGTGAATTGGCAGATGTCGCAAGCTCAGTCGGCATTTTCAGCTCCACGGACGTTGAAGGGCTCTCTGATCGAGGTAGAAGGGATGTTCAAAGGGTCATAGACAAGGCTCACTCTTTTGGCCTCAAAACCAGAATCTGGGAAACTCCAAATTATCCGACGGAAGTGAGAGACCTTGTCTGGAGAGACTTAATTTCCATGGGGACAGATCTGCTCAATGTTGATGATTTGACTGCTGCTTCGAAGATGTTCAACTTGCAAGAGCCTTAAGGAAAGTATTATTAGTCTCTACTGTTATCATCTTCACAGATGCATAATATGTATTAAATGATCACAGCCTTATGAGTGTAGTTAGCACTAAGCTTTGTATTTCACACTGTAGTAGACAATTTGCGCAAGGGTTTTATGTAGAGCTCAACTGAGGGCTCTGCCTGAGGAGTCGCAGTTGCATGAGCCCGCATAAAAATAACGCTGACACAACGGGAGGACCACCGTCGTGGTTAAACAATAGAGAGTAATCAACGCGTTGTAGTACAAGCTCTCTTTATGTAAAGTTTGTTAGGCAATCTGTGAGACAGGCATAACTAAGAGAGCTAAAAGAAGTAACGTTTTCATGGGGGGGGGGAATACCTGATACTTTTTTCATGGAAGTGCTCGGTTGTTGTTAATGCTCCCAAACGTTTATACGAGAATCACTTCATATGTATTGCTATAAAGACATATAGCTTCTGACAATGACCTATCGTAGTAAAACCACACTATGACGTCTTTTTCGTAGATGCTCAAAATATCATAAACATCTGCTAATATTAATTATACATGACACATTCCTAAAACACTTATTGGTCAAATAATTTACCGGAGATTGGCATGTTATACGACATCGTAGTCATCTTTGTGACTAAAACCCTGAGCGTAGTTGGATATCAAACATTAGTATACACCATAATAATTAACCCGACTTAATTGCTATACTCAACACTTGTATCCGGTAACGTGATTTCATGTTTGACCTAATGTCGTTATTTCTTATGCACAGGAGATTAAGAATTAAAGTTACGAGAAAGTGAATACACGAGCATTAAAGTTGGAAGAATGGTACCATATCGAAACCCAATTAGGAAACCTAAAGCCATGTATGTCTCACTGACGGCATGATGTAGTTTTGGGTCATAATGCGAAATGAACAGGTTCTATGAACACAACGAGTAGATCTTGTTGAATTAACGCTACCATGTAATGATCACTTTCTATGACAGATAACTGGACAGATTTGCGTACCATCGTATGGATGCATGTTTGTCTTTATAATGACACATCGTTCAGAACATCATCAAAGTGCAAAAGATCATGCTGGCATCTCGTCATGAGGAGATACCATCCTGTATCGCCGTATACGACCTGTCTTGACTTGACACTCTGCCTATATATGACCATCTTTGACGGTGACAAGGAAACTCTTGTATAATTATAAAGCACTCTTTAAGGTTCATGACTATTCAAAACGATACATGCATCAGCATTAACCTCCTTTTATGTGTGTCTTCTTGAAGGCTCTACGCCGTTTCTAAGAATCTATATTTGTTACAGTGTCAGATTAATTTGCAGCAGAAATATTGCAAGACAGAATGTGCAATGAGAGATATAGGTTTTGCAAGATCATCATAGACCAAAGTTGTGCTAAACGCATGAAACCGAGATCTGAAAGCTGTATATGTTGCTCAATTTCATTTTGCATGCAGAGTAAACATTGGTGATAGGTGTGGCTCGTGCTTACTGCATGATGTAAATCCTAATTCAATGGATTTATCCTTTCAAATAACAGGGTAAACTCTAGGCTTTTTGATGATCTGATTTTATCAAGCAAATATGGTTGCTAACTCATGAAGAGGTGACCTTCGATATGAACCGTTTTGACTATCACCATATAGTACCTCTTCTAAGCGGAAGCAGCCGGGGTTAGAAAGGAGGCTTTGAAACGACGAACGGTCCCAGATGTATTTTCAGTCTTTCTCTGTTTCATTTTTCGGAAGTTTCAAGTAAAGCGCAAGATGTTAGGTTGCAGAGGCTACAGGAAAGTTCAAGATGTTGGTGGTGCTGCTAATGCAGTTGAACCAGCCAGTTATCATTCGTAAATTACAAGAGCTTCAGAGTCAGTGGATTTTGAACATTACATGATTTACTCATGAACTTAACAGCTATAATAGAACTGGCGGTGATGTCATAAGAGTGTCTTTAGGTTCCTGTCCTCTTGTGTGATTGCCTACAAACCTGTTCAAAATTAACCAGCATATTACATGTCATTTACAATTGAACGAGACCCTTAAATCGCAGATCCCCAAAGTGGGTGAGAAATACCCGTCCGAAATGGCGAAAGGATACTGGCACGATATTCCCATAGTTCTGTTGACAGCTGGGCTTGATTGATCCAGGAGAGGTTCTGCCCCCTATCGAGGAATACTGGACGCAAGTTTACGCAAGAGAGAAGGGGGTCGGTGGGGCTTCTAAGTCCTTTCGATCAAACTTCAAAGCGCTATCTGAACAGCAAAAAAACATCTCGTATATAAGGTAGTTTGTAAGTTGAGTTTTCACACATGCCAAACAGCGAATAGCGTTGGGTTTAAATGTAATCACATAATCAATGAAGTTCGTATGTATTAATGTCGCATACTCCTATGTGCAACAACTTTGAAGCCACGGTGCAGGTGTGTCTGAGTAACTCCAATTCTAGTGTCTCCCTGTGCTGTCATAGGCATGATTTATCAGCATATGTTCAGAACCACAACTGGGCAGCTGTTTTTAGTTCTATATGCAACCTATACCAAAATGAAACCAGAGTTTCTCAAAGTTAACGCGGGAGATCAGAACAAAGAAGCTGTGCAATGCGTGTCTGTTATTTTTAGTCAATAAGCACAATTATCAACGACACGTTCGAAATGCGCTGCTAGAGGACATGTGGACATGTAATTTATGAGAAATTATCCAACCGTCGATCGAAAAATCATGCAACAGCATCACTACGGAGCCCATCTTTGGTTCATGTAGCAGAACCATATTACAGTGCAACATTAACTCGTTCCTTCTTAGCGTGTTTACATCTGTGTACAGCAACCCATCAAATTCAGACCATGTCCCTTGTTCTGAGAGAAAACAAAAGGCGTACGGTTTAAGGGACGATGTGTCTCGCTGCCTGACACTGGCCCCTCCTCGCTGCCCTTGTCCCAGAATGCTCAAAACGGTAGCGTGTTGCAAAAACCTCAATCCCACGCTGGGCTGGGCACCACAAGCAATGGGATAATATTGCGCAACATGTGGCCGTTTGCTCTTAGCCAGTCGGAGCGGTATTTACGCGCAAGTTTTCAAACCCGTCAAGGCCGCCGTCGGTGTGCATATAGTTCAAGTACTAAGCGCAGCGATCCCAGATCACTGATAGCTGGCCCCGTGTTTTGACCAATACGGGCGAGCAACATCGCCCGAAGCTGGTGCCCGGGCAAGTAATTTAGAGATAAAGTATTGGCCTCCTCAGATCACCCACGTTCCACACCAGTTCCGGTCCTTCAATGCCATCGTGTTTAGTACAGTGGCCAAAGGTGCTGGAAGCAGAAACGGGAGTTTAGACGGGGTTCCCAGAACAAGCGCGTGTTAAATAATCCCGCCTTCTCGAAACCTCCTCCCAGCCCGCGCGTGTTTCAGTTCACGTAGCCTCTAACACCGGCTCACTAAAACGTACCGCCCAACTTCAAGGCCCCAGTGCAGCTTACAATTCAAAGCGGAGCGTGGATCGCACAAAACACATAAAGCCACCACCAAAAAGTGTGCATGTGGGTCATCCTTCGGCCGGTGTGAACTTTGTGTACTGGAAAAGTGCTTACGTACGGTGATGCAGCGATATGTAACGACGCTTTTACGGATAAGTTCCCAGTCGTTCAAGTGAAGAGTTTAAGGAAAAGGTACTTAAACACTGTAATTCCCCCTTCCATGGAAGATGGATACCAAATTGTTCCCCTTTGGATCAGAGGACCTGAAGCTCTTGCACAGCGTATTCTGAGATCTTTTTTGTTTCAGTTCAAAGCTCGGGAGCTAATTGCTTTGTCATTCCACACGTAATACTACAACAGACGGCATCAAATTGCCGCGACTCGCAACAAGGTTATAAATATTGACCAACATGTCCAGTGAGAAGTTAATACCGGATCACCATTCATCAACAGATACACCCTCACAGCGCGAGATCCAGCTGGACTTATTCGATAGCGCGCCTTTGAAACTTGCAATTGACGAGGAGTCGTTTACGGCAGAACAACTGAGGTTACAGACACAACAGTTTTTAAGAGCGCAACGATCTCTTCGGGTGTGGAAGGTGTTGACGCTAATTTCAACCATGATTGGCATTTTGCTCGTACTTACTACCGGTTTGGTTGTTGCATTTTCCCGAAACCCGACCTTTATCAACGATTTCATGAGATGGACGGTGGATATGACGCCAGTGGCTTCACAGCCCTTTAAAGCGATACCGAGCGTTGCACAGTTGAACAGAGGTAAACCAGTCTTACCGATCCACTCGCATAACGATTATTGGAGAAAGACACCCCTATTCGATGCACTTGAGTTGGGCATCCAGTCCGTCGAAGCAGACGTGTGGTCCTTGAGGGACGATGAGGATATGCTCTACGTTGGCCACAGAGTGTTTTCGTTGACACAGTACAACAGTTTGGAGAGACTATACACGGGACCTTTGTTGGAGTTGTTGAACTCCACCAACCCGGACTTGACGTCAACGTCTTCAAGACAAGGCGTTTTCGACTCTGACCCTTCAAAGACGCTATACCTCTATATCGACGTCAAGAACAACCCAGAGATGGTTTTCGCAAAATTAGAATCGCATCTCAAGCCATTCTTAGAACGCGGATATTTGACCACATATTCGACAACAGATAAACAGTGGTACCACGGCCCAATCACGGTGATTGTTAGCGGAGAAGTTCCAGTGGAACAGATTAGCTCAATGTCGTTAAGAACGATGTTCATCGACTCCCCACTGGGCGACTTCACCCAGTTGGAGGAGAAACTCCACGAGCTAAACAACACAGACCCACTATCCACCATATCGATAATGTCTTCTGCATCCTTGAAGAAAATCACAAACAGTAAAGGCATGACCCAAGGTGGCTTGACTTTGGAGGAGAGGGCATCTGTTAAGGAGGCCATCGAAAACGCACACTCATTGGGCATCCGCACGAGAATCTGGGAGACTCCATCATGGCCATTGGAACAGAGAGATAAGGTTTGGCGTGATTTGATGAACCTGGGCATCGATATGATCAACGCGGACGACCTATTGGGTGCTGTGTCGTTGTAATTCTATATAACTTTGACCGGTAGATGCTCCACAGGCCGTGACCTAGTGATTCTTTAATGCTAATGAAAATAGACTCTTTATCATCCAGTAGCAACGCTCTGCCAGGTAGTCGAGCGCTGCTTATGGTGCCAGAGATACGCACATGCGAATTTTGTCACAAAAAGTGTGGCTTCTTAGGGAGAGAACTACACAACTGAGCTCGGTGCCATCTTGTCCAATCACCATGGATCAAAAACGAGCAACCACACTACGCACCAATCGATACACAACCAGTATACAATTTCACAGCTTGTACGGTATAATCAACGCATTTCTTGACCATGATATAGTGCTAGAGACTGTACAGTTCGACAAGCGCTAAAAGGTGGTTCGGGACACAAATTGCACCATACGTCAAATAGCAGCTAGCAAAAGAGAAAAAGAAAGAAAAAGCGGGCAGGTTTTTTTCCCTCTGTTTCGGTTCGAAAGTTGACAAAGTTGTCTTCTCTGAAGAGTTCGTCTCCACTGAGAAATCTCGAGAATCACTCTCAGTGTGCGTGCGTTCCAGTTCCAGGCTCAAAGATATTCATCAAGTTTGTTCAACTATGCAGCTCTTGGACGACTCTGTGTTTTATAACCTGCTGGTGAATAATACCGAGTCCATCAGCGATTCCAATGGTAGACGTTTGTGTGGTGGGTACAACAACACGCAAAGCTCAGATGACGTGGAAGTGGAGCAACAAGAACAGGGGAAACAACAGCAAAAAGGGTACGAATGTTCATCGCATGGCAATCTGGACTCGCTGATTAGTGACTCACTACAGTTCCCACAACACTTGGATAGCACACAGATACACCAGGATGGGTTCCAGTACCCGCTTGTATCCTTCTCATTTCAACCGTTTCAGCCACCACAGGAACCACTCAAACCGACACAGGAGCTGCAAAACGATAGTGAGGTTGCCTCAACGTATCAACAGTCTGTATTTTCCGAATCGTTGAGTGGTGAACATGGATACATCAACGATATGAACTCTTCGATTTCAAGCTTACACACTGAACGCTCACCAGATGATTTCTTGTTGAAGGACTCGCTTCGACAGGTTAAAATTGAAACTTCGATATCGCCCAAGAGCATCGGCAGCAGCACCGTAGAAGAGGGCCTACCGCACAAGAGATTCCACAAGTTCTACTCAACAACGATGACACCTACACAACGCGTTAAGAAAGTGTCAAGCGTACCGACGTACCATAGATGTCCATTTTGTCAGCGTCAATTTATGAACAAATCCTACCTGTCACGTCATTTGAAGAAACACGATGCGGTTAAAGACTACAAGTGCCCCTTCTTTGCACCTGAACATACAAAGTGCCATCACCTAAATGGTGAATTTTCTAGAAAGGACACCTTTAAGGCACATTTGAAATCTATACACTTCATCTACCCTATAGGTGTTTCCAAGAGTAACAGAAATGAAAGTGGAGGGCGTTGTGCAGGTTGCTTCAAGGAGTTCTCAAGTAACAACGAATGGATTGCACAGCATATCGAGACTGAACAGTGTCCCGGATTGGCAAAATATAAGGATGAAAAGAAATGACAATCGGGAATGAATTGGCTAGTACTATGTATGTTATAGTTACATATACATAGGTAAAAAGGAAAAGGGATTCTAAAAGGCTTAAAAACACCAGAACAAATGAATCAGGATTAAAAGATATGGATCGATATTAAAACAAGTACTGTTAACGTTATTCATGTAGCGTAATGTAGAGCAGGAAATCTAGTTCTTCTTCTTGCGTGCAAATGACGTATGGTTCTTCTTTCTGTTTGACATCTTCCAGTTGTGATGTCTTGCATTTCTATCACCGCTAGTACTTACTTTCTTTACGTCACGAGCGGAGTCATCTTGCTCAACCTCCATCTCTTCCTCTTTGTCGTTATCAGCTTTCTTAGTCGATTTTTGCTTCAACAGATCTTCCTTTAGCTTATTGGCAAGTCTGTTTTGTCTCTCATCTACGGCTTTCTGAAACTCTTTACCACGCTTAATGGACTTAGCTCTAAGTTTTGGTTTAGAACGAAGTGATTTGGCCATATCTCCTGGGTGCTTGTGCTATTAAATAAAGAAGACCTTGAAGTCGTAGAAGAGAGAGATGAGCTATGTTTGATTGGTACAAACAAGAAAATTTTGTGATGCTTTTAAAAGAAGGATAAACGTCCCGATTGGGAAACTACTGTATTAGGAAAATCGAAGAGAGGTGTACGGATGTTTTGGTTCTTTCTCCATTTCCCTTGGTTGGTACACGCTAAAGGCGTGAGCAAAGGCAGCTCCCACTGATCTGGTAGGCTGGCCTACGCCGGAGTGGGAGGGGGAGGGAAGATCCAGCACTATGGAGCAGGGCCTCCGATGAAAGGACTGACTGAACTTGAATTTCTTCAATTTGCCACCAATAAGCTATATCGAATGCTCTGTTTTCTGTGAAAGAGCTTGCGTTTGTTAACAATTCTCTGCAAAATTCCCTTCTATGTACGTTTCTTTTTCTTTTAGTTTGATTGCCAGATGGTGTTCAGTTCACGGAACTTGTCAAGGTCCCAGCTCCACTACACGCATGCGCGCGTTCGCCTTTTCCTACTCTTTTTTCACTTTCTATATATAATTTTTGTGTGTGAATTTCCGGTAATTAACAATGCACAGCAGTTGGAGCGTGTGCTAATCGTGTTAACTGGGCTTCAGTTAACTGTGCGTACATGCGAAAGGGAGAAAGAAGGTTGAACTTCAAGTCTGTGTAGTTCGCATAACGAGACGGAATCCAAGCGTTCCACAACGGACACAAGGTGCGAAACGAGGGGTGTAACGGGAATTATTCCTTCTTCTCTCTCTTCACCTTTCAAGTCCTTACTCTTAGAAACTAGATCAATTGTAAAGGAAAAATACGGAGCTCCCCACTGGTAGTGAAACCCCGATACATTCCTACCACACAGACATACACACATAGGCACCCATTTCCCTTACTCAACTGCATACAGTTCCCCCAACAGAAGAGGCACAGAACTACAACCAACGCTGCTAATCACAGTCATTCCCGCTGTAGAGCTGAAACTGAAAGGGCCTAACTTCCGGTAGATACACGCACAGAGACACAAGCACGTTCGCAGACAACACGGACAGAGAGGCACAGGCACTTACACACAAGAGCCAGAGAGAGGGAGAATTTGCGTGGTTAAGCCCAGAGGGAGTTAGACAATTTAGACGGAACCCCCCAAGAGCTGCTGATCAAACTTCTCTTCAAAACTACGCACACGCGCACACACACCACCACCACTACAAATCACCATAAGATTGGACAAAAAATTCTGTTCTTATATACAAAGGAAACACACAGTGAGAAGAGTCTACACAGATGAGTACACAGAGACTACTGCCGTATAGTTCCGGTAGTCCTTCTCAAGCTGCCTATTCCATAAGGCTTTCCCATGATTTCCAATCGCTATTGTCCCGTAATGAGGGGAGGATCAGGCTCATTGTTTCAAAGGGAGAGGTATCGCTAAAAGTTGACGGGGTAGTTTACAAGATGGAATCATCGTCTTCACCCCCGCTAGACATCTACCAGCAGTTGACAAAGACGTCGCTCAAGAATATCGGCGTGGTTTCCCAGAGGTTGGAGCCAACTTCCCCAATATCTTCACCGCTGAATAACCCACAACAGGAGACCGTTGTGACCGGTCATAAATCCAAGAACAGATCGCCAACATATACGCATGAGAGGTCGAATTCGAACTCAAGCGTAACAAATTCACACATCACTACTGCTCCAAAGCTGTCGCCTGCCTCGAGGAAATTGGTTCAATGGCTTGCGCTCGGTCCCCTGAGCAAGAGGGACATTGTGCAGGCGACGAAGCTTTCCACACAGGAGGTTGAATCTGCATTGAAGCCGGTTGCCATGCTATACGAAGGCAACGAGAGACAGGTGATAACGACTTATCCTCATTTCAAGGAGAGTTCTTCGAAGGAGCCACTCTTTGTTTTGAACTACTCTGCATATAAGGAGATCAAGCTAATTGGATACAAGTACACAGATAGTGAACTGGATGTGATTAGAAAGAACTGCCAGTTGGCTTATGACTACTTGAAATACCCTGAAACCCATCCTGCAAGGGAATACCTTGCGAGATCGTGGAAAGAGCAACCACACACTCCAGAATCCCCCGAATCGTCCTCGTCATCTTCTGCATCTGTTAAATCACAATCGTCAAAGTCTTCAACTTCAGCGAAGGTGAGTAAGGCTACTACACCTATATCTTCAAAGTCCACTACAAGGCAACCTTCAAACACTACAAGCACAGCGAGTGCGACAACGTCGAAGGATATGACGAAGCCTAGAACCACACCTTTGTCACTTGAGAAGAAGCGCAAGAGAGAAGATTCAAACGATGAGGTTTACTACTTGGATTTGGCACGTAGATTCCAAGAGAAGTACAAAGAATATGAAGAATTGTACAAGAAGATACAATCTTCAAAAGGGAAGAACGCTGAAGGTTTGAAACGGCTATATGATCTTCACAAGAGTTTAGAATCTTGGAAGAAACAACTATGGAACAGCGTTTCATGAGTTGTTTTCAACTTCTACTATTGTTCTTCTCTCTTTTTAATTACACATACAATGCATTTTCTTCTTCCAACATAATTACTGTGCTTTTATTAGGTTAATTTGTTTGCTACCTGATGCTTTGAACGAAGTAACAATGTTATATTCTGTGGCCTGGCACTAGACCAAACAGCACACTAAACGCAGCACTTATGACACAAGCCAAGAACAGCACCCATAGAGATCTCTTTTGTAACAACTTGACAACGAATGGCTCTTTTAAGTTTCTCAAGAAATGTCTTCTCTTGACCGTTTTAACCCTTCTTAGCTCTGGGTTATCGCTATAACGTAGGAAAACCATCAATGGATCCAATTTATAGAGGAAAGTGAGTATAAGATACGTACCTAGGAAAAATGGTACGAGAATCACTGCTCTTATAGCCTTTGGCTGAACATTGACAAATATCAGTGTGTAGGAGATCCAAAATGCAGCAAAGAAACTGAAGAGCCCAAGAATTAGTCTATAGAGACACGATCTATAGTTCAAATTGTGCAGACAATTCTTTTGAAGGAAGTACGTAAATGAGTCACGTTCCATCGCAGAATAGATATAGTTCTTTGCGTCTTCAAACACATCAGGATCATCACGTCCCTGTAATTCAACATCATGTTTGATTTTTCTCACGATTCTATCTGGGATGATCAATTTCTTTGATGAGTTTTCCTGGAAATATGTGTTTACAATGTTCTTTGAGGATGACTTTAGCGTTGCACGTGTAATGTTCCCACTTTTAACATTTGCAACGTACTTTTCCAATTGTTCAGGTAGTACTCTCAAAGAGCCTCGTTTACTTGTGGCAATACCATCGTTGGAACCAACAAGGCTTGTACGCTGTGAAGCATCCCCTGCGAATGCCTTCTGTGGGGACGACAGAGGCTCATAATTGTCCTTTTGAGGAGGTTGGTCCGACTCGGGAACATGCTCGTTATCATCTCCAGTTGCACCATAAGCACCAAAGATTTCACTTATTCTTGGGTCAGAATTGCGTATGAATTCATGGCCCTGAAGGAAATTGGAGACCCGTCTGTTATCAGTATCATCCAGTAGCCCTTCGTTCAGCAATGCATCCAGCAACAAGCTTGACGTGACAGACTTCCTATTCTCCTCAGCGTTATTATCAGTATCACTCGAAGTGTTTTTGTTCTTTTCACTCGAGCTTGATTTGTGCTTTTCACTAATGATCAGGCTTTCTCGAAGCCCTCTAACGTAGTCCTTACACAGCCTGAGATGTGTGATGGCATCAATCCAAAAGTCCAGGTAGTCCACCGCGTTCTGATAGTCTCTCATATAGACGTAAAAGCTCCACAGATCAACAGGCGAATCAGTCTGCCTGTTAAATACCTCGTACAATGTTGGCAGTCTGTTCAACCTCGAGTCCACAACAGGTGATCTTGCGCCATCATTGAGCACCAACTGGTCGAGCGAATGCTGAGACCCTGATTCATTAACGAGCATATCGTCAAGCTCCGTGGTTGGTAGTGCTGAGTGTGTGATGCTGTCGGACATTTTTCCTTTCCAATTGTCCCACTTTTCGTCCTATATATGAAATATTATCGAATTGAGACCCTAACAACTGCAACGAGAACCCAAAGCGTATGGCATGTACAAAGGGCTAATTCCCGGTTGATATAGCGAGGAAAGAATATCAAAAACACCACAGAGTCTCAAAAGAGAAATGTGTCTTATACATAGACAAAATTCTTCCTGCTGGAGAGATGAGAGAAATTTCTGAGACAACGCGTGTCCGTTTGTTTACTTTTCGATGGGTAGATTACCAAATGTAGTCATTACCCATTTGGGATATTTCCAGAGACTTTCCACCCGTTCGATGCTTCAGAGGTTGAGGCGTCGTTGTTTCACAATTGGTAGGAAACACGCAGTGCGCCCACAAGGTTTCACACATCTGTGTGGGCATCCGAGACCACGCTGTCACCATAAACATGAACAAGGTGTATATATACAAACAGACATCCCTCTCAATACCCGAACATCCACCGTTAACCGTTTCGACCGTGCATGTAACATTAAGCGGGTGCTTTGTCCCCCGGAACTCTGTGCCAACGCGTTAACGTCGCACACGATACTCCGTTACGGCCACGATGGGACCGGGTCTCCTCCCGGCATTCAATATATAGTCCGAGCTGTTCATATCTCAGCAAGTATAGTTGCGGTCTGATCATCCCCAATTGGAGAACTCATTCAAGCCAGTCAACAAATGTAATGATACCAAGGACCCAGAGCTACAATACACAGCGCAACATATGACATCAACCGACGTATTCGGGTCACCAGACCTCCACGGTTTGCACCACAGAGATGGTTTGCGCAGCACGCCATCTCCCAAAATGGCAAAACAACCAAATCGGGACATTTGTGTGCCTCAAAACCGGTTGCCCCCCAAAAAAAATCAAAACCAAAAAAATAGGAGAAAGCAAAAAATGGGCGATGAGCGAGCGCAGTATAAAAAAAACATACACAAAGAAACACAGAAAAAAACGTAAACAACCAAAGATCTTCAACTTCTTCCTCCCCCTTGCTTTCGCTTCATAACACATCAAGAGAAAGGGATTCGCAGTATTAGACACACACACACCAACACAATGCTTAAGTGGGTTCAAGGAGGTATTTCAGCTGTTACGGGTATTGCCGAGCCCGAGTATGGGCCAGAGTTTATCCATCCTATCACAGCAACTGTGGAGGGTAAACAACCGTTCGAGGAGGCGACCAGGGACGACTTCAAGTGGTTATCTCCTAGCTCCACCAATGTTGAGACACAGACTTTCTACTTTGACGATCTGGAGAAGGGGTGGTTGGGTTTTGCGCAGGTTATCCATTCCAATGTAGTTGGTATCCACACCACTGCGCAGTTCACCTTTAAGATCTATGATACCAATACTGGGAAGCAGATCTGGACGTCCACGAAGCTAGAAGATTTCATAATCAAGGGCAACAACTTCTACGCTAAAGACTTACAGATCGAGCTTGCGGAGGATAAAGATGAGTACCATGTGATCTCTAATGTTACAGAGGAGTCCAAGGTTGATTTGGTGTTTACCAAATTGGCCCCTGCTGCAAAGATTGGTAAAGACGGAACCACTATCTATGGAGATAATGTTGAGGAGCCTTGGGGAACAATGAGACACGTTTTCTGGCCAAGAAATGCCGTTAAGGGTAAGATCACCTCGAAGGACCCAGAGACGGGCGATTTTAAGGAGTTTGACATTGATGGATTGTCGATGTTTGTCATGGCAATGCAAGGTATGAAGCCTCATCATGCTGCTGCCACCTGGAACTTCCTCAACTTCCACTCAAAGAGCTTGAGTGCTGTGTTGATGGAATTCACAACGCCAAAATCCTACGCATCGACAAAGGTGAGCATTGCATTTGTTGCAGATGACAAGGATATCATCAGTGCCTCGATTCATAACGATGTTGAGCATCTTAAGGTGGAAACTGACGAGGTCGGATGGCCACAACCAGGTGCGATCTCATTTGACATCCATGGTATCGATCCACATGCCACAGACGAAGAAGTTTCAAAGGGTGAAAAGACCAAAGATGTTAAAGTTTATGGTGACTTGACTCTCATCGAAAGAGTTGACGTTATGCATGAGATTCCAACCTTTGTGAAGAACATTGTCAGTGGTGTTGCTGGAACCAAGCCTTACATCTACCAATTTTGGAACAAGATGACCATTGAAGCTGGTGATATCAAGGAAACCTCTTTAGGTTACGTCGAGACTACTTTTATCACTGAGGCTTGAAGAAAGAAAAACTCCTAACCCTTTTTCCATCTTCTCCTCAATGGATCGATCATAGGTACATGCCATCATGTTATGTATAACCTTTCACCACTGCTGCATCTTGAAACGAATTTATGACCTTTTCCATGATTGAGTTCAAAAACCATTTTTGACGGCGTTCTATCCAATTTACCAACTATCTGACCCTCATTTGACTAAGTACTTCTTCTTTTTACTATCTCTGTTCATCTCTGTTGTCATTCACATCTTATTGCTGTTGCTGCTTTCGAAACAAAGTACCAACTGTGCGTTTCCAAAGGTGTGTGTTTCCAAACATATTTGAAGATTCAATCCCTCTAGTACACTAACTCTAAGAGACACACACACTCGAATCGAGCACATCCTAATCAGTTAAATCTAATCTATAATATAATGAATTTTTACAGTTTTGTTTTATAATTTGTTCTATTCTTTTCGTTGCGTTTCACACATGTCCTCTAAGGTTTCCTAAACCAACTGTGTTAGCAGTTTATAGCATGCAAATTCAAATCTGTACAGCAACTGCTTCCACTTGGCTTGACTTTTCAAGTTCAAATCAACATCAGTTTCTATTGCAGGCAATCCCAAGTTCTTCTTGTACTTGATCAACTTCTTATAGAAGCTAACGAGGACTAAATTGAAGTAGAACCTGGATACAATGACCGTCGCTGTCACAAGTATGATCCATCCATATTCATAAGCCTGTGAAGCACTCTTCGAGTAATCCTGGCCTGGCACTTTTTCGATCTTCACGTCTTCATTAACAAACCATTCAAATGCAAACCAGAAGATGAAGAATAAACTGACAAGCGTATCAATTGAATAGATAACCACCACAGCTGCAAACTGGCGAACTTTCGGGTCGAGAATAGTCCAGAGACCGACACCGTAAAACACAACACACAGTATGGACGAGATATAGAAGATCCATTGCATGAATTCCAAAGGGTGGCCCGTGAATAGGGAAAGGATACCATATACACCTGAGAGTTTGTTGATGATACCAACACCCAGGATCAGTTCAACACCGATATACAGAGGAAGGAAGTTCAAGAATCGCTAAGCGAAGGAGCTTTTCGTCAGTAATTCATATCATATACGGATAAAGGGGGAGTAGTATACCAACCTCTGGGAGTTGAGTATCTTGTAGCAATGCCATTTCTGAAAGAGAGCAGCACAGATGGCTCAAGGTATACAACAGAGAACCAGGGGAAGAGAGAAGGATTGGTATTAATTTTGACGGGACATATTGCTCTCAGGTACTGGTGATGGGACAAATCCGCGCTTATTCCTCAATTTGGGCAGTTATGTCTTGTCTCGGAAAATTTTCTGATGCGATGAGCTTCTTTTCTAGTTACCCGAGACATTTGTCTATATACTGGTCGAGACATAATTGAATTGGTATTAGAATGAGTGACCTTGACATCAAAGAAGACCTGGAAGACCTGGACTTGAGCGATGACTCGGACTACACGAGCTTTGACGAAGACGATGTTGAAGAAGGGGGAAGTGGAGGCGCACAGGCCACTGGTAATAACGTCACGCATAACCAGATAAAGGATAAACAACAGATTCTAAGCAGATTCTCCGATAAGATCAAGACAGATGAGCTGAACTTCAAACAGAAACAGCTGTCGAAGGACAAATCTGACCGAGCTACCGTGGAGAACGTGCTGGACCCAAGAACCATAAGGTTTATCTGCTCGTTGATGAAGAAAGGGACGATTACAAAGATCAACGGTTGTTTGAGCACAGGTAAGGAGGCCAACGTGTACCACGCAGAGGATGAGGTCAATGGCAAAGAGTATGCTGTGAAGGTTTACAAGACCTCCATTTTGGTTTTCAAAGATAGAGAGAGGTATGTCGATGGTGAGTTCAGATTCAGAAACTCCAGATCTCAACATAACCCCAGAAAGATGATTAAAGTATGGGCCGAGAAAGAGTTCAGAAACTTGAAAAGATTGCACAACTCTGGATTGAACGCACCAGAACCTATTGCATTGAAGAGCCATGTTCTAGTAATGGAGTTCCTCACAAGAGGTGATGGGTTCCCTTCTCCAAAGCTCAGAGACCACCCATTCCAAGATTTAGATGAAGTCACACATTATTATCATGAGATGGTGTATGCGATAAGGTATATGTTCCAAAAGTGTCGCCTCGTCCATGCTGATTTGTCAGAGTACAACTCAATTGTTCACCAAGGTGAACTGTATATCTTTGATGTTTCACAGAGTGTTGAACCAGAGCATCCCATGAGTTTGGATTTCCTCAGAATGGATGTCAAGAATATAAACGACTTCTTTATGAGACAAGGAATTGACGTTATACCGGAAAGACTTATCTTCAAATTTGTTATTTCAGATTCAAAATTGTTGGGTTTTGAAACAGACTCGAAGGAAGAGTGGCTTGAATATATACAAAAGATGCCATTAAAATCTAACGATCCTCGGGAGATTGAAAATGATGAAATATTCAGATCTTTACATTTGGTTAGATCTCTGAACCATCTGGAAGAGAGGGACTTCCAAAAATTTACGGAAGGTAAGATTGATACCATGAAGCAACTTGTTAGTGGTGGAAACAATTCTGCTGCTCGCGAAGAGGATGAGGACGAAGAAGGCGAGGTTGATGAAGATGAATCCGAGGAATCTGATAGTGACTATGACTCTGATGAGAGTGAGTACGATTCTGAAGATGAAGAAGGAGTTGTCAAGGAGAAGAGAAAGAAGGAAAAGCCATTGGTTGGTAAAAAACACGAGGATAAAGAAGACAAGAAACTGAGAAAACAACAAGCTAAAGAGGATGCTCGGGAAAGAAGAAAGACCAAAGTTAAGAAACACGTAAAGAAGAAACTACTCAAGAAACGTAAAGGTAAATAGATAATTCGTTATGTAATCGTATAATTTAAAGAAAGAAACACAGAACAATGTCTCAAACTGAACCACCGCTTTGATGTTGGCCAATCAAACCAGCCATCTCGAGGATAGCACGATCTTCACCCATACTTTTCAAATTAATCTGCTGTCTTCTCTTCGCCTCCTGTTGCTCCCACTCCCAACGCTTGTTTTGATCCTCCAGCTCCTTTTCACCACCGATTCCCCAAACTTCCACGTCCTGGATGAGGAACCGGTCTTCCCACTCTTCTTGAATCTCCTCTGAATTCACAGACTTAAATTCACCACCTAGTCCTAAGTGTCTAAAGACAGCAAATTCCATAGTTGAATCTAACGTTAGGGAAACGTTTCCTGGGTTATAACGGAGAAAGTTGTTCTTTACCGTTGGTTCCTCTGATCCAAATCCTATGCCTCCTCCTAAGGTATTGAAGTATGCAAAATGCTTTGCAGATAATGAAGCCTGGTATATTCTCTGAATTGGAGCCATTTGAAATATCATAGTCTTGTTGTTACCAAATGTTTCCTTGTTAGAGATTCTCCATGGCTGATCCAAATACACACCATAGATAAGTTCATCGTCTTCATGTACATACTCAGCAGTCGGCCCTTTGTAGCTAGGGAAGCTTTCTTCAAATTTCTTATAACGAGGGTTCAAGTTCTGTTTGGATATTCTCTTACCTCTAATCAACAATAACGTTGGTGCGTTCCATTTGAAAGCCTTTGATTCAAATGAGCGCATACTGAAGCCAGAGTCTGCACCTACGTACAACTTTCGAATGTTCGAGTACACCAGCTCACGTCTCAAATAAGTAGAAAGCTGTGCAAGGGAATACTCGTTGACCAGTCTTGAAGTGGTATGGATTTGTTGCTGTTCCTCTGACCTATCCTGGAATAGCAACTGTTCTAGGAGACACTTCAACGGCGCAAACAGATTTGGAACCACTGAGTTCACCGCTGTTGAGAATTGTTTGAAAGAAATTTTGAAGTCCTTCAGCCTGGACAAAGTGATTTCATGATTCATAGCTCTCAATATACTTATAGCACTCTTCTTCTTGTACTCTTCAAAGTGGGTGAAACTGTCACGGTATGCCCTCAATGACTGCGTTGGCTCTAGCCTTGAAATTACAAGGAGGAATGTGATGATATCGAGGACATCACTGGCTTCAATGTACATCGTATCAACGTCCAGATTATCAAATTGTTTTACAATTTGCAATTCAGACCATGCAACAACACCAGGTGCCTTGAACACCACGGTTTGAGATTCAGTTGAAGACGACGACGTGGAAGCTGTTATCTTCCGAGCACTTGTGGCATACGCCAACGAGATAAATATAAACTTCAAATACTCAAAGTCTTTGAAAAGCTTTGAATACCTCTCTCTATTCAACAGTGTCAGCGCCTTTATCAGCCCATGGAAGTTGATACCTTCAGTATCCATGGTCAGCAACGGGAACCGACAAATCACCTTCAAACACTCAAACAGCAAAAACGACACGTGTGGAAGGTCCTCCGGGAACCCAATCATATCGTTCAGCTCATGCTGAGTGATCAATTGGTTCTGGTCCTTGTCATACGCCTCCATGTTCTTCTTAATCTGTAGTAGCTCAATTGGCTGGAACTGTTTGGCACATGCCTTGGAGAACAGAGCACTCAGCTCCTTATTACTGACCGTAGATGTTGTTGGCTGTGTACTGGTAGCTTGTCCCATGCTTTCAACGCTTAAAACACCCTTCGCTTGCTATTCTATCAACTTCTCCATGTAGGAATGTTGGTATTCATTAATACCCGCTTGCTTAAAACCGCTGCCCGGGAGACGCATGTCGGTATGCGCACGACTCATCGCTCGCTCGGAAAATTTTATAGAGGCACCAGTTGCCTCGGGTACTAACTAACAAAAAAACTTCTTCATGAACATTGGTGTTCTCTTGAAGTTGTAATTCAGGTTGTACAGGAAAGCAGTTGAAGATGGCTGGTAAAAGCATTACGAAGGATGAGCGTTTTGCGAACGTTCACAATGATCCCCGTTTCAAGATGCCAAAGCGTAGGGATTTCAAGGTGGAGGTTGATAGTAGATTCCAGAAGTCTGATTTGGAGGCATACAAGAAGAAGGCACACGTTGATAAGTATGGACGGAGGGTGAAGAGAGACGAGAAGAGTGATTTTGACAAGTACTATAAGAAGAAGGATGAGGGTGAAAGTGAGGGCGAGGGTGAGAGTGGAAGTGAGAGTGGAAGTGAGAGTGGAAGTGAGAGTGAAGACCAGGAGGAAGAGGAAGAGAAAGTGAAAGAAGATGCGGAGGAGGACGAGGAAGAAGATACAGCTGTCGCAAAGTTGGACCGTGCCCGTGGTGAAGGTGCTGAAATATCAAGTTCAAGCGACGAAGAATCCAGTTCTGATGAGGAATCCTCCGAAGATGAAGACGACTCTGAAATCGAACTAGAGGATTCCAAACCAGAAACTGGGGATCCTTCAGCAAGATTTGCTGTTGTCAATATGGATTGGGACCATATCAAATCCGTTGATCTCTTTGCAACGTTCCAGAGTTTCGTTCCATCGGATGGCTTCATTAAAACAGTTGCCATATATCCTAGTGAATTTGGTAAAGAACGTTTGCAAAAGGAAGAGATTGAAGGACCACCAAGGGATATCTTCACTTCAAAGAAGAAGAATCGTAAATCCAAAGCAAATGGCGATTCGGATTCAGATTCAGATTCCGAACTTGAGGCCAAAGACCTTTACGAAGAAGGTGATGCAGATGAAGATTACGATTCAAAGAGTCTTCGCCGTTATCAATTACAAAGATTGAGATATTACTACGCAGTAGTTGAATGTGATTCCATCAAAACGGCGAAGAACATATATCAAAATGTTGATGGTACAGAATACGAATCAACAGCAAACTTTTTCGATCTGAGATACATCCCAGATGACATGACATTTGAAGATAAACCTCGTGATTCATGTGATAAAATTCCAGCTCAATATAAACCTGAAACGTTTGTCACTGATGCTTTGCAACATTCGAAGGTCAAGCTTACTTGGGATGAAACTCCAGCTGAAAGAGTCAAACTCAGCTCAAAGTCCTTTAGTCAACGTGAGCTGGATGATATGGATTTCAAGGCTTATTTGGCATCTGATAACAGCGACGAAGAAGATCAAGAAGAGCTGAAGAATAAGTATAAACTACTTGCAGGGTCCAGTGCTAAGATTGGATCAAGGGATCTGTTCAATCCAGCACAGGATGATGACAGTGATGGTGATGTTGATCAAGTCATTACATTCACTCCTGATGATGCCCTTGGAGCAGATCAAGCAAAGAACTCTGAAGAAGAGTCCACCATTGATAAACTTAAACGTAAGGCAAAGGAGCGTCGTAAAGCTAGAAAAGACAGAATCAAAGAACTAAAGGCACAGGAGTTGGATGAGAAAAAGCAATTGAAACAGGAAAAGAAGTCTAAAGGTAAGAAGCATCACGATGACGATTCAAAGAGTAAGGCTGATTTAGAGCTGTTAATGATGGATGAGAAAGATGATGATGATAAGAAATCCAACGCTCACCATTTCAACATGAAAGAGCTGGTCAGATCTGAAAAGGAAAAGGGTAAGAAGAACAAACACAAAAACCAAAAGAAGATTGTTGAAGATAACTTTGAAGCTGACTTGAACGACCCAAGATTCAAGGAGATCTTTACATCTCACGATTTTGCCATTGATCCATCCCAACCGCAATTCCAAAAGACCGCTACAATGAAGAAAATCCTCGAGGAGAGAAACAAACGTCGTGACGCTGGTGAATTGGCTGAGAATCCAAAGAAGAACCTCAATTCTAAGAAGAGAAAGTTGGAGGACACAAACGATGTGAAATCGTTAGCGCAGAAGCTCAAGAAGAAGGCCAAAGGTAAGAAGATGCAATAAAATCCTTTCTGTGCGTTATTGGCATAGACTTGCTTTACATAATTAACCCTCGGTAGGATCAATAAATTGTTAAATTCATTATTATCATTATTAAACGATTTTCCGCTTGATAAAGAACCTCTTTAAGTGACCGAGCTGCCAAACACAAGTTAAGCCAAGCACGCCGAGCTGAACCAGAGACCACTTAATCACAGACCAGTTGACCAATTCACTCTCGTCTCTAAATTGCTCTTCTCTATCCATGATTAAATGCTGCTCTTTCTTTATATCTTGAAGCTTGTTGTTCAACTCCTTGACCTGGTTTGTCAATAGTGATACAGTGTCACGTTTGTGAGAATCGATCACCTCGCTCCCAACTTGCACAACGTCAAAGGTTATACGGATGTCCACTCTATGATCTAAATGCGATGGGGTAATGCATACCCTGTGCTCTCCACTATCAAGTGCAGAGAAGGTGAACTTCCCATGTGGAGAGCTTCTCTGACTGACAACCCTGTGATTATTGTCGAAGGTTTCCTTGGATGAGAGAGATACCGTTAGTATAACACTCGTGTCTAAAATCACATCAACGTGGAAATAAGATTTGAACTCACTTCAACCGTGAACTCTAAGTTCAAGTTCGGGTCAAACTCGTACGTCTCCGCTTGGGGCTTCTTCACCACCGCGTGGTACTGTGCGACAACCAAAGAGCCCTGTGGCAATTCCTCGTAGAAGCAGTGGCTCCTTTGGTTGCTCGAGTAGAAGTGGAGTGCGTGTGCTAAGAGGGGCCACAGTAATAACCCCATGACAAACTCCAGCTGGACTTTCATTTTACAGCCGTCTTCTAACTTTGATCAGAGAACCTCCCTCAGTATGTATCTCTTCGTCTGGGAACCTCTTTACGCCTCTCCTCTTCCGCTATCTTCTTCCTCTTCGTCCTGCCAAAGGGGAAGAAATTTTCTGCGTTGTCCCAATTTTTCGTTGTGTGTCTTTTATGCAAAATGCACACAAAAGCACAGCTACAATGGGCAAGGAGAGAGGTTAAATGTGTACCCGGACCCTCCCTTGCGCGAACAACGGAGCAGGATTTACCCGCACAATGCCCATTAACATTTTTTAGGCTGTGCGCGCGTCCCCTGGATGCTGGCGGGTGCCTCCGGGAAGGGAGCTTCAGCAATGGAAGACTGGTTCCTGGAGATCAGGTTGCGGTTTGCTTAGATGTGCTACAACGCCTAGAGCACACAACATGGGGGTATAGAGGATTAACGTTAAACAAAGACAATATCGAGTGGCTGGTGGGCCTCACTAAGGACAGAAGTCACCAAGGACATCGGCGAAAAAGAGAATACGCGGGGGGTTGCGGTTATTTTTCTGTTTGAGTAGGCGGGCGTGTGTCCTTGCAGTTACGCTTAGAACAACAAGAAGGCACCTGCAATGGCAGCGCCTGCAGCAGCGCCAACCTTGGTAGCAGCACCTTCAAAAGTTGATACATCATGGATGGTGGAGTCTTGGGCAGTGGATTCTTGGGCAGCAGTGGTCTTGTCAGGTGTTTGAACGGTCGTTTCCCCTGATCTAGTTTGGTCCATTGCAGTGGTCTTTTCTCCGGCCGTCTCTGTAGCAGGTTGCTCTGTAGTGGTTGTCTCCTCTTCAGGCTGGTGTTCATCGGTGGTTTGTTTTGGAGTCTCGGTGGTGTCAGCTGCAGTGGTTGTAGGCTTATCAGCGGTGGTTGTAGGCTCCTCAGCAGTGGTTTTAGCATCATCAGTCTTCTCTGGACAGTTCCCCAAGTACGAGCAGCCCTCAATGTTATAATCCGGTGTGTACGCATCGGTCAAGGTGGTTGAGCATCTCAAGGTACCTGTTGGCTCAGTCGACAAACCAGGACAAGCTGCCAAAGCATCTTCAACGTAGACACCGTAGTACTTCCACAAGGTCCAACCGCACTCCATGCAAGGGGCATAATGAGACATGAACGCAGAGCCCTCTGAACACAGACACGAAGTATCATATGGGCCCTTATAAGTGTTTTCTGAGTTACCAGAACAGCTTTGAGCTTCAATGATCAACAGTCCACAGGCTGCGTGACATGCAATTGAAGCACAATCGTCGGCAGAGGCAGCCAAAGCAAAGGCATCTGGATCAGCATGACCAATGGCTTCAGCTTCAGCATAGGCATCTGCGTACGCTTTTGCAGCAGCAGCAGCTTGTGAGTTCGCATTGGCCCATGGCAGGGCATCTGCTGATGGAGCAGCTAAAGCGATGGCAGCAAGAGCAAGAGTAGAGGCAACGATCTGGTACTTCATTGTAGATATTTTAATAGCGAGTGTATGTCGAGTTTTTTGTAGAGCTAATCGTCAACCAGACAGTTCAGAATGGGGGTTCAGCGAGTCTTTTTATAATGATGAGAAAGAATAGTCGTCTCGCACTTGGACTGAATATCAGCTACTTAAGCCCTGGTACATAAGCAGAAGTGTAAACATAAACAAGACATGGCTCCACATGATGCTCGTTACTTGCGTAGCATCGTAGTTGAAAGGTGGTGGTGATTCGGGAACTTCACTGTTTAATCCTAATTTGGACGGATTGCTCCCTTCCCATGTCCTATTCAAGAACTACAGTTATACATTTACGACACCAATGCGTACATATAGATACAAACGACGATCTCATTACGCAAGTTGTATTAAACGTAGCGGACATACCGCACTTTCGTAATGGTAATAGAGATCCTGCTTATCTAAAAGATCACTACACAACTTCATTCAAGAGTTTGACATGTTGTGTATCTCGTCAAGAGATTCGAATAGATTGTACGTATCATGTCTCAGCATTCTTGGTTGTAAGCTCTATCGATTGATTCAAATTCTTGTGTACTTGTCTCCTTGCTTAGATTTAATCACGGAGCTGAACTGAATCATGGCATTACACCCCATTTTACTCAGGAGTTATTTCTGAACCGAGCTTGGGGTCTTTCCAATGAGCAGAAAGAGCCCATTGTACATAAACTCAAAGCTTTCGAAGCACCCCTTTTTCCCTTAAACAGAGTTTGCTACAATGTGCTTCAACCTATGCATCATGTGCAAACATAGAACACGTACGGGACGGGACACCTTTCGAATGACCATTTCATACCTTCAGCTTACACAGCATTCTTACCTAAAATGGAATTCATCATAGCAATTCAAGTATCTTCTCCGTGTAGTGCCGGTAGACGACAGCCTTACCTCTCGTCAAGAGATGAACCAATCGTGTGTCAGATACTGACACAGTCTCACGAGATCATAAGCCAGGTAGATAATTGATCGCGTAGTTCTGGAAATTTGACAGATGGCACCTTTACCAAAAGCGATAGCCGTGATACTAAACCCTGTGACGTGATGTTCAGAGAGAGAATCCAGCACATGTTGAAAATAATACACATGATTCGTTCCCAGCATGGTGTCTCATGTAATTGATACGGCTCTTGATACTTTTTCAAGTACACCTAGGTTTAGGAACTAAGGCTTCCAGGTCAGCATTAGACTTCGGAAACGAATCTAGAAAAGAGAGTTAGGAATAACAAAGCAGTAGCGCAAAAAGTGCATTGATCCTTTGTAACCCCTAAAGTATCCAATTGACACATCTATTCGCTGCTATCGGACAAGTTGAGAGATTCAATATTGGTGTGTTTGATGAGTAACTCCAGGCGTTGTCCTGATGGTATATTTCTAGGTCTCAGTCGATGTTTCAACCACTCATCGTCTAGATCATCTGCACCAATGACAAGTTCGAGTTTGTCCTCTTCACTTTTACAGGCTTCAAACTCTTGTTTAAACTTGAGGAGAACGTTCTTCTCGAGAGCAGCAAACTGGTGAACGATGGATGTGTCAGGGATGGACTCCAAGCTCGAATCCAACTGGGAGATCCTAGTAGTGCTGTATTCAACAAACCAACCCATAAACTTAAGCATTAGGCCATTAATAACATCATCCGGTAAATTTGATACCAACGTTTCGAGGTTGACGTCCTCATTTTCAACGTAGACACAAGAGTATGGTATAACATCGTATCCTTCAATGATGTCATTGGCATCGCTCTCCTCGAGTGCAAGAAGCTCAGCAATGTACTCATCTTTTTGGAACTCACTGTAGTGTTTGACAATTGCTAAAGCAGCTTCTCTAGAATATTGCAAGCCTTCAACAAATCCGAAAACGATGAAATTCTCATCAAGATTCATCTTCACATCTTTGATACTCCCATCGATGTTATACTGAATAACAAATTGAACATTTGGTTGAACCCCTATCCATTTCAGCAAAAGACCTAGATTATGTTCATACTTCTGACCGTCAATCTCAGATCTCACAAAGTATTCATTGAGATACTCTCTATCGATGGCGTGCTCGAATATCGGTTGTACTTTGACCGATCTTGGGATGAAGCCATAAGCCGTGACAAACTTCAGAACGTCTTCATAGTCTGAGTATCTGATGAACAGTTCAATTGATTCGGGAATGTTGTCCTCGCTAGTGAACTTCTCGTTGAACAGCCTCAGGAGGATATCACCATTGGAGGCATCGACATCGAAGAAAGCATTCATCTTATCGTTAGAGTGATTGACAAAGTCAATGACTGGAACAAGCGTGGAAGAAACTGCAAATCCGTATTTCTTTCCATCGCCATCTTCATCATCTTGTTCTATGACGGTAGCATCTGGGTCATTATCAGTATAAACTGTGGTTGGGTTCAGGACCTTCCGATTATTCAGGATATCGTACCTTCCTTTCTCCTCCTCTTCCGGCAAAGCCTCTGGAATCTCCAACAGTCTTGAAACCACCGAAAGCTCAATATGTCTCAGGAATTCATCATCTAAAAACTCCTGGTACTCAACACCGAAAGAATCCAAGGTCTCGTAGATCGAATCAAACCTCAACCTCTCGATTACTCTTCTATATTCACGGACATTGTATTTGAATAGAGAGAGGTATTGTGGGTAGAACTCATCTGTTCTTGGTGCAGTAACGTCTGTCCTCTCCAGTAGCTCGAGATACTCATCGAGCTCACCAAAGGGGGACCCTTGAAGTACTTTGTTCTTTGCATCTTTCTCCACGAGTTTGGCACGCACTCTTTTCAAGATGACCAACATCTGCACTTGGCCAACGAGAATGTTTGTCTCGTTCATACCACCTTTCACGTAGGGATCAACGGTATCGTTGAAGTGAGTCAGGAAGGTTTCCAAGAACTTGGTCATGATCTCAGATTGGTTCAAGGGATCTTGCCCAAATTCACCCAAATCTTGATCAAAAATTTGCTGCTGGATCAGGAGCTCGTCCTTAAACCGATCGAGAGAAAACGACAATCTTTTGGGAATCCTCATTACTTCTAAGCAACCATCAACGTCAATCAAACCATGGTCCTCCCTGAACTTTCTCCAGGAAAAGAATACACCAGCACCTCCTAGTTCTGATTGATCAATGGTGATATACGGCGAGAGCTCGGCTCCCTCTGAAACAACCCATTTGATGAATTGATCACGGAAATCACCTGTAACACCCATCTCTGTAAATTTGACCCACTAATGGCCCAGAAGTCCTCGTGATCTGTGCTCCTTGACAGCCGAGAAGTTGATGTAATTCCTCATGAGAAATGGGCCCTGCGCTGTCTGGGTATGAGTATGCTGCCCGTACCACACCTTTTTACGGAACATCCCGATATTGTGACTCCTAATTTGGTTGTTCCGATTTGCGGTAAACGAAGCTCATCACGAAAACAGGAAAATTGGTGAGTGCTCGGGTCATCCGATACGCCTTCAGTGTTTAGCGGCCAGTGCCTGAGAACTGGATAAACAAACAAGCTAAATCGAATCCTGAGACCGAAGAAATGAGACAGGGAAACACACAACCAGCGGATGAAGTTAAGGGCCTGACACATGAAGAGTATCACAGGTACGGCCGTCAGATGATTGTTCCTGAGGTTGGATTTGATGGCCAGTTACGTCTCAAGCAGGCTCGAGTCCTTGTTGTTGGAGCTGGAGGGCTGGGATGTCCTGCTCTGATGTACTTGGCTGGAGCTGGAGTAGGGGAGATTGGAATCGTAGATGGAGATACAGTCGACGTATCTAATCTTCACAGACAGGTGATGCACACGAGCGATCTGGTGGGCGAGTACAAGGTGGAAAGTGCCAGACAGTTCATCGAAAGACTGAACCCGAATGTCATTGTCAAGACCTATCCTGTGAGATTGTCGCCAGCCAATGCGTTTTCCATCTTCCAAAACTATGATCTCGTGTTGGACTGTACTGATTCTCCCTTCTCGAGATATCTCATATCGGATGTTGCTGTGCTCTCGAAGCTCACAGTTGTGTCTGGCTCGGGGTTGAAGACAGAAGGACAGCTCTCGATTCTCAACTTCAACAACACTGGTCCATGCTATAGATGCTTTTATCCTTCCCCTCCCCCTCCAAACAGTGTCACCAGTTGTAAAGATGGCGGTGTTCTGGGACCCGTTATCGGCATGATGGGTGTAATGATGGCACTGGAGACAATAAAGGTCCTAACAGGGTTCTGGAACGATGATAATTTCCAACCGTTTTTATCGATCTATTCTGGATACGATAAACAAACGTTGAAAACATTCAAGATGAGAGGTAGAAAACCACAATGTTTGTGTTGCGGTGGCTCTATTACTAAAGATATGATCGTGAATGGTGAGATTGACTATGCCGAGTTCTGTGGTGTCGTTGATTACAACGTGTTGAGCCCAGAAGAAAGAATATCAGTGGAGCAGTATAAGGAACTGTTAGATACAGAACATATACTCATAGACGTCAGACCTGTGGAACATTACAACGTGGTGAGCCTGCCAAACTCCATCAACATTCCATTGGACACCTTACAGAGAATTAAAACCAAGGACGACCTCAACTTTGACACTACAAAGCCGGTATACACTATATGCCGATACGGAAATGATTCTCAGTATGCGTCAAAACTGCTCAACGATAACTTTGGCTTGAAGACCAAAGATATAATCGGTGGTCTTCATCAATGGTCTGAGAAAGTCGATCCTACACTTCCAACGTACTGAAATAGGATACAATTGGTGACTAAACCTTGCGTAGTATCAAGAATCCGGACGTAGTACCTGCAACAAACCAATTGCCCAAGTTTCTGTTGTTGTTCCACTTAACGCTAGATATACTGACCGAAGGTGGATAGATATCTGGTGTGGACTTGGACTCACTATGAACATCTTCAGCCTCCAGGGTCTGAACAAGTCTGTATAGATCTTCATTAGCTCCATATTGAAGTTGGAATAATGTTAAAGAACGATGGGAACCCGTCGGTGCTTTGCTAGAATTGAGCAGTTTTCTTGCCATGTTACATATCTTCACTTTTCCGTCTGCCCCGCCAGTAAGTAACATTGGATGTATCTCGGAACATGATAACGACTCTGTAGAGCCATCGTGTTGCATCGTGGGTAGGGGGCTGAAAGTTCTCTCTGGTATGATTTTAACATCGCCTGGGTTATCGGTTTGAACAAAGGCATGTAGTTGTGGACAGTATTCTGCTTTCATAGCCAATGACTTGGACTTCGGTGTTTTTATGATGGTGGATCGTAAATCATCCAATGAGCCCAATGCAGTGGTGCAATCGCTCGATGCCGAGAAGAAAATTGGTTCATCGTACTTCGGTATATTCACACGAAGGCAAAAGATATAATCACTGTGCACTGGGTACACATACGAAGGGTCAGATTCGTTGACTATGAATTCTGAAATATGGCCTGTATTAGTCCCTGCAATAATCTTGTTACCCATAATATCAAAGGTGGTTAAAGCATATTCCTCGAGGTGGTATGTTTGTGAAGCCTCAGTGACCTCAACATTTGGGATTTCAAGTTCCCCCAAATTCAGAAGTCGTATATCACCATCGTTGAACACTGCAGATAAGATACCCAATCCTTCAAATGCTGGTGTCCATTTCAGATCCCAAGAATTGCCCCAATTATGGAGTAAAACGTTACGAAGATTTACTTTCGAAGTGACCGTATCCAATTGGTAAATGTAAAGCGCTGAAGTGGACGAGCCTCTCTCCAGAAGTGAAAACTTGCGATCGACTGCAGTATCTGTGATATTTGACACAGATATTGCAAACAGTTGAGAATCTGCAGGTCTACCGGGACACCATGCGATATCTGTAATCAAAGAACCAGTGTTGATTATCGTTAATTCATCTTTACCCAAATTCTCACCCGTATTAAGACTCAAAGATTCATTATCATCAACCTGTAGAGTGAGTGGGTCTCTTCTCAGTGGGAATTTCGAGTCCAAAATGGTTTTGGTAATCTTTGTCGTTTTAATCACTGGTAGGCTCCAAGGTGTCAATTCCGGAGGCTCAGATAAGTTTTGAGGATCTACCTTAAACATTGACGTTTCCCAGCTGTTTCTTACACTAACTGTATCTGCAAGCTTGTAGAGGTTGTGACCTATAAGCCTCTGGATTCTCGCCCTTGTTGATGTGATGTGTGAAATGTGTTTTGGAGTGCCCTTTGATGTCTCCTTCGACTTTGCATTACCGGCCGGCTTGGCCTTCGCCGCAGCTCTTTTCTTTCTGGTAACCTTTCCAATTACTCTATCAGCGTCAGTTTGCTGATCAACAAAGTCAGGGTCCACAGCATGCTCATCCTTGTCTTTGCCAAGGTCTAACAACTCATCCATATCTTTCATTGTCTCATCCCCATCCAGATCAACGTCAACACCTGATTTCCCACCATCAGGAACCTCGCTTTCACCCAACGCGGTAGCCGCCGCTGCATCTGCCTTCACTTTCCTTGGTCTGCCTCTTCCTCTTGCCATTCTAGTCGATTTCAACAGTTAGACTGTGCTGTAAAACACAAAAAGGATGCTGTTTTGTTTTGTTTTGTTTTGTTTTGATTTGTTTGTTTACAATCTCGTGAAGTAGTGACCCTACCAGACTGTAGTCACGTGATCATAATGTTAACCTGCTCGGCCGGTGATTTTCTTAAGGTACAAAACTTGATAGGGTAATGGCCCTCAGGAAAGCAGCGCCTTTTGCCATCTCAATGGTCAACAGCTGAGAAACGCAGGGGAACTGGACAACACCGAAAGATCGTAAGAGAGAAGGGAAATATCAGTCAGACATACACGTATATCAGCATAATCAACTACCAATACAGCTTAGGCGGTCATGGGTAAATCAAAGGAGAATCAAAGGAGAACGGACATGTGTACGATAAGCACTGCTATGGGGGTTATGGTGGCGATAATACTTTACATGTTCTATGATGACCTATGGCTGATATCTCGATACGTTTATGTACCATTTGTTCCTGGTACGTCGAGGGCACCGCCCAGGGCTGAGGATTCAGGAGGCAAGTTTAGACTCCAGCACATATATCACCATAATACTGGGGAAGACTACACGAGTCATTTAAGGCTAGATATTACGCCAAAATTTCTCGAGGAGAATTCTCTTCACTCGTTCAGTGGGGAGGAGGAGGACCAATGGACGTCGTTATACGAGTCAGAATCACCTTGGACAGTAGAACTCCCATATAAGTCCAACGCTATTGAGCTAAAGAGATTAGCAGAGAGAGATCCAGATTTTGTCGAGTCATATCTTGAGTACGCGAGGGTCTCTGGGTCAGAAGCGGTGAAAAAGATCGAATTGGAATGGTCAGATGATATAGTCGAGGCTCCCAATGTTACAGATAAGGACACTGTCATAACGTTGGCCCTAATGTCCTCAAATGCATATGTTGACATACCAGAGACCGGGGATTGGAGAGACGTTGGCTGGAATCAGAGCATTGGGTATGGATGGAACGATACAGGGATTCGTGGCCACATCTTTGTATCTGACGATGAATCTACCGTTGTGATTGCTTACAAAGGCACGAGTGCCGCATTTCTATCTGGATCAGGCTCTGACGATACCGTTGATAACGACCGTATAAATGACAACTTGCTCTTCTCTTGTTGCTGTGCTAGAGTGAGTTACATGTGGACTACAGTGTGTGATTGCTATCAAAGCTCTTACACGTGTGACCAACGTTGTTTGGAGAAGGAACTCTACCGCAAGGATCGTTACTACCAAGCAGCATTGGACATCTACAGAAACGTGACACACATGTACCCAAGAGCGAACATCTGGACCACGGGACACTCACTCGGTGGTGCATTGTCAACTCTAGTTGGTCGCACGTTTGGAGCTCCAGCAGTGGCTTTTGAAGCACCCGGTGAATTGTTGGCGACGAGAAGGCTCCACCTTCCAATGCCACCGGGTTTACCTGGCTATATGGAGGGAATTTGGCATTTTGGACACACTGCGGATCCTATTTTCATGGGAGTGTGCAACGGTGCGAGCTCCACTTGCTCCATGGGTGGATACGCCATGGAAACCCAATGTCACAGTGGAAAACAGTGCGTATACGACGTTGTTACGGATAAGGGATGGCACGTTAACATGCTGAACCATCGTATCCACACCGTTATTGACGACGTTATCATGGCGTATAATGAGACCGCTCCATGTCAACCTGTTCCACCGTGCCGTGATTGCTTCAACTGGAACTTCGTTGATGGTAGACACGAAAAGAAGAAACCTGACGACGGTGATCTAAAGAAACCGGTGAAGAAGCCTGTTGAGGATCCTCCTTCAAGCACGGTACCCTCGCCAACACCTTCCCCGACAAAGGAGCCGGTTTGTAAGAAGTGGACGTGGTACGGACGTTGTTACGAATGGGGAGATGACGATGACGATGGTGACGATAACACTGCAAGCATGATCAATTAACTATTACGGAAGGGGTACATATACAAACACACAATTCAATTCAATGGATAAGAGGCTTAACGATGCCTGGTCCATCTGTATTTGCTTGCCATGTTGGAAGAAAGATGTCAAACTGTTGACGCAACCTAATAAGCCGCGGCCTGCCCTAAGTGGCTCCTTGTAGCACATCTGTGTCCGGATAAGTACGGAATTTCACGGGTGTATCCGGGTAATGAGTTCTACCTGCTGTGCGACAAAGTTATCCGTGAGATGTGGCGAACAAGTAGAGCAGAATCAAACGGTGATTAAGGCCGCAAAGAAAGATCCGTGCTTCTCCGTCCTTGATCAGACGACACGCAAGACGACAAGAGCCATCTAGTTGTATTATCTTTCCGTCCACATCGGCGTCGACTTGACACTTTTTTTTTTCAATCCCTAAAAAATGCCCTTTCAATTAAACTTTTACCCCAGATTTGAAGTTCCGATACTGGGTTGTAAACTCAAAGTGTCCAGTGCGAAATTTCTGAACTGCCTGCACACATCATTCTGGGACGCGGTGGGCGGTTTGGGGCTGGTATTGCGTGTTACAGCCATTTGTGAAGGAGCGTTGTATCCTACAGCCAATGCTGAGTGTGTCAATGACCCTAAGATATCCAGATCGCCACTGTGAACCTGTAGGACAGTTGGCGTGAGGGCGGACTGAGCCAGTGGACTTTAGAGCTCGGAGATAAAAGCCACGAGCACAGCGAACGTACCGCACCGAGAGGGAGGTGAGGACAGCGAGATGATCGCAAACACCATTTGCGTAGTAGGGGTTTACTGTTACGCGACTATGGTTACTGTAGGCATGCAACCACTGTGGAAGGGAACAAGCCTGTTATCTATGAGTGTTTATCGTTGGATCGCCTTCCCCAGTGTGTGCGCCACCAGCCCTAGAGAAAGGACCAAAACACACACAGCTCTGGCAGCTGAACGCTGTTGCACTGGCGAGCAAAGAGAAAAATCTGGAGAAGGAACACCAACCTCTGCGCTGAGGGGGGAGTGACCAACCAGCATCTACACCAAAAACTAAAGGCTGTAGGTGACGACTGCACGGGACTTCGGGGGTCCCATGGGGTATAATTGCCCACGCAGAATCCATTCACACCGCCAGAACGGCACTCAACCAACGTCTACACCCTTCTAACACAAGTCCGCGCGCGCACGTCTTCTCTTGAGGAGGCCTCTAGACTGGGAGCCCGCGCACTGCAACAGGGCGAAAAATGCACATAAGCACCAGCAGGCACATCGCTCTACCCCGTGCGAATTTTACAAAACTGTTGGAATGAGATGTGTATATATACTCGTAGCTGTGCCTCCAGCCAACCACGTACGGTGTAACCTTCCACGTCACGGCTCGCATTCGTATAAACCAACACTCCTCAGGACACAAGGATCTGATACGCCAACATCATCGGCGCATTCACAGAGTCCTCGAAATCAATCAATCCCTCCCCCACCTCCCCAAGGAACTTCAGCGTACCAGCCATCGCCAGCAGCTGCCCGAAGTCAAAGTTTTGGTGGAAGTGGGCCAAATTGAAAAGCGAGAATCGCCGGTTAGCGAAATTTGTGCGGGCGCCAGTGGGAAATTGGCCAAAACAGAGAGGGAGAGCGAGAAAAAAAGCAGTAAAATCGTTCTTCACGTTCTCAAGTTCTCACGTTCTTTACAAACACTGAAAAGCACAGTTTCAAAAAAAATTAGGGAGAAAACAAGGAGACAGACCTGGCAAAGAACTCTGGTGCTTACAACCCTTTTCCCGAGCAAAGTTATATACGGAGAGTTGTGAAGACAGTGGCAGTCGAAGGAGTGTCCACTTTATTTCTTGTCGTCCTTTTTTGAGAGTGTGTGTGTTGCGTGTGTGTTTGTGTGTGTTTTTCCGTTTTGATTCTTGTGAAGGAGAGAGAACTCGAAGGCAAACCGTTTAGAAACACGCCAGCGTCCATTGGAAGGTTGTTGATACGAGTTTCATAGCCCTACCGTCCTACTATTCTGTTGAGACATCTCTGATCTGCTCATTTGTGTGTGTTTGTTTGTGTCTCGCTATCCGTTTTAAGATATTCATACTTCACGACCGGTACTCGTCACCCATATCGCCACAGGGTTCAAGACACTTGCCACTCACAGCTAGAGAAGATATAGACGTCTGACGAGTCTCGCTTCCCACATATAGGCCCGACTAGACAGTTGCAGAGAAGAATAGACAGCAACGCACAATGTCGTCCTCAGGGAACCTCGCACAGATGTTTGCACAGAGTATGCAACAGCAACAAGGGTCGCAGGAGCTCACCCACGAGCCCCCTAGCGTTTCACAGGCTGTATACGCCGAAGACGACGACCATTTCGAAAACACAACGTTCCAGTTGAAGAGAACCCGCTCCATGGGTCTCCTTGACGAGTTCATTGCCCCAACAAAGAAACTCCTCGAAGAGCAGGCTCAACAGAAGCAACTACAAGCTCAGCAACAAGATGAGAACCGAATAGAATCCCAGCCGCTTAAGAGCAGGACTTCTTTAGACTTTGACGAGAGCGCCAACTCTGGAGAATTCATCGAAAACGTTGACGATGTACCAGCCAAAGAGGAACATAAGAATGTCAACACCGCTCAAAGTGTAATAACGTATGATTATGACGAAAACGAACTTGACCATGATAGCAAACCTGAAACACATAACGATGAGAACACCCCTGTGTCTCCGTTGTTGCCCGATGCAGAGGAGTTTTACCAACCCCATGATGATAATGACATCGTTTATGAACCTTCAAGACACGTTGACTATCTATCCCACGACTGGAAAGAGGCAGATATCTCAAAGTCTTGGAGATATATCGTGCTCAAACGTAAAGACGTTGCAAACTCTGCTCGATTGGAAAATGCCTCATGGAGAACCTGGGCGCAGGCTAAATACCACTTGAAGACTGTTAGTCCAGAATCTGTTAATTGGTTAAAGGACTCTGATGTCACTTGGCTCTATGGACCTATCTACAAGGAAAATGGCGATGAAGATACGGAGAAGAAGTACGGATCAGATGGCGAATCCTCTGCGCTGAACGCCATCAAACGGGAAAAGAAGAAGAAACAGCAGAAGCAAGAAAAGGAGCAGAAGTTGAAGCAGATGCAGCAGAAACCAAGAGTTCTTAAGCCGATCTTGAAGAAGAGAACTGTAAGTGAAATGTTGACCCAACCGTCAATGATTGTACTGCCTCCACATCATCACCATACTCAGGGGAGAAAATCGCCCATTAATACCGATTCCAATAACCCTTCACCGCCTCTGTTTGAGGATGACTTTGACTTAATATCGCAGAGGGTCAACGCACAGTACAATAAGCAGAACAAACCACAGGCTATGTCGGTAGCTACTGCAGCTACTGGTAGTGGTAACGGTGATGGTGTCACGACCCCAGCACAAGAACAAGCACAAGAACAACCAGTGAAGCGTCATATTCATTTCAACGATCGTGTTGAACAGTGTAGATCTATCAATCCACCAGATCCAAACGATGTTGTTGTTAACCATGAAGTGGACACTGATGATTATTATGACAATTATGACGACAACGATGATGACGATGGGGATGATGAATCTGACGATTCCGACGATGAAGGTGGGTTTTTCTTGAGGGTTAAATCGCCATCTTCGGCACAGTTACATGGCAAGGAGTTTTTATCTATGAGTGTTTCCGAGGGCAATGAAGGGTTGAGCAACAACAGTTCCTCTTCTTTGGTTGGAGGACCATCTCCGTCGAGATACCAGACAATTGAGCTGTTGCCTTCAACAACTTTGAACTACGGTTCTGATTCTGAAAGTGACGAGGAGAAATTTGTGATGTCACATAGAACTAATACCGGAAGAGGTTACAACTACATGTACGACTACAACTCGGTTTATCAAGGGAACACCGACCATTTGGTGCACATTGGTAACACTGATTATGAAGTTGAAGACCCACCACAGCATTTGGAAGGTGTTACTATGCTCGACGTTCCTGATTGTATCAAACTAGGATCCAACCTGGCCGTGGACTCACCTCAACCTCTGAGCATTGAACAGCGACCAGAGTTCCAGCTTCCAGAGGTGGAACGGACCGAATCCAACAGAAGTGGGTTTTCTCTCCACGCTGACTCTGACTCTGACTCTGAATCCGATAACGATCATGCCTCTCAGCAAAGACAAGCCACGAGCTCTCCTGCAGGTTCAGTCACTGGCACATCAAAGAACAATAACATAACAAAAGTCAGCACATCACCGAGCTACGCTTCTCTAAGTGACGTTGCCGCACAGGGCTACATTCAAAGCAGTATAAAGGATAGCCTTTCAAGCGTGTTTAGAAAATCACAGACTGATTTGAACGAATTGCAGAAGGACTTTAGTGCCTTGAGCTCGGGTTCTGAACATGAGTCCAAGCAACCTGCGCTTCTGGGCTCCTGGAAAAAAAACTGATCACCATTCTCTTCGAATACATAATAACAGGCTTCGAGAAAGCCAAAAGATAAGTTGGCGTTTTATAGTAATGTTGTATACCTTTTCTTATACCCAAACCAGTAGCAGTGCACTGGCATTGAGCCCAGTGTAACGAGAGTAGCTGTAGAATTCTTAGTTTCGCGCACTCTTCCAGACCCTTCCCCCCTCCCTCCCAAAAAAACATCAACAATCGCACGGGCGGTAAATCCACGTTGTAACGATAACTGCGGTGTGCTTACCTCTACGTGGAGCGGATAGTGAATGACAGGTGATACGACGAGCATGCAACCACCACAGCTGAACGTGATAGACGAGAATCTCTCTCCATCATTCTCGGCAACAAATGGCGGGAGTACCGACACCCTATCATCGCTTGCAGACGAGCTTGGGGACGATACTTCGCTGTCGCTGAACGATGACCTGGCGTCTATGCGACACTCATCGAGAAGAAGCTTTGACTCTTCGTCTGTCTTCACTTCAAGTTTCAGACCGAGTCTGGATGACTCAATTCCCGAATTGGGTACAAATAGGCTGAGCATTCAGAAGGTTAGTCCGCTGGGACCCAATTCGATCTTTGAACTCGTGGCGGATGTGGATTCTAGAAAGCAAGCTTCATCGCTGAGTCCCAGCTTGAACAGGAGTCGAAGAAGAATCAACATTCTACCGCCAACCTCCAAGGATATTCCTCCAATTCAGCTGTCAAAATTGGAGAAGGCCTCCAAGGAGGTGTTCAAAGAGTACCTCTCCCAAGTTGGTAAGGAATACGAAAAGTACAACTCCAATAAAAGACTGACGGCGTCTACGCTACAGACGCTATCACGGAGGGTCTCCGTGGGTGCGAATGGTGAAGTACTAGAGGAAGAGAAGGATGGGCTGAATACCATCCCAGAGGTATTCTTTAGTGAAGACTTTAACCTCGACGACCCGAGAATCTTCAAGCTGGTTACTGAAGGGCAACCAGTGGATAGCATGAACGAATCTCTACAGGAGAAGATTTCATGGTATTTGGACACCATTGAGATACATCTCGTTAATGAGATCTCGAAATCATCTGGTTCTTTTTTCACTGCGTTGAGTGATTTGAGTGAAATCAACGATAAGAATGACAAAGCCGTTGAGCTCATAAAACAGCTGAAAAGTAAACTGGATATTGTCAAGGAGAAGAAGATTATGCATAACTTGAAGCGGATGGAATTACAGAGGAAAAAGGATAACGTTGCTAAATTGGAACAAGGTTTACTCCAGGCATCCACTGCACTCATACTGACGGAGGAAGCATCTGAAATTCTCCTGAGAGGAGAATATGACAGTTGTTTGGACAAGATTGATTACGTGGAAAGCCTTTTATCAGGCCATTGTTCAGATTTGAAATGGCCTTATCCATTGCAAGATCTTTGTGGGGTTGAAGGACTATCACAGTGTCGTCAAAAGCTGTGTAAATTGAGAGAACAGACTGGTGAATCGTATTCGAAACTGTTTACTGATCTACTCTTGCAAGATATCAGACAACATTATGAAAGCATTGACTTCAAAGAATCTCTTGAAAGAATGATTAAAGGCAAAAATTATAACAAACCTGTGGGTGAAGATTTCAAGTCCCAGTTGACAAAATACATAGTTGGGCTTTCGAGATCTCAAGAAATTGCCACTGCCTTCAAGAGCTATGAGGGTGCTGTTGTCAACGAAATTAAGAACATTGTCCGTGTATTCCTACCTTCAGAGGAACAACCAGACAGTAAGGATTCAACTTCTTCTCAAAATTCTTCTTCCTCTAAACCACACAGTCTGAGTGCATTGATAAAGATGATGTCTCCAAGAGAATTTGAGGTCATGTTAATAAAGATCTTCACGTCAGTCTCTGAAGGTCTTAGAAGGTTAACTGTTCATCAGAAGTTATTGATGGATCTTGCACTTGATAATATCACAGTAAAGGAACAAGACCAATATGACTTATTCAAACAACTCGATATTAGAAGTTGCATTACCAAGTCGACAGAGATCATACAAGTGCGTATAGGTAAAATCACCGCAGTTCGAAGAGACCTTACTGCATCTTTGAGATATGACTATTTCTTGAGATTTTACTACATCATATCAAAATTCCTGGAAGAGTGTGAAAACATTTGTGGGTCTTCATTTAACTACCTACCAGACATTATGGCCCAACAGATCAAGGCTTTCAACTCGTCATTCCAACATACAAATTTGAACAGAATCTCTGCCTTCTTGAACACAGAAGATTGGAAGCCTGCGATTGTATCACCAGACTTACAGGAGTTTGTGATCCACTTAATGGGCAACAATAAGTTGGATTCAGAAAAGAAATGGAAGCACGACCTGACGCATTTGAACGATATTGCCGATGATTCACCAGATCAAGAACAGGCCACATCACATAAGAGATCCATTTCCGTTGGCGACAAGACCTTCGTTGCCTCCAAATCCCTGTTAAGTACACTCGATATCGTTAGAGATATACTCATACTTCGGGAAAACTTCAACCAGCTGAGCTCGGTGTATGAAGGCTACCTGATTGAAGCCGTCGAGTGCTACAAGAGCAAGGCATTGGCGAGCGTCAAGAATCCAGACGGGACATTCGATAAATCAAAGAACATCAGTATCGTTAACGAATCCTTGGATTGTCTCACTGAAGTGCTTCAATGCTCAAGGGAAGCACAAGATTGGTGAGCCATACCGTGCAAGTGTAAACTGTACATATATGAATACGCTAGAAACATCCGGACATTTTCTTCTTCTTTGTTCGTTCTGCTTTTTGTAACCATCGGAATTGGCGTCGGAATTCTATCCCCGTGTGTTTGCTTTTGTTTTGTTTATTTTTTGCCAAACTTTGACCGTCGTCGAAAGGGTAACACCCCCTTCTCATCCCGAGCACTGTGTGTTTTTGGCAACGGCGGGTAACTCTTAGAGATCAGGAAGTGCCAAATGGTGAACAACAAGGATTACAGGGACGGTGTGAAGGCATTGCTCGACTTGAAAAACAGGGACGATGATAAGGACGCGTCCGGTGATGGTGTTGATGGGGAGGACGACAAAAAGGATGAAAACAACGTTGAAGTTGCGGTGTTGCGCTACGTTGGTGGGACGCTTGGTACCAACAAGAAGAAGCGTAAGAAGTCGTTCACAAACAACGATGAGATGAACGAATTCCAGCACTGGAATGCTTTCCTGAACACGGACCAGCTGCAACAGGGTGATGATGTTCCTTCCACTGGCACGAGTGCTCAGGTTGAGACGCCAAGGGCAAAGAAACAGCGCAAAGGAGATGTGAATGTTGATCCAGAGCTCACACAGCTTGATGACACGGCAGACCACGAACAGCTTGTCAGGGCGGCTATCAGGGATGCCAACGAACTTGCTCAAGGTGTGGATATCCAGGATTTCATTCATCAACCGCAGGATGATCAGGAACAACACGGAGGTGCTATCGATAATAACCTGATCAGAGCCACTGCGGCGGCAGTTGTTGGACAACAACAACAGCTACAACAGAGCCAGCAGCAGAAACAGCCACACCGGAAGCAGCAGAAACTACAACCACATCATGATGAAGTCCAGCGTGGACTACAAAAGGCTGTTGCTAAGAAGGATGATCATGCAACTGGACACCAAAAGACAAAACGTAAACATACTCAACAAATAACAAAAGCGTCTGAACAGAGTGATACTGCCGGTATCAATGCTCCATCAAAGACCTCCATGCGCCTTGCTGTTGCGATTGATGAAGCTTCTGCGTCTGTTCAGAACAAGCCACAAGGTGTCAATAAGATGTTTACCAAGGATGAGATACAAGCCATTGATAAGTTCATTGAGGATTACTGTATCATCAACGGGCTTACACGTAAGCAGATCTGCGAACGTGTTTGGTCCAATGAGCGTAAGAAAGATGACTTCTGGGATCTGCTACACAAAGTTTTGCCGTATAGAACGAGGGCTTCCGTGTACAAACATGTGAGAAGATCTTACCACGTCTTTGAGAACCGTGGTAAATGGACTTCAGAAGACGACCAGGAGTTGGCTAGGTTGGCTGCTGAGAAGGATGGTCAGTGGAAGCTCATTGGAGAAATCCTTGGAAGAATGCCAGAAGATTGTAGGGACAGATGGAGAAACTACGTGAAATGTGGAAAGAATCGTGCACAAAACAAGTGGACGACAGAAGAGGAGGAGAAGTTGAGAACTGTTATCGAATCTATGATTGCACTACAGACAGAGGCGGGTACCGAGTTGTCACAAGAGCCTGGAATTAACTGGACAACTGTAAGTGAGGAGATGGGTGGTGTTCGTTCTAGAATTCAATGCAGATATAAATGGAACAAGTTGCTTAGACGTGAGGCACTTGCGAAAGCTCTGTCGATGAAGTACGATGATAGAATTTGGTTGTTGAACAAATTGCAAGAGATTGGTGAGGAACCAAGAACTGATGAGGACTGGAATAAAGTGGCGTCACTTCACGAGAAGAACTATTGGACAGGTAAGGATATGAATCTGTGCTATGAGAAGATGCGTGCTAGTATCAAGGATTACAAGAAGAAAGATATGAAGGATATATGCCATATTCTGTTGCAAGATTTCGTTCAATTGGCTGATCATAAGCCAAATGCTGAGATTAGAAAGGAGATTCCTATAGTCCTAGAGCAGGTGGGCCCAACTCCAAAGAAATCAAAGAAGCACAAGTCCAAGTCCAGTACATCTCAAACTACCTCAAACCATGAACAATTGTATGATATTTGGAGATGAACCATCTCGATAAACCTGTCTACAACTGAAACCTGTATTATTTTACAAATCGTGCTTTTTATATTAACCAGAAAACTTTGTCATTGCCTATGGACCAAATAACTTAGAACTTGGAGAACTTCTTGGAGGAACCAGCAGCTGGTTGGACCTTCAAGACGTTGAATCTAACAGTCTTAGACAATGGTCTACATTGACCAACAGTGACCAAGTCACCTTCCTCAACACGGAAAGCTGGGGAGACGTGGGCAGCAACGTTTTTGTGACGCTTCTCGTATCTGTTGTATTTTGGAACGTAGTGCAAGTAGTCACGTCTGATGATGATGGTACGGTGCATCTTGGTGGAGACAACGGTACCGGTCAAGATCTTACCTCTGATAGAGATGTCACCAACGAATGGGCACTTCTTGTCAATGTAGTGACCAGTGATGGCGGTCTTTGGGGTCTTGAAACCCAAACCGACATCCTTGTACCATCTCTTGGTACGACGGTTGGCCTTAGCCTTTGGGTTGGTGAAGATATGTGGTTGCTGTGTTTCATAGTTAGTACGGGCTCTCCATGAAAGGAAACCAAGGATCAAGCTTCTCTGGATATTCAAATTCTTGGTGGTCAAAGTTCTGGTGACCACTGCAGTTTCTTGAACAGATGCCATATTCGTGTCTTCTGTAACAACAGTGCTCGAAGTATCACTGCCCTATTTGCTTCTTGCTGGTAGTTTCTTTGCTTGTAACTCCTGTGCCCAGTCATGGCTTTCACTCTCTGAACTCTTCAAAACCTCAAATTTTTACAACTCCATGCTCAGGTCCTTGGTATCGATTAATCTCGCTGAGTGTATTAACATACCTTTTGGAAAGCACGCTCAGATTGCACGGTCAACTCAGTAGCCATCTTGCCTTAGTTCTTAGGGTTCGTTCTTCTTTGTAGTTGTTGAACTTTGATGGTTGTGAAGAGTGTGCTTTTTTTTTCACCCACCGCGGGCACACAGTTTCACAGCGCTTGATTAGTCAGGGATTATGTAAGAACATGTCCCAAAAACTGCGTCGTTGGTGTGTGGGTGTTAGGCATATTTCTGAGCGTTCCATAGGACGGCGAAAACTTAGGGCTTGGGAGTTGAAGTCAGATCAGGTGACTTACGCTTAGGGCTACATGCATGTTGTTACCTTTTCCGATGTGTCAACTTGTATATTCCAAGTATCGCTATTGGTTCTAAACGCTAGAGTGTTGCAGAAAGGACAATTGCGAAGCCCTTTCTTCACCGACTAGTTCCACGAGTTTGTCATCTTGTAAGAATTGATGATCATCGTATTCAAACCCTGGAACTACAACTTCACTTATTAACAGGTGGTCATCTGAGCTCTCCCCAACATCATCGGACAACGGTCTCAGGAAGCTGGCCTTCCATACTCCACCAGGAACGACCCATTGCGATACTTCACCCCTTGAATGGTCAAATCCAACTATGAACGATTTGACTCTTCCATCCGGATAGATCAACACGTATTGTCCCCGGCCTTTTTGTAAGATATGGATAATACGGTTCAGGTTCTTGTGGAACCTACCGTAGGGGATCTGTGGAGTTAAAAGATAGTAGATGAGCGTTGAGTAGTTTCTGTAGGCATCTCTTGGAAGAGAGCTGATATCCTTAATACTCTTGGTCGGTCCATCATGAGCCTCATAGTGCGGGTTCTCCATGTGGAATGGAGATCTGTCGGTCTCGTTGAAGTACCCACCTTCTCTATGCCCAACCAACTTCAACTCTTTGATCAACAGCTGTGTCTCATCAGAGGTGTTGAACTCCTTTACGAAATACAACGGCTTCTCAATGTTGCAGTTTGGAGCGTTATCCACCGTTGACGATTCAAACGACATGGTCCAATTGTTGAATTGTTGTTGTTGTTGTTGTTGCTGAGTGATTGCTCCAAACTTAAGAGTAAAACGGGATGCGTAGTGTAGTTTGTTCCTTGATCTCCTTTCTGTTTGGCCAACACCTCGCTCTTTCTACATGCACCCTAACTACAACAATAGTTAATATATAGCCCAAAAAGAACAATGATATGACCGGTATTTATATACCCAGACTAGCTGTTTGAAGGAGCACTGACTTTTGACACTTTGATCTGTTTGTTTCCCCACTGGTTCAAATACTTTGATAGACTGCCTTCGTCGTGTAGCTTCTTTATGTCATCCGACCCTCCTCTTGAGACACCACCGACAAATAGATTTGGCACGGTCTTACGCCCAGTCTTCGCAGCGATGTAATCCTGGAGCTCTCTGCCGTGTGTATGTTTATCCAACTCCACAATTGTAGGGTTTGGCGTCAATTCGTACTCTGACGTGAGCAACTTCTTCAATGCCTTGGAATAGCCACAATAGGTCTTTGAAAAGATAACAACAGGTGAAAGCGTCATGATCGAGTTGAACTCGGTGGCAGCGTCGAACTCGTTCTCAGTGTTAGAATCAGCTGGAGATCCCTTTGCGATTCCCTTTGGTACTCCCTTCGCACCGGTGTTTGCAATCAACTTATCGTGAGCGTCCTCAGTGGCGGCATTGGCCAACGGCTTCTTAGCACCGTTGGCGTTCCCTGATACAACAGAGCTGTCAACCAAGCCAGCGTGTCTATCGCCACTAGCAGCAGAACCGCCAGAGGAACCGCCAGAGGAACCACCTGTGGAGCCACCAGCGTTGGCATTGGCGATTGGAGCAACGGCGGCGGCTCCGTTCCCTGAGCCCTGGAGCTTCTGTCTGATGTCATCCTCGTTCGACTTGATCGCTTGCTCATTAATGCCGTCAGCGCCTGTGCCTGTTGATAGCTTCGTGGAATCCGCCGCTGGCGGTGGAATCGCAACCTGAGCCCGGTTTGTCGATATGAAGACAAAGACCATAAGCAGCAGCGCCACACTTATAAGAACAGCTCTGTCCCTTCTCGACTTGAATCTGAACATTGCTTGATCAACGTGTACTTGGTGACTTCTTCGTGCACAGAGCAGCAAGGGGGCAAGGGGAGCGCTGTGGTGGGAGCCTATCCTAAAAGCGCGTTTCAAAGGTTACAACTGTTGCCCAAAAAGGAGCCCTTTTCGAGACTTTCGTAAGGCTTTGGCGCCAAATGTAAAACTGCTGTCAGGACACGAAAAGGCACAGCAAAATGACAGCAGAACTGATTTGTGGTAGGAAAAGTATTCGTTATGGGCAATAAAAGCTGTGATATTCGACCTTTGGACTGGATTTCCGGATTTATCACTGAATTATATTTATATCAGCTGTGATTTACTGTAACACTTTATAGTGATCACGCCCTTTTTGGCATGTGAAAACAACATGAGGCACGAGTCCTGAAGATTCGAGTGTTTCTCTACAATGGTTTAAAAGGCACTCCTTGAACCGTTGTATTTCGTCTTTCTTAGTTCTTAGAACTGAACCTTGATCTCTTATATTTCTGAATTATATTGTTATTAACAATTATCTTATTGTCATTATGTATAAAGTTGAAGTGGCACACCCTGAGCTAAGCAACGTACCACACAACGGTTATTGGTGGTGAAAACATACATCTTGACGCCAATATATCTGGAAGATTATGAGCTGGGCCGATAGTCTGGACACCTCGTTGAAGTATCACGGCGTGGGGACGTGTATAATGATTTCATAACTGTACAGTTACCCCTCTGGAAGGTAACCATCATGCCAGACACGTGCGTACGACGTGTACCGTGAGTAGGTGGGCTGGTGTAGTAGTAGTGAACACCTCTAGGATACCAGATAGGCTAACGAGGTAGCCATGGTGTCCTATGCACTGTGCAATGCTACAACACCATGGTGTGTGTATAGAATGTTCCTCCGTCACATCCTTCCCCATATGTATTGCACTCGGCATCTCTGACCCCCGTTGTGTTAGCTCACACACCGTTGTTCATGAGCCTGGCAGGTCTAATCTCGGTGGCGTTGTCAATATTTGAAATACACATGTGGTTGAACGTCTATTTACTATGTGCCATCTCCCAGCATTGTCGGTTAATCCCTCCAACTCACAAGCACCTCGTCAGTTCTAAACTTTTGAGTACACACAGTATCCTTCAATTCAAACCGTTTGCCCATTCTGAACTCCAATAGCCCGGCATGCGCAATCATGATACCATTATCGATGCAGAATCTCTCGTCAGTAGCATAGATTGAACCCTTACGGTCCAGAACCATATCCTCCATCATCTTCTGCAATCTCTCGTTGCAACCAACACCACCAACGATCAACACTTGGTTCGTATTCACGTGCGCCATGGCACGCTCTGTGATTTCAACAAGCATTGCAAACAAGGTCTCCTGTAGAGAAAAACACAGGTCCTCGACGGTTATCTGAGCCTCCTTGGTCTCCTGGTTGAAAATGACCTTGTTTGAAGTGTTGCCCTTGAATAGATCGTTGGCCAGCTGGTCGATATATGCCAATATCCCACTCATGCTCAAATCCATCCCCTTGACGGTGTACGGCAACTCGATATAATTCGAGCCCTTCTTCGCCAACTGCTCAATGTTATAGCCAGGGCTGGGATAGTTTGGTATCTTCAATGTTCTCGCAAACCGGTCCAGACAGTTTCCAATGGCGATGTCCAACGTCTCGCCAAAGATCCTGTATCTCTGGTTCGAGTACGCAATCACCTGTGTATTACCGCCACTCACGTACAACACCACCGGGTTATCAGCGCCGGTGATCTCCCTTCCCATCTCTATATGCCCAATACAGTGGTTGACACCAATGAGCGGTAAGTCCCACAGTTGGCTAAGCGCTCTCGCAGCGATCACCACGCTCTGTAAAGGAGCGCCCATGCCGGGGCCCTTGGTGAAGCAAATACAGTCCAACTCCTCTCTCGACACACCAGCCTCCTCCATGGAGCGCTTGATCAGCCTGACAACCCAGTTCCTATGATGTCTCGCGGTGTCACGCGGTAGGAATCCTTCGCCAGGAGGAGTGATGTACGTATCTCTCACGTTCGACAGCACTTGCGCACGGTTCTCTTGACTCAGCGGGCCCAAATTGTGTCGTATGATACCAACACCTAATTTATTTGCGGATCCCTCGAGCCCAATCGCCGTGTACGTGTGCTTCCCAGGCTTCGCATACTGATCCAGGTTAACCATCGTGACTATGCCCTTGGAGCTGGAGAGCTTGGTAAGGCCCTTAAAGCGGGTAAGAGCTGAAAATTTTCAATTCCGATGAGACGTTATTCCGACCTCAGCACGCCAATGGCACACCAGCGGCGATGGAGAGAGCAGCATCACCACCGCATCGCAGAGAGATATCTACAAGTCAATAACAGTACATTCATTACAGTCGTTATAGGATGCTCCAACACGGAGGAGCACGAAGCCATCAGTGAGATGTCAACCACCTTCCATCCGTGTCGAGAGACACATCGCGTACAGCGTTGCTCAGCACATCGTAGTTGTAGTGGTCCACGTCGGCAAAGTCTGTGCTGTCCACCACGTTGTTCAGGTCCTCGTATATGGGATCCGGGTCGTCTCTTGATAGTCTTGTGATGGAGGCCATGATGGACCCTGTGAGCGGCGGAGTGTACGGAGGAGGTCTCTCGTGTTCTTGGAGCGCCTCTTCGTACGATGGCAGCTCCTTCGTGTCCTGGTGTCGCGTTGAGCTCATTGCGAGTGTGCTTGTTCTAGTGGCTGTCTTAGCTGTCGTAGCAGTGTGTTACAACCTCATCAACCAGCCAGTGACCGGAGACGCCACTCGAGAAGAGCAGCAAGGCCCCGTTGTGTCAAACGGGAGGAGCCACTTGCTGCGTTACGGCCACTTTACGGTGCCCAACATTAACACTTTCTTTTTTGCGTGGCCTTGAGATGTAAACATCAACAGAAATGTAAACAAAGCTCACAGATTCGGTCTTGGGCGGTATAAAGGACAATGACGGATTTGCAGAGTGCACTTGCCTCGCTCAATGAGTCATCTAACTCGCTGAAGACGTTGTACTTCCGTCCTCCTGGGATATTCACAAACGCGCTGATTGGCAAGCCTGACATAACGACGCTTCTTAGGGACGCGGACGCCTTTGAGAACGCGCTGTACCAGGTTGATGCGCAGGATAGGCCGGAACGTAAGGATGGTACTCGTGGTGTTGTTGATCAGCTGAATGATGACTTGGACGAGCTGCAACTGCAGCAGTTGCAAGAGGAGGCGGAAGGCGGGGAGCTTGTTCAGAGGCCCAGCGTGGTGATCGTGCCCCGGGAGGTTGTTGTCTCGAATGATGAGAACAAGGGGGTGAAGAACTTGCTGAGCAAGTTCAACGAGGAGAACGAGAAGGACTACGATATCGATGTGCTGTGCGAGACCGTGTCGCAGCTGCTGGATAAGTACCCTATAGACGGTGTGCGGGAGGAGCTCGAACGGTTGAGACAACGGTGGCAGAGCGTGAACCTGGAGATCATGGAGAACGAGGAGACCATTGAGAAACAGAGAAGACAGCTTTCCCTCTTGAGGATCTCTCTGAACGAGAGGGAGCTGCGCTCTGACGACACTGGCGAACGCCCTGTTAGAACAGCAGCTCAGCTCATCGCCGAAGAAGAAGAGGAGATACGGAGATTAGAATTACAGATATCAACAGAGGAAGCGAGAGATGGGTCTCAATGAAGTCTAATGACCGTATAGAACGTGGCGTAGGTGTTTGCTCTGTTTGTAGATGCCCTTGGCGACTGAACCGATTCCGAAGCCCTCATGTCCCAATTCCGAAGCCCTCATGTCCCAATTCCGACATTTCTATTGCCTATTCCCGGAATTCCGCACCGTTCGCAATTTTCGCAACAGAGCAACGCTCTCTGTGTTTTTTTTCGCCTCACACTTTCCTGTCCAATCAAACATCGAGCACACCGCCTTTGATATTGGAACGATTCGTTAGACCTGGGCTGAATTGCTTCACCAAATTGAAGACAAAGTATCCTTTGAGGTTTGATTGAAGTGCACCAACATATCAAGCCAACTGTGAGCGATAATTCCAAGAAAGAGTCTCCAAAGAAGATAGCAACCTAGCGGTCGATATCTCTTTCCCCATACATTTGTATGTTTATTTGTTTTTCTCATCATTTGCTTTCCTTGAGCACCAGTGCTGACCAACTTTGAGAGCAGAGACCACAGGACGAAGAGGAGCGTTCGACTATGAGTAGCTCCACCCAATCAAATGGGACTGATATCTATAGCACCACGACACGGTTGTCCAAAGCTGTCAGTGCCACTGCTTCTGCGTTGATTTCTCAACAGGATGGCAGCGATCCACTTCTCTCGAACTCGAGCTATAAGAAGGCAATGAGGGACGCGCTGACGGCGAAGAACTCGCTGGCAGTAATACACAAGCACACTTCACCGGCGGATCTGTCGGGGTCCAGGTTTGCAACGAGCTCGGAATATTTCAAGAACAAGTTCACCAGTTCAAAAGCTGCGTATAAAGTGTTGACCCACATACCCGATGATCTCTTGAACGACATACCAGATGAGAGCGCTTCGTCGTCCGCATCGTTTACGCTATTCCAGGGATTCACAGCTGCGATGCCCGCTGTTGATGAAGAAGTGGAACTGAGAAAGAATCTGGACAATGGGAACGACTTCCTGCACAAGCTGACATCCTCAAAAGGTGAAGATCAGAATCAAGAAGAGGAAGAACAGAGCTTTAAACTGCCAAAGGGCGTCACGAAGGAGAAGATCCACGATTCCTACTCCACGCCTCGATTGAACTCTTATAGAGACGAAATCAACAAGAACTTGGATCTCTTGGAGATTCGTAAGACGCTCGCAGCCAGCGAAATAATGGAGATTGACGACAAGATCAGCAAACTACAAAAACTGAGACAGTTGGTGTTTAAAAGGGTTGCTAAATTGGAGCAGAATGAGCTCTTCTTAGAGTCACATCTGGAGGAGATCAACGATAGAATACAGATGATTAAGGACTACAACATGGAGAGACCTGATGACAATGAAACTGAAAAGCAGGCCGGAGACAAGGATGATGAAATTGAAGATTCATCCGCATGTGAAACTCAAGAGACTGATGAATCACCACTGATGACCAAGAGTGTCTATGGGAAACTACAGGAGAAGCCACCAATGTTCAAGAAGAAGAATCCAAGAACTAGGAAAACGACACCAACTTTACAGCAGTACTATGCGCCTGGCACTGAGATTAAGACCATACAAGCACACGAAGAATCCATTAACTGTTTTGACTTTGACATACCCTTTGGGACAATGGTTTCCGCGTCTTTGGATAACACCGTGCGTGTTTGGGATATGAGTAGAGGCAAGTGTATTGGTATGCTTGAGGGACATAATGCCCCTGTTAAGTGTATACAGATGGAGGACTCACTGGTTGTCACCGGCTCTCTCGATGCTTCTCTCAAACTGTGGGATATATCCAAGATGAACAATGACGATTTCGAGGAAGGGCCGTTGATCTACAGCTTTGAATCTCATATCGAGGAAGTCACCGCGTTGAGCTACCATAACTATACCTTGGTGAGTGGGTCTCAGGACAGAACAATAAGGCAATGGGATATGCAAACTGGACATTGTCTGCAAACCATCGACGTTCTATGGGCATTCCAACAAAACCTCACCACGTCTGTTGAGCATTCACTCATCTCCGACCGTAACACGCCTTTCATCGGCGCCCTCCAGACATACGACGCAGCTTTGGCCACAGGCACCTCTGACGGCGTTGTGAGGCTATGGGACTTGAGAAGTGGAGAGGTTGTTAGATCGCTTGTGGGACACACAGGCCCAGTCACATGTCTTCAATTCGACGAAAGACACTTGGCCACCGGCTCGAGCGACCGCTCCATAAGAATATGGGACTTGAGAACCGGTGGCATACACGACGCATTTGCATATGAGAGTCCAATCTCGTCCCTACAATTCGACGCCAGACGCATAGTGAGCTCCAACAACGAATCAACCGTCAAGATCTACGACCGTATCGAGGAGAGACACTCCAGCTGCGGAGGCGATGATGGAGATGACGCCATCATCAACTACGTTCGCTATAGAGAAGGCTACCTCGTGGAAGGCCGTTCCAACGGCAAGATTGGAATCTGGGCCATCTGAACTTGCAACCCCCTGCATCATATACATATACATATATTCGGAAAGGCGAAAGCTAAAGCACACGATACATAGCAAATATCTACAAACCCATCTCTATATAATCATCACTGGCTCTCCAGCGTATGTATGCCCTCGGAAGTTGGGGCGAGCACATCCGACAGCGAAAACACCCGGACACCCAAACACCCAAACACCACCAACGTTGCCCTGGTTTTTTTTTTTCACGCTCTTTTGGCCGATGGCCACCGCCTTCAGAAGAAACAAAACATCAACAACATTCGTACGATCTCGTCGTGTTGAGCACTGTCACTAAGCAAAGCAAAGAAGGCTGATCATGAACTTTGGTGGACAAACTCCCACGGTCGTTGTTCTCAAGGAGGGGACCGACACGTCCCAAGGAAGAGGACAAATCATCTCCAATATCAACGCATGTCTCGCCATCCAGGACACATTGAAGCCAACGTTGGGGCCATTGGGGTCTGACATTCTCATTGTTGATGGACGTGGCAAGACCACGATCTCCAACGATGGTGCCACCATCCTCAAGCTGCTCGACGTGGTCCATCCGGCTGCGCAGATCCTTGTGGACATCTCGAGGGCCCAGGACGCGGAGGTTGGTGATGGTACCACCAGTGTTACCATCATTGCCGGTGAGCTGCTGAAGGAGTCCAAGGCTTTCATCGAGGAGGGCATATCGTCGCATGTCGTTGCAAAGGGCTACAGAAAAGCTGTTTCGCTGGCTGTTGAGCGAGTCCGTGAATTGAGCGTTAAAATTGATAAGAGCAATAGCTCTGAGGAAGAGTACAGGGAATTGCTCGAGAGATGTGCGAGAACGGCCATGTCTTCCAAGTTGATCAACAACAACTCGGACTTCTTTGTGAAGATGGTTGTCGATGCTGTGCTTTCGCTTGACCAGGACGACTTGAACGAGAACCTCATCGGGATCAAAAAGATTGCAGGTGGTGGCATCGAGGAATCTCAGTTCATCAATGGTGTTGCATTCAAGAAGACCTTCTCCTATGCTGGATTCGAGCAACAGCCAAAGAAGTTCACCAACCCAAAGGTGCTGTGCTTGAACGTTGAGCTGGAGTTGAAGGCGGAAAAGGATAACGCAGAGGTGCGTGTTGAGAAAGTCGATGACTACCAGGCCATTGTCGATGCCGAATGGCAAATCATCTTGAACAAGCTGAAGCTCATCGAGGAAACCGGTGCCAACATTGTGTTGTCCAAGCTGCCTATCGGTGATCTGGCAACACAATACTTTGCAGACAGAAACATCTTCTGTGCCGGTCGTGTTGCTTCTGAAGATATGGATCGTGTCATCAGTGCTGTTGGTGGGTCCATACAGTCGACTCCAACAGATATAAAACCAGAGCATCTTGGCACGTGTGAATACTTCGAGGAGGTACAGATAGGCTCAGAGAGATACAACATCTTCAAAGGTTGTCCTGAAGCAAAGACGTGTACGCTATTGTTACGTGGTGGTGCTGAGCAAGTCATCGCAGAGGTGGAAAGATCGTTACACGATGCCATTATGATTGTTAAAAGAGCAGTGCAAAATAACGAAGTTGTCGCAGGAGGAGGTGCTGTTGAGATGGAGATTTCTAAGTATCTCAGGGACTATTCAAAGAAGATTGCGGGTAAGGAACAGCTCATCATCAGTGCGTTTGCCAAAGCTCTGGAGGTGATCCCAAGACAACTGTCTGAGAATGCCGGTTTCGATGGAACAGATCTCTTGAACAAGCTGAGAATGGCACACGCTAAGGGCGAACAATGGTGTGGTATTGATTTCCAGGCCGAGACCATTGGTGATAATTTCGAGAAGTTCATCTGGGAACCTGCCCTTGTGAAGATCAACGCCTTCTCCAGTGCCACTGAGGCTGCCATCCTTGTGCTATCGGTTGATGAGACCATCAAGAACAAGGAATCAGCAGCTCCAAACGCTGGCATGGCCCCACCACCTGGAAGAGGAAGAGGCATTCCACGTTGAGCTTTACAGATCTACACATAGTTCAGAAATCTACAACTTCTCTTCATATATCCATCATGTAAAAGCAAACAAAGGCTGCTATCAATTACTCTTCTTCGCTGCTGCTTGACAATTCGTCTTCATCATCGTTTTTGCCCATGCCAGCCAAGTCCCTAAAGCTCATCGGACGCTTACCGTTGTAATCAAAGTCAAAGTTATTGGGTACTGACGGCGTTGTAGAAGGCTGTGCATCCTCTATTATCATGTCGTCGCTTTGTAGCTCGCCCTCTAGCTCGTCAACAAGGGCATCGAAGTCATCTTCGTCTTCGTCCGACATCCTCTCCACCTGGGTCACAGTGGGTGTCATTGCCGTTGCTGAAGGAGGTTTCTTGGACGCAACCTGTGGTCTGACGGCTCGCTGGCCTTCAGCCTGTGGGGACGGAGGCCTCATCGCTGGCGAGTCAACCATAAGAGAAGGTGTGCCCAATTTTGACGTTGTCGGCGTAGTTGATCTCGATCTCAACGTTGATTTGGCCTTCACATTGGTACCCTTGGCAGACGCAGACGACACAACCTTCCTGGAAGGGGACGTGGACGACGTCGAAGCTGTCAATGGTGAAGGTGCCAAAGGCCTGGACTTGACGTTCTTCTTTGGCGATGTCAAGGCCAGTGGCACCTCGTCATCTGGTAGCATGTTCACCGGTGTCGAGGAAGCAGACCTCTTCACTCCCGACGACACGGTGAGTGGGCTCATAGGACGCGTCTTCGGCGCAAAGATCGACGTCTCTGGCTTCTTTCTCCTTGGAGCAGCCTTCTCAATGCGCTTTGGCCTGATCTTGAAGTGCTCCGACGCCCTCAGCTGTGTGCTCAGCAGCCTCAGCTCAAAGGTGCGCAGCTTCTCGTTGTACACAAGCATGCACTCTGTGTCCTTGGGCTGTGTCACTGAGCCCGAATACGTGAGCTCGTCTCCCTAGTTCGAATCATCGTTAGTCCTCTCTCCTCCTCACAAACAACCACTCCTCAACAACTCACGTCCTTGTTCCGTGTCTTGAGCTCGAACGTACTGTTCTCGTGCCGCTTCAGCTCGCACGTCTGCGACTCATCGTCTGGCCTCTCCACGACTTGTCCGCAGCTCGCTGCTGTTAGTCTTGTCCTGCCCATTGAACACAACAGCCCATAATACTCACACCTGAGACTCAACAGCTCGCTATTCGGATCAGCTCTCGCTCCACTGGCTCCTCGCCACTGGGCCACTAAGCTGTCCGGTAGCCTGATCTCGTACTCTCCATCTGCAATGTCAGTCGACATCCTTGGGCTCGCTTTGCTCTTCCGGCCTACACACTGCTGCTTTGCACTGTTGATGTTGAGTGTTCTGCGAGAGGAAGGAAGGGGGATTAATTGGCGTTCTCGGGTATGGGTTCGGCTAAATGAAGTGCGCGCTAGGGAGGGTGCGGGTAAATGAACGGTCGGTGGAGGGCGGTGGTGGGCTCATGGTGGGTTTACTATACGCTTGAGGTGGTCAATTATACTATACAACGCCGATTGAAGGTCCTGGACAGCTAGCCTCTCAGGGCCCTGAGCCTCTGTGTCAGCTTGTCCTCCTTCTCCTCGACATTCTGTGCCTTGACAGGCTGCTCTGCGCTCTGGGTAGGCAGGTTGTGCTTCATCTCCAGGCCGGCCTCGTCTGCCACCTTGCTCATCAGCAGATCAACCTCCTCCTGAGGTGTTGAGAGGGCAGTGGCGTTGTTGGTTGCGCCCTCGTAGTACTCGGTGGACGCGTCCAGGTCCTCGAACTGCTGCTCGAACTTCTCCATCACCAGCGAGATGTGCTCCAAATTCATCGTCTGGAGGGCCTTGTCCATGCCTTTGATGACGTTCGTCATGTTACCCGTGACCTGTCTCATGGTGACGGCAGTCTGGACCCTCGACGCCACTGCGTCGATCCTGGAGGCCAGTCTCAGCAGGTTCAACCTCTCGTTGCCCTTTCTGATGGCGTTCTGTGCGTAGAGCCTGGCAATGTCATCCGTGCCGGCCATCATGGCTTTCTTCACCTTGTTCTTCTCCGTTTGCTCCTCCTTGCCGGCCTTCGCAGCCTGTCTGTTGAGCTGCTTAGCGGTGAACTTCGCCCATGGTTAGTACATCCTTTATCAGGCACTTCAGCTCCTGGTATCAAGACTCACTTTCAACTGGAATAAAGACTCTTTCAGCCGGTTAGTATACGTTTCGCCAGCCAATATACACAGCCAACTCACTCTCTAGCCCTGACATCTTCGGCTCTGTGGTGACAGTAGCTAATCTATACGGAATCGGTGTGATAGATAAGAGCAAGATCGATATCAGAAACACCGTCTTTGATTTCACGGAGGCGGGCGTTGTTATTGGTTTTCCTGGCCCTGCTTTTCGGAATGTTCCGCTAACGTGTAGACGGGAACCCACATCCGCTCCTAATAGAGGAAAGCAGTGGAACATCGTATGCTCAGCCTACACTTAATTCTTGTATATTCGTATCTTGTTATGATAATTATTATGAGTATTATTGACCGTATTGAATGTGTATATGTATAATTAGTGTATCTATAAATTTAACCCCCGAATATATGCTGTATCGTTTCCATAAGTGACCCTTCCATCTGTTAGCTGATTCCCAGTATTGTTGAGCTGTGCCGAAGCCTCCTTTAGTAATTCATAACCACTCTGGCAAGACACACAGAGATGTCATCGAGCTTGCCTCCTGTTATAAAGTTGTTGCCAATTTCGTTGATCTTTTCAACGTATGGTGAGACACAGTAGTTATCAAATGCGACAGACTTGGCCTTGATCATCAGCTTATGACAGACTTCGCCGAGGTTGGTATGGTCTTTGTTCAGGTGGCTGTTGATGAACTCCAGGAGTTCATCTTCGTACAAGTTATCGGTGATTCCGTCGGAACAGAGCATGAGTAGATCATCTTCCTCTAGATGGAAATCGGAGAACTCAACCACCTGCGAGGGCAGTTTCACCTTGTCAGTTGTTCCAACTTGCTCTGGACACAGGTCTGCAATGTACTGTTCCCTGTTGGTCCAGGCAATCTGGCCATCTCTAATGATAAAGATTCTGGAATCACCAATGTTGAGGATTTTCAGTTCCGAATCGATAATCATCGCCACCATCAACGTGGAACTTCCCTTATACTTATCTCTCTCCATCACAGCCAGGCTCTCCTTGTAGCTCAGGTCCAGTCTGTCACGGAGATCAGCCTCTGTGATACGAGACAGGTCATCTGCGTTCTGGTGAGAAAGCTCTGTAAAGGTCTTACTGATGTTCTCCAAGAACGATCTTGCAAACAGCCCAGAGTCGGCATGTTCACCACTCCATCCTGACACGCCATCCGCCACTCCCAGCAAGTTTGGCGACACGATCATGGCGTCGTCGCCGTTCTTGATACTCAACGTGTCAAATGGGTTACCATACAGCCTTCTCTTGGGCAGCAGCGAGATGTTCGAGTTGGAGTCCGTCAGATCCATCAGCGAGTTCACCACTGGCTTGCGCACCGGGCCATGGTGCACGTACGACGCATAGCTGTACAAGAACTTGAACCGGTCTGGTGTCTGGAACTGCGTAGCTGACACCCTGGTTGGGTTAGTCACAGTCTTGTTGATCTTCTGAGCCTGGGGCTGAGACTTCTTCATGAAGCCCCAGAAGCTGTTCAGCACACCACCTGTAGACTTGTGGCCTTTCAACATCTTTCACTAGCACTTCTCCTGCTCTCAACCAACTGCTTTGGACCTCGTCTGATGGCCGTATTGATACCTCGCTGGAGGAACAAAGGGTGAAAGAGAAGAGAAAAAGAAATTAAGGTGTGTATGCTCTCACGGGAGAATCCGGGCTTTTTAGATTGTGTCAAGGCAGTGGTCGTTTCTTTTTGTTTGCCGTGCCTTTTCTTCCTGGAACGCCCGACCAACGGCGTTAAGCGGGTTTTGGGGGCCGTTCCATCAACACTTTTCACTACTTTCACTCTTCAATGTTCAGACTTGTCTAGTAGTCATAGTCTAGTAGTCATAGTCTAGTAGTCATATACAGGTAGTAATATACAGGTAGTAATTGTTCTAATATACACTTTTGATTTGTTTCCTTTTCCTCTCAATTCGATGCCAGTTCTGAGAAGTACTGGCGGAGGATGAGGGAAAGCATCTTTGGGAGCTCTGTGATGTCGTGAACCACAACGTAGAACTCGAAGGGGAAGGAGTCCAGGTACTTGTCAACCTTCAAGACCATGTTGCCGTTGGCGTCTGGAAGGTACTTCACCTGGCTCATGTCCATGATGGATTCGTCGGAGTTGATTCCATCAATGATGACAAAGACAAGCATGATCTTCTCCTCGCGGGCACGGCGAACAAGTTTCTGAATGGTAGCGTGGTCCTCGCAAACACCGTCCGATATTATGATCTGCAACTGCCACAGGTCCGCGTTTCCAAGGGTTCTGGCATTGTTGAAGATGTCGATGGACTCGCGGACCAGCTTCTTGATGTCTGTTCTGGTCTGCTGGAAGTCGAACTTCTGGAAGATCTTGGCTCCACTTTCAGCACTGAACGCCTTTTCGAATGGATGGACAACTTTGGTATCTTCTCCAAACTTGACAATGGACAACCCACCGGATTCCAGCTGTGTAAGAGCCTTGGAGACGAGACAGATACTTTGGAATGCCAAATCAACAGACTTGCTCTCACTCATGGACTTGGAATCATCAACAGCAATCATGATCTGGTATTGACGCTTACTTGGTTTGGTACGTCTTAACCAGATCTTATCTTTTCTGAAGTCACTGGCGATGTAGGAGATGATACGCTTCATGTTCAATCTCTTACCTGTCTTGTAGTCACCTTTCAACTTGGTACTAAGAGTTGGTTCCAAGATGAGACGTAGCTGTTCACAAAGACTTGCAGCAAGATCCTGAGTTTCCAATTCACTCTTTCTCCAAAGTTCACGAGCTTTCTCAATGTCAACGACATCTTCATCACGGTCAATCACCTCCGGCTTCAAAAGACTTTGGTCAAAGATATCTTCATCGCTTTCTTCCTCATCGCTGAACTCAGCCTTGATGAAATCATCCTCAACATCAGCTTCCGTCTTTCTCTCTCCAATAAATCCACCTTTAGTCTTGCCGTTGAACTCATCTGCCTCTTCTTGGTTATCACCAACATCCTCCATTTCTTCGTCCGAAACGGCTTCACCTTCAGCTACTGGAGCTTCTTCTTCTTCAGCTTTAACTTCGACTTCTTCGTCATCGTCAATAGCCATCTCATCGTTGATTGCAGATACTTGGTCCTTATTAGCTGCACCAAGTGCCTGAGTCTCGTTCTTGGTATTTTCACCATCAACATGCTCAAATTCATCTGGACGTTCATTTGCACTCTGTTCAGCGATATCATTGTGCTCTGATGCATTTTGGATCTCCTGATGACGACGGTGGAACTCTTTCAGAGAATCACCAAGTTGTTTCAAGGATTCACGAAGATCATCACGAGTCGAATCGGTCGTCTCTTCGGAACGCTCATTATCTTGTTGCTGTTGGTTGGCAGATCCATTGGCACCAACGTCCTCTTGTTCATCTTGAGTCTCTGCCTGGGCACCTTGGCCATGGCTTCCCGACTGCTGTTCAACTGCTGTCTCGGGATCAACGTCTTCGTTATTGTTTTCACCACTGTCAGCACCCTCTAGACCTTCCATTTGGTCACCATTCTCATCCTGTACATCGTCTTGTTGCTTTTCATCTTCTGCCTGATTCTCTTTCAATTCCTCGTCTTCAGAGTCTTCTGGGGCACCTTTGATAGCCTCTTCCTCTTCCTCTTTGACATCTTCATCTTGGTTATTATCATCTTCGAGCTCTTCATTTGTTGCAACTTCAGTATCAGGCTCTTTATCGGCAAGCTCCTCATCTTCGCTTTGATCGTTCTTCTCAGCAGCTTCCTGTTCATCAATATCTTTATCAGAAATTTCCTCCTCGTCCACATCCATCTGATCATCAATGTCGTCGTCTATATCATCTTTATTCTCCTTATCGTCATCTTCATTCTCAGAATCCAGATTGATATCATCAGGAAGATCAAGAGCTTCGGTCTCTGGTACATTCTGTTCCAGTTCTTCTCTTTCCTCGTTCTTAACTTCATCCTGTTGTTCACCAACATCTTCTTCCTCCTCCTCCTCAGCGTCATCGTCGTTTTCAGGCTCTTGAGAGTTATCTTGGGGATTTTGGTCATCGGCCTTATCTTTGGTATCACCAGGCTCTTCTTCGTCTTCTTTAGCTTTGACATCGTCATCTTTCGAGTTCTCTGGCATGCTCTCGGATTCCTTTTCTTTCTTGTCCTCCTTAGCTTCCTCATCCCACATCTTGTCGTCAACAGCATTAGGATCTAAATCATCTAAGTCATCGATTTCCTCATCCAGATCTTCCTGTTCATCCTCGTCTTCATCGTCCTTCTCATCATTGTCATCCTGGTCAGAAAGATTTTCAAGATCACCTGCCATATCACCTTCAATATCAACAGCATCATCATTGTCATCATCCTCATCACGTTTATCGTCTTTTTCCTTATTTGGTTCCTGTGCATAGTCATCAAGATTTTCATCATCTTCAACATCATTCGAATTGTTTTGTGCACCTTCACCATCTCCAAGACCTGTACCATCATGAAGATTGTCGTCATCTTTACTCTCTGTAGGTGGTTCTGGGGAACAGAAACCATCCTTTGCAAGATTCAATAGAGATGAACAGAAAATATAAGTAGCACGGGAGACGTCAACGTAATTATCTTTGGACTTGTTCAGAACAATCACCAGAAGATCCTGGTAGTTCTTCAAAAAGATATTTGTAAAACTCAAGAGTGTCTTGACTTGAGAAGTCTCTGTACAAGACATCTTTGATAAATAGTCCATAAGTTCCTCGAAAGATTTCACAATAGATGAAGTGTGGAGAGACTTGGAAATGCTGGATAGTTCCCTTTGGGTGAGAGTGAACCATTTATCATCCTCTGATTCAACAGTTGGAACGTTCAAAACATTTGTCACCTTCTGGAAAACAACCATAACTCTTGAACTGATCTTGCGGAGAATCTCATCAAGCTCAACTAAGTTAGCAGGCTTTGCTTCATGCTTCTCTACCTCTGCGATATTTTGTGTTCTTAGCCAATTTATGACTATATCACCAACAAATGGAACTGTTGAATTTGTCTTCCAAACTTCGAGTTCTTTAACAAATCTGTTAATCATCGTACTCACAGAATCCAATGCTGTGAGTGATGTAGTGGAGAACTTCCAAGGTTTATTGAAGGCAAGTGTAATCTCTTTCACTTCATTCACCATGGAATGGAAAATTGATATGTCAGAGGTTGAGCCGTACAGTTTAGTACAAACAGAACAAACTTCAATAGCGTAACTCAGAACTTGCGGTAACCATTTCAAGATGTATTCGACATCTGCAAGAGTTTTCAAAACAACACTAGCAGATACTAATTCACCATCAAATTGACTGATACCGTCCAATTGCTGCTGTACCGTCTCAAGAGCCTTGTAAGCGGACGAAATTTGTAACAGTGGCTTCTTGTTTTTGATCAAACAATAGATCAGGTTTTCAATCACAGCTAGACCTTTCTCAGCATCTGCCGGTGGGACATCTTCTGCCACATTCGACACAGAGGCTCTTAAACGAGGAAGAATATCAACAATTCTGAAAAAATAAGAATCATACGATGAGAGTACTGTTCCACTAAAAGATTGGGACTCTGACAGAATCAAACTGGCTGAAGACTGTAATTTGTGGATATCCTCTCTCAAATGAGTCTTCAATCCAATTTGCTTAAGCTCACGTAAAGTGTCACTCAACAGTTTCATTTTTTGTGTTTTGAGAGCAGCAATCATCTTTTTGTTTTCATCATTCAGTGTTGTTGGAGTCTCCTTCTTCAGACGTTCCATTTCTTCCAAAAGGAATTTGGAATACTCATACAGTGATGGGTAAGTTCTGTTCTTGACACGATTATTGTAAACCAGCATATTGGAGTTGATAAGTACACCATTCTTGAGATGTTGTGGACGAGCAGTAAATGGTTTAATCGCACTGCACAACTTAGAAACCTCGTCTATATCGGTATGCAAGAATCTAGAAGCAATTATATTCTCCTTTCCACAAATCACTTTCTGTGAGTTGCTTAAACCTTGCTCGATTAGCGAAGTAACAGACCCACCTAATATGTCACGGTACTTGCGGACAATTTTGTAGAGACTGTGGTGGGAACGACGAGCAGACTGCTTTAAAGCATCAATGTTCACATCCTTCCAACTTGCAAGTAAGATGACTTCTTCAACTTCTTTTTGTAGTTTCTTTCGACCATTGTTCAGGCTATCCTCAATTAAAGGAGTGAACTGGTCATAGAAGGTGATGAGATTCTTGACAGTGTTGTTCAGCTTATGGTCTGAAGAAATCATCTCGACGTGGATTGAAAAGGCTTTCAGCAGATCCAGACGAGAGCGATACTGACCAATTGTGCTCTTACTAATGAAAAGATTCAATGACGACACCACTTCAATGAGGTTCAGATCATCTTCATGTGAATAAACAGGCAAGATTATGGTCTCAAAAAGGTTAAACCACCATTTGCCGATATCTTTTTTGTAAATCTCATCCTCATTATCAAATAGTGACTTCCAAGTGGACAGTTCAAGTCTTCTCCAGGAGACAATGAGAGTTGTCATTTCGTCAAAGTTTTCTCTCAAAGTTACCTGACTGGAGGCATATTTTTCCCATTCGGCGACAAATGTGTAGATCTGTTCAACTTTTTGAATCAATCTGGCGAGTGGAGTTCTCACTGGGAAAGACATGTATTCCCTGCAGATACGTGCAAGAATTTGGAGTGTTGCATGCTCTGGCCATTGCTTTAGATGTTCGCAGACACGACCAAAAAGTCTTTCAATAATCTCAATGGATCTCTTTAACTCCCTTGGTGAATAGCCACGGTAAAAGTCAAGATCGGTGCTTCTAACACTTGTAGATGCAGCATCAATTGACTCCGATAACTTGACAAGAACGGAAGCAAATTTGGATGGCTCGATGGTACCAGCCTTGAATTCTTGTGAAGTCTCCAAGATTCGTTTTGTAATCTCAGAACCAGTGTTGACCAATTCTTTCAGGTTGAAACGTTCCTTCTTGAGGAATACTGTGATGTATCTTTGTGCCAGCAATACGAGCTCGTCTTCAATGGTAGTCGAACTCTTGATGGTCACACCGTCAGTCACATTAACAAACTCCTCAAAATCTGGGAACATTTCTTTGAAATCTTCATCGGACTCTGATTTATCTTGATATCTGAAAACACTTCCCTCTTCTGCAGCCTTCTGCTCCTCCCTTGATCTTCTGAGAGACCATCTATAGTATAAGGCTTGGAACACTTGTTCGAGTTTTGGATCATGGACAGCTTTCTCACCAAGGCTTGTGGCTAACATATCAAACATGAATCTTAATATTTGCTCTGCCACTGGTGATTCAACATCCATGGTTTTACAGAAATCTCTGAAAATAGTAAATCCAATCTCTATGTCCTCCCTGACTGCTAGAGATTGCGGGTTCACAAACCACAATGGCGATACAGGGTACTTGGTGCTCTGGCCCTTTCTAGTTTCAAGAATCAAATCAAAACCAAGCTTCAGCCCAAAGATGTAACCTTTAAATATATCATTAACATCTGAAAAGTGTTTGAACTTGTTAGAAAGTCTCTCCAAAAAGTTTGATGAGTTCTGTTGGAAAAGTTCAACCTGTTTCTCAAACAACTCCAGTTCTGTAGACTCTGTCTTTCCCAAGAAAGCCGACAATGAGTCAACCTCTAAAGTTGAGTTCATGAAAGATGACCACTCATCGAAAAGATTGTCTATGGAGATTTTGGTACGATAAACTCTTGGTTTTTCTGGTTTAGCTTCGCCTTCAACTGATGGGCAAAAGCGTTCGATAAGGATCTCTTCATCTCCAAAATTGACAGAAACCACTTCACGCATAGCCACTGATACATCAGTACAAAACTGTGCTCTTTTCAAGTAATTTTCGTACAATATATGATCCTCAATTGCTGGATCGTAAGTGGAATCCGGGACGTAAAGCTGAATGAGTCCAATAGACAATAACACCCAAGCCTGTCCAAGCTTGCCGGTTTCGACATCTGCGGACAGGAGTTCAAGGGCTGGAAGTAAGAACGAGGTATTGATACGCTGGAAGAACTGGTCTTTGACATCTTGTGAAACACTAATCAAAGAAGAAATTGACATGCCAGTATAGTCTTGTTTGGTGATCAATGCTAGAATTTTCGTGTACCAGTTAATGATTATCCGTCTGTGCTCTTCAACTTTGTTGGACAATATGGACTGAGAATTCTTCACAAGTTGTTTAGAGAATACGATGGAATCACGCACAGTTTGCTCGAGTTGATCTCCAGAGAACTCATTGTAATTACCAATCTTTGAAAAAACTGACTGTAAAAAGTGATCAGTGAACAGGTCAGAAGTTAACGATTTATATCCAACATCTGATTTCAACCATAGTGTATCAAAAACCTTTGGATATATGTCATTCTCAAGTGTTAACAAGGCACTGGCACCAATACCTGCATAATGAGATAGTTGGATAAGGTCATCATTAGCATTAGACGAACTCGAGACAGCGAAATTGAACAAAAGCTGGAAACACTCTTGGAAGTTATGGGATCTCTTAATAAGAAGTTCAGATGATAGCCTCTCCAAGTTTGCTATTCCTTGTTTCAAAGCATCAAAAATATCTGAACCTGGCGTTGTCGACTCAGCAGTAATAATGTGATGTAAGTCAAGCACAGATGACAACAGCGTAGTAACATTGGTATCAGCATCAGAATATTGTTTGAAAGCAACTTGGTCCAACTCTGAAATCAACTCCAAAAGGTCGGAATGGTCAGCCCATGCCTGCCCAGTTTGTGGATACGTTCCTCTGAACTTTTCCCATATTGGAGTCATAAATAATCCTCTCGTCAGAGATAAGTCGCTTTCGAACGATTCCAAAAGCTCTATAAATTTCTCAATATTGGCCATTCCAGGTGTTCCCTCAACGTTCTGTTTCATCATTCTCTGGTAAACTCTAGCCTTTGCTTCATCTTTGGACGAGCTGCTGTCATACAAAGATGACCAAATGATACACAACCTATGCAAAACTTTGAACATTCCTGCTGACTCTAGCGGGTTTGTCTTGTTAGAGAATAACGAAAAACGGATGAAAGTCAACGTCTCTCTCAAAAGTTTGAATATGTTCAGGCGTGGTGCACTTTTGACTTCTCTTCCGTTATAGGCAGCAGCACTCTGTTCAAGATAATTCAATTCGTTGAGTTTTCCATTCTTACCCTTCAGTTCAGTAGACTCCAATGCAGTTATGGACTTATGCACCTGAGAAGCCACTTCAAAAAGATAAATAACTTCAGATGGATTGGCACATTGACCATCTGTTATAGTATCAAAGACATAAGAATTCCAGAGTGGATTCAAAAACTGATATGTCACATAATTGACATTTCCTCCGAGAAGTGATTGGGCCTTTCCATCAATATCGGTGTATAATTGATAAATCGCTCTGGAAAGTCCTGTTTCAGCGAAGTATTGAATATGATCAACAATACCCTCGATATATGCAGAAAAGGCAGTGTTGAACTCTCCACAACTCTGAACAGTGGAACTAAACAGTCCTAAAGATGAATGCGAGGTGAATGGAATAACTGAAGAAACCACCGAAGCACTCTGATGGACATCTGTACGTTCTGTGTCGCACATCAATCCGAGATAATAGGAACTTGAGTCCACGGGTTCAACAAATTTAGAGACAGGAACAAAGCACGATGAGCCAATGGTCATATCTGCCAGTGTCAACTCTGAACTCTGCTCGTTTCTTCCCAATAGCTTCATATCGAATTCAGTTCCTCTTTCGTTCAGGTCATTCAAGAAGATCTCCACACCTCTGTTTCTCATGGCTCTGGAAAGCTCTCCGAATTTAGGATTCATGGTCAAGAAGAGACGGAAATCTTTGTGAGGTTTCAAAACTCGAGGTTGTCCGTCGGGTAAGCTGCACTCGTTTATAATCAAAGAACCATTGGTTTCAAGCAACGAATTAAGTCTATCAAGAACAGAAGGGCTGCACAAATTGGCATTATCCAACACCAGCCAGTAACCTTGTTCAACAGCCTTAACCAACAATCCATCAAACCACTCGAAGCTCACAACGCTCTTTTCATGAACCTTTTCAGAGAGAGATGATATAGTATCAGCAATTCTAGCAACTCCCTCAGAGAAGTTTACTGATCTTCTGAAGTCTGCAAATTTCATAGCCAATAAGTCGAAATTATCGACTGTGATGTGAGAAGAGTTCAAAAACTTCAGTAGTTCAAGACAGGCTACGTTGGATTGTTGGATGTCTGAGGAAAACTTGAAATGGGTAGCAAGAACACGGCACAACACATCGACTAGCTCATTGACAACTCGAGTTATTTGTCTGGTAAGATCGAGCTGTTCATAACCACCTAAAATATCCATACTATCAATGTCGCTGTTCATTGAGAACTCCACAACCTTAGTACCACATACCGTAGCCAGATATCTTACAATGTCGGTTTTTCCAGAATTAGATGGACCAACTAGGATTGTCGGCCAGTTATTCTGGATGGCTAACAAAGCAGACTCCACAATGGCTCCGTTGGTCTGAAGATGGCATAGGCTACTATAAGAAGTCATCCCAAGTAGTTCAGAACGTTTCATGAGAGACTTTCTGGACTGAATAAAAGCTTCTCCAAGCACGAACAAATTGTCATTATTTGGGCTTTCTCCAAAGATCTCTGTAACGAGGGCAGTAGCTTTCTTTTTGTCCTCCTCTGATCTAAATCTTTGGGTAACGATGATGTTCAAGAATTCCACTGGTGATAAAGAATTCAAGATGGATGGAGAGTTATAAATTTCTAACCACCGCAACGTATCACGTAAATTGAACTCCCATGGGCCTCCCAATGTTCCCCATGATTTCTTCAGAGAAACTTCTTCCTCCAGTTTCGATATCACACTGATCATCTTCGCACACACGTCCTTGGCAATATTTGGATATAGATGGTGAGCGATTAACACAAGATCATCTGCCTTAAGAATATCAACATAAACAACTGTGAATCTATTGACGAATGACTTAGGCAATCCCTTTCTTCCACCACCTTGGTACTGAGGGTTTTGAGCTGCAAACACCTTGAAGTTTGGATGACGTGGGAATGACTTATCCAATTCTGGAATGTACGCTTCACCACGATGATCCAAACAAGCATTCAATCCCTCCAGAACTGACTGAGAAGCCAAGTTCATCTCATCAAGTAGAACCCATTCACCTCTCTTCATAGCCCTCAAGAAGGGGGCATCACGCCAGACAAATTCCCCAGTTTTACCACCCTCCACTGGTGCATCAGAACCGAAAAGGTCAACCAAGTCTGTTTGCTCAGACAGGTTGATTCTAGTAAGAGGGCTCCCCGTAGCTTTAGAAATCGCAGATATCAAACTAGTCTTACCAACACCAGGACTCCCTTCCAAGAGAATAGGTTTCTTGAGTTGCATAGCTCTGATGACACGCATAGCATTTGTAGCAGTTGTTGGTGCTTCAAAACTAAACAGTTCCTCCGACGATTGTTCAATATCTCTAGGTATCTCGAATAAACCAGCTTTCAAAGAGCTGTCAGTGAGAGACACCTCAATTTTGCCTTTGTAGAACTTTGTCAGATCGTCATTCAGAAGTTGTGATAATTCCTGGACACATTCAAGTTTCTGCGAGTTCAGCTTTTCTTCTGATTCAGCCAGATGAGCAGTATTATTTGTACCCAGAGCATCAATGAAAACCATTGCGGCACCATGTAACATCGATCCATTGATTGACTTTGTATGAATATAAGAATTGTTCACGAATTCGACCCAGGCAAGAATGTCACGTAAAGACAAAACACCACTGGTAAGAGTACCACCAAGTCTTGTACCAAAGCTTTCTGCAAACTTCACAATGATAGGAGCCAAGTACTTCAGGTCCATAGAGAGCTTATTTTCAACGATACATTGAACATCGGCGATATCTTCCATCGATGGTACCCAGATTTCAGTAAAACGGTTTCTAAGAGCTGGGGAAAGTTCCTTTTTTCCATAATCACCACCTGGATTCATAGTGGAGAGGAATTGAAATCCATCTGCAGCAGTGATAAAACTATCGTCTGATCCCTTTTCAGCCAACAAGAGACTTCTCTCAGGTTCCAATACACTGTTGAGTCTTTCCAATACTGAGTCATCTGCTAATGAAATCTCATCTAAAAGGAAGTAGTCACCACAACGTAAAGCTTGAACCAAAGGACCATCTGTCCATTCGAAGAGAACATTCATATTAGCCCTGTCGTGTGCTATCTCAGCCTTCAAATCGTCTGAAACAGTTGAAAGGTCTGCGCTGTCAAATAAAGTCAATAATTCACTAGGATTGGTGTCTTTAGTAGCAATACCAATGCTTTCTAGTACGCCCGTGATTTTCTCATAAAGTGCTCTCTGTAGTTCTAACTTGTTACGAACTGGTCTTTGAGCACCAAGAAGATCACCAGTTTCTGTATTTTGATGAGCATTAACAGTAATCAACTTCTTGTTATTGAATTGTGAAAGGACCTGACAAACAGTAGTCTTTCCACAACCCGTTTCACCGACTAATAATACAGGTTCGTTGTTACCAATGGCTGCTGATATAAGGACAGAAAGACGGCGCATGGCCTTTGTCCAAACAACAGTGGATTCAATCTCCATTAAATCCTTATTCTCCAGTTTGGAATAATAGTCGTCCATGTCTAGCTTCACACGCATAACCTTCTCCAATGTTTCCTTCACCACAAGTTTCTCCTCCGGCTTTCTAACTCTTTCAGCCAATAGCATATAACCATTGGCAGCGAGTTCTTCATATCCGACAGCTTCTCTGGTAGCCCAACGGAAAAGATCACGCAAAGTTGCAAAACTGTTCTTTTGCTCAAACAGACGTGAAGATTGACGTTGGATGGAGAGCTGACGGTATACGTCGACGATCTTCTTGGCGTAAGATGGAGCGATCTGGCATCTTTCTCTAAGAATAACTTCTAACTCATCTTGTGGGATATCATCAAAGTGGAGTTCCAAGAATCTGTTACGGAACGCTCTTGATAGAACCTTACGACCACCATAGAGACCAGGAGGGTTTTGCGTTGCAAAAAGCATGAAGTCTGGATGCGGATGGACAACTTCTTGTGTTTCTGGGATAAACAACTCTCTGTTATCATCAAGTAAACGGTTAAGTGCTTCCAGCACATCGGTAGGTGCCAAGTTCAATTCATCCAACACAAGCCAGTGACCATTACGAAGAGCCTCGACGAGAATTCCTTCTTTAAAAGACAGTTTTCCAGTATCATCAGAAACGTACGTACCCAAATATTCCTGGAGATCTGTGTGTTCGTGATTGTTGATACGAACAAACTTGTTTCCCGTGATGTCGGCCAAGTACTTCACCATACTTGTTTTACCAGCTGATGTTGGACCTTGGATAAGGATAGGGAACCTCTTTCCTGACGTAGCTCTGACAAGATTAAGCAAATTCTTTTCAACAAAAGGTGTGATAATATAATGTGCATCTTCGACAACATCAAAAGGACCCTTTTTCATCCAGTAATGCTTGAATTGGACAAATTGTCCCTCTTCAGATGAAGGTGCTGGGGGTATCTGACTAATTACTGACTTTGCATTCTTCAGTCTTCCAATGGTATACTTCTCGATTAACGGTTTCAATATTTTGCCAGATTTCTGATCTAGCAATGTTAAGAAAGACATAGAGAACCCTTCATATAATGAACGACGCAAACCATATATCGAAACGATATCACAAACATAGAGAAGGGTTCTAGTCAAAGTACGAATCGAAAAGTGTGGTTTCTGGTTTGCTCCATCCACAATCTCATTAGCCTGTGCAAGCTTTTTCGCTTGCAAATAGAGCTCAGCAACGTCATTTCCAACCCACTCATCATTAACTGCAAAACGTGAGATATATCTATCAATAATTTGAAGCAAATCAGCAATGTCACCATCGGGAGAATGGACATAGATTTCAGTGAACCGTGATCTGATACTGATAGGGAGATCACGCTTACCAACGTCAGTAGCAGGATTCATACACGAAAAGATTCTAAAATCCTTGTGAGCCTGAATAGATTCGACTTCACCCTTCTCTGAGAGTAAAATAGTTCTTTGAGAAGCAACGTCAGAAAGAAGATCGGAAATACTCTCTAGTGTATCGGGAGAGGCTAAGTTAATTTCATCAAGCAGCAACCAATCACCATTTCTTACAGCTTTCACAAGAGCACCTTCCACGAAGTTGAATACAAAGGCGTTTTCCATTGTTTGTGATTGCACCTCAAAGTCTTTAACCAAAGACTTGAAGTCAACCCATTTTGCTAACAGCGCAGATTTATCATCTGCATTGAGACGTCTCTTCTTCTTAGGAGCTTCATCTTCTGGATCAGTTTCGTTCTTCGATAACACTTGATTGGCCAATTTAACGGCCTCATTCCAAAGTCGAATCACATTTTTCCATTGGTTGCGGTTGAAACACTTTATCAACATCTTTTCAAACTTTTCATTCTTCTTAGCAGAAAAGGTCAAATGGAACAAATTTATGAATGTCTCTTGGATTGGGACTGCGATTGTCTTTGTATTCACAGGTTTATAGCCACCGAGCAAATCACCAGTTTCTGTCTGTTGGGAAACGTTGATAACAGTGAGGCTCTTGTTCATCTGTTTAGCAACCTGCTGAACAACTGTAGTCTTACCAGTACCAGTCTCACCAACAAGTAGCACGGGCTCTGTCATCTGAACAGCAACACCAATCTGCTCCATAAGTCTGAGAGAGTGGTTTGTTCTTGCAAACGAAGTGTTGTTCCCAGTATTCTTCTTTCTGTATAGTGCGTTCGGAGCCTTTGTCAAATGTGCTCTACCAAGAATGAAGCGGTCATCGTAATCTTCAAATATAGGAACATGCTTGTTCAAAAAGACCTGGATACGAGACGATGCGATTTGTAAAGCCTCTCCAATAACGTTTATCAAAGCATCAAGAGCACTCTCTTCGTTAACCGCACTAGCAAAGCAATCAACTGCTTCCGAGAAGATGTTGTCGATGACCGATGACTCTAAAAGGTTCTCATTGGACGTTATACCATTGTTCTGGTAAATTACATTCACACGGGTGCAAAACTTCATCAAATCCCTCACGGAAATGACCCTCGGATGTGACCCCTTATTCATTACGAGGAATGTCTTGCTTCTGTATGTTGTTTGAATAGACTCGTACAATGATATAAACATTGGAATCATTTTTGTGAGTAATGGGAATTTAACACAAAGGATATTTCTGAGTTCCTCGTCAGATGGGTCCTCAACAGCAAGCACATTCCATAATCTCAGACCAATTAGATCAGGAATAAGCTTCTTGGTACCATCGGATAATCTGATAGTTGCAAGAAGTTGGAATCCATTAGCAGCCTTGATAACTTCACCTCTGGATGGTATTGTCAATTCTCTCTTTTCCAGCAAACTCAAGAGTATAGAAAGGACCTCAGTTGGTGCTTTGTCAATGTCCTCAATAAGAACCCAACGACCTTCTTTAACTGCAGTGGTCAAGACACCAGACCTCCATTCAAATGACCCAGGTTTATCACCTGAAGTGTATGTACCAAGGAGAAGCTTTGCATCGGTTTGTTCACCTAAGTGAATCTTCACCATGGTGCGGTCACAGCTCAAATACTTGCTCAGCTCGTTAATCAAAAATGTCTTACCACATCCAGCTGATCCAACAACAATAACAGGTTTATTATCTTGAACGTTGCGTGCCAGCGCCTTCAAAGTATCAATAGATCTTTCAGTTGGAACAAAATCTGGCGACCTTGAAGACGTTTGATCGAAATGGGTTTTCGGTACAAGGATACCACAAACTGAGACGATTAGGGATCCAAGCATGTGAGGTTCAATCGCTATAAATATATCTGCTTTTCCCTCTCTTTCTCTGGTATTACCATCAATACGCAATTGTTCAAAGTTTGCCAATCTTTTGGCCTCTAGGATAGGAAGGAATCTGTAATCAACATTATGATCAGTCTCGTAATCTGCAATTATAGAGGAGTCCCCGACTTGGTTCTTCAACATATCATTCTGTGCTGTCTCTGAGAGTTTGAGGTATTTTGATAGTAACTTCACAGCAAGAAACTTGACAACCAAATCAGATTCCTTCCATGTAAGAATCTTTGCCAACGTATCTGGGGAAACAAAGGTGATGAATCTATCACAATCAGCATACAACAACCTGTAGAAGGCTAAAAGTATATCTCTGAGTTCAACCTGAGAAACGTTCTCTCCATGAGCCTCGATCTGAGAAAATATATCGTGTTGGGAAAGGAACAACTCCAATAGAGGACGAGTCTGAGGAGCTAAGGACACAACTCTACCCAATGAACACAAAACAACAGATCCCTTTACTGCACAAGACAGCTTCTTGGATGCAATATACTGGGCCTCGATGGAGTCGAGGGAGATCCATGATGAGACAAAATCGAGGAAAATGTCCTCCAAAGAGTACAAAGAAGCGGTTGTTAAAGATGGGTCAAGAGACGCAATGGCAAGCGCCTTCAGGTTCTCGGTGATGGATTTCTCAGTGTTGAAGCTCAAAGCCTTTCCATCAATAGATCTAGTTTCATAAAACTCAACAAAGCACCTCAACTTCTCGAGAGCTCTCGAGTAATTGAACTTGATAGTGTCGCTCATTTCAACCTCTTCTGTAAAACCAAGTGCAAATAAGTAGTAACCTTTACGAAAAGATGAGGGCAACCGGGGCGGGAAAATGAAAATAGGAACTAATAAGAAGAGAATAGGTTTATTCGATGGTAATTCCACAAATTGTAACCTTTTCAGTTCTTCAAATGGTCCTTTTCTGAAGCCTCTGTTGTGTTTATATGTCTTCTTCTTGTGTTTGTGATCTGAAGAGCAGAGGCAGTTGAAAAAAAATTCTTGGAGCGGCCACATCCACCCTCGGAATTACGTAAGCGATGAGACGGAACTCAAGGCTTTGGGACGGGCACACTTTGCTGTGTTTCTGGAGTTGATGTTGACGCTTATTATGTCACCCGCAAGTAACATGAGCTAGACATAAGGTCATGTGGATGCTACTTCAGTTCGAATGGAGACGGAGTGCTATGCTGCTTCCAGCCATCTGTTGGGTATGGTACTAGTGGGGTAAGCAGGCTTGATCGTATTTAGTACTACAAATTGCCTCAACTTGGAGACGGCATTACTACTGACTCGTCCCGAGGAAGGTCTCCCATATATCAGGTGCTCTCAGTGTTGTGTTCAAGAGATGGACTAGCGGTTGCCCGTAATACAATCACAGATCTCACAATCACCGGGGACAGTATCAAGTGACTACTGTTCAAAAGTCACAAAAGAAGTCCCTATTCCAGGGGAACTCTGGAGTGTACTTCTACTATACAATAGGAAAGACTCCCATGACATAGCACATTCCCCCCCCCCCCCCAAATGATGCCTATGGTTAATGTCCAAATCAATAGCAGGTTCCGCTTTCAAGTCGTCCAAATTCTGAAAATGGTGGTTAGTGGAACGGTGCCTGTCCGTAGCCACCGCAGTGTACAAAATAGAGCTGATCATGCTTAGTTGTTAACCAATATTGTTTGAACCAGTTCATCTATGTTGAAGTATGGGCAGTCGTGTTATTTTTTTGCATTATTCTGTGATTTCTCAAAGTATTGGAGCACAAAGTTGGATGGCAACAAGATAAACCATTTCAATAAAAAGATCAAAAGGTACGCCCATATCATGAATCCAAATGCAAACAAGTAAATGACGCTTCGTTCAATGGTCTGTGAGAAACATTTACCCTTGACAATATTCTTTATCCATTTCATGGGTCGTTCAACCGTGTAAGTCAATGGAATCCTCAATCTGAAATTCGTCAACCCTGTCATTTGCTGATATATTGCCTTAGAATCGCCATTGATGATGCTGTCAAGGACTAGGTGTAATATCGTGCAAATAATGTCGATCTGTGCTTTTCTTATTGAGAAATTTGTGCTGTAGCACTCAAAAGGCCTCTTCATTTGAAGTCTCTCCGGCTCCATCACAACTTGGACCAAGACATGCGTAACCACCAAGGCAGCACTCAATCCATTCTGTTTAACAAGCAGCAGAAATGAGAAAAAATTGATGAAAATATCAAGAATTCTAACTCTTCCATAAGGGTTCATACTGGAACGAACCAAAGCACGGGAATATACCTCCCCAATATCAGGTCTCGCTCCATGGAGATCCTGTCTTGCGTGAACCACGAATAGATGTTCGAACTGCAAAGCTTTGATTTCTCTGATGGTATCTTCAATCATGGTCAAATAACTCGATAATATTGTGTCATGGTCTCTGAAGTAGTGGAATTCACTGACTATAATCATGCTCGCCACTCCGGCTCTCTTTGCTGCAGTGGCTATTTGAACGTTCAAATTGTGATATGTATAATACTCCTCTACAAGGACTTCAGGATCATCACCACCTCCCGTATGTGCCTTTGTCGAACCCACCAAACAAGTGACTGACATGCAGTGTGGTATACAACCAATTAACTGGCGCCAGTCACTAACACTCCCGAGAAAGTATATGGTGTTCTTTCGTCTGACAGGAACTGAAGATCTTGAACACACCAACAAAATATGACGTGAGTCTAATGGAGTTGATCGTGCAACATATTCAAGCAAAATGGATCCTATCAAACCAGTAGCTCCAACTATAACATGGACAGGGTACCTACCAATCAACTCCAACACTGTTTTCTGGCACCTGCTTTCAGTCCAGCTATTATATTTCAAGGGGAAACTTCCAAAATCCTGTAGGCCAATATCATTTGGCTCAATAGGTGTTTCTCTCGGGGTCGACATTTCATATTCTTCAGTTCAATCTGGTCTCAGTATCATTAGAACTGTTGATTTTAAATTTGAGACTTGTAACCATTCACGGGGATGCCTCAAATTCCAACAAACACAAAACTACAATATGGCTCTAACGCTGGTGCTGGGAAGACTTTACGCATTGGACTAGGAATACCTAAGCACACTGTCATGGCACGTGTCGTGTGGTATTTTGAAAGGTAATGACAGCGTGTTCTGCACAGCTCGTAGTTCAGCATTTATGGAGATTCAAGAGCACAGTATGGAGGGTTGGCCCAGTTTCCTGAATCCAAACGAAAATGCAGCTTATGATAAAAGCTCTCATACTGACAAAAGCTCTCACTGTTGAAAAAGCTCACGTAAGACGAATCAATGAAGATTGTGTTCGTTAGCCAAATCAAGTTGGTGTAGCATAGACATTATGGTGTCATGAAACATCCAGACACCATATACGTGAGCTCTTACTACAAGCGGATGGTATGAGAGAGAGGTGTATTCATCTGATGAGCTCTTTGTCACCTTGGCTATAAATCAGAGAGAGGTTCTTTATATTTCATATCACTTACTTGGTAGCATGTTGTCATTTAGCACACTCAAAACAACACCTTCCGATGCCAGTATTACCGCAGAATACGCCATCAGTTTCCAATACTACCAACACAAGTGATGTCTTCATCACACCAGTTTTTCCTTCTACTTCGAGTGATAGCTTCAAGATAGGCTACGAAGCTGACACCATTGATGTAGCAGTTGAAAGCAAACCAATTCTGAACGTTGACCCTATTTTTTCAATCCAATCTGACAGCGGATCAAGGCTCGAATATGGTCTCAACAAGTTGATCTACCTCACTGCACTCCTCATCATCAACAGTCCTGCGTTGGTACTCTATTCTGTTCTTTTCGGCACTGCCAGCGTCGCATTCATCGTGGCCGGTCTCATTGGGATGGGTACAGCCTCCATAGTTTCATGGAAGGCCCTCGTTCACACCGTTAGCATCATGTCCGACGGTCAAGTCCAGTTGTACAATCCGAGCATCCAAAAAACCATTGTTAGTGCCTTCACTTATATTGATGCCGCTATAAGTGTCTATTCCCCCAAGTTCTATGGAATTGTCCACAGCGGACACGCCCGCCAGACTGTCAAGTGGATCTACAAGTTCAGAGATGGCACCACCACTGATGATTTGCAGAAAGCTCCCGAGGGCTCTGCCTTGGAATCCATCACAAGAGAAATCACCGATACCTCTGGGTCTATCAATGTCACGTTCGAGAGGTACAACAATGGTCTCCGTGTAAAAGTCACGGGTACCACAGCCACCAACATTGCAAACACCGAGGGCAGTATCAGTGCACCACCCGCCACGATTGAGAAGGAGGTTTTCATCCCGAAGGAACTCGGTGGTGTTTCTGATGAAGAGTTGAGACAGATTGTGGGTGACGTGAAGGGCGCATTGGGAAGCCTAGCCAATGAGGAGTCGAGCAGCGTTTCGGAGAGATGATCACATGTGCATGTTCATTCCATCTACTACAACAAACCTCTAACGTAACATCACATCTAACAACAGACGTCCATGGCTCAGAGAGCAGCGTGCATTGTTTACACAGCTTAGTCTGCTATTCTGGAAGTGGTTCCCCGAGGCCATCACTGGGACACATCCAGACACCACCACAGGCTTCTTGAGGGAACTGTTGTTTAACGGAGGGCCAGCTATAATGTATTGCGCGTGAATCCTTCTATAGATTCTATTCCGTACAATGAGCAATGGGTGTACTATCACAACGCTCATAATATTCATATATCGTACGGTTCGCAATGGCTATTATAAGCCATTTATTGGGTCTTCATTTTCAATATATGTCTAAATTATTGTTACTGCTTGAAAAAAGGTGGATCAAAATTTCACCATAAATTTTAAATAGGAACAGATTATTTAAATATAATTCCAGAAATCCTCTAGCTACACTGTAAAAGTGGCCAAAAGACAATAAAACATGCATTGGCAACACCCACACCAACTACTAACTAACACACAACCATATAAACCACCAAAAGGGAGTGGTTCCATAGCCCGTAGCGTTCTTATCACACTTTTCACCACAGCGACCGTTGTTTGCACGCCGAGGGAGATGCGCATCCTGCAGTTCCGTGCAGATCACCCAGCTCAGCTCAACCACAGCAGACCCTCGACACTATCGTGGAATATCAGCCAGGACGCTCGAATTTAACAGGTTTCCCGAATAACTTGAAAGCTCATTCACATTTAGCCGAATCACCTAGGACCGTCCAGTCCGTTGCCATGGCAATTTCTGTTGTTATTTTTTTGCAGTCTCATCGCACGCGGCTGATTCAAAGTTAAAAAAAAAAGAAAAGCTAAAAAAATTCTTCGTGATGACGGGAAAAAATTTCTACTCGAGCACGGTGTCTTTGTTCAACCACTTGCTAAAAGAGCGCTACAAGGAGTCAACAAGGGCTAAGGAATATCCATTTATAATCAGCTCGAATGCCTCCAAAGTTCAACCCTTACAACGCACATGCGTTTGTTCCAGATGGAAACGGCCAGCAAGGCGCTGGACAGTACAACACCCCGAACTATGGGCAATACAACAACCAGAACTATGGGCAATACAACAACCAGAACTATGGGCAATACAACAACCAGTACGGCGGCCAGCAGTACGGCGGTTACAACAGGGCTCCAAGAGCCAACAATGCCTATCAGCCGATGCAGAAGAAGGCGATGAGTCTCGACGATTACTTGTCGCAGCAGTCAGGAACTCCAAAGAAGGCACAGCAGTCTCAGTTACAGCAGACGTACAGTGAACAGAGCTCAGCAATGACCACACCACAGACGTCGACGCTCAACTCTCCATCTCAATCGACAACGTCCTTGACATCTTTGAACCAATCTATCGAAAAGATGCAGATCTCGCCAATCTCCATCAACCTGAACAAGCTCAAGGAGGCAAAGTCCTTGGCCGATGTCAAGGCCGAGGTCAACGGCATCGTTGACAAGATTGCCGAGGAAGGTATTCAATCCATCACCGAGTGGAAAGTGGATGATGTTGCATCCAAACTGATCAAGCCAAAGAACCCAGCTTTTGTAAGAGAAGGCGCGCTTGTTCTTGTCTCTTCAATCGCTAGAAAATTTGCGGGCCAGCCTCCAAAGGAGGCCTATTTCCTAGAGTTACTCTCTGTCGCACTCGATGCCTTTGCCGATAAGGACAATAACGTGAAAAGAGCTGCCCAAGCTGCTGTTGATGCTGTCTATGGCTCGTACCCAGTGGAGGCTCTCACCGCGGTTGTACTTGTACACATCCTCAATTATTTGAAATCCTCAGCCAAATGGCAGTCAAAGATCGCTGCTTTGAAGATCGTCGACAACATCATCGAGCAATCACCAGCTGATTTGGTGGAACTCAAGTTTAAGGAGTCTATCCCAGTGCTTACGGATATGGCGGTGGACTTCAAGCCAGAATTGGCAAAGGCTGGTATGAAGACAATGACCGCATTCGTCAAAGTGTTGGATAACTTGGATCTTCAACCTCGTTATGACATGATTGTTGCTACACTTGCGGACCCTAACAAGGTTCCAGAGTGTATTAAGTCACTTTCCTCTGTCACCTTTGTTGCTGAAGTCACAGAACCAGCGTTGTCATTATTGGTTCCAATCTTGGTCAAATCTCTAAACTTTTCCGGTTCTACTCAAGAACAATTACGTCAGTCTGTTATCGTCGTAGAGAACTTGACAAGATTGGTCAACAACAAGTTTGAAATTGAGAGTTTCATTCCGCTTTTGTTGCCAGGTGTTAAGAAAGTTGTTGAGAATGCTGCTCTACCAGAGGTTAGAGAGCTTGCTGAAAAGGCTTTGCAAGTCTTGCTTGATGACTCTGTTGATGATGGTAAGTTTGCAGGTAGATTGTCCTTAGAAAAGGGTGAAGAGTTCTTGGAAAAATCTAAGATCAATGATGACGTCCTGTTTAACTACTTGGTTAAGGTCCTTATTGCTGACGCCAACGTTAATGATTGGAAAAGATTGACTGAATACCTGGAGATGGCCTTGCCACAATTCTACTCTGGGGAAGAAGAGGCCAAGACCGTGACTCACGATATCATCAACAAGCTCAGACACTTGTTCACTCCTGATGCCGTTGATGAAGAAGACAGTGATGACATTGTCATTGTCAACTCTGACTTTTCCTTGGCTTATGGTTCTCGTATGTTGCTTAACAAGACCAACCTGAGACTTGTGAAAGGACATAGATACGGTCTATGTGGACGTAATGGTGCTGGTAAGTCGACATTGATGAGAGCCATTGCCAATGGTCAGTTGGAAGGATTCCCAGACCAGTCAGAGGTTAAGACTTGTTTTGTTGAACACAAGATTCAAGGTTCTGAAGCTGATATGGATCTGGTCACATTCATTGGATCCGATCCAGAGCTGGCTCATGTTTCTAAAGAAGACATTGCAAATGCTTTGGAAGAAGTTGGTTTCAACCAGGAGAGAAGAGAACAACACGTGGGCTCTCTTTCTGGTGGTTGGAAGATGAAGCTGGAACTTGCCAGAGCTATGTTGATGAAAGCCGATGTTCTTTTGCTTGATGAGCCTACTAACCACTTGGATGTTGCCAATGTTAAGTGGCTTGAAGACTACTTAGTCACCCACACCGATATCACTTCTCTTATCGTTTCGCACGACTCTGGATTCTTGGATACAGTCTGTACCGACATTATTCATTACGAGAACAAGAAGCTCATTTACTACAAGGGTAACCTTTCTGAATTCGTTAAGGTTAAGCCAGAGGGTAAGTCTTACTACACATTAACCGATTCTAACGTGAAGATGGCCTTCCCACCACCAGGTATCTTGACTGGTGTCAAGTCCAATACCAGATCTGTTGCTAGAATGTCCAATGTGACCTTCACATATCCAGGTGCCTCGAAGCCTTCCTTAGCAAATGTGTCTTGTTCTCTTTCCTTGAGTTCTAGAGTTGCTGTTCTTGGTCCAAATGGTGCTGGTAAATCTACTTTGATCAAACTGTTGACCGGTGAACTTGTTCCACAAGAGGGTAGAGTTGAGAAGCATCCTAACTTGCGTATTGGTTACATTGCACAACACGCTTTGCAACACGTTGAATTGCACAAGGAGAAGACTGCCAACCAATATTTGCAATGGAGATATAGATTTGGTGACGATCGTGAGGTGTTGTTGAAAGAATCCAGAAAGATTTCTGACGAGGAGAAGGCACAGATGGAGAAGGAAATCACCATTGATGATGGAAGAGGTCCAAGACAAATTGAGGCCATTGTTGGTAGACAGAAGTTGAAAAAATCCTTCCAATATGAGATCAAATGGAAATGGTGGTTACCAAAGTACAACTCTTGGGTCTCTCGTGAAATCCTTATCGAGCATGGGTTCGACAAGTTGGTTCAGAAGTTTGATGACCATGAGGCCTCTAGAGAAGGTTTGGGTTACAGAGAATTGACACCATCTGTGATTCGTAAGCATTTCGAAGATGTCGGTCTGGATGGTGACATTGCCGACCACACACCAATGGGATCCCTTTCTGGTGGTCAGTTGGTTAAGGTTGTCATTGCTGGTGCAATGTGGAACAATCCGCATTTGCTTGTGCTTGACGAGCCTACCAATTATTTGGATCGTGATTCTCTTGGTGGTTTGGCTGTTGCTATCCGTGATTGGAGTGGTGGTGTTGTCATGATTTCCCACAACAGTGAATTCGTCGGAGCCTTGTGTCCTGAACAATGGATTGTGGAGAACGGTACCATGGTGTCCAAGGGACACGCTGCTGTTGACAATGCCTCGTTCGAAGACGGTGGTGCCAAGGAGGGCTCTCCTTCGCCAGCTCCAATTCCAAAGACTAAAGAGGATGACGACTCACCAGCAAACATCAAAGTTCGTATCAGAAAGAAAAAAATGACTAGAAACGAGAAGAAGGCCCAGGAGGAGAGAAGAAGACTGAGACACATCGAATGGTTGAGTAGTCCAAAGGGAACTCCAAAACCTGTGGATACAGACGACGAGGACTAATGAGGAGGGCTTTCAAGAACGGAAATTAACATATATAATACACCATAAACATCGGCTTTTGAGTAATTACCAGGCAGTGTAGAGCATGGTGAATCGGCATCATGACAAAAAGCCCGAGAGGTCTTGGGAGCCTACTGTTGCGCGTACCAAAGCTACCAGTACTATCAAAACTTTTAACGAGTGATGCGATAGCTACGCTCATTTGGGGAGGTTGTTGTTGGATACGTGAACGATGATTAGAAGACCTTCATTCTTAGACAAGGACCCGCCACCGGGATATATACCAGGTATCGGCCGTGGTGCATCTGGGTTTTCCACTAGGGCTGATGTTGGAACTGGAAGACTAGCACCGCAACATCGCCGTGGTGACGGCGACGACGAAGAAGACCATGATGGCCGATACGCCGATGTTGATGAGAACGGTATGCTCATTGAGGATCAAATGGATAAGGAGGATGAGGAGGCAGACGAAATCTACAAAGCTGTGGAAGAAAGACTGAGGTTGAGACATAAGAAACGAGTACGATTAGACGATGCTGATGACATTGCCGGCGAGAGAGGTAACCTTGCAAAGATTTCTAAGCAGTTTGTCGATCTCAAGAAGGAGCTGAGTACTGTTAGCGATGAGCAATGGGCCAACCTCCCAGAAGTTGGAGATTTGACTAAGAGAAATAAGAGGTTGAGAGACGAGGCGAACAGGGAAAGGCTCCAATTTGCTGCGCCAGACTCATTGATTGGCGGGCTTGGTGAGGGAGTTGATATAAGTAAGCTTACATCTGAGCGTCAAAAGCTATTGGGCTCTAAGATTGATGCCAACTTCGAACTAGAGGACAACGTTATCGACCAGGAAGGTTACTTGCAAGAAGTATCAGCGTTGGAAACCGGGAATGAAGAAGAGATGAAACACATTAAGTCCATTTTGAGTTCCTACACCAAGGCCGACCCTTCGAAGAGCACAGGTTGGATCGCCAGAGCACGCTTGGAAGAATTCAACAAGAATTTTGAACAGGCGAAGAAGTTGATTGAACAAGGTTGTGCGAATTGTCCAAGAGATGAAGACATTTGGCTCGAGAGCGTTCGTATCCATAGAACAGACCTCAAATACTGTAAGATCATTATTACTGAAGGTGTCAGATTCAACCCGAAGTCCGTCAAGTTATGGTTAAAAGCAGCTGAATTGGAGCAGGATGATTTTAACAAACGCAGGGTTCTGAGAAAGGCCATAGAGGCAATCCCAACATGCGAGGAGCTATGGTCCAGACTTGTCTCATTAGAAGACTCTGGCGATGAAAGCGTCAAGATACTGACAAAGGCCTTGGAGTTCGTACCAAAATCTGAATCGCTCTGGCTTGAACTCATCGATGCACAGAGTTATAAGGATGCACGCAGCACGCTCAACAAAGCTAGAAAGGCACTGGGTAATGACAACGTGGAGGTATGGCTCAAGGCAATCAGACTGGAGTTTGAACATGGCGAAGTTTCCAAGGTTGAAAAGCTGATCAAAAAGGCATTCAAGGAGTGTTCGCTTACCAGAGATGAGTGGTATTCCAAGGCTGTTGAATTTGAAGACGGAGCGTTGACACACATTGCAGCGCTGATTGTTAAGGAGCTGCTGAATGCCGAAGATGCTGACTATTCACTTTGGGTCAGCGATACGGAGAAGTACTCCAAGCATGCCCATGTTGTAAAGGCCATTTTAGACGAGACAGTCATCCGCTTCCCCAAGAAGACATCCATCTGGCGTAAACTCATCGAAATCTACAAGGAGCATTTCAGCATGGATGACCTGTACAACGCATTCGAACGTGCTCTGGAGTTGATGCCCAAGACTGCGTTGTTCTGGCTGATGTACTCAAAGGAAGTGTGGAAAAATGGTGATATTGACAAGGCCCAATCCGTTCTACACAGGGCTATTCAATCCATCCCTCATAACGTTGACGTTTGGTGTGCTTTGATGAAGTTACAGGCCGTGTCACACAGCTTCTTCGCCTTGGACGACACCTTTGAGAGGTCAAAGACCTCTGCACCAAGCGAGCGACTGTGGTTCAAGTTCGTACACGTCTTGAGACAGCGTGGGCTAAACGACAGGGCCCTCACGGTCCTGAACCAGGGACTACAGCAGTACAGTGACAGCTGGAAGATGTATCTACAAAAGGCCCAAATCTTGGAGTCCAGGCACGATTTAGAAGGCGCCAGACAAGTCCTGTCGCTCGCCACCAGAACCGTTCCCACACGGCCAGAGCTGTGGATCCATCTCAGTGACATTGACCTCAAACTGTCAAACACCACGAGAGCACGCTCGAGCTTAGATATCGGCCTTGCCAAGTGCCCGGGTGATTTGCTCTGGCTTGCCAAGCTGGACTTTGAGACGCTGAACGGGGATAGGAGTCAGGTGGGCAGCATGCTGTCAAGGGCTTTAAGGGAGTATTCGGAGTCATCGCTCCTGTGGAAATTCAAGCTGGAGCACTTCACCAAGAGAACGCAGAGGAAAGCCGCATACCAAGACGCATTGCAGGCCACTTCGAACCATGTGCGCATCCTGCTAGTTATCGGGGCCAACTTCTACAGAGAGGGCAAGCTGGATAAGGCCCAGAGGTGGTTTGAGCGAAGCGTTGAGACCGACACGGACTTCGGCGACGCGTACGGGTGGCTTTACAAGACCCTGAAGATCTCCCTTGCGCAAGGTGTCGCGGCGACCAAGACCACGACCACGACCACGACCACGAGGACCACGACCACGACCACGACCACGACCACGACCACGACCACCAGTGGCGCCTCCATCGAGTCTCTCGAGAGGAGATGCCTCCAGGCTGAACCACGCCATGGTGACGTGTGGCCGGTGGTGTCGAAGGATATCGGCGCGCCCTCCGACCCTGTCCAGGTCTTGCACTTGGTTGCTGAACGACTGCACTGAGGGACGTGTGTATAGTTATATGCGTATAGATGGCAAAAGAAAGAGCAGCTGTTGGCACTGTAGCACAGCGTTGTACACTAAACTGTAAGCATTGGTGGGTAGGCAATCACCAAACAATCAGAGCGGCTAACGTCATCCTGGCTCGCCATACCTCTTGAAACAGTCGTGAGGCTAGGCCCTTCTCTACACAGAGGCCCCCTACACAGAGGCCCCCACTGTGCTCGTGCTCCGTGACACAATCCTCCTGCGTTGCCATGCTGCCCGTACCTGCGGACATTTCGGTGAAGCAAGCGCGACGGGACTTTTCGGTGAAGGAGTCTCGCTCATGTTCTGTTGAACCGCTTTGCAGGTTTTATAAAAGCATCGAGGATCCAGTGTTGGAGGGAAATGTTGTTCCCCCAGCTGTGCACCTCCTTCCACTTGAACCTGGAATTTTGTTTTCCCCTTTGCTTGCCTTGGATTCACAGTTTGAACGCGTGTTTCCAGCTTCACATCCCTCAACCTTCCGCACGGTTAATCTCGAACTCGTTGTTGATCCCGCCATGGCTCACCTTCACAAGCAGACCAAGATCCCACAGCAGGAGATCTTGCCGTTGGCCATGGACATTGGTGCTCTCGGTAACAGAATCAACTTCAACACGAGAAGCGAGCACAACAGCATAAACAGAACCATCACTCTGAAGTTTGCCATTGCGATCAGAGATGCGCGTATATACCGCCAGGGGATCCAGGCGTTCTACCACGTTTTCAGAACGGTGGAGGAGTTGATCAACAAGGAGCTGTCCCAGGAGCCGCTCAGCAAGACTGGCGAGATCTTGAAACAGATCTGGAGACCCGAGATAGCGCGTACCGCTGCGCTCGAGCAGGACTTGATGTTCTTCTACGGCAACGACCGTTCCAAGTTCGAACATCCTATCAGACAGGAACAGATTGATTTTGTCCAGCACATCCACGACGCATACAAGGAGAAGCCACACATCCTGCTAGCATACTGCCATGTGATGTACCTTGCTCTCTTTGCAGGTGGTAAGATCATGCTGTCCTCGTTGACAAGAGCCAGCGGAGTCTTCCCAAGACTGGATGGCAAGACGACCGAGGAGGTGAGCTCCTTCGGTACCAACTTGTTCAAATTCCAAGTTGAAGATGACGAGGTGCTGAGACTGGACTATAAGAAGGCGTATGAATTGGCCACACGTAATGCATTGACAGAACAGGAGAAGCTCGACATCATTGACGAGTCCAAGGAGATCTACAAGAGAAACGTCATGGTGGTGCAAGAGCTGGAACGCCACAACAGGGAGAAGATCACCTCCAAACTCACGTACAAGGTGTTCAACTACGGCTATTACGTCGCCGTCGCATTGCTTCTGCTCATCACGGCGTGGGCTTTGCGTAGGGTGGTGAACCATTTGCTCTTCTGAATGCGGCATCCTCACACCCTGTGTACATTATATATATATATCCCGTCTTCTATAATATTGATCATGACACTTGTTACGAATAACTTGCTACACACGACTCGTTACATTCCCATCTGTAGTGAACCGCACGCCCTGTGACAGGCGTACTCGTTGTGATTTGTTGTATGTACATGGTAATAGAGAGACAGAGACACACGCGGAACACGCTGCCACTCCTCAGTCCTTCTTCAGCTTCTTTCTAAGCGCCCTCTGGGCTTTTCTTCTCTTTCTCAGCTTGTGCTTCTTCATCTTGAGTCTTCTCTTTCTCAACACAGAGTCCGCCCTCATCTCTGGCGCATCCTGTAGTTCCTCCAACCTCTCAGCAATCGAAGGCGGAACAATACGCATCTGCGACACCTGGCCCATCAGCTCCTTCAGTTCCAGTGCCCTTGATACCGGCGTCGACACAACGGGCTGTGGACGAAGCAGCGCCCTCGGTGCCTGCTGGAGCGTGGAAAAGCCCGACCTCAAGGCTCCGAGTCTCAGACCACCTTGGGCTGCCAGTGATGGCAGCCCACACGCACGCAAAGCAAACAGGCGAAGCATTGTTCTGTCGCTCTCCTCCTGGCCAAAGTCAAACAGCTGCGTTTGTTGGACGACAAGTGGACGAAAAACTTTGTGTGCGGTGGGAAAAAAGTTGTCGATCGCGGCGGCGGCGGAGATTTCATGCTAACTGCTTACGTAACTGCTTACGTAATGCGGGTGGTGGACCTGAGGACATGGCACGCTGGACAGGCTCAGCCAATTAGGCAGCAGCTCTGCGTGGAGCATACGGATTTCTAAGCCTGTGTGGTTGGAAACATCGTCGTCAATTGAGCCATTTCCACTACAAAACCACAGCTTTGGCCCCAGGAAGCCCCGTGGTTGTGGGTGGTTTCTGCCTACGCGGTGGGAATCGCAGCGGGCAATCGCCTTGAAAGTTTTTTCTCTGTGTTTCTCCCCCCGAAGGCCTTTGAAAATTTCCCACGCCAGAAGCCGCCAGAAGCAAAGCCAGAGGAACCACACTGTTTCAGAAGGAAGGGGCCTATTTGCTGTTTAAGAGGTTGCTTTAGAGAGAACGAGAGAAGCATGTTTCTAGCACACAGAAGCGTGACGAGAAGCGTGCGCTCCACCAGCGCAGTGGCGGGTGTTGCGCAGAAGAGAGGGATATTGAACATCTTTCGTAATGCGCTAGGTATGGACCTGCCACCTTCAGATGACGACCCAACGCCGGAGAACAGGTTCCATCCGTGGGACTCATCACCTTCTCCTGACCTGAGACAGAGGGCGGCAACCATTAGAGCTCTGGCCAAGTGCCCAGTGACCGGGAAGGAGATCAACTACACCTGTCCCTTGAGTGGAATCCCAACGCATCACTCTCGTGAGGCATGGGAACAGGACAAGGAGTACCACGAGACGAAGAAATGGGAGATTTTGAAGAAAGTCAACATCTACGAACATGACCTGAGATCTGGCAGACCGTTCCCAGAGTTCGATTTCCCTCAGCAACAGGAGTCGGACGCCCAGGTGAACTTGTCAACATGGGACTTGTACTTCTATACACGTCAGTACTATTCGATGGACACCGAGTTCCAGCTCGCCGCAGTGACAAAGATGCTGTCTTATCCTATAACAATGGGCGCACTGCTCCATCAGTTCTCACCGTATCTGTTGTCCCCTAAGGGCCCCATCACTCTTGAAGGTCTCAAATCGCTTGCGGCGTTGAGATATTCCCTGTATCCATTCCAAAGAGCAGCCACGTTCAAAGACCGTCCTCTCAGAATGTTCATCATCGGTGCAAGAGCGGAAGGTCAATTGCCAGGTCACGTTTGGAAACAGTTCCAGTTCCTGTTCCCAGAGATTGAATTCGAGTTGCATTTCATCGGGCCAGAGGCGTTCTACGACCGTGAAAAGGGAACCTATGTGTCAAGCTCTAGGCCAGTGGTTAAACGTGTCGACCCTTACTTATCTATGGTGTACCACACCGATTACTTCCACGTGTTCCACGAGGCCCAAGATTTCTTCCCTTACGATCCTTACTTGGACTGTTTCTTCCTCTTCCATCCAGGTTTGTCTTATCCAGACGTTAAGGAACTTTGGAAAAAGACTATGCCAGGTTTGTTGGAATCCAAATGTCCAGTCTTCATCACCGGTTATCACGAGCAAGATTCTCAAAACGATTGGAATTGGCTTATGGAGAACTTTGGCAAGGATTTGGATGTTCTCATGGACAGAACAGACAACTTGTTCTCCTCAACTAAGTGGGAATTGAACGATTTGGATCCTCAAGAGGTTTACAGATTCAACCAAAAGATCTTTGCAGTTAGAGGTAAGCGTTACCATGCCATTCAACAATGAAATGAACTTGATTGAACCTTACATAGGCCTTCTCTGAATATAAACCTTGTACATATTGTATATGAAAAATTTAACCCTTCTCTCAGCTTTCTAATGCCTTTTAGGAGTAATACACAGTGTTTACGTCAATATACATATATTTCATGCCACTATGGATGCGTATTGTAAGATGAACTCTTTCTTGACCCTCTCCCAATTGTGAGGATCGAAAAAGATATACACACCTCTTTCACTCTGAGCATCCTGTTGGATAGGCTCCACACTCTGATCCTTGGTCAACCATAGAGACAGGCCCTTGTGGAATCTCCAATTTCTATTCATCAATTCCCTTGCACTTAACTCTTGTAACACGTCCCTTGGTCTTGTATAAAAGATGTAGAATAGGGTCTCGTCCGTGAACAACGTCAACTTCTCCTCGAGCTTTGAGACATCCGATATATGAAATTCCTCAGGCGTCTTGAACTGGGGCTCCACTTCACTTCGGGACGTTTCTATCCACGGTGATGCAAATGTTTTACTCAATTTAACCCCATCGGTTCTGCTGCTGAGATCCAACCCAAGAAAGTTCAAATCCGTTCCCAGTGCCACGGTATTTTGATCGCTCTGCTCGCCACGTACAAGCGAAAGCAAGCCGTTAAGTCCATATCTATCCATATCTGTCTGCTCAGACTCCGGCTTCGTAGTATTCAGCGATGGCTGATCCTGTTCTTTACCCATAGTTGGCGTTAACCCTGGTGGGAGTTGATTAAGAGGAACGGCATTCTGTAAGGGCGTATGCGTGCGCTGCTGCTGCGGTTGTTGTTGTTGATCACTCAAAGAGGGAAAGTCACCGTGTGACTGAGCCTGTGGTCCCTGCCAGGTTGCTTTGAGCTTGGTTAGTGTTCTCTCATGCTGAGGTTATGATGGCCTCTTTGTTTACGCTGTGGTCAACCATCAACATCATCATCATCGTCTCCAGCGCCAACAAAATGTCAACGTTTAACCACAAGCGAAACAATATGGGCTATAAAACGAACTTACCCATGTATTACCGAGTTTGATAACGGACTTTATCAATCTGAACAGACGCTATCGACGAGATCCTGGTGTTGTTCGTGTTGTACTTGTTCGTGTGCAAACTTGGTGAATGTTGTAAGTGCACAAGTCGGCGTTAGGGAGTATACGACCTTTGTGCTGTTCAACCGACAATGACAGTACTCCAGGGCGTTTGCATGATATCAATGGGGTTGTTTCAGAGTGGAAATGGCTCTCAACTGGTGTTATTATGGACCAATATGGTGTTATATACAATCAGTGGATGCTAGAAGCTATGTTGTGGCACCCACACTCAGAGACATAATCAGTAATATGAGTTGCTAGTTTTTGCTGTTTTAGTGGACTGATGGTCTAGTGGTTACGACGTCGCCTTTACACGGCGAAGGTCGCGGGTTCGAACCCCGTTCGGTTCATTATTTTTTGCTGCACGCTCACCGGTCAAGATTATTGGATACTCAATGATTTGCACACTGAGCTAGGATACACTGGTAAAGCTTCACCGTGCGTTTATATAAGGCCACTTTAACTGACAATTTGTTCCGTTAGCTGTGTCATTGCCACCGTTTTCTGTTCCCTTTGGCTTCTTTTTAGCTGTTCAGCTTTGCTTAATTTTTCTGCGGGAGAGCTCAGCTCATCGCATCTCAAAAAATTTTAGGCCGCGGGAAAAATTTCGCAAGACATAAGCACTCACTTCAGTACAAGTCGGTTGTGTACAGTTAACGAGCTTTAGACTTCGAGATGGTGTTGAAATCAACATATTCAGGAGATGTATCCGTTTACCAGGTGTCTGGTGCGAGCGTTTCACGCTCTCTCCCTGACTGGATGGCCAAGAAGAGAAAGAAACAGCTGAAGAACGATATTGACTATCAGACGAGAATTGAACTGATACAAGATTTCGAATTCAGTGAAGCTTCAAATAAGATCAGAGTAACCCCAGATGGCCAGTTTGCGATGGCCACTGGTACGTATAAACCGCAGATCCACGTCTATGACTTTGCCAACATGGCGCTCAAGTTTGAAAGACACACTGATGCCGAGAATGTCGATTTCACCATCCTTTCTAATGATTGGACCAAGTCAGTCCATTTGCAAAACGATCGAAGCATAGAGTTCCAAAACAAAGGTGGTATCCATTATAAGGCGAGAATCCCCAAGTTCGGAAGAAGTTTAGCGTACAACGCCGTGAACTGTGATTTGTACACAGCAGCCAGTGGCAATGAGGTTTACAGATTGAATCTGGACCAAGGACGGTTCTTGCAACCTTTTGTCTTGGAGTCTGATCGTGGAGCCAACGATGTTTGTGTGAATACTATCAATGGACTTGTCTCTGTGGCGTTAGAGGATGGCACTGTGGAGTTCTGGGATTCAAGGGCAAAATCAAGAGCTGCAAAGCTCACGTTACCTAACGTTGGATACAGTGAGGTGCCGTTTGAGGCCACTGCACTGGCTTTCAAAAACGATGGTATCAACTTTGCCTGTGGTACTTCTCACGGTTACTCGTATACCTACGATTTGAGATCTTCACAGCCAACTTTCACCAAAGACCACGGATATGGTAATCCGATTAAGAAGTTGATCTACTTGGACGATGACAAATTAGCAGTCACAGATAAGAGAATCGCAAAGATCTACGATGCGTCCGGGTCGCTATTCGCCTCCATGGAGCCGAGTGTTGATATAAACGATTTGGAGTGGATACCAAACTCTGGTATGTTCTTCATGGCCAATGAAGGAATTCAAATGCATACTTATTACATTCCTAACTTGGGGCCTGCACCAAAATGGGCTTCTTTCTTGGACAATATCACAGAAGAGCTGGAGGAGAAACCGTCGGAATCTGTTTACTCAAACTTCAGATTTATCACCAGGGAAGATGTGAAGAAGTTAAACATCTCGCATCTGATTGGAACAAAGGTGCTGAGATCGTATATGCATGGTTTCTTCATATCCACAGAGCTCTATGACAAGGTGAACTTGATTGCCAATCCAAACTCATACAGGGATCAAAGAGAAAGAGAGATCAAGAAAAGAATCGAAAAGGAGAGAGAATCTAGAATCAGAACCACTGGTGCGCTTACAAACACCAAGGTTAAAGTCAACAAAGATTTGGCTGAAAAGATTGGCAAGAAAGCTGGTTCTGCCGTTGCAGAGAGTGTTGTTAACGATGACCGTTTCAAGGAGATGTTCGAGAACCCAGAGTTCCAAATTGATGTTGAATCTCATGATTATAAGCAATTGAACCCTGTGAGTAACGAAAATGACGTATCCTCCAAGCGTTCTAGGGCCTTGACTGCAGCTGAGGAGTCAGACGAAGAAAGATTGAACAGAAGAGACGGATCCGAATCCGAGAGTGAGGATGACAGCGAAAGTGAAAGCGAAGAGAGCGATGCAGATGAGGCAGACGACGAACCTGAGGAGATGGACAGATTGCAAAGGGCTAAGGTCCAGAAGCAGTTGGATGCCATCAAGAGACGTGAAGAGGCCAAGTCCAAGGCCACTGATTTCTTAAACGAGATGAAGTCCTACTCCAACGAGGCTTCCAGCAGTGTGAACAAGAGTCAAATCTCATTCGACAAGCAGCTGAGACGTCTCAACCAGGAGAAGGCTGTTGAATCCGAAAAGAAGAAAGGCGAGGTTCTACGCAAACATGCTCGTGGTGAGATGGAGCTGACATTTGTTCCAAAGAAGGAGAGCAAGTCGTCGAAGAAGGTGAAGTTCGTACAGAGCGACGAGGAGGACGACGAGGAGGACCAGCAGGCTCACGGAAGAACCAAGCAGAGATTTGAAGGCCGTAGAAGGGCTTCCAAGAACGCGTTCCGTGGCATGTAAAGACAAACAAGTGACGTGTAATACTAAATGTTATGAGCTTGCGACATTGTAGTGGTGCTTCTCTGCTACATTCAAACAGCAGCGCTAAGATGGCCTGGCATCTACAGCAGGGCAGCACAGACCACATATTCGGGCGTAGTTCCGTAACGAACCCAGCTGATGTAGCAGTGTAGGGCTCCTTAGATAACACACGCAATAACAATGCAACAGAATGGAGGATATGCGAACGTGTGCCAACCAGTGGTTAAATTCCGCAAAACCACAAAAACCACACTTAGAACCACAAAAACACAAACTGTGAATTGGGGGAGTAAGAGGGTCCGCTGTTTTGTCGTTTTTTCCTTCTGTCTTCGTATGCGTGCGTGTGTGCGATTTCGCATTAAAATTCCACATTTTAACCCCCTTGTGGTTATCAGTTTAAAGCACAAATTTCCTGTTTTTCTGCGGGCTTGGTGCGTAATTTGTGTGCGTGATTTGTGTGTAATTTTTGTGTGTATGTGTCTGTGTGTGGGTTTTAACTGTGCGTGTGTGGGTTTTCATTATCTCTCAAATCCCACGTTAACTTCAAATACGGTGCTTTCCTAGTTAGAAAACAACACAACCAACAGTGCACTCTAGAACAAGTGTAAAGAATATTAGATTCAGTCATAAGGAGAAGTCACGTGCGTTGCCCAAGTGTGTACACATATTGCCATAGCTCAAGAGGATAACGGAAGAGAAAGCAAAGACAGCCCAGATTGAAAGATAAGGAGAGAGAGAGAGACAGACATCCCGGTTTTCTGTATTTAGAAGGAGGGTAGAGAGATAATGACTAACAAATCACGGTCGTTTAACAAAACACATCATGGGGGTGACTTATCCAGGAGTCCGCCTTCTAAGAGTGAGTATCTTGCCCGTGCTAGGGGTTTGCGGTGGTTGTGAGTCACTAACGAAGAATAAGATCTTGCGCATGTTCCGTGTAAGTTCTTCAAACAGGGAGCATGTCAGGCTGGTGATTCCTGTCCCTTTTCTCACCAGCTGGATTCATCTGCTGATAGCGCACCGTGCAAGTACTTCCAAAAGGGTAATTGTAAGTTTGGTGTGAAGTGTGCCTTGGCTCATATTCTCCCCGATGGGAGACGTGTTAACCCCAAATCTTTGGCACAGGTTTATCAAAACCACAACGTTTCCAACGCCAATGGCTCCCAAGTCAACGGACAGGGCAGTGGGAGTGGTACACGTCGCCACACACAGGCGGTGTCCACTGGAAGAAACCGTAACGTTAACGGTTATGCCAACAGCCAAGGTGCAAACCCCTCCAGCGGTCTAACACCACCAACCGCTTCTAACGCTGCGTATTCCTCCATGATAAAGACGTCACCTTTACCTACTTTTGGATCACATTCTACTACGGGCTCTTTCTCATCGGATAAGAATGTTGCAGCATCTGGGTTCCCACAGCAGGAGTTGTCGTACTCATTACGTGCGCTATCTACTGCTTCAGAGAACACGCTCGTAACGAATCCGTCCTTTGGTACGGGATCGATATGGAGCCATAGTATTACTACACAGGTTGCTACCAATGGCTCGCTCCCAGTGAACCCTCCATACAGATCCATGTCATATTCGGGACCTGGAACTGGCGGCTATGTGAACCAATATGGAACCTCAACGTCTTTCCATTCGTTCCTTGCACAGCACGAGTCTGCCATTGCAGATGACGAGGAGTACGACGATAGAAACAGCTCTGATGGCGGTGATATGTTTGAAGAGGATTTTGTCCCTTCTAGTCTTTCAGACCTATTGACACCACAGGAGAGGCAGAGACGTGGTTCCAGAAACTCTGGAAGCGCTGCCAACAGACCGGTACTTACGCTTAGAAGTAGTGAAGATGAAGTTACACAGTTTAAGATGGATGAGGACCACGAGTTCTTCATTGGAAGGGATTTGAACTTACATGCTTGATCTGCTTCACAAGTTCAAGATAAAACGAGTCGAAAAGAACAAAAAAAAATGACAAGAGTAAGAATACAATACAGTTGATATGGAATTAAACACAGTCTTCATATGCGTTGGTTTTAACAAGTTCTTTTTTCCTTTGAGGGAAAGAACAAAAGTTGGTTTGGAATAATTATGGTTATAAGTTACAAGTTTTACACCCTCAGCATGTAGAAGTAACCTGTTTTCGATTCAGAGAGAATAAATAAGACGTTTGTATGTGAATAAATAAGGGAGTTGGTCAACAAAATAAATAACAAAGAGAAATTCACTCATGGTTTGTATTCTCTTTCAAAAGCCGGAGTGGTTCTTCTCTTTTCGAATCTAAACCATTTACCCTAAAGGAAGCGAATAGTTAGTAAGAAGCACACAAGAGACACGCTGATAAACCACCTCACATGGGTGGTTTCTGACAACTCACCTGCGAGTTGTAGGCAACCCACGTCAATGCGCTAGGGATACCAATCATTAGCACAAGGATAGGAGCCAAGTTCTTAGGAGTGACACGGAATCTGTCTGACTGCGTCTGTCTATAACCTGTTTTGTGAGTTTTTCACGAGTGTTAGAGGAGGCCCATGGTGATGAAGTTGAGGGAGAGGAAAGGGGACTGGATACGTACGGTAGAAGAGGTCGAAAGCTGGTTCATGCTTGAGTGCTATTCGAAGCAGTTAGTATCCCATAATCATAGAATCAAGGCTAATGACAACATGTGCATGTCTTTCACGTACGTTGTGGTCCGTGTCCGTGTGCCATTTTCGTTACTGTGACGGTTGTCCTTTGCGCTTTATGTTTTAAGGAGGAGTCTTTCCAATTGGACGAGAAAGTTTGTACTGTGAGTTTTTCCCTCCAGACCGCTCGCCTTGAAATCCGAGGGGACGTGTGGAGGTGAAGGTCGGAAATGCTTCCCCCAAATGGCGTAAACAAAGCCAAACACACGGGCGGCGCGTAAAAGCACCATCAACATGTAAACAAACAAGGAAGGCAACCTCTGCGTTTTTGTTTTGAGGATGTCTAAAGATATCGTACCCGCTCTGGAAGCTATCCAGGCCACTATTGACTCGACGAAGAAACAACAGGGGCTGACAGGCGCCGCGCGTGTCAAGGCGCTTGAGAAGGAGTTGGAACAGTTGGATGCTATAAACGAGTCCATCGAGTCTCTAATAGACTCCATGCAGCTAACGTCTGGCAATCTCGAGACGATCCTGACCACCTCGACGTCAACAAATGCTCTTTTGGACCTCTGGATCAAGATTCTATCACAGACGAGCTATACGGCGAATCTGCTGAGCGATAAGAACTGGAAAGGCCTGACGAGAAACGAGGAGGAGTATCAACAGCAGCTCAAGAGGTTTGAAGTGCTGAATAAGAGATACAACGCAGAGAAGCTGAAGAGAGAGCAAGAACAAGAGGCAGAAAGAGAAAAGAGACTGCAATCAGAACAGAGAAAGAAGGAGAGGGAGGAAACACTAAGGAGAAGAGTATATGGAAGTAGAAGCTCAACCACAAGGCCAGCGACATCGACAGCGACAGTGACATCGACAACGACAACGTCGAAGACACCAACCAGAAGGACAACTACAAGGAGATGACTCTCTATAATCACCGGAGAAAATTACTTATAATGAAACAACTGTGAAAATTACCTGTATACATATAGTCGTTGCGACAACAAATAGAAAACACCCACACCGGAATAACAAATTCAAAACAAAGGTATATATAACTCAAGCCTCTTCCTCCTTAGCTTCTGGTTCAATGACAACCAAAAGATCAGAAGCGTCAACGTTGTCACCCTCCTTGACCAACACATCAGCAACCAAACCAGCAACTGGAGCGGAGATAACCATCTCCATCTTCATAGCACTCAAGACGGCCAATGGCTCACCCTTCTTCACGGCAGAGCCCTTGTGGACCTTGACTTCGACAAGGACACCAGCCATTGGGGAACCAACTTGGTTGTCGTTATGAGCATCAGCCTTTGGCCTAGAGACAACCTCAACCTTGGAGGTCTTATCGTTGACAGTAACCTTACGCAACTCACCGTTCAACTCAAAGTAAACCTCTCTAGTACCGGTCTCAGCGTGCAACTCACCAACGGCAGTACACTTGATGATCAAAGTCTTACCTTGTTCGATGTGGACGGTGATTTCCTCACCAACCTTTGGTGGAGCCAAGAAGTTTCTGGTTGGCAATAGGGACAAATCACCGTATTGCTCCTGGATCTTTCTAAAGTCTTCGTAAACCTTTGGATACATGTTGTAAGATGCAATGTCACACTCGGTGATCTTGTTGAATCTGGAAGACAAGTCCTCCTTGATCTTGGCAAAGTCAAATGGCGCCAATTCCAAACCTGGTCTGACATCCAATTTTCTTCTCTTACCTCTCAAGACATCGGATCTCAATGGCTCTGGGAAACCACCATATGGTTGACCAATCAAACCCTCAAAGAAGTCCAAGACAGAGTCTGGGAAGTCCAAGGAGTTGGCCAATCTCTTGACATCCTCAGAAGTCAACTTGTTAGAAACCATGAATTGAGCCAAGTCACCCACAACCTTAGAGGTTGGAGTAACCTTAACCAAGTCACCAAGCAAGAGGTTAGCCTCTCTGTAAGCCTTCTTGGTCTCAATCCACTTCTCACCAAGACCAACCTGTTGGGCTTGGAAAAGCAAGTTAGTAAGCTGACCACCTGGGATCTCATGGAGGTAAACTTCTGGATCTGGACCCTTCAAGTCGGCCTCGAAAACAGAGTACAACAGTCTAATCTCAGCCCAGTAGGAGTCAATCTCTCTGGCAGCACTCTCAGAAATGTTGGTGTCGATTTCACCGTCAAGAGAAGCCAACAAAGCAGAGACAGATGGTTGAGACGTCAAACCAGACAAGGAGTTGGAAGCAACGTCAACAACATCGGCACCAGCTCTTGCACAGGCAGCCATGGAAGCAACACCGGTACCAGCAGAGTCGTGGGTGTGGACGTGGATTGGCAAGTCTGGGTATTTCTCTCTCAAAGCACCAATCAAGATCTTGGCAGCTTGTGGTTTCAATGTACCAGCCATATCTTTAATACCCAAGATGTGGGTACCAGCCTTAACAATAGCGTCAGCAACAGTCAAGTAGTACTCCAAGTTGTACTTCTTACCTGGTTGCAACATGTCACCAGAGTAACAGACAGTGGCCTCAACAACACCACCAGCCTTCTTAACAGCCTCGACACCAACCTTCAATTGCTCCAAGTCGTTCAGAGCATCAAAGACTCTGAAGATATCAACACCATTGTCCTTGGCTTGCTTGACAAAGTGGTCAATAGCGTTATCTGGCAAAGAAGAGTAAGCGACACCGTTAGCACCTCTCAAAAGCATTTGGAATGGAATGTTTGGAACAAGCTTTCTCATCTTTCTCAATCTGTCCCATGGGTCTTCGTGCAAGAATCTCATGGAGACATCAAAAGTAGCACCACCCCAACACTCAAGGGCAAAGGCGCCAGCGTAACCGTGGGCAGTGGTTGGAGCAATAGCAAGCAAATCGTAAGTTCTCAATCTGGTAGCCAAAAGAGATTGGTGGGCATCTCTCCATGTAGTGTCCATAATCAAGGTACCATTGAAAGCACGAACCTTCTTTGCGAAACCTTCTGGACCTTCCTCGAGCAAGACATCTCTCCAACCCTTTGGTGGAGGAGTTCTAACATCGATAACGTTACCCTTAGAATCGTGGATAACTGGAACATCTGGATCCTTTTGCAACTTTGGTAAACCAACTTGACCCTTGATAGAGGAACCGTTGACGGCCAAGTCTGCCAAGTAAGCCAAAAGCTTCTGGGCTCTGTTTTGGGAGGAAACCATCTCGAAAAGAGCTGGTGTGTCATCGATGAAAGTTGTCCAGTAGTCACCGCTGATAAAGACCTCGTTGGTCAACAAGGTGAGCAAGAATGGAATGTTGGTCTTAACACCTCTGATTCTGAATTCGATCAAAGCTCTCAACATTTTTCTTCTGGCAATCTCATAAGTAGAACCGGAACAGGAACACTTGACAAGCATGGAATCGTAGTGTGGGGAGATGACAGCACCAGCGAAACCGTTACCACCATCCAATCTAACACCGTTACCACCAGCAGAACGGTAAACCTCAATCTTACCTGTATCTGGCTGGAAGTTCTTTGATGGATCTTCAGTGGTGATACGACATTGAATGGCGAAACCTCTGGTTGTGATCTTGTCTTGCAAGAGACCCAACTCCTCCAAAGTAGCACCGGCAGCAATTTGGATTTGAGCAGCGACAATGTCGATACCGGTAATCTCTTCAGTAATGGTATGCTCAACTTGAATTCTTGGGTTAATCTCAATGAAGTAGTGTCTGTTTTGGTTGTCAACGAGGAACTCTGCGGTACCAGCGTTTCTGTAGTTGGCGGTCTTTGCCAACTTGACAGCGTCGGTCAAGATAGCATCACGAACCTCACGTGGCAAGGTCTTTGCTGGGGCAACCTCAACCACCTTTTGGTGTCTTCTTTGCACAGAACAGTCTCTCTCGAACAAGTGAATGACGTTACCGTGGTTATCAGCGAGCAATTGGACTTCAATGTGCTTTGGCTTGTCGAGGAATCTCTCAATGAAACAGGTACCGTTACCGAAAGCGGTCAGCGCCTCGGATCTGGCTCTCTGGAAGGCATCACCAATGTCGTCACCCTCTCTAACAACTCTCATACCACGACCACCACCACCGAAGGCAGCCTTGATGATAACTGGGAAGCCGTACTTGGCAACGAATTCCTCCGCTTCTTCGACAGAGTCAATTGGACCATCAGTACCTGGAACCACCGGCACGTTAGCAGCAGCAGCCAAGTTACGCGCACTCACCTTGTCACCGACAGAATCAATGATCTTTGCTGTTGGACCAATCCAAGTGATACCGGCATCGACAACCTTTTGTGCAAACTCAGAGTTCTCAGAGAGGAAACCGTAACCTGGATGGATCATGTCAACGTTGTGTTCCTTAGCAATCTTGATAATCTCATCGATTTGAAGGTACGCCTGCACTGGAGAGTATTGGCCCTTCTCACCAATTGGGTACGCCTCATCGGCTTTAAGTCTGTGAGCACTCAGTCTGTCCTCATGGGAGTAGATGGCAACAGTAAGCATGGACAACTCATGGGCTGTTCTGAAGATTCTGATAGGAATCTCACCTCTGTTAGCAACGAGGATCTTGTTAGTCTTCTGACCAGCAAGAAGAGAGTCCCTTCTAATGGAGTTGATGTCCCCGCGATCAGCCATTATTTAAAGGATTGATTGATTCGTTTGAAAATCGGTTGGAGTAGGAGAGAGGAAAGGTTTCTTCAGTTGGAGAAGAGGAAGATCCCATTTCCTTTTTATACGCCGGGGGAAAAATCAGGGAGGGAACGTCGAGCCAAAAAAAAATGGACAAAAATGCAAACTGCCTACTGCAGGCTGGTCCAAAAAAAAGTGTGACTAAACTACGATGCTGCAACGAGCTCGAGGGCCCCCGTAGAGGGCGAAAAAAAATTAGGCAGAGAAACCTAGGCAGGCCCCGCGAAATCCTCCCATGAGTGGAAGGGCCGGTAGGGGGAGCCAGTAGGGGAGCTGTAGGCGGGAATGAGTTTCTGACTCTTTTCCCTTCATGTAGACGAAGGGCTAAAGCACATGCAGACGTGGGGGGACAACAACGCAAACAGGATTAAAAGACAAAAACAACAAAGAACGCGGGACAAGAGAAGGGCCAAAAAAGCTTTCGCCTTTCTTTTTTTGTCGAAGAGGAAAATCAGGACAAAATCCGGGGTACGTTCAAATGTCCAATCAGATGCGCCAGATATGGAAACAGCGAGTGACCTCATCGAACGGCCTGGTGACGTAGCTCCTTGTAGGGAGAAAAAGAGGAATCTTGCTGTTGAAGGATTGTAACAACCATATGCTTTGCACGCAGAGCCAAATGGGCCAGAGGCCCCAGGCCAGGGCAAAAAAAGGGGGAAACACGTACCACTTTGAGTCCTGCAGTTAGCTTCATGAAATCATACAACCACGGTCCCGTATCTTGGTTTTCGCTTTTAAAATTTTTTACCCCGGGTTTAAAGTTGAAGGGCGCGTGCTGTTGGACTTCCCCCAAGTGTTTTAGGATGTTTTGGTGAGCGTTAGGCCCAGCCATTCGTATGGAGAAAAGCACTCTTGACGGGGGTTCCCGGGATAAACAACAACGTCTGGGGTAATATACCCGTTCTCACGTTTCATGCTTCCAAACACGAGTTTTATCGCTGGCCGTGCGAGTCGGTTAAAAGTGGTTGATTGTTGTTGGAAACTGACGTCAATGCTGGTGGGCAATTGTGCCGTAGATAAGGGGAAAGAGGATGAAGGAAAAAGAAAACATTGCGTTTTACAAATTTGTATCTTTATATAGATACCACGTAGAAAAGAAGTGACTCACGCCAGCGAGTCAACTGAGTCATCTGGAAAATTGCCCGTAGAGCCGTCAGGACTCATACGCCGACTCATCGCAAATTACTGTCGATTGAGGACCCGTGTAGCGTGTTGGAGTGTTATCAAAGCAATCCACTCTCAGGCACAGGTCCATTGGCCCCTGAATGGTGAAGGCAAAATATTTCTAACCCTCGAGCTTGGTGGAATAGCTAGTGCTCTGACTATCTTTCCATTCGACCTATCTTTTGGGCTGAAGGCCAGTTTTCTCCGTGGTTATTTTTACTACGGTTATGGGGTAAACGGTTTGAAGCCCCGACAGAACATGGTATACAGGAGCACGAAGCAGTTGAGCTAATTGCTGGATTGAACAATCCACACAACGATAGAAGCTATTCTCCTCAGTTAGACCCCAATAGATAGTCCAATTTGTGTCAAATGGGCTGAAAAAGCAGAAATTAACTCCCCGGATACATCGATGCGTTATAACATTTTCCCCCACACTTTTTTGCTTCCTTGGACCGTAAACCTTGAAGCAGTCGTATTTTGGTCAACTGCCGATTTGGGAGCCATTAATTACTCGTAGCACAGGGTAATGCCAATTGTACGTAATCTGGGACAGAAATAAGAAACATTGACCTTGGATGGTGAAGTATGGGGTAAATGTTACAAAATGTTTACTACAGTTGGGATTTTTACTAGCATTTATAGAATTACCGTAGTCCATTTCACTGTAATGGTCCGAGTCACGGTTCAGAGGTCCTGAGTCATTGTACTGCTCAGCACCCTTAGGCCCAGCACTTGTTAGCCCAGCACCTTTTATCCCAGTACTTCTCAGCACCGTGGCCAGCCAGTTTAAAACCCACCGGACGCCCGTCAAAGCAACCTTTTCCCTCCCTGGCCTGCTAAAACTGGCACATCTCGCGGCGTTACGCAAGGACGGTTAACAGTGCCTCTTTAGGCAATCTTGTGAGATTTCTGTCATTCTGAACGGTAAGGCACCCTAATAGTTTCACCCTTCTCTATCCACAGGTTGTACACATCAATGTAATCCTTGGTCATATACAAACACACAATAAGACAAATAGTCACCATGTAACTCGATAAGGAAATGTCCCGAATTTCAAAATGTCCCAACAGCACTTGTGAAAAAAAAATGTCTCTGCTTGTAAATCACCTGCTGCAACTCGCAATCAATGAGGTCACTAACGGTGGTTGAACTTGATAGTTGATTGGTTAACGGAGTGATGACTCATCATTTCTTCGTTGCTGCTTTTTGTTACTTATCGCAAGACATCTGCGACACACGGTTGATTCGTCCAGTGAGCAGCTGAACTGCTTCGCTACAGTGAATGCTTGAGAAATCGATCGTCTTCGGCTTGATGTTGTTCCTGAGATTTTGGATGATGCACGCATGATGTTGAAAAAAAATCTTTCTTTGGTTTACAGTCAACGTCCTTAGTACCGACATCAATGGCCATTACATCTCCCTATGTGCACGGACACGGATGTTTCTCACCACACCTCATGTTTAGGATCCGGTTCTGATTGCCATTGGTGAGCTTCTGAGGTTTATCTACTGAAAGAGTTTTACGCAATTCTTCGGCATTGATGACTTCACGTGTTCACATACAAAAAATAGGCCTCTATGAAAAGTTCGTTTCAGGCCTCAACGCGCGCGTCGATGGCTCTCAAATCTCAACGTGGCGCGAGGAGGCTTAAAAAAACCTTCTAATGCTCGAATTAGGCCTACAGGGAAACTCTAAAATTTTATACACATCAACCTCATCGTTACAAACCGATCCAGCACACGTAGCTATTTTATACAGTTCCTCATCTGGGCCTTCATATCGCGTGTCCTGGCGAGTAAGAGGGAATAGGATAATCAGCGTGATCGAGGAGAAAGGGCGGAGGAAAGAGCGTCCCATATTATGAATACTGTTAAACAGCACCTCACAGCGAGGGCGAAGGTGATATTAGTACTTGTGGCTCTCTATACCGTCTATCACGTGTTCACATATAGCGGCAGAAAGCCCACTTCGGAGTACCTCGGTGATGGTCCTAGCACCAAAGGTTATGGTATCGTGAGAGGTGGCACTGGTAACCTTGGGTATGGAAAGGATAAGAGAACAGGTGGGTTACCGCCTTCAGCGAGAAGGATCTTTGAGGATAAAGATCCGTCTGTTTATGACGACTACGCTGTTGCAAATTATGACCTAAAACAAACAGAAGTATTCAACAAGGATAAGAACAAAGTTGTCATTGTAGTGGGTGCTAACGTTGAGGGTGGTGTAAACAGATGGAAAGGTCCAAGCGAGTGGTCAACCGAAAAGTTGTCCATTCAAAACAAGAAGAAGTACGCACAGTTGCACGGGTACGATATTGTTGTGAAGGATTATACCAAGGCAAAGAAGTATTCAGATGATCACCGTGAAGGCTGGCAAAAGTTTGATCTCATTAAGCAGGTGATGGATGAGTACTCCAGCGGTGATTGGTTCTGGTATTTGGATTTACATACTCTGATCATGGAACCAGATGTGAGAATTGAAGACTTGGTTTTTGAAGAGTTGAACTCATTGATGGTTAGAAACTTGGCATCGTTCAATCCAAATGGCCTTGTCACTGATATCCCATACACCTCACCGGACGATCCAGTGAATCTGATCCTATCACAGGACTGCGGTGGCTTCAACTTGCACAGTTTCCTCATCAAGAAGACGTCGTGGACGATGTTACTATTCGATACACTATTTGACCCTGTCATATACCTCAAGGAGCACAAGAAATGGACAAATGGCGAGAAGCACGCGTTGGAGTACTATTACGATAAGTTTGCATGGATTCGTTCCCATATTGGGTTCATACCATCGAAATTGATCAGTGCGTTAGCAAAGGATGCTTGTCCACAGCTGAAATATCCAGATCAGAAATTCTTCTATAATGAAACCACTAGGGACTTCTTAGTAGATATGGAAGGCTGTGAGTTCAACAGAAACTGCTTTGATGAGATGCAATACTACATGTCTATAAGTGAAAATTTGCACAAGAGTTGGATTTCTAAACTGCTCCATATATGACAAGACGGTAACATACTTGGGAGTTGATTAGATATCTCTTGTTCTTTCAACTTTGGCAATGATTTCAGTGAATTTCTCATCATCTTGTTGAATCTCAAGGAGTTCGGCTTCCAGCTTCTCCTCATATTTCCTGTTTCTATCGTGTTTCTCCTCCCTTACAACATTATATATGACGAAATGAAACCAGATTTCCACACATAACAGCGTAAACACCAAATCATCGTGTAGAAAGGAAGTTTCAAACAGGTATCCATAGCCTGCGAGCGCAAAGGACACCAGCAATCGCGTTGGAATCACGGATTCGAAGTATACGTGGTTTCTCTCCACAAGTTGGCTAACGTCGGTGAGCCCAATGGCCGCAAGAAGAAGTGAGATGATACCCATGACTTGGCCACCGCCATTGCCAGTCGATATCGTTCCACGATTCATCAGCATCGCTTGACCAAGAACAATGACAAGAGGACTGTTGAGAAACTCATAAGAGCCCCTCAGCAGGTAAAAAGCAGCGGTGAAGAGAACACACGAGTGCAGATATATTGCTGTAACTGATGATAACCAAGCCATGGCGTACGTTGTGTAATAAAAGTGTAGCGCTATGGAGGCTTGGAATGGTGTTTGTAGTACAAAGTCTCTGAGAGGCGATGGTCCTCCAATAAAAAAACAGATCTCGGGCATCGCGATGTATCACGATCTTCCCTTCCTTCACGGGCCAGGTAATAGTAACCGATTTCAAAGGACATCTGAAGCAACAATGTCGCTTACCATTCTTCTCAGAATCGGCACTTTACTCTTTCTCTCTGTGAAACTGTTAACAGATGCTTCATTTCCTCTGACAATACAGGGATTTACGGTAAGTATAGTACTTCAAACACTGGGAGGGGAGTTCAAGAGATCATACTAACACGCTGCTTGAAGGGCTCTAATTTCTCGTACACTCAAACCGAGACCACGTTGGTTGCTGTTTTGATGCTGCTCATGGCCTTCACGGATATGGCACCTCTGCTAGAGTCCAATGTGAAATACTTCAAGTCCATAAGCCGTACACGATTGGTGTTCTTTGTCGCCATCCACATCGTTAGCTCGTCACGGATCATCCCGGGACTCAGTGGGGATCTTATCAGTTACTATGCCATATTGGAGGAGGTTTTCAACGCTAGTATCATAACAGAATTCATAAGCACGTAGACTACATGTATATGTGACCTTATATATAAGGGAGAAAGGGTTTCATAATACGTTGACGAGTTTGCACAGTGAATTGGGTCAAGATAATAGCGAGCTGAGCTTCTTCTCAGCACTTTGTACCAACGCCTTTGCGTCTTCCAAATCATGCGCAATGAAGAATTCGTCTCTTGACACGTTCGGATGCTGTAGTCTGAGGTAGTCTTCTAAACAATACACCGATATGTTGAATGTCTCTGCATCGGATTTCACTCTGATACGTTTAGAACAACGTCTCTTATCGCCTTCTTCAGTATCCTGCGGTGAAGCTTGTGGAGTCACCGGAATATACGATTTGGAGGCCGTGTATGGCTCATAGTGCCGTACAAAGGCAAATGTACAGAACCCTTTGCACTTTATGCATGATATACCATCTTCACGTTCTTTCTTCTCCTGTTCAGTCAATTCGTAGGAATGCTTTGCAGCGAGGGCGTTATACCTCTGAGGTTTAATATCCAGAGAATCCAGAATTGTAGCTTGTATGGCATATTCATCCTCTAGCTTGACCTTCATGGAGTCGAGGCACTTCTGAACCAATTCAAGATCAAAATCATCGTCATCTTCATCATCATCAGAGTCTTTAAATTTCTCTAACACAGTCATCATCAACTCCCAGAGGTCAAACACAGATCCCTTCATACCACTAGAGCGATAGTTCTTTGAAGCCATTACACCATAGTCCAACCAGCTGGTCATGGTGAAATTTACAGCCTCATTGAAGTTATATCCAGCATTGAATCCAGCGTGGTATACCCTTGGATATGTTATGATATATTCACCAGGTTGTTGATTTGCAGTATAGCAATCAATACCAGCTTGATCCAAAGTGAAAGGTGAGACCAATGTAATCAACTGGTGTAAGATATCTGGCTGTTTGGCAAACAAATCAGGAGCCAACGATTTGACATAACTTTCAAACTTTTCAGCATGGTGAGATGGGATACCATACCATTTCTTCGTAGCTCCAAAATGTTGATAATTTGCACTTAGTGTGTACTGATCTTCAACGTGCCAGCAAAACGTAGAAAAAGTGCTACCAACATAGATCCATGGGATTGTCATCCCCGAGATGTCAATATCCAAATAACTCAAGAGCGACTCTTTGTTGAAGGGTAAGTTATTCAAATTCATTGGACGCTCAACATACTCATTGTACTTCTTTCTTAGTTCTCCAGACCGGTAACGGGATGGAATGTAATCCTTAGTAGGGAACCCGGAGACTTGACCTTGTAGCAACTTATGAATATCTGCACCGTAATTAGTCTTCACGTTGTTATCAGTGTTATTGACGAGTTCCCAGAATTCCCTCTCCAATTGATCAATATCCTGAGGTTTTCCAGATGGGAAATGGTGTTTATCAAAATCATCTGAAAGATCCTTGAAATCTTCCAAAGAGTACTCCACAGTGGAATCTTTGAACCCATAATAGCCATTACCTATGATACAGTTATCACAGCACCATGAATTCTTAGGAATCTTTGATAAAGGAGGCGAAAGACAGTACCTGTGGAATGGTTTGTTACACGAGTCGCACAGTAAAGTGTTTTCCGGGTCAGATGATTTACCACAGACGAGGCAATTCTCATCGCCTTCATCTTCCCCTTCTTCATCCTCGGAAACTGCACCGTTGGTATCCTGTAAGAGGGAAGTAGGGTATTGCTCCTCGATCAGAGTTGCACTGAATTCTGGCTTATTGGCCAAAAAATTGAAATATTGAAGCAAATTCTCTTCGTAAAAGTCCATCAACAGAGATCTTTGCAATTTGAACTTTGCAGTAAGGCACAACCAGACCTTTTCGTCGTGAAGGAGTCTCGATGATGAAATATCAGGGAGCTTCCTGCCTTCACCCTGGGGCTGGTAAAACTTGACGCATTCGATAAAGAAGTCATAGAAATGAACCTTCTTGCCGCAAATGCTAGCGTGATCACTCGCAGGAACACCGAGCCCATGCGTCTTGCTGAAGTTAGCAAGCTGCTTGTGGAAGAACATCCTGCATCTGTTGATCAAGTTCAACTCTTTGAGGTTTTGCAACCTAGGCACAAATCTGAACCTGTGTTCGTTGATGCTTAACGGAGGTTTAAACCCTTCCGGCGGGACAACTTTCACGAACCCATAGCGATCACCCAGTTTACGTATTTCTGGAGATGCAAGATACCCAATAGGGTTATCGAACTGCTCCTCCGTTGGGTGCAACGTAGGCACCTGTTGTAGAGTCATGTTCACTGCCAAAGTCAGTTCACTACCAAAATCAGTTCACTACCAAAATCAGTCCACTCCCAATAGAAAGGAAAACCAGGCAGTAGTTACAGCAGCAGAAAATGTTCAGTGGAAACCTGAGAGACGGAAAGGTGCAAGGAAACCAAGGGACGTCAAAGCACACGCACAAGCACACACCAAAGTTGCAAAGAGATACGCTGAGAGACTCAGCGGATTTATCACCAAGTTTTCTTGCTTCTGACTTTGAAGAAGTTTCAAGCAAAGTAGAAATTGTGATAGATTTTGAAGGGAAAACAGGTGAAGGCGGCATGAAAAACCCGGGAAACCGTTGAAGATTCGCTGCAGTTTTGGTATGTTTGTGTATGTGTGGTGCACGAACCAGAACACCCACTAAAAATTAAATGGGGAAACAGAAGCAATTACTTTTCCGGATTAGGAAGTCTAAGTGCTTCTCTACAGAAGGTTCTGAATTAACTGAGTGTGTTGCTAACATTGAGGCAAATGACTCCATGTGTGAGTATCAGTTGTTTTATATGATCTGAGATTATGACAACGATGATGGTGGTGGTGGCCTGGTGCATCAGTTGCTCATCGTTCAGCTGACGTAGTATGAGATTATCAGTAGAACATCTAGATCGCTTACACTTTCTCTTTACGATTTTTTATCCAAATGGCCTCCGGTTTGCATCCATGAAACTTCAACGAAAATAAACCAAGCGTGAAGATATACTCTTCTTCCACACTATTCAACAAGTGCTACAGACTAATCCATACAAAGAGATGTCATACAAGGACTACACACTGACAGTTCTGGGAACCGGTACAATTGGCCAGGCTTTCCTCTCTGCCTACCTCTCCAACCCTAAAGCTGAAACCGCGCCAAAGAAGATCATTGCCTGTGTGAACAGCGAAGCCAGTGCAAAGAAGCTTGAGTCCATCTACAAGTCATCCAACGGGATTGAGATTGAAATCTCATATGGCGCTGAAAGTAACGGTAAGGCAGTTGCGCAATCGCAGGTGGTTGTGATTGGTACCAAGCCATACCTCACTGAAAAGGCCTTGGAATCGTGCCCATCTCTACAAGGTAAGCTGTTGATTTCATTGGTTGCAGGCTGGACCATTGATCAATTCCAGCAGTACTCTGCAAAGGTGTCCAGAGTCATGACAAACACACCAGCAAAGTACCAGTACGGTACCGCCGTGGTTGCCAATTCCAGCGCAGCCACAGAGGATGAACGCCAGCTGATCTTGGACCTCATGGGACCAATTGGTAAAGTTGTTGAGCTGCCAGAGAAGAACATGGATGCCGCCACGGGTCTTGTCGGTTCAGGACCAGCTTTCGTCCTTTTGATCTTGGAAGCTATGACGGAGGCAGGACTGTCATTGGGTATCCCATTGAAAGAGAGCAAAGAATGTGCAATCAAGGTGCTAGAAGGCACTGCCAAGCTCGCCGAGATCACAGGAGCCCATCCAGCAGAGTTGAAGCACCAAGTGTGTACCCCAGGAGGAACTACCATCGCAGGTGTCGTTGCGATGGAGGAAGCCGGATTGAAGAGCGCTATTGTTAAAGGTATCACCGCGGCAGCAAACAGAGCAAGTGAACTGGGAAAGAAATGATGACTCAGCACCAACAGCATGATGGGCATACAACAAACCACCGAATAGCACACATCTTCCATAGTGTTTTGAAAGATCACCGGTATTACCCTACTAAACCCCTCGTAACTCTCCTCGACCGCGACGACCGGAAGTCACATGACCTCCCGGAAGTCGTTTAGCACTCTCACACCCCCTTACACAAAAACGGACAAATCTTATTGGTTGTGTCCCGCACCGCCAGAACAAAACGCACACACACTTTGTCCGCCGTTGCACGAAAATTTCCCTCGAAACCGACGACGGGGAGGCCAGCTGGGAAATTTTGTCCACCCATTTTTTTTCAATTTCTCTTTTCTTCCTTTCCCCTTTCCTCTTCTTTTCTAACCAAGCTACCATAGTTATTCAAAACAACAATGGTTTTCCCAAGAGTTTACAACGCTACTTCTAAGGCAGCTTTCAAGGCTGTCAAGAGCAACATGTTGTTCAACAGAGGTTTGGCTACCGCTGCTCCAGCAGCCGGTAAGGTTAGGTAAGTGGTTTCTTTGTTTTCGAATATTCCCCTTGTTCTCTTGCGAACGGGAAATCAGGTGTCCATTGACCTCAGCGTGTGTCTGCTACAAGCACGGCCATGAGCTCCATGGCGTTTACGAGCTGTTCAATTGAGGGCTCCTCAATTGCACAAGGAGATCGTTTGAAGATCGATTTGTGTCTCCAGCTTTAGGGGTGGAGAGGGAAGAGGGTGTCTTTTCCAGGGGGGCGGAAAAATACGTAGAGGAAAAACCTCCGAGGAACACGCATCGAACATAACTACGACATTAACATCAATTGATGCTTGGGATCGGATCAATTGGGTTAACGCTCAATTGTGCTTCTTTTGTTTGCGTGTTGACTTGTGGGTTTTCCCCCTTTTGACACCCTTCGTTGGGCTCCTCGGTGTGCGCTTTTTTCCCGCACACGAAAATTTCTTTGGCCAATAAAATCGTTTGTCTTTTTTCGCGAATTTGTCTTTTTTAAGGGACAAAGGGACACGCCGGTGGTTATGGACAAACACGTTGAGGTTGTGTGGATATGCTTGCGAGGACTGTATACTAACAACGAACAGAGCCGTTATCGGTGCTATTGTCGATGTTCAATTCGAGGATGGTAACTTGCCAGCCATCTTGAACGCTTTGGAGATCAAGAACCACGAGTCTGGTCGTCTTGTCCTCGAGGTTTCCCAACACTTGGGTGAGAACACCGTCAGAACCATTGCTATGGATGGTACTGAGGGTCTTGTCCGTGGTGAGACCGTCGTTGACACTGGTGCTCCAATCACCGTGCCAGTTGGTCGTGAGACTTTGGGTCGTATCATCAACGTTATCGGTGAGCCAATCGATGAGCGTGGTCCAATCAACACCAAGCAAAGAAACCCAATTCACGCTGAGCCACCTTCATTCTCTGAGCAATCTACTGCTGCTGAGGTTTTGGAGACTGGTATCAAGGTTGTCGACTTGCTTGCCCCATACGCTAGAGGTGGTAAGATTGGTTTGTTCGGTGGTGCCGGTGTCGGTAAGACCGTTTTCATCCAAGAGTTGATTAACAACATTGCTAAGGCTCACGGTGGTTTCTCCGTCTTCACCGGTGTTGGTGAGAGAACCAGAGAGGGTAACGATTTGTACCGTGAAATGAAGGAGACTGGTGTCATCAACTTGGAGGGTGACTCCAAGGTGGCCTTGGTTTTCGGTCAAATGAACGAGCCACCAGGTGCTCGTGCCCGTGTTGCTTTGACTGGTTTGACCATCGCTGAGTACTTCAGAGATGAGGAGGGTCAGGATGTGTTGTTGTTTATTGACAACATTTTCAGATTCACCCAGGCCGGTTCCGAGGTGTCTGCTTTGCTTGGTCGTATCCCATCTGCTGTCGGTTATCAACCAACTTTGGCCACTGATATGGGTCTCTTGCAAGAGCGTATCACCACCACCCAAAAGGGTTCTGTCACTTCTGTCCAAGCCGTCTACGTGCCAGCTGATGATTTGACTGATCCTGCTCCAGCTACTACTTTCGCGCACTTGGATGCTACTACTGTGTTGTCCCGTGGTATCTCTGAGTTGGGTATCTACCCAGCTGTCGATCCATTGGATTCCAAGTCCAGATTGTTGGATGCTGCTGTTGTCGGTGAGGAGCACTACGGTGTTGCCACCCAAGTCCAACAAACTTTGCAAGCTTACAAGTCTTTGCAAGATATCATTGCCATTTTGGGTATGGATGAATTGTCTGAGGCTGATAAGTTGACTGTCGAGAGAGCCAGAAAGATCCAACGTTTCTTGTCTCAACCATTCGCTGTCGCTGAAGTTTTCACTGGTATCCCAGGTAGATTGGTTAGATTGAAAGACACCATCAGATCCTTCAAGGAAGTGTTGGAAGGTAAGTACGACCACTTGCCAGAGAACGCCTTCTACATGGTTGGTGGTATCGAGGATGTCGTTGCCAAGGCTGAGAAGTTGGCTGCCGAGGCTAACTAAACAGCACCGTCATGACCAGTACATGATTCAACGAAAATATAAAAAGAAAATGATAAAGAGAGGAGAATAAGTCTTTAGAATCTTCTTGATTGAATATTCCCACAAAGTATGAAACGATCTTAAAGCCTCTCTCTAATTGAGAGGACGCATATATGAAGACAAAATAAGAATTTTACTATAAGACTGAAACTGTAGATTTCGTAGATGTTGACCTTGGTTGTCGAGATCTTGCAAGTGTCATAGTGAATGTGAGATCGAACTTGTGATGCCACTATGTGCAATGTACAGAGAACACTAAGAACTGTATACAGCATTGGACCTAGTGGGATGGATGATCGAGCAACATTCAATGCGGGGCCACTGTTAGAGGGATTCCTGTTATATTGATCTGAAATGAATAGACTGGGTGATTGCAGTAGAAGAGTGAAGAATTTCGAGACTGAGTATATGGAATCTACGAATTGTAGCGTAGCATTGCTGGGTTGTAATCGCTTAGTGGTATTTGACTTCGGAACTGATATTGTGAAATGAAGATAGAAGAATGTTAAGGCCTCTCACAAACATTGATAGAAAGATAGGCCGATAGGTTTGCTATCAACTGCTTCATAAATGTGAATATATAGAACAATAACCGTTGCGTTTGATCTTAAACGATAAAAAGATGCTTTGTGATACTGATGGTCATTACAACCTGTATGGAATTCAATGGTGATAATTGGACGTATTTGTCATGGTTAGGCCCCTCATATCTGTGCTACAGATATATGATCAGGTGGAATATATTAACTAGTCGAAGGACATGACGATACTCTGTAAATTCTCTGTCCGGTCAATGCACCTGAACTAATTCATGGTTAGTTTTGATTCAACCATCAAAAGCTTATCTTAGAACCATACAAACTCCAGAATACTAGGACAAGTAACGTGTGTAAGAATCTTACAGGTGTAGTTTGTCTTTCATTGCTTCTTTTATCAGGTGTTTGAGTATACATTGAGTAATTTCCAAGTACGTACAGACACGAAAGCTATGTGTAATACTGGCTCTTATTCTTGAGTAACAGGGCTAATCAGGTGTAAATACATGCTGTTAGACATTGTCAGTCTCGTGTGGTGCATACTATGTATACTCCCACTGAGAATACACAAGCGTCATACATGAGGATGTCAGACTCACTTTAGACTAATTTCATGCGAGTTCAAATACATATGAGCATACATATTCAAACCTCTGACCGCATAGTACGGGATACATTCCTCATATATAAGCACTCTGTGCAGGAAGACCAGGGAGAAAATAGGTCTTTTTTTCTGAAGAATACTGTCAAATACTTCCAGAGGACTGTCAGCTATTAGAAGTGATGTATCAAGGATGTAGCCATGAGCATGATCGCACTATACTGCTAACTATCCGCCTATAAGTGAATTTGGCAGCTCAAATACAAATGCTAGCATAAAAGTTTGCTTGTGATGTACTGTGACACTGATTTCACCCTCAACATCGCAATCGACGTAGTCAATCATGAATGACCCACAGACTTCAGTTGCACGGACTTTATGTACTGGACAGCAACTCTTGAGCCTAACCACAGAACGCAAATAATATCAAGGAAACAGCTTGGACAGTATGGGTCTGGGGGTGTGCATTGACATTTGATGGTACAGGGCAAAGAGCCAATGAGACGGTGGGCCTTTACATAACACATACGTTTTAAAGCTTGGTCTAGTGGACACCCGAGCCCTGATGCATTAGACCCTGAACAACGCCGCATAACTGAAATTCTACGATGATGCGTTGCGTTTATAGTAACGATGGTCCACTTTATTCAAATTCAACCCAATGTATACGAATTATCGAGTTGATAGCCATGAGGGTATGTCACGTTTGCTCTTTGGCGCAAGATATCCAGACTGGCTGGACAGCGTTTCAAGCAATGTGGCGCATATGCTTGAAGAGTATATATTCGTCGCCAAGTACTCTGAAAAAATCGTGAGTGAAACCACAACTAGGGGGGAAAACCACATAACTCACTATCTTGCAGCAGAGCCAGTATTAGCCTCACTTTGAAACCTCTGGATCATGTTCAAGACTCAGGAGAAGATCCAACTTGAAACACTCTGTGCGTGCGGATGTGTTTATAGCCTCCCAGCTAAGCGGAACCTTTTTCAGTATTTGCGTGTACTGGAGAACGGAAAAATGTCGATCATTCAATTTTACTCATCCGTTTCCACATCTTTAGCACACAATACATACATCCTCTTGAGTTGTTCCTAAGTGCTGCTGGTAATGAACGTCACCACCAAGTGTGTGGCTAAGTGGGTGTAACGCAGACTACAACATGAGTAATCAATTACACATGGAAAGCAAGAGGCTCCACTCAAGTGGCTTAGCAAGCCAGAAAGCCTGAGTACTATTTTGGTCTCGATTCTTGTGACTTGAGGGGGAGGGGCTAAGTCTTACAACAGTACGATGGCTGAGTAGTAAGTTAGTACGCCCAAGAAATTACCGCTGATTTAGAAGAGCAAAACAGCAATCAATCAAAACTCTTGGTGGTGCCGACGCGAACATTTCTTTTCCTACGGAGAGGATCTTATACAGATTTCCACAATATGTTACACACATATTTAGTTGATCTTTCAGTCTCATGATCTGAAATTCCACGAGGAGTTTGAGGGTTAACGTGAAACATCTCAGTTTCTATACTTTGCGGTAGCTTGGATGTTATAAGCCTCAAACTATAACGTAGGAGACGAATAACACATTGTTTCCTATGTGGTGATTTAAACTATACGCAGCGTAATATTTAACCTTCATACACCGGCGCAAGATGAAGTACACCCAGCTTTTGGGCATTTATGCTGGTGATTTACGCCATAGAAGTGTTAAAGTTCGTCACGACCAATCCCCTTAGGCTGAACTTAGGGCCTCTTCCCACTGATTTCGACGCACGTACTCTTGAGTAGCCCCATCAAAACTATTTCCAGTGGTGCAGTCAGTGACCAAAGGACGTGAGAGTGGTGAGATCTGCTTAACAACCAATGAAAAAAGTCATGACACGCATAAGTTACCGTTGAATATTACGAAGCCTCGAAGTTATAGGCTACAACTTTAAAAACCACTCCAAACTTTCGCCAACACACAGACGCTTGCATACGGCGATCAAATTGATAACGTTAAACGAAAATTGTTCCGTAATGACGCGCAACTACCTCACTCGACAGACAAGTCTACCACACTGAGGTGGCCAACAACTAACCAGTGCACAGAGCTGGAAGCTCACTTAGTTGGCAATCATCTCCAGACAACTTCAGAGTTGAAGCGTTTGGTACATATGCAATGTGTGGTGTACGGCTTACAGGTTCAAACCTTTTATGCTTATATTAAGCCAAGAGTTTTATACACTAGAAAAGGCCTAGAAAGGAACACTTGAGAGAAATATCATCATAGCAGTAGGAAAAGAAAGGAAAAAAACTTCTCAAATGCGTCGTGGACCAGGACGCATAAACTGCACGATGCACGTTGAAGGGCAGATGGAAAAGATATTTCTGGGTAGCGAGTGAAATTAATTTCATGAAAGCAAAGAAGAGAACACACAGAGGAGAGGAGGCTTTCAGGTACAAGTGTATATGAAATTGCAGTATGAAGTACCATTCTAAAAGTTTTTTGGAGTAATGCTTGGCCTTGATGTATAAAAGAGCCAGTTGTTCCCACTTGTATTCCGTGTAATGGAGGTCTGGTCTCATCCTTCTTTGCCACCATAAACCTTTGAAATTCCACTTATACAATGGAAAAGCAACAACCATCGGGCTTTATTGATGAAGATCCACCAACCCTTGTGTCACCAAGTGTGGACTCAAGAAACCAGAACTATGAAGACACAAAGGACATTGTCATTAAGAAGGCAGAATTGCAAGCTGCACAGTACCAAAAGTCGTACTTCTTGACTGCTATTCTCTTGTTCTC